AAAGACTGTCATTGAAAAAAATAAGCTACAGCTGTGAGCGTGGTAATTGCCCTTCCTTCCGTTCGATTGAACCTCCTAGCTTTGGGACGGAGAGACAATGCTAGATTACAGCCAAGCTAGATCCTCTCCTGAAAAATGAAACCGTATCACGGAGAAAAGAACGGCAGCAATAGTCACCTGTGTACCCATAGGTACTAGTGGTGGTAAAGATAGTAGTGGGGGTCTCTATAAATGCTAAGACACGGAGATAATTCACAGTTTGCCTCATTTGGGCAGCCCAAAGGCAAGCTCATACAAAACAACAGTGCTTTTTTTAACAAAAGATCCTCTTTTATTTCTTCATTTTAGAAAGAACATAACCCAACATCCATGATCGACAATTCATTTTTTTTTTTGCCAATATCGCTTAAAAGACCAAAGACTGTATACGTTTAGAAGACGCCTACCGGAATGACCAACAAGAAAACGATACCCATGACCAAAGGTAAAAGGCGCCCTAGAGCAAGAAGAACATTGTTAGCTGTTAGGATAAAACAACCGAACGTATTCATACTAATGCCCAGCTGGTCCTTTCAAATCGTCGTTATTAACAAAGTGCCGGTTCGAAACCAAGTGCTGGCAATAAAAGGCTGATGAAATGTATGTAACACCATGACGGTCAAAGACTTGGACCTCAGGTCAGGATGCAACGACTGGAACTGAGGTGTTGCATTAAGGAGCCTTTCTTGACACCAAGAACCACAAGGTACCTTAAAGTCGGAATGTTGTCAGAGCTTCTTGTGAATATACACAAGGTATGGGGCTGAGTACTTCATGCTCGCATCATGCATTCTCTCATAATCTGCACGACGGTGTGTTCTATACAGAAGATGTGTTATCTGATGTCGTTATGCATCTCGCTAATTCTGCGTAACAAAAAAAGTTTAAATTTGCATTTGTTTGGTCGCCAACGTGTATTGTAGGGCTAATAGCAACCCACCGCTTGCAAAAGAAGTACAAGTCGTACCTTTTTTTCAATTATCCAAAGACACACGTAAGTCTACCTTAAACCATACTTTTCGGAAGAGATCCAGAAGAAGTGTCATTAGTATCGAATACATAGCTGTAATACATGCGGCAAAGAATATAGCGAAATTACGACGAAAGTCATTATATATGAGGCCACGGTGTACGGACAGCACATGAACTTCAGCATGTACTTAAACAGCGGCAATTTCTGCGCCAGGTCAACTATGGGCAAAATGCCTACCGATACCGGTGAGCGCAGAACATCAAGAATCGCCAATTTCGAGGGATCGAAATTGCCCAAACTTCGCCTACGGTAGATCCTAAGAACGAGTCTGTAAGCAAACCTGCATGTGATGCTCGAAACAATCCGGATGGATCGGGTATTTGAAAAGGTCCCTAAGTTTGCTATAGTCCCTGGTCTCACGTATCAAGCTACGGTCTGACGCTCACTCACACTAAATTTGCGATTAGCCATTATATAACACTATTAACCTCTAATCATCAATAAAATAAAGCAAACACTGAACTCCTTCCTAGTATCTTTGATGGGTACAATCCGCATACTACTCTTGATATTAAAATCAAACGGACAATAATGAAGGGGTTTGCTTATAGTGACAATTTTGCTCGACAACGTTCATGTAGTACATAATATTTAAAGCAATGCTAGAAAAGGTGACAGAAACCAATGTGCGCTTTGAATGAATGGTTTGAAATGTAGATTACGTAAGGAGTCTTAGTGGACAGAATGGGGATGTAAAGACAATCGTAGTAAGTGCTTCGATGAGTTTTATATCCCAAAATTCTCTAAATTTTTACGGCAACGAGAATCTGTTACAGCTAGTAGTTAAAGGCATCCAAAAACACCAAGATTCGAGGGACCCAATAATGCTTTTGGCGTACAGCCCATATAAATTATGCTAAGATATTAAAACAAAAGATCGAAGATGTCGTCGTATCCAGGATCAATGCTGTATAGAACTGATTTCCACGCTGCCGCTCTAAGTAACAGTTGGCAGGCAGACCAACATGGCAGCTTTATATCTAAAAAATATCATTTAGCATTTGCTAGTTCTTAACTTTTTACTCATAGTACGACAATCCAACTACCTACGTACAGTAACATCATCATATGGAGCTTTTAGAAAAGCATGCGACCAAATCAATGTCCTTCACTCTCGTAAAAGCGCAACTTATGATACCGAAAACGACCCAAGTTATGTGTGTTCTGTAAGAATTAAAACGTATAATTAAAACAGAAGTCTTTGACATATGTCTGCCAGGATTAACACTATTTCAATAAAGACCTGACCGTCTGTCCGAGAAGTTTCGAAGTCTACTTTATATTTATTTATTAGAAAAATCAAGGGTTACGAGTTATCTTTTGTAACACACAAAAAAGGAAACTCAACCCTTTCCATGTAATTCCACCCGCACACGAAGAGTAAGAGAAAAAGCAAGTACTTACGCAAAGCATTTCCTGAATTTACAGGGGACCACCAGCGCACTTTTGACCCGTGGCTGGGGTAAATGGTAATGACAGGACTTACGCCCGAAGGCTGTCTGGGGTGGGGAGTATGCCGTTCGCATGAGGCGATGCAACATCCGAAGATGGATACGGAACAGCGGCAACGAGGCGCTACGGATGTGCAAGGGGAGAGAGAGGGGATAAACAATAATAATAAAATATACAAAGCAAAATAGAAACACACAGAAAAAGAAGAGATATATATATGTAGCAAAGAAGAAGATGAGGCTTTTAACGACCTCCTCAGGTCCAAGTCAAAGCAAAAGCACACGCCACCGTCTAGATGGATGGATAGATCTTGACCACAGCCGATGGACTACTTGACAGATCGGCTTCTAGGAGCGAGATGACAGTAGAGCATCAATCTTGACCAGCATGGAGGTGTCTGTGCACTATCGCCATTCCGAGAAGCAAAAGAGACGAATAGATAATGGAAATTATTAAAACACACACACACGCACAAAAAAAATTCTATCGTGCTACACTTACCCATATTTCTGCGATGAGGCACAGGACAGCCGAACACCCGGCAGAGCAGAGCAGAAAATCACAGCCAAGACAAAAACACTTCTTCTATGATAGCTGAAAAAGAAAAGATCATTAGAGAGCTGCACCCACTATGCCATCTTTATCTTTGACACGGCATGGCCATCCTCCTCCATCCCAAGCTGACTTACATTTGCTTTAGCGTTCTATGGAAAAAATGAAGATAGAGAGAGGTGGCTCTAAACCAATCCAAATCCAAAAAGATCACCGCAGAGCCTGCCTCTATCAGAAAAAAAAGCATCTATGAGCAGCTGCGTACACTTTTTGACGTGTCATGGCAGACATCTTTCTGGTTTTTTAAACACGTAAAGACAAACACAAGCACAAAATCCTTTCCAGCTATTTTGACATCCTTCGGTTGGAGGAAGAGAGCCTTAAATTAGAGAGACATGTAATGGTCAGGAACCCTTTCCCGTCACGCTGTGCGCACACCACTGCACCTTTGAAACGTCATCTTCAGCACCCCGGCCATCCTACACACCTACCAATTATTAAGTCCCCTTTTGCTTATGCTTACTATCATACTATCTATACTTGTCCGCCGGCCACGATTAACCCAACCAGCATAAGGCGTAATCTGAAGTAGAAAGAAAAGAAGAAAGATAATGAGCAGGCTGTTCTTTAAATGCAGCTACTTTTGAGTTTTGACACGTCATGGCATCATCAGCACCCCCAACAGACATTCGACGTCTCTCCAGCTCATGCTGACATTCCATTCCCTACCATACTTGAAGTTGCTGCTTGTGCTGAAGGGTGAGGTGCAAACACCAAGCCGAACCAACCGTATCAAAAGTCGAAACTCCTACAGCAGTAGCAGAAAAGAAAGGAGGATAACATTACTGGCTGTAGTATGCTGTACACACACTTCTTTGAATACGTCAAAATTCAGATCTTCTTTCGTATATCACATCCACATGCAAAACCTCAAAGTACACTTTTTAAAAGGCCTTGATATTTGACTTTTCGCGCAGTAGTAAGTGTTTTGATAAGTTGAAGAATGACCAACGATGATAGCAATAGCAGTTAATTCATTGTCAATACCACATAGATTATGCACGAATGTATATAGATATGACTTTATAGTATATCCACCTCTCTTGTCCCTCATCCTTAACAGTGCATTATTGTACGATCAATCACACAACAAGAAAAAGGCCTCGCGCTATTGAATATAAATAGAAATAAACAGTTACACAGTTACACTATCATATTACCGCTTAGAAGTTAAATAGCATTTCCTGCTTGTTCTTGGTTTCTTTTATTGTGGATTCAATCATTAACAATTAATTTTATTGTAAACAATAAATTAGTTAAATGATTTTATCAACATTCGTCACAAGCTCCTCATGTTAGGAGGGATATGCTCATTACCATTCCACAACTGATATATATAAATTAATCAAATTTATCATGTTACAGAATGACTTCCAAAAAATATCTAATGTTTCAGTTGCGACCATTCCACGCTCTTAAGATTATGGTCGTAATGACTAAGTCTTTTTTTCACAGCGCCTGGCTTTCGTTTCATACTCTGAATCAATACCAAATTGCAGTAGGCGTTGCTGTATATTTGATGCATCCGTGTATTTCGTGTTTCTTCGCCTCGGGATCATCTTGCGGGATGCACAGTCATACCAAATATATTTGATGTTGAAACCTTTGCACATTTGCTGGGTGATGCCTTCGAACTGACAAAGTTAACCTTGCGACGAATGCGTTTTCGCCCTCGTGGTTTTTTCGTATTGTCCTGGCCGGAAAGATAATCCTGTACTTCCCTTCGTCAATGCGTTCTGTCTTGCCCGTATTTTCGTCCAGAACAATCGTCCTACATGGATAACTGGGGAGTGTAGAAAGCGTACATTAGGCCTGGTCAAAGGACGCTGAAGCAATCTGAAGGTCGTACAATAATTTCTTTACCTAAAAAGTAACCTGACGTGAGCGAGAGGCTGAAGGTCCTTCATCCTTGGAGGTGAATGATCACAGCTGAAGCTACCTTTTCAAGTAATACGTTTTCTTCAGTGTGAATTGGCTAAGATTTTTTTATTCAGTTTTGAAGCTTCAGTGGCCTTTGACCAAGCCTATTGTAATTACTTTGTATCTTGTATCAGTAAAAGGTTACACTTTTATTTATATAGCACGGTTATGCTCTGCGCTTTGATTTAATACTATGAGTTACTAGGCATCACTTAACGGTGCTCTCCATGATAAAAAGAATACCGAGATAGTAAGCCGCCATCTTGTTATTTATCGTGCGCCATGTCTTAATGTAGCATGCGCCATGATAATATTATCCTTACGCCCTGTTGAAAAAGCAAGCCGCCATATTATAATTCGTGATGCGCCATGTTAATACTGTAGTGACGCCCAATAAAAAAAAGGTCGCGCCAAGTACCCACCCCCACCCCACTCAGCGCTATCATGCCATAAATCATCTGCCATTTCTAAAGAAATAAGCTTGATCTTTGCGTACCAATTACACAAATGAATGTGTAATGTTGCACCTGCAGCAACAAGCAGATGATGAATTACCGAGAAGAATGCACCAAAACGTGGCTGAGCAATATAAAGTGCTGCATCCTTCATTGTTTAACGACTTTGATTATGTGTACGACGATTAATTCAAATAAAGCCCTATCAAGCCATTGGGATCGCCCTCCTTATTCATTAAAGTTCGGAGAAACAGGCTTGCTTGAGGAAACCAGGTTTATTATCTGACTCTTTTAGGAATATATACAACAGGGTACACTAAAGTTAAAAAGATGGAAAAACGGGTGTGTTAAAAGATAGATTACTCTGGAAAGGAAAATTACATACAAAGAGGAACATTGAGATTTGGTATAGCTGCTTTGTGTGGCGTCGTATGTTGTTCTGTTTGTTTTGTTGTAGATGAAAGAGAGAGAGAGGCAAATATACAGACGGATTATATCATGGGAGAGGGACCGGGGGAGGGACCGGGGGAAACATAATAAAAGACGAGGCTGGGGTATAGGAGCGACAATAAATATAAAATGATGCAATAATCGGAACCTTTTACCAACCAATGCCACCTTTGACCCAGATACCATCATGCACAAAGTTGACCAAAAAGTTGGCTGTGTCGAGATAGAGATGGTCGTCATTACCAATGGAATGTGCGGCACGCTTGAGCGAGTGCATAGTGAGGATAGCCTTGGGATCTGCGGATTGGACGACAGCAGCCACGCAATCAGACCAGTCCAAAGGCGGTGAGGGTAGAGGCGCAGTAGCGCTGGTATAGTTGTTGTTGTTGTAAGGAGCATAATGGGCACGAGGAGGGCGGCCCTGAACTATGTAGGTGCATAGCGTGGCAAGGAATTGGAGGTTGACGAGCGAGTCCACTGATAAGGTTGGAGGACAATGGTCGATCATTGTTTGGATGGCAAGTGCTGAAGCAAGCAACTGACCGCCGCCAAGGAACCAGTCAAGTTCGATTTGGCCCTGGTTGACATGGTTACTATATGTGATGAGACGTGTGGCCATGGCAATGAGTTGGTTTAGCGCTTGCTGGTGCTGCGGTATTGATGAAGTCGTGTTGGTAGCAGTAGTAGTAGTAGCAGTACTGCTAATGTTTTGCCACACAGCCATGTATGTTTTCAGAAGATCGGCTTTGCTCTTTAGCAAAACCTTAACGGAAGAATGGAACGTGTTGCGGCCATCGATCTTGCCGCCGAAGCGCTGATCGGCGCCTACCAAGTCAAACAACAATTCGTCATTCGTGGTCGTCAGCGTCACCGGTTGTTGCTGCCTTTGTTCTTGTTCCTGACGCGTCAGCTCGCATAGCTCCGAGGCATCCAAATACGTGCTGGCTGTATAAGCTAAACCTTGTGTCACGACGTGCGGCAAATTCTGCTCAATTCCAAAAGCCAGATGCACAAGCGGCTGCAGCTGTGAACCCAGCGAGTGTTGCAAGGGACTGGTGTAAAAATATTGCTCCAACAACCCTTTCATACCGAGTTCGTCAAGCTGCTGGTCGAAAAAGGCAAGGTAGTCACCATAGTATCTGTTGTTAAGGGATGGTTAGTTGCTTTGGTGCTTGGGGGCGACGGGGACAGGTGGTAATGACTGGAAATGATCGTCGTTGTCCCGCGCCAGTGTTTTGTGTCCAATTTACTTCATTTCTTACCCTGAGTTGCCTAGAAATTCGAGCCAGTTATCTCGGTCGATGTGAACGTGGGCTCTTCTCAATGGAGTGAGCTCGGGATAGAGCTGGCTGTACACTTGAGCAAGCTGGTCATCTTTGGCTACAATCGATTGTTCATCATCATCAAGATAAGACGAAAGCAAAGGGTCAGCTTCATCATCATCGCATTGATAATGTACTAGTGGTGAAACAATGGAGTGTAGTCTACCTCCAAACTCATGAAGCCCTACAAGGACTCTGATAAGAACATTTGGACGGTCTCGATGCTCCATCAAAAAGGAGGCATGGTGTTCTTTGATCATGCCAAGCAGCATATGGCGGGAACTGGATAATGTGGTGTTGTTATTATCAGCGTCTTCAGCAGCAGCAGCAGCATTGTTGCTGCATGCATGTTGCTGGTGTAAATAGAGATACGAAGATGGCGTGGTCTGTTGCTGTTGTTGCTGCGATAAGAGCCGGGTGCTGGTCATCATTTGAGAGGTATACGTGTGGTAAGGAAAAATAAGAAAGAGAAAAGGCGAAGATATGCGGAGATCGCTCTTTTATATATTAAAGCGACCTTTTTTTGGAGCAGCTTTGTGTGAATAATATAGAAACCGAGTCACCACACTGCCACACCTGAGGTGTAGTATCCAGCATTTCACAGCACTGATAGAAAAACTGGACCAAGCTCAAAATAGAAGCTCGGGAGAAATAATCAAAAAACGTGGCCTAACTGATAGGGTTTTTTCCCTTTTGCCTTTAAAAAGAACATTTGACGAATTGCACCCTTTATGAGGTTATTGGGTTCGTGCTCTCGCTGTGTGTTTTCGTACGCTTTGTACAATATACCATACAGGTTAGGAGAAAACTTCTTGGTAAGACGCCCATCCAACCCCCCCATGCTGTTGCAAAAACCTTATGATTTTCACCGAAACCCGCAAGTTGTTATTTTTAAAGCAAAAGCGTTGTAGATATTCTGGGAACCCATAGAGTTTGCGGCTACGACGTGCCAAGAACCAATAAAGAACTTTTAGTCTGAGTAAGATGGTGTGTTTATAGAGAACACCCCCTCTTTTCTCCCTCCTTCTCAGCAGGCTTCAGCTTGTAAAAAAAAAAAAAGTAACCTGACAAACGAAAAGGTGCCTGAATGATAATGCGACAGGGTTGTCAACGCCTTAAGCGTATCGAGGAGACGGGAGGTAAAAAATTGGTCTGGACCTAAAATTAGCCGGGTTCGCTGCGTCAATTGATTATTGGAAACGAACTATTATTATACGCATTTACATTGGCTCAGTTTTTGATTATTGCCCTGATGTAGCCTTTTTTTATACATAATGACTATATTATTATCAGAGGGATGGATGGATGAATGGGGTTATGCTCTTGGAAAAAAGGATGCGCAGACTAGGACTTGGATATAACAGTATTAGCAGTAGTGGTAGTAGTAGTAGTAGCAGCAGCAGCAGACGAAGATGACGGTGGTGCCACTGCATCGGATGGTGTGGTTGGAGTGGTTGCGGAAGGAAACTGGGACGATGATGATGGAGTGGTTGGTACGGTGGCAGGGAAAGATGACAACGAAGAGTGAGAAGGAGGCAGTGGTGGATGCTGTTGGTGGGGAACAGGGGACGGTGACGCATTAGGTTCCTTGAACGCCTTGATCCATCCGCTTTCAATAAAGAAGTCGTATATCCGGCTCGTCTTGTTGACGTCGATTTTGATGAGTGCACGAGCCTGCCGCCGCTTCAAATACCCTTGTTTGGCATATTCTTTGAGGATTGTGTCCTTGATTACCATATACGGCCGTGGCAAAATGCGCAGTGTGGAACACAAAATTTGTTCTTGTTCTGTCAGTAGATGAACACCGTCTGCCTCGCTGATGTCAAGCGGATTGGCTGGCTTGCGTGCTCCTGATGCTGCTGCTGCCGCCGATGTTGATGATGATGATGTTGATGCTCCTGCTCCTGATGATGTTGATGCAGCTGCTGCTGCTGCCGTCGATCCATTCATGTGCGCTGCTACTGCTGCTCCTGAACCCTTGGGTCCATCGCGGAAATAGCCTGCTGCACTCGGTGTCGCTGACAGGGCGGCGATCTGTGCGCGGTAGTTATTACGTTGATTCGCTGCTGCAGTGCCCATCCGATCACTCGACAACGACACGAGCGTCTTGAGATTCGCCAACCGTGTCTGCTTGTCTTTTTCATACTGCTCGCCTTGCTTCAAGGACGTCAGGCCCGCCTTTCGCCACTCTTGCAAGATTGCAATCTGGTCTCGCAGCTGCTGCTCGCGCACAAGCCCTTGCACCAGCGTCTCATAGTCTGTAGGTGTCTGCAACCGACAAAACACACGCGTGCGATTGTATAGCTCTCGCTCCTCCTTTTGTCGTTTTCGTTCCAGTGCCTGCTGCTTCTTGAAATCAAGCCAGCCACGTTCAAAGATCAACCGCTTGCGTTCCATCCGTCGATCCAATCGCGAATTGTAGATATCCAGCACCATCACTTTTAGATCAATTTCTTCTTGTGTATCGTCGTCGTTGAACACCATGTCCTTCACAAACTGTTCCGCATCATTCTCGTACTCTGTTTCAAATTCAAAACGACGCGGCATGTAGCCCTGGATCTCGTGGTACGCTGGTCCGCTCGTCACTGGTTTGTTATTGTTGACTTGAGCCTTGGTACGTGGTCCCATGCCACGCGACTTTTGTAATCGATGTCGCTTACGCTCTCTGCATTCGCTTTCGCTGATATCATCAAATTTGATATCCATACGCGGCCGTGGCCAGTCAGGACTAGATACATACACGTCCAGATAATGCTGCTCGCATTCTTGCTTGTCCTTTGTCCCCACATAGTCGGCAATCGCTTGCCAATTGCCCAATCCATTCTTCATGGCTGCCTCGATTAGCAACAGTTCCTCATCGGCATCCCAATCCTCGCTGAAAATGGGAAAGCTGTGCGGTTTGACGATGCGGTAGCTGTGGTATGTCTTGTGTTTCATGGGTTCGGCGCCGCCGCTAAAGCAAGTGATGCATAGATCGAAATCGGGACAATCATCGTCGGCGCATCGTATACGTACAGTATTCGTCACATCGTTACTGCACGCATCGCAGTGGTATTTGGGTGGCTCTTTGTCGTCGATTTGTCCGCCTTCATTGTTGGTAGAGCTTGCTGTAGTGGCATTGCTGGGCCGTTGCCGATGGGTGATTGTCATTGAAACGATAGTGCTTTTGTTTTTTGACTTTATAAAAAGTTAATGAAGTATAGTATATCTATTATGTGCGTTGCAGACCAGAAGCAGCGAATTATAGTGCAACGACACAGCGAGCAATCAACCGTCGGACACTGAATTTTCTTCCTCATTTTACGGCTCTGGCAGAGTTAGGCTTCATGATTCCTGCTTGCAATGTTTTATCCAATAACGTTTCTGCAACAGGTACGATATCATAGGTCGTAAGAGGACTTATAGTGCATAAATGTATACACAGAGCGGCTTTTCTTCTTTACTACATCATCTTAAAAACGACATGCAAAGGGAGATATTGAGTTGGTAAACACTAACCATCTGTTTCTCGACAGAAACTGTGAATCACTGACAAACCAGCACATTGTTTATATATTGGTATCTCATAGCTTGTAGCATATATGTAGGTATACGATACAAGCGATATTCAGGGTACGCTCGTGCATATGTTTGTTTTCATGCATCTGAAGCATTTTCATTTAATATATGGAGGGGTTCAAGACTTAAATGAAGAAATTGAGTTCAGATATACCAATTAGCACAAGACGAATAGCTTCAAATGCTTCTTGCATGTAGGTCTAATAGGTCACCAGCACAATATCACCCGGCTATCAAGCCCAGACGATGAAACAATGGTAGTAACAACTTTGTGTGGTACATTATTTTCGCTATTGTACCATCAGTAGACTCGTAAAATATATGGTAGATATCATTTAGCAAGGAAAAAATGAAAGGATAGAATAGGGGATGCTTTGAGTACAAACATAGCATATTAGTCACGTCAATCCAGCGGCAGCTGCACAAGTGAGTTAGTTCGACTTGATCCGGGGTGGTAGAACATCCACACATGCGTATAGTCAAGGTGTCGATTCTGTCTAGAGTGTACGTACGTATATAATATGACAATGTTGGTCGTAATAAGAGAGCAGCAGCACAAGCACTCCATTGATGATGATGATGATGATAACGACTGGTGCGTCACCTTGTTGTTTGTTGTTATCAATAAGTAATATCATCGGAGGAACCATTTAGTGAAAGCCATACCAACAAACCTGCATTCGCAAGAAAACAAGGTTTGCTACTTCGCCGTCCTGCCCTGTCCTTGCTTCGCAAAAAAGGGCGAGTGTAAATCGTTACACAAAGAAACCGATCTCTCCGTTAAACAAGTCTGGAGAATTTAATTGTTAAGAAAAGTGTGTGGGGAAAAAGTTCCGCTTCAAAATCCCATATTGTATCTCTTTTAAGGTAAAGAATATACATTTGGAAGAAAACACAAGGGAGAGACTGAGAGAGTGAAGGGAAGGAAGAGAAAGAAAACGTTAAGCATGCAGAGCATATATGGCTGATATGCGATGACGACTGTACGATGCAATACACACACACACACACACACATCTGCCTCCACTGTATCACTTTCCAATACAAGTCCTTTTTGATTCTTTCCTCTCTTTCACTCTCTCTTATCCAATACTCCCACCCAATAACAATAACTGGCTTCTTTTTTTCTTACTAGGCTGGCTGGACACAACTACTGTTACAACTAGTAGCACACTTCTTCCCCCCCCCTACAAGTGGTTGTTTGTTATGCAGGCACCCGCTACCTCTACTTTGATAAGAGCAGCGCAAGACTTGCCATCGCCAGACTCTGATCAAGAGTTCGGTACTCCAGCGGATGATTCGACAACAACAACAGCAACCATTCCAACTTCAAAATTAACACTAAAACCAACGAACACCGCCGACATGGTCACGTTACCATCGTCTCCCTCGTCATTATTCACTGGGTCGCCCAGTAGCAACAACAATAATGCCAACGCCATTCCTTGCTGTTCTGCCATCGTCATGCAAGCCCCAACACCTGTTACGCCTTCAAAAGAAGACGACGACGACAACGAGCCTACAAGACATTTATCAGAACAAGACAAATACCAACACCAGTTGACTCCCATGGTCGTTCCTGCAAAGCGTGGTTATAAATCGCATGTGCCTAGTGCTTGTAAGTTCTTTTAAATTATCCCTCCGCGAGCCTCCCATTCCTTCTGGCACACCACATTGTGGCATAACAACCCCAGTTTATATACGAAACGAGACCTTCAACTTTCTCCATTATTACTTGCTCTAGGTGTAAACTGCAAGAAAGCACACTTGGCTTGTGACGGTAACTATTGAATCGATGATCTGGATAATTGCAGAGGTGCAGGAGGGGCGAGAAGGTGAAATATTTAACTAAACGTGCCGGCGCCGGCGAATTTATCGTTGTTGCGTGTATAGTATCCAGACCATGTAAACGATGTGTATCAGCAGGCAAAGGCGACACTTGTCAGGATGTAAAACACAAAAAGCGCGGCCGACCTCGACTTCACGAAACTAAGCGACTGGGGAACGTGTATGGTGGATCGATGATTTTGGACAATAGCAATAATACGAACAGCCACAGGAGCGACATGATGTATGGCATGATCCAGACACCGACTTTTACTGTCGCCACTTCAGTCGTACATCGTGACCATCCCAAGCCTCAAACAACGAGCATCTCCTTTGTTCATGAACCGATTGAAGCTTTCCGCGAGCAGGACGAGCAACGACACCGGAAAAAGGACGTCAATCATACAACCGGAACGCGGAGTCAACAGACTTTGAGAGATCCGGAGCCACCACCCACCACATCAGTAATTCACCATCAATCATCTCCAACGCTTATTAGTAAAGACAATGATAACAATAAGAATCCCAAATCACCACCATTTCAAAGAGCAGTAGTTCCGACGACACGGCCTAGTCACCAAGCACAAATTCGGTTGTCATGTGAACTACCTTGTCCTACATCAACGACGAAGACGACGAAGACGACGACGAGAACAACAAACCCACGAAACACCCCGGCAGCGACGACAGTAGCACAGCAACCACAACCACGCGAATGCGTCACAATTACACTGTTCCTCTCCATGGAAATGTGCTGTGCGCGAGCATCAGATGAAGTAACAGACCTTTGGGGCTTCCATCCTCAAGATCTAGTCCACCGATCGCTGTATGAAATGATCTCGACACATGACGCGGATCGTCTTGGGAGACTGCATCGACTGCTTCTGGACAATATCATGGAAGTAGCAAGACAACACGATCGTTCAATCGGGCCCGATGTACGTCCACCGCCCGCAGAACGCACATCCTCCTCGCTGTTTTACGATACAGATCCGGAGAAACTTGTCCGCAGGGCCAATGGATCCAACACATTCTCGGATACGCTGCATTTCAAAAAACAATCAAATGAACACGAGCTTTACGAAATGCTCGTCTATCTCGGCGGCGGTCTAGGTGCCGATCTGACCATGCCACCCAGTCTAGAAAAGCTTTATATTGTTGCAGAGCTGCGGAAGCATGAGTACAAAGTCCAAACCGCGAATACATCTACCACGGCAGCAACAGCAGGACTACCGGCTAGTCTTAGCTTTGATCGGTCTCGACTGTTTTCTCCATTTGTACATTCTTCCCCTACTTCTTCCTCGTCATCAACTACAGCAACAAAAACAACAGCAGCATCGTCATCACTATCATCATTATCATTTCCATCTCAATCAACAGCTGTTGCTCGCAGCAGAACCAGCAGCAGTAACGGCCCATCGTCCACCACCACTGCCACTACAACAAAACCAAGAGAATACAGCTTTGGACGACTCGGGAGCGGCGGGTTACTGCAGGCCAGACAGGGGTCCCTTCCAAACCACTTTGCCGCCAACTCCCAGCTCAACACAGTGTCACTACCAAGCCGAAAACTCGATATACCCAAGATCAACATTGCACCAATGACGGGTAAAAAGCGATCAAACACGAGTGTGACTGGTGTCCCCTATTTCCGACCAATAGCAGCAGCCATTCCTACTGCTACTACCACTACCACTACTGCTACGCCTACCACCATGGGGAGTTATGGGAAAAGTCACAGCAGGAACAGCAATAATATAACGCCAACGACAGCCAGTAGTGCTAGGAATAGCAGCCCGCTTCCTCCCGTGGCTCGAGAATCGACCAATCCATACTCGACACTGGCGTACAAATTTGCACCGATAACGTCTTCAGGCATCCCCGATAAAGCAAGAAGTGGCAGCGGCAGCGGCAGTGTTCATGGTTCTCTGCGTGGAGGACCGCCATCCTATACGCATCCAACGACCCAATATTTTCTGCAAACGTCCAGTAGTACACTCAATGCAGCTGCTTCTGCAGCGCAGAGCAGTTCGCGACCAATAGCGCATCACAACATTGCTATAGACACCATGGCGAACAATGACAAGGCTGTGGGCAAGACGGATTCGAAGCGAAAGGCAGAAATGAGTATTCGATCCTTGCTTTGTTAGAAACAAACAAAAAGGATCCGTATCGATTATTTTGCTCCCTCCCTCCTGTCCCCCACTATACACGCACACCTAAACATACACCCTCTCTCTTTTGTTAGTCCTTTGTTTATGTTAAAAGGTTAATAGTAACACCTAGCTGCCGTTCATTTTGTCAACACCACCCACCATCAATCTTTTTATCTCTTCTAATTTTACATAGCTCATTTAAAGAAGAGACCCGTTGTCTCCACTGTCACTTGCTGATATATGCAATCAAGTTAATTCATCCGCGGCTATATTCTTATGCACATCACTGGTTCTAGTGTAACAGGTGCTTTTTCAGAACGTAATATATGTAGTTACTGCTAATGCAACCTCGGTGGAGGAATATCGAGAATAGAGCACAATGTAACACTCACTACGTTGACGTATTACCTTAAAATTACGTGGAGGCCATCCATACGCCACACTATTGTAGATGACGTACCAACTATCAGCTCTGAGCCAGTTATTCTTGGCTCGCACTTAATACAGATGTATGTACATGTGCTGCTATTCCTTATTGAAGAAAAAATTGGGATCTTAGAATGCAAACAGAAGAGCGAATTAAAATCAAAGCTGTCTGTACACAGCAGCAGAATTGATCGCATTTGAATGGTTTAGCAGACAGCGCAGTCATATAATGAAGAGAAGCTAAGCTACCTTTTCAAACCAAGAACCCGTTTAATATATGGGTAATGGTACGTATAACAGCATAGAATTGAGAGAGAAAGGCGGTTCCTCGTCTATCGGACGGTGCATCTGAAAACTGCAAGATTGGCTAGCTATATCATTTCCAAACAAACTGGTTTTAGAGAAAAAAGAAGTGGAAGAGGATTCTTTTCACATGTAGTATAGAATTATCTAATCATATTCGATGTTGTGTCATTGAAGCTTTGTAAAAGAAAAGACAAAGTGTGAGCCACTACTGCATTGTGGATATACCTTTTCCGCGGATAAGTGCAGGATCCTACCTCAACCCTTAAAAGAATATCATTTTTCCGCGGATAAAGAAGCGGTTCAAAGATGTGTAACCGACAACCAACTTTATATTTTGCAAGCAGTCTGCATGCTAAGAGTCTACGAAGATCTCAATCCCGTTTTAGGGTAAGGGTATTTGATTTTCTTACTGTTGCTAGCAAGCTCTAGCATTGTACGTACTGTAATTTGCACCATATCATTGTCATCATCAAGAAACTTTATGCGTTTTGTTGGTTCGCAGAGCTTTAACGGTGTTCCTGAAATATGACAGTTTATTTGTGTCAGATATTGAGAATACCTCCGACTTGATCGCAAGAGCACGGGTCTAGAAGATACCATCACTACGCACAATAAGGCAGCAAGAAACAGTGATTCCCATTGCAAGTCAACAGAGGACGGACTCTAATCAAAAGGCCGAAATGAGGATCCGATCGCTACTATGGTTAAATGGCTAGACCGTTTTTGGAGGGACTGTCGATCCTCCATTGCACGTTTTTTTTACGGACCGACCAGATTACGTACGAACGAACCGATCTATAATAGTGGTTTTTGTATATAGCCCTTGGTCTATCCAAGATCTATAACAAAAGTAAAAAGCATCTCCTCCTTCTATATCGCCACAGCTAGTGTTAAATAGAATTGTCTCCAAGGAGCTGTGCTTTTTCTTTGGCACTACCAAGAAGAAAGACAGTGTGGTAAAAGAACTGGAACTGATTCGGCTCTGTGCAAGACTCCTTCTTTCTCCCCTTTTCACTAGTGTCGCTGGCTGAAGAGGGTGTTTCTTTATCAACGAGATGTAATTGGCTAGGTTGTGTAACCATCGCCGCTCAATTTCTTTAAATAAGTTTCTGTCTGCCAACCTTTTTTAAACTGCTTTATCCCCCATTCACTTCATCATCAACTACCACCTTCCCTCAACATCATCATGTCTGAAGCTCGCATTGCTGCCGTCAAAATCACCAACAACTCATCTCTTTCTCTCGAAGAATACAGAAGCCGCAAGGTTGCCCTTATCACTGGTATGTGCTTTTATTTTTACAAGATGTCGGGGGGGGGGATTAGCAAAAGAAGTTTTACGTGAAAAGAGAGAGAACCCGAGGAGAATAGACGAGATCTCGGTGATTCCTTTCGAGATGATGGTGAGTTCTCGTGCAGTGCACTGATAAACCTTGATTTGTATAGGTGTCACTGGCCAGGACGGTTCGTACCTGACTGAATTCTTGCTCGACAAGGGTTACGAGGTTCACGGTATCATTCGCCGTTCGTCCTCGTTCAACACTGGCCGTATCGAACACATCTACAAGGACAGACATGACCAAGGTATATAAATAGCACTCTTCTCTATTTATTTTTGTATACACACGTTTTTGGGAATATGCGTGGTGTGTTCGGTGATTAGTGGGCTTGGGGAGGAGCGGAACGCTTGCTCTGTGTGGGCTTTTTTCTCTTTTTTTTCTTTCTTCTTTGCTCGGCTCGTCTTTTGCTTAGCGGGGAGGAGGGGGCAGGGGAGACGGCAGAGAAGTGTGAGATCCTTCGCGCGTCTCTTCGCTTTGCACATTTGTATGTGCTGGAACGAGCAGAAGGTCCATTCTTTTTGAACTTCCGCGTCGTCGATCTCCTCCATCACCACCCCGTTTTCCGATTAGCACCCAGAACTGACTTTTTTACTGCTACCGCTACCCTTCTTTCTAGATGTCAAGTTCTTCCTTCACTACGGTGATTTGACCGACTCGACCTGCCTTGTGCACATCATCTCCCAGGTCCAGCCTACCGAGGTATACAACTTGGCTGCTCAGTCGCACGTCAAGGTCTCCTTTGACATGTCTGAATACACCGGTGATGTGGATGCCCTTGGTACTTTGCGTCTCTTGGATGCCATCCGCACTTGCGGTTTGAACGACCGTGTGCGTTTCTACCAGGCCTCGACCTCCGAATTGTACGGTAAGGTCGTCGAGACCCCACAAAAGGAAACCACGCCCTTCTACCCTCGTTCGCCCTATGGTGTCGCCAAGCTGTACGGTTACTGGATCGTCGTCAACTACCGTGAATCCTACGACATGTATGCCTGCAACGGTATCTTGTTCAACCACGAATCCCCCCGTCGTGGCCGCACTTTTGTCACTCGCAAGATCTCGCGTGCCGTTGCCGATATCCACTTGGGTCGTCAGGACTGTCTTTACCTGGGTAACATTGATGCTAAGCGTGATTGGGGTCACGCCCGTGACTATGTCGAGGGTATGTGGTTGATGCTCCAGCAGGACAAGCCCGACGATTTCGTCTTGGCTACTGGTGAAACCCACACTGTCCGTAGCTATATTGAAAAGGCCTTTGCTGTCACTGGTCGCAAGATCGTCTGGGAAGGTGAAGGTGTCAATGAAATCGGCAAGGACGCAGAGACTGGCAAGGTCCGTGTCCGTATCGATCCCAAGTACTTCCGTCCCGCCGAGGTCGAACTGTTATTAGGTGACCCCACCAAGGCTAACACCACTTTGGGCTGGAAGCGACAGGTCAGCTTTGACGAGCTGGTAACTGAGATGGTTGTCGCTGATATTGAAGGGTAAGCTTTCTTTTATTCGTTTGCGATGGTGGCTAGTTTCTTACTGACTTTTATCTCCTTTCCATTATAGCTCTCTGAAGAACGATACTTACAACTAAAGAAACAATTCCTCACCCTACAAGTCACAAAAGCATCCCCGCATCCGAACTTACTCGATAACAAAACCACAGATCCTCCTGCTCCATCTTCTTCCAATCTTGTCGCTTACCTCTAAACCTCTTTTTATATTCCTAGACGCCCCTCCATTTTTTATTGACTGTTCCTCCTCTTTACCCGATTTACCCGGCTTGGCTGAACTTTGTAAAAAAAATCTTTTTATGTTACATAAAAAAGAAAAAAGTAAAAAAAACGAGTCTTATACAAAAGCCAAACTAAACTTTGCGTCGTGAGTCTAACGATGGACTGTAGCAGTGGATCACAGGTGGTGGTTGGTAGTACTATGTATATGCGTGTGTTCTTAGAAGCTATGTGTATATCTGTGGGAAACGGACAGAACAGGGACGAGAAGGAAAGAAAAAAGAGGGAAGGGTGGATTTTAGAAAGGTTTGCAGAAGACAATTTTTGTGTGGCAAAGGGTGAGGAATATACAAAGTAGAAAGCAGGAAAACATAGATGATAAATGATGCAGACTAAGTTTTCAGAGCGTAGAATAGACAGATAAGGCCATAATCAGGATTGCAAGATACTAATAGATGATAGCTCTTAATTACGATGATGCCTTACTTGGTATAGTAGGGGTGGTGCTGGTGTCGTCAGATATGTATATCATATCACGTCTCGGAAATGTAAACCAGTTACTCTTCGTCGCTTATTTCTATATATATATATATATAACCGATGAGTCCAAAGATGCGTTTCTATACAAACATACATTGATACCATCAACTTACCAATGACCGGAGGTGATGGAGAGCGATAATGCGCACGTTGCATTACGCTTTCTAACAATAAGACGAGAAGAGAAAGATGAGCAACTGTTACGAAGAAAGCACCGACAAATAACAGTAGTCTTACCTTATTCCCCGGTTACTACTCATAATAATTTCTGCATCATCGAAACTGTCGTTTCTACAAATATATTTTGAGTTGATATTCTGTCTATGTATGTAGCATAAGAATAGAAATCTAAATACTGTTACGTACCCATTTAATTCATCGTCATCATTGTTCAAATCTAGTATTCTGGCAGTGCCACTATCATGGCTACCATCATTCTGGATGCTGTCATCAACGTCCGATTCATCCGTCTCGCTTCGACGCCTTTTTCTTGCTGCTTTGTCTCTATTTGACGTGCAACCAGAAAATCATGTTAACACAATATAATAATGCACTTCCATACATACATGGACACTTGCATATACCTTATCAATAAATCATTGGAATGCTTATTATGCGAATTTGTTGGTAGTTTAAAGTGCGCTGCTGATCGACGATAAGCTGGATTTGCATATGGCGGTATGCGTTCGTTGTGGTTACGGTGGCTAGATTCAGAATGTGTTCTTTTATTGGGCACGGTTCGTGAGCTATTGAAAAGTTAATGAAGATGTTAGCCAAGGGTGTACAACAAGACCAAACATCCCGTAATTATGAATACGTTACTTTATAGGCAATTCATCGTCTGTAGATTCATCCGAGTCGACGGTAGGCGGCACTGCCTCCTTCCTCTTCGCTGTTGTATCCGCTGCCCTTGAACTGCTGCTACCTCGTGCACTCGATGGGCCAGCCTCGCTGTGTACACGACTAGTATTATTATGACTTGCTCGGAATTTGGACTTTTGCGCAGCATACAGCTTGTCCTGTCAAATAATTGTAACATATTAGAGATTACAGGTTTATCTACCTTGGACATTGATAATCATGTTTGTTTTCTTTACCTTGAGTTTATTGAATTTCTTCTCAAAGAAACTTTTTTCATCCTCGGTAATTGATAATTTGACCTTAGTCTTTTCCAGCTCCTCATTTGCTACACGAAGCTTACACTCTGAGTCCCTAATGAGAACATTTTTAAAATCACGAGTTAGCAGAAGTGTTGTTTCTTTGATATGCGCTAAACCAGAAAACTTACTCCTTCATTCCAGTCGCGGTTGCCAGAAGCTTCACGATATCGGATTTCTCTAGCGTTTCCCAGAATCGGATCCGGCCCAAGGCAGTAGGAGATTCTAGACGACCATCCTGTTCACTGATACTATTGGACAAACAGCATGAGTAACAAATAGAACATGATTCTTCTCCTCGTATCTTTCCCATCCATTTTTTACCCCCTCCCCCCTCTTTTTTGAGGTAACGAAACATTCAATATTTACCTTCGAAGAGACTTCAAATAATTCACTTTTCGTTCAAGGCTTTGATTGATTTGTTGAAGTTGCGAAAGTTGGAGGTGTAAGACGGATAACTCTTGTCGATCAACTTCTTTATTCCGATCGTCCGATGAATCGGTTTGTAGATCGCCTTTGAGGGCAGAAGCATTTTCGATGTATAACGGGCCAATAACGCTCGTGGGTAGCATCTTTTTATTACAATTCGGACAGCATGGCTTTGTGCTAAACCAACGATTGATGCTACAATAAAAGGATAAAGTTGGAATGCATGACCATTGAATGAATGACAGGGATCCAAAAAAAAGCACTCTTGACTAAAGTATTTTACCAATAAGTATGAAATACATGACGGCAAGGCAGCGCAGCAATATCTTCTTCGATAAGTGTAACACAGATCGTACAAGTCGTCATGATTTGAATTGCACTGCTGGTAATAAAGAAGAAGAGAGGGTAAAGGTGGTAGTGACAACAAGGGGAAAGAGAGACGGGACAAAAAAAGGAAAAAGATAGCGGAGAGTCAGCTAGATTGCTGGAACGACATTACTCTTTGAAACAATAATACGCTCTGCCGACAGCACTAGAAAACGTCCCTCATTTTTCGCTAATCGGCACGATAAACGCATCCAACGAGGCTTGTTACTAGCTTGCTCTCTAGAATGACATATGTAACCTGGCGCCTCATCTAGTTCTGCTGTAGTAGATATTATATTACCTCTTTATGGCTACTGATTACGTGTCTAGCCCGAAAAAGATATGAAGACTTGGTTATCGAAGAAAAAAGTGGTTGCAATAATAGCGGGATGGAAGTACATGAGAGCAGCCACTAATGATCGATTTGCTTGTTTGTGCTGCTAAATAGTAGTTTTGATGCGTTATCATTTGATCTGTATATCTAACAGCTACTATGCTTTGCACTCGATCTACTTCTATAAGATTTGCAGTCGTTTAGAAAAGTGTAATAGAGAAGCCTATTATTACCTGCCTGATACCGACACACTGTGCCAGATATCTCGAGTCGTACGGCATGCCACCAGTGATATGTAATTACTTGGCAACATATCGCTGGCATAGTCTATCGTAATGGATATCTTGAACGATACTATCATCAAACGTGATAAACGGGGTACGGTATCGTGTTTTGGCAAGAAAGGGCGACATCACTTCCAAAATTGGTTGATGTACGCGCTGTGATTAAATCTGATGGAATCCGCATTGTCTTTTCCACCACTCTCTTCCCGAACGAAAGAAAGAGAACGCGTCATATAACATATATAAAATGGCAAACGATATTGATACTCTCGTTGACATGGGCTTTTCCCGTGGCAAGGTGTAAGTGCATTCAATCATTGCTTTTGTTCTTTTTGAGTTTTCAAACCGAGGCCACTCTTAATATTTCTTTATTATAGACAGAAAGCTTGGAGAGCTACCAATGGCGCAGGGCTTCAACCGGCGATGGATTGGTAAAAGAAGCAATAACGTACACCATTTCACTTTTTTCTGAAAGGCAACTCTGACTCTATATTTTCGTGCCATAGGTTGTTAGCGAATCCTAATGTGTCCGATGAACCAGAAGAACCGTCAGAGCATACACTCGGTGAAAAGACAGCACCTGCTAGTGGCAGTGAACAAGCAGCAGGTGGCAGTGCAGCAGGAGCAGGAGAAAGTGAAGAAGGTATCTGAAATTACTCACAGAGAGAAAACTAAGATTTGCAACTCCAGGTAGACAAAAAGGGGAATTCTAATAATGACTTGTCAATAGGTGAAATTCAAAATGGTGAGCAAACGGCTCAAAGTTTGATTTGTAACGATTGTCAAAAGCTGTTCCGCGATGGTAAGAGAAAGCAAAGAATGAAAGGCAGGGGAGAGAGCCTGTATAAATACTTGAGGAAAGAAGCTCAACTTTCCTTTCTCTCGTTTCACCTAGCCGCCACTGCTGAACGACACGCGATTAAAACATCCCATCAAAACTTTTCCGAGAGCACCGAAGTTATTGCCCCGTTGACTGAAGAAGAAAAGCAGGCAAAGCTGGCTGAGTTGAAGGCACGTCTTGCTGAAAAGCAGGCCAGTAAAGCAAAAGAAGAGGCTGAGGAACGTAGACAGCAGGAAAAGATTAGAAGAAAGGCCGGCCAGGACATTTCGGTTGCTAAACAACAAATGGAGGAAAAGGAGTTGAAGAAGGCATTTGATGCAAAGAGACGTGAAAAAGAACTAGATCGGATTGCAAAGGCCAAGGTCAAGGCCCAGATTGACGCTGATAAAAAGGAACGAGCTGCAAAGGTACGAAAACAAAAAGCAGTGAGGATGATTTATTAGTGACAACGAGGTACTGCATTTCTAAACATATATAACAGAAAGAGGCAGCCAAGCGAGCCAGACAGCAAGATGCTCAAGAAGAAGCCGCAGCCGCAGCTTCTCAGCCAGCTTCATCTGCACCTGGTGTAAAACGATTATACAATGAAGCAAGGTTACAGTTCCGGGTTCCTGGTGCATCACCCATCACCCACACTTTCCCAGCCGACTCAACCCTCACGCAGGTCAATGAATTTTTACAATCAAACGGCTGCGATAAACCTTTTACGCTTTCTATGACATTCCCTAGGTAAGCGATTATATCATTGAAACATCATTTGAGAATGGTTGGCTAAAACGGAGGCACGCTCTTAAATAGGAAAACATTCGGAGAAGGTGATTTGGACAAGACATTGAAGGATTTGGGTAAGTGCTATTCATCTATTCCATTAGTAAGTCATCGCTATATTATGGGTTATCCGCTTGCTTACTTCTTGAACTTGTAATTACAGGTCTGGTCCCATCTTCTGCGCTTGTGCTTGCATACACCGCATAAAAGCTTTTGATCGGAAGGGGAACAAAATTTGCAATAAATCTCACGTTTACCAACCGTTATATCGGATTTCTTTTCGCTTTGTATACCAGGGATGTGCTATACTAATCATCATTATGCAAGAGTTTCATCATCATTATCTTCATTTGGCTTTAAAATTTTATTCATAGTATGATTCAGTTATTCCCCTTCTATGCGTGCCATGTTTCAAAGTTCGGGGGCAAACTACTTCAGGGCTTTGAAAGCGTCAAGCAACACTCACAATCATTCATCAGCTACAATTTTTGCAATGCTAAACGTCAAATTGCTACCTATTTGGTAAATTTATGCATTGATACATGGGACGCTGCTACTGGTCTTAAAATTTTGAAACGATGACACTCCTTTGACTTTGTTGACGAGATGCTAAGTCATGCAGCTTACGAATTGATGACGAATTAAATGTTTATACGTCTAAACTTGGGTTTATAAAAGGTATATAAACTGACATCCGTTGATCAACGGAAAAAGCATATTCAGATCAAGTCAAAATGTCTAGCACTCAGAACAACAACCCCGGTAACTTTGCCAACCGTTCCAAGGAAGAAGTCCAGAACATCGCGTCCAAGGGAGGACAAAGTAGCCACAGTGGTGGCTTTGCGTCCATGGATTCCCAGAAGCAGGTATGTAGTTTTATTCTCGCTAAGACAGATCTTAGGTTTCAAAATGCGCTAACATATACTATTTTGAACATTACGTAGCATGATATTGCTTCCAAGGGTGGTCAAGCCTCATCCGGATCCTTTGAACCTGGTAGCGAGCGCGCCAGAGCAGCTGGACGTAAGGGTGGCCGTGCTACTGGTAACACCAACCAAACTAACTATGAGGAGGATGAAGACTACATCGACCAAGATCAGTAATAGTTTAGCTAATACTGTCGTCAATCCTGGCTCTGAATTGCTGAGCACTTGTAAATAAAAAAAATGCGTGTTTGTACAAAACCAACATTTGCGCTTTGAAGCAGATTGCTTTTAAATCCACTGAAATAGTGTGTTACAATAGTGGATAATTAAAAAATTTTAGAACAATAACTGCTCTTCTGATTTTTTACTGTTTGATACCCTTGTACCGTTGCTGTCTGCTCTGATCATTTACTAGCTCTTTCGCTTAATGATTCATCCATTCAGGCTTATCGGAAAGTCCTGTAGCACGCACATAAACCAGTTTCGGCGGTCATTAATCTTTACCAACCTTTATACTCTCGATATCTTTGTATATCATATCTGCTGGATGTAGATATACCGATTCTTTGCCGTACGCGATGGCAATTCATGATGATAGTTCTTCTGTTACAATATGTCTATTACAAAGAACGGTAATGCCTGTCTATGATATCAGATTTTCAAATAGTCCTGTATAATCACGGGTCCGAGGCATAGTACAAGGATTTTATTGAAGGACGATGCTCTGAATATTGTGTGATATGTTAACTCAGGGGATATTCGTTGTAAGTCTACACCACTTTTTTCACACCCTAGGTTTTTCAGCATTTTTTTTTAAAAATCTGGGCTCACCACTTAATGATTTTTTAGGTTCCCTCGGTTTTTTCATATTTCAGGGCCTGAAAAAGTTGGGGTACAGATTTTGCAGCTTGGGATATTTGGGATATGTGTATCATAGTGAATTGGACATCGTTCACTTTACTATATGATACGGCCATTTTCTTTACCGCTCTTGAAGGTTCCCTCGTATTTTTCTTTCCAAAATGTGGGCACCTGAAAAAAGCGGGGACTGACTGTATGCAAATTGATTTATCAAACATACTTTTGGATGTGACGATAAATATCTTGGATAACTGAGACAGGCGCCACAACAAAAAAATGGAAGATAGATAACAATGTACAAAGGTGTTTTTATTTACAGATTGCTCGACAAAACTGAGCCAGTAGATACCCAAAGCTATTGTTTACTGTTCATCATCCATATAGGTTTCATCTTCCTCATAGCTAGTTTGGTTGGTGTTACCAGTAGCGCGACCGCCCTTACGTCCAGCTGCTCTAGCACGCTCACTACCAGGTTCAAAGGATCCGGACGAGGCTTGGCCACCCTGAGAAGAGATGTCGTGCTAGATTCACGCAGAGTATTGCATGTCAGTACATTTAACTTTTGGGAAAACAGTAGCATTTTCCAAACTCGTAAATCAGATATTCTTAACGCACCTGCTTCTGAGAATCCATGGACGCGAATCCACCGCTATGGCTACTTTGACCACCCTTTGATGCGATGTTCTGGACTTCTTCCTTGGAGCGGTTGGCGAAGTTAGCGGGATTATTTTGACGGTTAGACATTTTTAGAAAACGATACACCTGATTATGGATTTCAGTGGTTGACGGATGGTACTTTATATACTTTCATAAAGCCCCAGTTTAGGAAGCTTTAATCATTATGTTGTCATTGACTGGCGATCGTGTAATAAGCTTCGCGATGTCAGATTATTACATGCTCTTCTTATCATCAATGTTTCAAATCATACAGCGGTTTGCATTGTGTGAAATCACCGTAGCATAGTGTGTTCTTGGTTGCTACATGTGCAGTAGCTATATACTTTCATAAAAGCCCCAGTTTAGGAAGCTTTAATCATGATGTTGTCATTGACTGGCGATCGTGTAATAAGCTTCGCGATGTCAGTTTATTACATGCTCTTCTTATCATCAATGTTTCAAAATCATACAGCGGTTTGCATTGTGTGAAATCACCGTAGCATAGTGTGTTCTTGGTTGCTACATGTGCCAGAAGTTAAAAGTCATCGGTTACGTAGTTGATAGTAGCTAAGTGATTGTTGCTTTTACTAAAACCATTGAGGCCTAATTCACCGTGTTTAAACTTGGCTCATAAATATGTCATGTCTCAAAATTCGGACGCAATCACCAAGGGTTTGAGCATTTTTTTCCAACGGCTTCAAGTATCTCAAGTACCCCGTCACATGATTTCCATACTTTCATGCAGTTGTACAATAGTCAGCATTAAGCCTGCGGATCATTTCAAAATAAGAAGCGACAGTGTGATGGTATAATACGGGCATAAAGGCATACTTGAAACTTGACACATTCAAGATTAGTATTATGCGCTGGGGTTTATTTACGTTGATTTTATGCAGCTCGACAAATCACGATTTCCGATGCTGACGAAGTATGCTGCTTTCTGATTTACTATGTATAAGACTTGAAAGATATATATACGTCTGCAAGTCTGCTCAAAATTCAGTTATTGTAGTTTCTATCAACGTTTTCATAATGTCTGGCACTCAAAACAACAATCCCGGTAACTTTGCCAACCGCTCCAAGGAAGAAGTTCAGAACATCGCATCAAAGGGCGGTCAAAGTAGCCATAGCCACAGTGGAGGATTCGCATCCATGGATCCTCAGAAGCAGGTATGTACATATCAAATTCTCATTTTCGGTAGCTGGGCTGACATACATTTATGTTGCACAATATACAGCATGATATCGCTTCCAAAGGAGGCCAAGCTTCTTCGGGCTCTTTCGAACCTGGTAGTGAGCGGGCCAGAGCAGCTGGACGCAAGGGTGGCCGTGCCTCAGGCAACACCAACCAGAGCAGCGAATAAGTAGTTAGCTGATTGTATTATCAAGCTCTGTCTTAGATTTCGCTTGTAAATAAACAAAACTGAATTTTGTACATGAGAATCGTTCATAATTTAACTGTTGCCTTTTTAAGATTACTGTAATAATTTATGCCTAGTTTGATCTGCGCACTGCCTGGATAAAGGCGAGTGCGACATACCAGTGATGTACTTCTCAGATCGCGTCGTTGCTCTCAGCAAGTTATACTATCCCATCAATCCTCATTGGCCCGAATAATAGAAAAAAATTGGTTCTTTTAGCACTACGCACTACTCTAACGCTAACGCACCATGTGCTACCTGACATACTGCCAAGGATGCGGGGCGACGGTAGATACTTTCAAAGTTTGTTGCCATTGAAATGAAAGATAATTAGACAGTCTATGTCTATATACAGCATTTTCATCCAATATAAAAAAAATTACTCCGTGTAGAGAGGAAGAGTTGTGATGACGGTGTGAATGTGTTACCATATCTGACATCATACGTAATCGCGAACCGTATTACCACATGGATTATACACGCACATAATTAGACATCATCCCGAGCCACTTTGCCACATTATTCTGCTTTGTCCTCGTGGGTAATTACTCCATTAAAACTTGAACAAATCATGCTGGATCCAATCACTATCTCTAACCAGCTTGCTACCTAACATTTCAATCGGGTTAAAAGCTTCATTATCGAGAGAAAAGCGGCACCTATTTTAAAATACCCATATAAGGAAATAATATATTAAAAAGATTATTTAAAGCATACGTAAAACAACAATTATAGCTCTTTATTTTTGAAGTAGGCGCGAGCAGACAAACGATAATAACGGGGATTTAGTAGTTAAAGCATACGAAGTGATTATTGCAAGCGAAGGAGGCAAAGGAAAGAGTATAAGTTCTTAATAGACTTGTAAGTATATACTACGAAAAGATTGGTTTGTTCAGAAAGCGAGAAAGAGAAAAAAATATGATATGTACAGAGGAGTATGGCTTGAATTTAAAAAAGGATAGCGCAGTGATGAGGCATGAGATGTGAAATATGGTGACAGGTTTGTATGATATGTAGTCGTATAACAGTTGCGTAAGTTGGAGAAATTGGATGGATGTGTAGAGGGTGGAGGTAAAGTAAAAGCTTATTACTAACGACGTAACGGGGGTAGTGTCCGATCGTCCATCAGGGTATCTGCCATAATCGCACGCAATGGTGGTAAACATTCGCCCCAATCTTTATGAGGTATCAGGGAAGGCATAGGAGGTGACGGCAGTGATGAATGTGATGAGACAACAGACTTTGGCGGTGAAGGTGGCGTTGCTTGCCATCGACCGAAGTAGACATCTGCTGCTGACGAGGCATACGGTGGTGGTGAAAAATCGTCTTCGTCTTCTTTGAACCGCTTTTCGTTTGAATGATGATCGATGATATTGCTGTTCGTATGATGAGTATGATGGTAGTCCAGGGTGACGGTGGGACTACTAGCATTGTCTACGAGCATCTGAACATCCAATCGTCGTTTGCGTGAGTTTGCACTAATTGAAGTATTAAGGTGATTTAACGATGTTTCCTTGTAGGTCACTGCTTCGATCCTCAGAACAAAACTTACGAGGTCTGTAGCCGGTTTTCTTTACGAATGCGTATCTTGACGCCTTGATCAGAGAATGTCCTTGATAGAAATGTAGTCTCCAACGGGCTTGGGAAGTTCTTTGCTGTGTAAACGCTGAACACGTCGCTCAGGACAGTTTTCCTGTTCTGGACGGATCCCCTGTAAAAGAAAACAGAAAAAAAAAAAGGCAAAGTGTCAGCTGGATCGCACACCAAAACACATACACACACTTTCTCTTTCTCCCGACGCACAACCCGTAGCCCGGAATTAACTTACTCCACGATCTCAAAGAGGCTAAAATGGAGTTTGTAGTTGCCTTCTTTACGTACCGACAAGTCGCCAAACACAAAAAAACCGCCATCTGAAGAAAAAAAAAAGATTCCCCCGCTCCTCTATTAGCAAATATGGAAAAAAAGATATAGTTTGTGGCGGGAGCACCTGGGTTATATTTCTTTTATATTGCGGTACCTGTATTATTTGTATCTCGTAATCGATGGAGTGACGAAACGGTAGTGCCGACCAGATGGTTGGTTAGCAACGGTGGAGGAGGACTGTCGCGATGATACATGTCGCTGCTGCTGTCACCATGGCTGCCATCGACGATGTTGGCAACAGCAAAGTAAAAGGGACTCTGGAGGCAATTTCTAAAAAAAGAGATATTACATGTAAGTGGGAAAGTATTTGGAAATATAAAATCGATTTGCTGGTGTTACTTTGTGCGTTCTGGTGAGCAGTTTATCCAGTCGACCTGGAGAATCGGTGCTGGCTCGACGGGGTATCGACGCTCCAAAAGACTGGTGCCTGCACACACCTTGGCCTGCCTTGGCTGTTGTCGTATGCTTAGATGATAGTCTCTATAGAAGCTCAAATGTGTCAGTCCACTGTATTCCTTCTGCCCAGGTCAACGGTACTAACAAGAATAACAGAGAAAGAAGCAGAAAAGCCTCAGAAAAAGGTATGCACCTGTCTTGTGGAAGGTCGGCCAGCGAGCTTGACAGAAATCGATATGTGCAGGCACTGTTGTTCTCTCCAGGCTTGGGCATCGTCGCCTATTGTTGCTACTGTTGATGATGATACGACGACAGGATTGAAAAGAGAAGGACGAGAAGCTTTGCGGGTTTATGCCCTAAAAGAAAATAAAAAGAATAAAGAAAAGATTACTTCGCCCACCTCTCACCCACCTACTTTTAAACAAATTTACCAAGAAAGGGCAACCCCGGAGTCCAAATGGGGAAAAAAAGTACGTGATGGAGTCGGTACTCGCCGACCTTGGGCGCGCCCCGTCGGTCCTTCGCCTGGAGTGACGTGACACCATCATCCAAACCGGCGGGCACCATCAGCCATCTTTTTTGTGTGGAACTTATAACTCAGTAGTGCGGCCGTTTCTCTGTTTCACATCGAACTCAATGTCGTGGTACCAGAAGCAAATCCGATTGCAAGCTCGCTCCCAAGGTATGCAAGCACACAACGATACCAAGTCGAACACGTCCATTAACTCTTTTTTTTATTTAGGTTGCTTTCTCGTGCATAATGAGATTGTAAGCCAAGTCCCAGAAATTAAAAACTACAAAGTCGGCATGGCCAACATCTTTTGTACGTGTTATTTTATGCGAAAAATAGCAATCGTGCTGCTCTTCTTGTAATCATGAATACCAACTACTTTGTGTTTTATATTTGTGTTTAGTGCAGCACACTTCCGCATCCCTCATGCTCAACGAGAATGCGGATCCGGACGTAAGAAAGGACATGCATATGGGCTTGGATAAGATTGTTCCCGAAACTCTTCCATATATACATACGGACGAAGGACCGGACGATATGGTAATAAAATAATGATACGGGATTTTACATTGTTTTGTTTTGGCTAACAAATTGTATATACTGTGTTTTCAACCATAGCCTGGTCATTTGAAGTCTGGTATCGTTGGCGTCTCGCTAAATATCCCAATCACGAACGGCCAACTCAACACTGGCATGTGGCAAGGGTAAGTTTCTGCAGCGCTATCTAGTATACCTTGTAATTTTTATTACTGTCAGCAGCAGATAAGAACACGTATTGCTTTATTCTCTTTTATGTAGTATCTATTTGTGTGAACATCGTCATCACGGTGGTAGTCGTAAGGTAGTAGTGACCTTGCAGGGTGAAAAGAAATAGATGGCACGCTATTTGCTGCTAGTAGATGCGTATCTTTTAAAGACACGACGCCTCCATGTTTTGTACAAAAATATAAACATTTTTTGACATGCTTATGTATACGGAATGTATGGCGTTTTATCGCGAGGGTGCTTGGATGAACGCGTCTGTCTTGACTTAACGCTTTTTTTCTGAGTCGACAAATAGTAACTATAGAGCGGTTGTGCTCGCGTATGGCTCTGAGTCTCGATGCTTAGGTGACACTAGTGTCGCTCTCTACAACATCTGTTTCAAAGCGATAATCGCAATAATGCACTTGTGTTTATCCGTCATGTCAGTGTGTATATTTTCTCATGGAAGTATCCTTAAATACAGACAGCACAATACAATATAGCAAGGTACAATCAAGACAAGCAGACACAACCAGGTATTATATTTTATTTACGGTCCTTTAGTTCTTCTTTGGCTTTCCTTCGAAACGGATAGGGGTCTGGATCCCAGTAAGCCAGGTAAGGCCAACGGAAACAATAGCAATCACAATAAAGGCAATAGCAAAGGTCATGAACACGGCTGGCGAGAACAACTGGTATTTGGCAAAGATAGGTCTGCTCTTTTCAGCAGGTGGTGCTCGGCGTTGAAGCACACTTCGCTTTCGCATGTGGGAAGGCTACAAATAGAAGATTGAAAAAAGTTTAGCTTTTCTTTCGTGCTTTTTCCTTACAGCAATTCTAGTAGTATCCTACCGATTTCTTGGCCGAGCTCGAGGTATAAATGACTGCATAGTTATCAGTAGCGTGTTCTTGGACAGATTGAATGAACGCATCTACCTTGGCATCTAGGTAAAAGTGTTTTTCTCTTATTGTTAGCTCAACATAACTTTTCAGACCCTAATAAAATACTACGCTCTTTCATTTTCAAACTACCATTTTGTTGCAAGGCATCTGTATCTTCTGCATTGGGCAAGGACAAGACTGCCACGGTAGGAGCTTCATTATCGCCATTTGACAAGTCTGCATGAATCGTCATATCAGTTAATCCTTTCTCTGTCCTTTTATTGATACTAATATGCAATAAGAACTTACGATCTCCATATACAATAGAGCCCTCGCATTCTTGCGCAATCAGATTTGCTAGATTGTTCACGTTGACATGATCAGCGATATACTCGACTTCTGTACGCGTAACAGCATCTTTACGGTATTGCTATATAGTCCAAAAAAGTGAAATGTAATCTTTAACAAGTGCGCATAAAGATATATCGTTCTTGTTTTCATGCTCAAATCTTTCACTACCTTAATAGCCGTAAACGAATCCGAACGCGAAAGGTCGTTCAAATGAATCTACAGAAGAAACATGATTAAGTACTTCATTCGCTCGCTTTCTTTCGTTTAACAGAAAACATACACCGGGTTGGTCGATAATAGCTACGACGTTGGCATCGCAAATGTCGGACGAAAGAGAAGACCAGATGGTAGAAACGGCCGCCTCGTTTTCGACGACGAATTGTTGACCAGCGACGTGTGTCAAATAGCTTTTTTTATATATAAAGATTTTCGAGATGTATCAGTTTTTCCCAAAGTTCTTTATAGATAATTCAAAAGGTGTAATGTTAATGAACACTAACTCTTTAGGCGACCACATCAAGCATGGCACAGTGTTCTCAAAAGCAACTACGGCCGATGCCAACGAGGACAGTATTGCGGCAGCGTATATCTTCATGGCGGTATGGAAGAAAAAGAAGGAGGTTGGAACGAAGAGGTTATGAAACGACCAAGGGCGCAAAGGTGGTGGTGTAGTTGTAAACCCAGCTCTAGCTCCGTGCGTGCGCCATTAGCCGAGAGTGACTACTAACGTTTCACATCTCGCCTTTGCATTATAGTAACGAATAAAGTGTCGCAAAACATCTAGTAATGGATGATCCATCCTTCTTGAACATATTTTCTTTAACATGAAGCGTATTTCAAAAAAGTAAAAGATTAAAAAAGCATTATCCATAGATTTTGTTGCAAAGTTGTATTATTATAAGGTGCTCCCTAGATGCAAAAAAAAAACCAAATACAGAAAGTCATTGAACATGGATGGGATAGAATGCCGAAAGAGAGCGACGAAAAAGAGAGAGGTAGCAAAGGAGCGAAGAAAAGAAATTGAGCTTGATATTTACATAGCAATTAAAAGGACATGAGGAATAACAGAACTGATATAATGAGACGACACGACAAAGTGTCGATCGCACTTGAAAGAATGCAAAGAAACACATTTGGCACCTACGACATGTTTCTCTTCTCACTTGGTTCCATGCATATCTTTTATCAATGCTTTTGTCACTATTCTCGCTCTAGCGGTGAAAGAATAAAGCAAGCACGTCGTGTACCACTTTGCATCCGCCCATCCATCCAATTGGGCGATGGGAGACAACAGTGCTTTCCTATATGTTTTACACGTAGAAGTAGAGGTGTTTCGGGCTTTCCTTCTATTTTATTCGAGTACTTTTGACCACCAGCTCTGTAATAAAAGATGATTATTTTATGAATATATATCTGTGGCTCGAGTAACTGCTTCACCACAAACAGCCAAAATCAACTGAAAGGGAGTGCTTACATTGAGTCTATCAACAAGACGTTCTTTGCGCTTTTGGTCTTGGAATGTTATATTCTTCGCGTGAAGTTCTTTGCTAGAATTTCTATATATAGTATACTTATCCTCTAGATTTTTCTTCGGTTCTGAGAATGAGACGTAGAGTTTCTCCTCCCGGAGCTCTGCTCTTCGGTCACTTTGCAAGCTGCAGATGATATACACTTGAGCGGTCAAATTGGTCCGCTTTGAAGTGTACACAAATCATGTTAGCATAGCCTATCCAAAATACGTACCATATGTCACGCCGCACACTTGTTACCCTGTAATCGAGTTTTTACCACAAACAATGCATTCATTCCGTGTGTCTTGCCAAACTACCGGATTAGTATGGTAGCGCATGGAGACCGAAAGGTACAGCGAACCGTAGGAGAAACTGCGGCCAAGAAATCGCCTGGTTTGTACGTTCTCATATCATATATGATGACGGTGAGATTTAGTGCATTCAGAACTAACAGTAAAGCCATCAATCCTGCCTCCAACTGGCATCTGATAAAAATTCTCTTAATCGACAATTATATGAACTGGAAGTGCGATTCGTGTACTTGATGTTTTGTCCTTCTTTGCTGTCTTTTTTTTTTGGTGCTCTGCTTTTGTTAATGCTCTTAGGTTGCTGACATGTTATTTTTTGAGCACCCATCTACATCGTCGATCTCGTGGTTTGCAGAGATGATTTACCAGAGATATAGCCTGCCATAATATTCGGTGAAGCTGTTGGCTTCAGATCGTCCTGCCTGTTATTATAATGCTTAAGTGAAGTAGCCGCTAATACTATCGATGCAAGGAGACATGGCAGCGATGGTATTGGTCGAGTACAGGTGTGCTGCTGACGATGAAATGTTGACCCGTTGGATATTAGGAATGATGCCAATTCCAATAAACGGTTTTTACCTTGTTTCGACCTTGATTGTCGTCAACAAGTATGATACTTGCAAATGATTTGCCTTATTATCCTCAAAGGCACCCTTAAAAGCTTTTCCATGGGTTTGCTTTAAACAAAAATTATATTCACGTGTGCTGGATATCGTGTACATATATGTTTTTACATCCCCCTTTATAAGAGTCACAATTACTCCCAAGTGTGTATTTCAGGTAAGCATCCAGCATTTCTTCTCGGCTTATTACAATTTTGCTATCAGCGCCCATATCCCCATCGGCGTTTACTATCATATTGCCGTTGTTCGCGAAGTCGTAAAGGGAAGAGGCTAAAGCACGACAACGTGAGATATAGATATGTTTCTGACCCTTTTTTTTTGCCGTAGCAGCACTGCGTGCGTGATCCTTTGACTAGTTGCTAAACTTGCCCCAAATGGTTGATCTCAACTTGAAAAGTGGGAGAAGGTTTGATTTTGTATTTCAGCAAGTATATCCATTGCGCTACATCATTAAATATGATTGTCACTTGATCTTCGCTCTAATAGTCTCTATTACATACTAGTAATTCTTTTCAGAGATTCACCAGTTTTGATGATTCATCAATTACTGTGACATTACTTCTTTCGCACCGCATGCTTTGTTGCTTGCTCCATCGTAGGAGAGATTTAAAGGGAGTGCAGAGAACGTGTGACATTGTATGTAGCGCGTGATATAGCAGCCCTGATGGAGCTTCTTGGTACGTGTATAGCTCTTCAACACGGCATCATGTTCCCTAAAACCAATATGGCTAACACCAGTAAGGACAGCAATGCAGCAGCGTTTTCCTTCTTAGTACTTGAAGGGTTGGTACGCAAAGGTTATTAAATGACCAAGGTCGTAGAAAACATATACGTCGAGCACGGAAGCTGTCCTGGGTGGAAGTGTGTGTGCCGCAAGTAAAACCTTGTCACCATCTACTAATGGATGAGACACCTTCTATGTATATATAACACAAAACGAAACTAAAAACCCATTATCAATAGACTTTTGCAAATTCTAGTATTATAATGTGCACCGAGATGAGAGAGAAAATGATGGCGGGGGCGGGAAAAGGAGGGAAAAAATGAATACAGTATGATAAAGAAGGACCTAAGCTTAGAATCTACATAGTGAAGAAAAAAGACATGTTAATTTTCTTTCTAAAGATTTTTTCCCGACTTTTACCCACATAATACATTACCTGTTGTAAGCCATGTTGCCTCGTACACGAGTATAGTCGGTTAAGCATTCGATAGGACCGGCACCGATGACAGCAAGTTCTTGATCCCAGATGAACTTGTTGGCAGTGTTACGGACATCCGAGACGGAGATCTTGTCAATAGCCTGCGCCAACTCATCACCGCTCAATCGCTTGCCGGTGGTCAAGATCTGGCTACCGATATCCTTGGCGACAGCAGAGGTGGAGTCGAGGCTCAACAACAAGCTAGCCTTGAGCTGGACCTTGGCGCGTTCGACTTCGCTAGCAGTGACGGTAGTCGAGAGACGGTTCCATTCCTTTTGCAGAAAGTGAACAAGATCATCGATCTGTTCGCGGTTCTGGGTAGCAGCATAGAAGCCCCAGAGACCGGTATCCTTGTAACCCTTGGTGAACGAAGCGAACGAATCGGCGAGATGGTGGCTGTTGACGACGGTAGAAAGACGCGACGACAAGTTGGCGGCACCGCCCAAGGTGCTATCCCACGAACCAACGATGCTTTGCATGACCAACAAGTTCAAGTATTCCGAGGACATGAAAGGAGCACCCTCGACCGCCAGGGCAATGTGGGCTTGCTGGGCAAGATCGTCACGCAGACGGATCTCGGAACCGGTGAACGAAGGCTGGACACCAGCGGCAGCAGATCCAGCAGCAAGCGAGCCAAAGCTTTTTTCGGCTAACTTGACCAAAGCATCGTGCTCGACATCACCAGCACCGACCAAAACAATACGGTTGGCGGTGTAGTTGGCTTTGACAAAGCTGGTCAAGTCCTGCGAGGTCAAGTTCTCGACGTTCAAACCAGCGACGGGCAAACCAAGGCTGGTGCCCTGGAAAGCGGTGGCGTGCAAGTGCTCGAAGGTCACATCCTCCATGCTAGGTTGTTGGTTCAAAACGGCAGCGCGTTCGCTTTCCAAGCTGTCGAGCTTCAAGTCCTGAACGATTTCAGAAAGGCTCTGGACGGTCTTTTCGACGTTTGATCCGATCGTCTTGGCAGCGTAGTAGGTCTGATCGTGCGTGGTGCGAGCTGTCAATTCACCGCCAGTTTGCTTGCCGTTCTATTGTTTTTTTTTGTAAAAAACCAAACCGTAAAATAGATTCAATTATCGTCCGCTCTTTCTTTCTTTCTCTTGAGTGACATATGAGAACGCACATGCACACATACATGTACGCTATACGCAGGTGAAATATGACATGAGAAAGAATGCTAACCTTAAGAGCAATACGACCAATCAAGTTAGCGGCACCGCTGTTGCTTGCCGATTCAGCACGGGAGCCCGCGTCAATCCAAACACCAACAGTGGCAGCACCATTGGCAGTCGTGTTTTCCTCGGTGGCGATCGTCAAACCGTTGGAAAGGACTGTGGTGCGAGTGGCGGCGACCTGCTTAGCAGCCGTGGCCAAAGGTCGGACGAACTGGTAATATGTGTATATAGATTTGTTTTTTTAAGGGAGGGCCGTAATTGTATAATGAGACTTTCTCCACCTGACTAAATGCGTGCAATGTCGGTTTGGAAGTTACCTGCTTGGTCAAGCCGGCTTGGCTCTGAAGGGTATTGGAAAGAAGCCGTGATGCCATTAGAGTGGGGAGAAGTAAAGGAAAGCTGTTTTGTGTGGCCGACTGCCAAAATTTGCTTCAGCTGGGGGGGTTTCGCTGCTGGTGGCGTCACGATTTTTTTTTCTTTGCGCGCCTTTCTTCGAAACACTGGCCAATGCCCGCCATTACCATAGCAATGCCGTCGATATTGACGGTTGCTATGGTAATACTGTGTACTAGCAACAGAAACTTGAATGTCAATATTTGACTCATCAACTGGGATGTTCTCAAACCACTGCTTGGCTTAACATAACTGAAACACTTGAATGAGCTTTTATACGCAGTAAATACTGTGTAACTGAAATTGTTGAGTAGCATATGTTGAAAATTACATATATCACAGCACTTTGACGGTTTGTAAGCAGACTGGCCGTATCATGAGCGAAGAGCAAAAAACGGCTGTTGTCAGCTTTATTGATGTTAACCCTTCTGCTGCTGTAGCTGAAGAGACCCAGCATTTGTTGAAGCGATTCAAAGATCTGAAAGTTTCACATATTATTATTTATAACTTCATGAGAAGCGAATGCAATCTTTCGTTGAAGAAAGTTGACTTTCCATCGAATGAAACAGTCCTGCAAAGATTGAGGAGCGGTACGAGTGGGTTTGCAAATGGGAAAAAGTGGGTTTGCAAATGGGAAAAGACAGGCATGAATTTTCTGACGAATTGCGTTTTCCTTAACGAAACGGTGGAGAGCTTGGTCCAAAAAGGAACGCGTTCCATTGTTACCAGGGCTGCTACGCGAGCAAAACCGACGTGCTATCTCTGCTGCAGGTTTGATTACAGTCGCGGTAAAAAGTCGAGATCTGCGAAGCCCTTTTTCTTTCTCGCCACCATCCTCCTTATATACTACTTTTAATCACAAATTCAATAAACAACACATGAAGCATATAGGTTCATATCAATTTATTGGCTATGTAATTTTTGATACAAAGTGCTGTACTTGCGTCATATTAAATTGGCCATGTACTTTCTGATGATATAGAGTGCCGTACTTGCATGAATAGTGTGCTGCTGCCAGCAGATAATTATTTAAGAAATCATAAGAAATTTTACCAATCTAATGATTGAGAAAATTTTATTACTCTTGGAATTATTTATTATTAGAAATTAATAATCCTCTTATTAGTGAATATTATAGATATTCATCTAGGTGATTAATCATTAATCTAATGATTATTATAAATATTTTATATAATTCCCAAATCTTGTAAATATTTAAGATGTTAAGAGATTATAATCAAGAAATAGAATATTTATAATTTCCTTGGCATTTCTGATCCAAATATAATTACTATGATAGAACACTATTTACTAGTATATTAATTATTATATAAATTACTAACTACTATTCTAATTGCTAAAATTATAGGTAGAAAAAATGATATGTATACTTAGTTATTATTTTCAAATATCTCATTTTCATATATATTATTTGCCATGTACAGGATTTTTCATCTCCTAGTGGACGTTTGAATTTTTATTTAGGCAGAGTGGACATGAATGTTAGTCTGAGTGGACATGAATGAAAGTTAATCTGGACATGAATAATAATTGATCTGGACATGAATGAAAATCGAGCTGGACATGAATGAAAATCGAGCTGGACATGAATGAAAATCGAGCTGGACATGAATGAAAATCGATCTAGACATGAATGAAAATCGAGCTGGACATGAATGAAAATCGAGCTGGACATGAATAAAGATCGATCTGGACATGAATATAAAACGATCTGGACATGAATATACATCGACCTGGACATGAATATAAATCGATCTGGACATGAGTAAAATCAATCTGGACAAAATAAAAATCAATCTGTACATGAATGAAAATCATTCTGACAAGAATAATAATCAATCTAAACATGAATAATAGACAACCTGGACATAATAACAGTCAACCTGGACATAGTTTTAGTCAACTAAGACATAATAAAAGTTGAAGTAGATAATATATTAAGTGTAGCAGAGCAGAATATATGAGTACTTTAGATTTTCAATTCAAGTCAAGACATAATAGAAGTTAAGCAGTACAAAGCCAATGTCAAGATATAGTAGTATGGCTGTTTCACTCGTGACAAGAAGCTTGTAGGCTAATGTACAGGAAATGGCAAGGGTGCGTCAGAGACTCACTACTGTGCGCATAAGCCTATTTTGCTGCTGTGGGAACTGGGCCTGAGCGTTTCCCCTCATTTCACTTTACCCGGGTTGAGTTTGAAACAAATTGGAGGCTGGTGGCAGAGGTAGGTGGAAAGTGTGGGGTTTGTTAGCAGCAGCAGGGAGGAAAAAAACAACAACCAAAGATCCTTTTTTTTCTCATTACCATTCGCCATGGCAAATCAACAGCTTCGACGCACACTTGTAAATGGCTCCTACTCTCTTCACGATGAATAAAAACAAAGAAAACAAAACGGCACAATCCACGGATTTATTGAAAAACGAAATGAAGGTAACTGTTTTCTTAAAAAAAGCATGTGCTCAAGATTTATAAAGGAGTAGACCGCCGTTACTGCTGCTTAAAAAAACGCTGGATAAGTGAACAAGGGAAGGAAAAGGTTATCGGTTGTGCTTGAGGTATAGCTTTAGTGGAGATATTATCATCCAGAATTACTGCTTCTTTCTCATTTTCTCTGTATATACTTGATGCACCATCTTGCACCAATCCAACGTCAAACTTACGTGCGTAATACAACATCGTCCTCTACCTGCACAAACCATTCGTACTCACAACAAGAACGACGCAACAATTTTCTTCTCCATTACTCATACACAATTATATACAACATGACGCTGATCCGCCATTGACTTGCAAAATATACAGCCTGACGCATTTATTTTCCACTATCATGTACGCCCATATTACACGATGACAACTATGACGCCGGTCTTTTTGTTTTAATACTTGTACGCTCAAGCACATCATCATCGTAATGACGGTCATCTCTTTCTTTGCTGTTTGTATTCACATCAATGCGATGATAATTATATTCCTATGATGCATACACACCACCACAACTATAATCCTCCTCTGCAATTCGCTGTACTCGCCCACACACGATGGCAACAACGATAACCTTTTTCTTTTAGCATATGCCAACACGAACATTGCCGGTCTTGATGGATAAGGTAGCTATATATGCTGATGGGTGGTATGTAGGGTTTTATTATTGTTACTGTAGATGTTATGGTTGGGATGAAAAAAATAAAAGTAAAAGATCATACATTATGTAGTCATCATGTTTCAGTTGTCTGCATAAACAGTTGTGAGATGGGATTGCATGTTATTACAAGTGCTTCTATAAAAACTATAGATATAGCTCTGAGCGGTGATGATAATATGGCAGGGACAAAGAAGAAAAGGCGTTTGTTGTTATGAAGGAGGAAGTTTCTTTGCTATTACAACAGCAACTTTATTTGTTGTTAATAACAACAACTATGAACAACCGACAAGTTACTACCCTTGACGACTCGCTACGCTCTCTCTCACTCGACTGTACGTGGAGTTCTTGCACTCATTCCTAATGAAATCGTGTGCGTTCCTGCTGCTCGATGGCAGATCTTCAAGGATCGCATCTCGGAATTGTGTGGCTACAAATGGGTTCACAAACGCGAGACTGTGCATGGCACCAGACGCTCTGCCACGCAATATCAATAATTACAATAACCATCCTTCACCACGAAACAACATCCTTCGCACCTGTATGACTCTTGTAGAACCTTCTTCGTTGTCTTTCTTATATAACGGTCAACATACTTTATTTTCATCCAATTCACAGCAACACAAAAGGAAAGAAACCCGTCAGTTATCCTTCCTGCTATCTACAGCTCATTTTCCATAAAGACCGGCGATGTTAACATTGGTATATGCAAAAGGTAAAAAGTAATCGCGTCAGGCTGTATATTTTGCAAGTCAATGGCGGATCAGCGTCATGTTGTATATAATTGTGTATGAGTAATGGAGAAGAAAATTGTTGCGTCGTTCTTGTTGTGAGTACGAATGGTTTGTGCAGGTAGAGGACGATGTTGTATTACGCACGTAAGTTTGACGTTGGATTGGTGCAAGATGGTGCATCAAGTATATACAGAGAAAATGAGAAAGAAGCAGTAATTCTGGATGATAATATCTCCACTAAAGCTATACCTCAAGCACAACCGATAACCTTTTCCTTCCCTTGTTCACTTATCCAGCGTTTTTTTAAGCAGCAGTAACGGCGGTCTACTCCTTTATAAATCTTGAGCACATGCTTTTTTTAAGAAAACAGTTACCTTCATTTCGTTTTTCAATAAATCCGTGGATTGTGCCGTTTTGTTTTCTTTGTTTTTATTCATCGTGAAGAGAGTAGGAGCCATTTACAAGTGTGCGTCGAAGCTGTTGATTTGCCATGGCGAATGGTAATGAGAAAAAAAAGGATCTTTGGTTGTTGTTTTTTTCCTCCCTGCTGCTGCTAACAAACCCCACACTTTCCACCTACCTCTGCCACCAGCCTCCAATTTGTTTCAAACTCAACCCGGGTAAAGTGAAATGAGGGGAAACGCTCAGGCCCAGTTCCCACAGCAGCAAAATAGGCTTATGCGCACAGTAGTGAGTCTCTGACGCACCCTTGCCATTTCCTGTACATTAGCCTACAAGCTTCTTGTCACGAGTGAAACAGCCATACTACTATATCTTGACATTGGCTTTGTACTGCTTAACTTCTATTATGTCTTGACTTGAATTGAAAATCTAAAGTACTCATATATTCTGCTCTGCTACACTTAATATATTATCTACTTCAACTTTTATTATGTCTTAGTTGACTAAAACTATGTCCAGGTTGACTGTTATTATGTCCAGGTTGTCTATTATTCATGTTTAGATTGATTATTATTCTTGTCAGAATGATTTTCATTCATGTACAGATTGATTTTTATTTTGTCCAGATTGATTTTACTCATGTCCAGATCGATTTATATTCATGTCCAGGTCGATGTATATTCATGTCCAGATCGTTTTATATTCATGTCCAGATCGATCTTTATTCATGTCCAGCTCGATTTTCATTCATGTCCAGCTCGATTTTCATTCATGTCTAGATCGATTTTCATTCATGTCCAGCTCGATTTTCATTCATGTCCAGCTCGATTTTCATTCATGTCCAGCTCGATTTTCATTCATGTCCAGATCAATTATTATTCATGTCCAGATTAACTTTCATTCATGTCCACTCAGACTAACATTCATGTCCACTCTGCCTAAATAAAAGTTCAAACGTCCACTAGGAGATGAAAAATCCTGTATATTATTTACTACGTTTATTAAAAAATCAATTTATTTTTTTGATTTTAATCTCTTAGTATCTTGAAAGTTTATGAACTTTATGAAATTAATCATCAAATTAATGTTTAACCTCTGTAGTTGACTTTCAGACTGTGGCAATTGAAATATCTTGTAAAGTGGCCACAAGCTCGTCCAGCATCAAAGCACATTGACCAATTCATTCGACCTACATGAATTTTTCCACAAACTCCCAATCTTCAGTATCGTCATTATCAGTTTTAGAGGGCAATTTATCTAGTTGGGTAACTTCAACCTGCTCTGGATCTTCCAATAGTGTCACACTACCAAAAAAAAATAGTAATCTATATGAAATTGCAAATACATCAGTTCTGTCAAGGCCATAACATTTATCCCTAGAATTACCTGTTGTCAGCAGCCATGTCGTCATATTTCCTTTTCAGGCGAGTGCAATATACTTGACTGTTATTAGTGTACTGAGCAGCACGCTTTGGATCGGTTGACATGAACTTTGTGATCTTCACAAATTGTCCTCCAAAGTCCACAGATGGATCGAAGTGCAGATAACTTGCTCTTGCTTGAGTTGTCGTATTTTACACTGTCACCAACAATTTTCATTACTGTTTGGTATAGATGAATAGGGGTCGCAATCTGACCTGCGGGTCAAAACCAACAACCCACGGGTTGAGGACGGGTCAACGGGTCGGGTTGATGCTTTTCTGACCCTCGGGTCGACCTGTCCAACCCTTGACCCGACCCGTTGACCCGTCGTGACCCGTGTATACATATAATATGTATGAGGTACTTATATTTAAGTAGTCAATTTTCTTGTTGGGAAACATCATTAGTTGTCAATATGTCTGCTATAGAACTATAGCATAAAACGTACTTAATTCTTTTTATTGTGGGATTATACTTTATATTCAACAGTATGGGATAAGTAAGCTATAAGCAATATATATGATAGGAGTAAAGAAGTAGCAATAGCGCAATGAGAATATACAATAGAAGGTGGCAGTAAGAGACGCGATTTAACAAAAGACAGAAAAGGAGTTGAGAAAAGAGAATCGAAGGAAGAAGAAAGAAGTGAAAAGAAAAGGGAAAAGGGAAAAGGATAAGGGGCATATAGGGAAGTCGATTTTCAACCATACTTTAAATATTATGCTTTCTTTAAAGCATGTGAGCCCAAGCGATTTCTTTTGTGATGGCACGAAACCCTTTACCTTTAAGAATAATCACTCAAAACGTAGATGTTGCTAGCACTGCTAGGAATTTGCATGCCATCATCTTAGAGAGCTATATATATATAGAGCTTTGCACTTCCAGCGCTCAAGTTCAGGCTGATTGACACTTCCTTCATCACTACATTGAAATCAGTCTTGACCCGTCAACCCGAGTTTTGACCCGTCGGGTTGAATGGGTCGGGTCGGGTCGGGTCAGTGCTTTCTTGACCCACAGGTCAACGGGTCAGACCCTTGACCTGACCCGACCCGTCCAATTGCGACCCCTATAGATGAATGATGAGTGGATCGTTCATAGTGGAGATTGTCAGGATGCTTCTTTCCCCCCCCCTGATGTAAGAAAGTTGATAAGAGCAGCATAGATCAGAAGCAACTTGTCCTTCTTTAATTCTTCTTGAATGCAGTTACATATGTTCTGAGAGTTACATCCTTGGTTAAGTGATCACTGGGTGTTTGTAAGCAACGGAAATTAATTATTAATAATTTAATGTTCAACAGATTTTAATTACTTGTAAGAACTGTAATTAATTAATATTAATGTTGAGTTATAATTGTTATAAATAATTAAGATAAAAATAAAAAAAATAACTTTAATATTTTTGTTATCTATAATTCTAAAAGATCAATATTCATCAAAGGGTTTTAAAGAACTATGTATAATTCTTATTAAACCTAGGATAATAAAAGAATGAATATTCTTTTTTATCCTATATCAGAAATGAAATGACGAGGTGTTCTTGATTTATATAAAGAGATATAAGAGGTAGACTGGGTATGGTCCACCCTTACATGTAGGATTTATTAAATATAATAACTTTGGTTGTTAATATTTAATATCTAATATGGAAATTGAGGGTGGCTGATGAACTTGGACGCCAGTGATTTTGATGCAACGTTTTTGACACAGTAAATCACCAGCACCAGATATTCCTTGAACTGCTGATAGACATTTAGGCAATAACAGATGGCTCGGCTCATGAAGTTTTCGTTGACGATTTGCTGTACTTCTATTACGATTGGTGGGAATTTGCCGAAAAAGTACGAACCATCACAAATTGCACCATCACTAAACGATGTAAATGAAGCGACATACGTGTTGTTGGGATTACTGACAATAGCTTTTGAGACAAGGTTCGGGATGGACTGATCTTGCAACATAAGCTTACTGACTATATCAGTACCTGAACGAAAATCTGGAGCTGGTAGTTTGTATTGAAGAAGCTCTTCACTGATATCCGTTATGATTGCTAGGAAATAAACAAAGGCAAAAAAAGAAGAAAAAACGTGACAAAACGCGACATCAATTTCTGCAGATTTTAATTGCCCAACAACATCATTTTTTATTGGCCAGCGACATTATTTTCATTGCCTGGAAGCACTGTAGATCCTGATGAAAAGGAGTGCTGTTTTAAATTGACATCTGCTTTAGCAGGGTGAAAACTAGTGTTGTCACGGTAAAAGAATGTAGGTGGTAACATACCTGCTCACAGGGAGGCTGATAATGATCATAATAAGTAATAGTAAAAGACATTACTTAGCAAATGTAATTTCAGCAAGTACACACTCATCATGAAGTCACTTACTATAATATAATTGGCATAGCGAGAACCATGCCGGATAGTTGAGAAAAGCCTTATTACACAATGGGATCTACTGCTGGTTTCAGTTGTCAAGGTTCCTCATGTATTGCATAAACACGCCCTCGCTCAAAAGAAAAAGAAATAGATGATTCTATCTTTATAGTGGTTCTTGTTATGCTAACACAGTATGTGATCGTTCGATTTACTATAATTTGATTTGTGGCCTAGATAGCATACAGTGTACATCCTCGTTTTACCGAGCCTCGGTGGTTGTGCTCGATCTTGCGCGGACTACTACCCGATTTCATCATTATGAATCTACGCATATATTTTGGGCTCTTCATGCAATGTTCATGCCGGACAGCAACAGAGCGGACGGACCTTTTCAGGGGATAAATCTGGTATTCATGTTTTACGCAAGATAAGCGATAAGGCATCTGGAGACAGTACATACATGAAGAAAATTGTGTGGTACGCGTTTGCATCTCGCGATGGAAAGCTAAAAGAAGAGCATACATACACACCATGACATAAGTGTGAATTTTATCCTTCTTGTTGTCGGCACTCCCATTATGCTGTAAGCACATACGGGCTGTAACGGGTTTGAGCCGAGATGCAAAGAAAGAAAAGAAGGTTGTGTGCACAGTGTGACAAGGTGGTTCCACCCGTTTCCACAATGCAAAACACATTACTTTAGAAATCGACACACTTCCGTTATTTCGCATCTTTTTTTACACACCTCAAGACAACAGCAACAACAGTAGCAGCAACAGCAAACCACTTGCAATCGCAGCATGTCTGTCAATAGCAGCAATCAGCGCGAATACAGCATCGACGGAGCAGACTGCAGTGCTACAAGGCTATTTCTTTGATGGCCTGTCGACCGGCGAAGCTGGGGGCACTTGCAAACATAGCAAAACCAACGGCAGCATCGGTGACCAGGACCTTAAACCAAGGATGCCACCACCACAACCACAACCAGGCAGGAAAAAAGGAAATAAGACATGCTCAAAAATTCACGAAGATTGATGACTAGGAAGGTTGGATGACTTTTTTTGGGAAGCAGAAAAGTGAGGAACTTGAAGAATTAAGGTATGGGCTTGGTTTGTCTCTAATTTACTCAGAGAAATATGATCAATTGCACTGTAAAGAGTTTTAAGAAATGTTTGTGAGCGTCACTTGTGTTTAGAAGCGTAACAAAAGATAGTGTTGAGGAACAGCAGACGATGCGCAATAGAAGTGCACTGCGTCAAAGCGTGAGTCGATCTTGTATTAAGCGCAATGAAATGGCGCAGAGCCAACAGCACAAGTACAGAAACGTAAAATGGATGCTGGCGCACTACTATCTACCTTCCCAGCAACGCAAACTGATTTTATTACGATGCTTACTGGGAGGAAAAATCCACAGTATACCCAGTAGAAAATATCACATCGAACATACTCCTATATATGTATTCGTGGGATGCCGTGGTAATCCTTCTCCACAGCATAGAGTTTAGTAGAGAACAAACGAGCAAGTAGGAAGAACAGCGGCTATGCTTTCATTAAAGGAAATGTGAGATTTCTTATTTGGGATCATAAAGCAGTGATTGTCTCGGCTGCCTGGACATTGCGTATAGGTAGATGACCGATTGTATCAACAATGAATATTACTCTCTTTCATCTCTTCTTCTTCGGTCCTTTACGCAACCACGAACCCCTAGTTCCCACTGTCTACTCCACCTTCCGGCCCACCTCCACGCACACAACGTGGCGCGCACAGAGAAAGCTCCATGTGGGATTCCTAATGATGCTTAACTGGGCGCCACTTTTTTAATCTTCTATTTCTATTTAAAAGTTCTTCTACGAAGAAGACGATGAGTATTTGATTTTGTCCCTCATTCTCCCTGACACCCCCCAAGGTTCGTTTATTAGAGCTAATGCAGAACACGCATGCTGTTGTCCCTGCTGCTGCTGCTGTTTGCTGCTTCCAATTACTTATGAACAAATGATCTTGCTTCCTGATGACAACGTGAAACATCTGTACATATAATGATGCACCTGCTGTCCAAATATATTTATATATATACCGGCCATACTTTTTTTTGTTCTCTACTAATGACACATACAGTACATAACAGCAGTGCGATAATTGGTATAAGTAGTAGCTATTGTAAGTATTCAAAGAATCAATTTGCGTTTTGTTTTTACCCCTTAAATGTATGTTCAAATAGTAGTATTGTGTCACAAAACCCGCCTTGTTTTATTAACTCGAACCTTTTTTTGGTCTCGAATTCGTACGAACATAACAACATAAAGTTTCGAGGAGAGAAAGAAAGGGAAGGAGAGAAGGTAAGCACAATGTATTTGAGAAGGAAAGGAAAAGAACCATTTATCATGCGTGTGGTAGCTATAGGAAACATCAAGGTGAGGGAAAAAAACATTAGAACAAGGGTAGTTTTATTAGTCTCTAATAGTAGTATATACGATGTTAAGTGAGTGTATGTAGTATATATTTTTGTCTTCAGAAGGTACGGCCATGATAATGGTACGCCATGTTATAGGTCTCTGAACACTGAGGGGGTGGCATCCGACATGATTTCTTTTTCAAAGGAAATAGTTTGTTACTTGAGGATGTTGGTCGATCGCTGAGCGAAGAAGTATACACACCATCATGATAGGTTTGCCGATAATAATCTTTGTCTAGAAAATGAACAATTTTACATGAGCGATGATGTCAGTTGCCAAAATAAAAGAGAAAGGGGCCAGCATCTTTTCGTTGTGTTGCTTTTTCCTCGTAATCTCGAGGGAGGATGCCCTGAGGATGATGTTGTCGGTACCAACATAGGTTCATATAGTAGTACTAGTACTAGTAGTAAATCAATATTGATATGGTAATATACCTCTCGGCTCATATGCGGGAATATAGGATCGCCGTTTAGTGTACTTGCCCACACGCCACATTTCTATTTGCTTCTTTAATTTGTCGACCACGATGCTCATCTTGAATAAAAGTAAACTATAGAAGAGGTATTATAGACGACAAAGTATTGACGGCGGTGCCAAAAATAGGGCAAGAGGGAAAAGAGAAGAACGCAAAGACGGAGAGGATTCTCTTCTTTATAGAAAAAAAAAAAAGAAAAAGGGGATGGGGGTTTCCATAAACCGTAACTGCGTATATTTGAGTATTGAGGGGATTTCACAGAGAAAGAAACTGTGTGTGCGAGAAGAGAGGGCTTGAGGAAGATTAGCAGCAAGACTCTCTCTCACATAACATTTAATAAACATACATTTCATACGTGCCCAAAAGATCATCTGCCCAAAAAAACGGAAATGCTAGACTATATGGTATAAGCACACTGTGTCGTGTATAGGTTTTCTCACCTTTGTTTTCTTTCGGCAACTTTGATATGGACAAGTTACTAGTGCGTGAGTGTGGGAGAAGCTGCAAGACGTATCCTACAGCATGCATGCATACATGAATATAGTACATCTCGGCCTATTTTCTGGATCCCCGCAGCACACGCACATACATGGATAGAAAGATACGTAAGAAAAAAAGTAAAAAGAAAAGGTAAAAGATATATATTACATTCGGTTCCGAGAACCAATAAGTTTGAACCTATTTTTTGTAGCCCTATGATAAGAAATGAAAGAAAGGAAAAAGAAGAAAATTTCTAATGTTGGTTGATGCTATTGGGGCCAATAATCTTTTCTTTGCGCAAGCTACCCAGAGCCTTGGCGCACTCCTGCTGAACGTGCTTTGCACGATCAGTTTCAAAGATGCCAGCTTGATCGAACTGGCGTGCATAGAATACACATTGTTCGATACGATAGTTTTTATACATGGGCACTTGCAACTGGCCCTGTTCAGCATGAAAAATAACACATTAATAAGTCTTCTTTAAGTTTTGATGTGTATCGTGCAATATCTTGGAGCATCCCTCACCTCTTCCTGTGACAGTTGTTTCTCTGGCTCTCGGCCAGTGCGTACGACATAATCATTGGGAAGTACCCAGAGATTGGCTCCGTTCAGGTAGATCGAATATAAACATGCCGATGGCTCATCAGCGAAACGCTCTTCGCACCTAATATATACCGAGTTTGTGCTTACGTTAATACAACAGCCTTTCAAGCCAAACCTGCGTTTTTTTCAACCAACAGAAAATGTATCACCACTTACCAAGGGTGGTCATCCCGAGTAGCGATATAGATTGGAGTATAGTGATAATCATATTCAGGGACAAGATAAGGTTCATCAGCTTCACGCCAAATATGATACGACGTAGGGCCATCGCTCAATTTCCAATGATAGTCTAATAACCCGATACGCTTTTCATCAGCCCATTCGACCATTTCTGGCTTGGTCATTGGCCAAGTGTCTGTGATGGCATTCTTGCTGTTAGGGAAGCCAAACGTAGGGACAATAAGAACATCGCCATCTAATAACCGATCACGATACGTTTTGGCAGTTGTAGCAAGGTCAGTTATCCAGAGAGTGGTGACAGGCACATGGGCCACGGTATCTGTGCGACTAAATAAGCGTGCCAAGTTACGGCTGTCTTGGAAACCGCCATGCACCACAGCCTCGCCATTGGTCGGGCGAACAATGAGATGCAGATCGACGTGTCGAGCCAGCATGGTTTGCGTTTCGTATTCGCGGCGGATTGTTGACAAGTGCTGCAGGATGGCGCCAGAGGCAAGACCACCCATATCCGATGGGATCTGCAGAGTAGCGGAGATAGGACCTGGGATGCACATAACATTGTGTTTGGTAAGATGTTTGTTTATCTAAGTCGGCAATGGAAGAGAGAGAGAGAGAGGCTGACAAACTGCTGTCGATCCCTTTTCATCCCGTCCAAACCCTCATTTCATCTTTACCTTGCCATATCTCGGCCAAACGCACCAAGTGTGGCCACTCATCCATGGTCAAAATCGTAGCAATCGAGAGTTGATCGGGTGTAGGCGTAGCGGTGGCTGTAAACCAGTGTGGACGTAAGTGATCCATGCGGATCAAGGATTTGGAAAACATTTTTGAAAGACGAAGTTGGTATGTGAGGGAGTTGAGGGTCGATAAGCCGTCTGGCATGATGGATTGTTGTTGTGTTATATGGAGGTCTTGCACTATCATCCCATTAGTTTTAGTTCCTTCAGAGAAATCCAATCACGTCTGTTTCTTTTTCGCATTTTACCTAATGCAGTAGCCGAGCCTGTTGTTGCTAGGTTGTTGTTGCTACCACTGCTAGAGCTGAACGACGAGAAAAGATGCATCGTAGACAATATCAAGCTTGTCAATACATAGGCCCAGCCCAACAATCGAACAATACGTAGCCGGAGCAATCGTTTACAGTATTGACCTAAGGATGACGAAGGAAATGCGTTTCGCGATTTGCTGTCTAATGATCGAGGAGCGCCAGTAGGTGGACATGCTGAAGTCAATGACGGTTTGCGTTGATGAAATCCGGACTTGGTTGGTCGCGAAGCGACAGTGGTCGTTTCTGGTGCACTCTCTGAAGATCGTGGCGGTGCCATAAAGAACAAATAAACAAAGGGGTGGGGATACGTTAAGAAGATAAGGCGGTTGTTGTTACTGGTGTTGTTGCTTAGCAAAGTAATCAATGAACGGAGGATAGGAAGAATAGAGGGCGGAAGGAAGACGGTGGATATAAGGAAGGGAGTCAGGGAAAAGGTGTTGGATGGCGTAGGAAAGGGTGGGATAAGTGTTATGAGAGGGGTGTGAGGGAGGAAAAAGAGAGGAGAGAGAGAGAGAGAGAGAGGAAGAGAAGAGGAAGAAGAAACGACGGGAAAAGAGAAGGTATGAAGAGTAGTAATAAGGGTAAGGTACGATGAGAGGTCTGGCTATGAAGAGAAATAGAGAGAAAGCGAGAGCGGGGTGTCGATTTGTTTGGTCACACAGGTGTGCAAGAAAAAGATGTTGCACACGTGTATTTGACGATCCAGTTTTCTCGACCGACCAAAGGCAACTCTTCTTTTATTTGGGTTAGAGCGGTGCACGGACAGTGTGTGTGTGTGTGAAAAGGGAGAGGCGAGAGACTTCTTGAAAGTACGAGGCAGGTAGAGAAGAAAGCCAAGATATATTAAACGCACAGAAATTCTCTAAACAAGGTAGTAAAAAAAAAAAGAGCTACCGGAAAAGTCTAATTAGTGAAAGAGTTTTGCAGAAAGAAAAGCAAAGCAAAGCGGGTCCTCTTGCACCGCAAACCTTCCCCCGATTTGTCTTGTCCTCTTTCTCCTAAGCTACTGAAATCGGTCCATGTTCTGGGCACAGGGTGCGCTCTTGATCATATAACTGTTGTGATCAATATCTCAACAAGCTCCGTCCCGTCACCCCGCTGCGAGCGAAAAATGCCATGCATCATTTTCATTCTCGAATGTCGAAAAAGAAACGCCACCAGAACACGTTCTTTCTTCTTTTTCTTCTATGAATATTATGTGTCGTAGCCCAGCAAGACGCTGCTGCTATCATTGCTGTTACTGTCACAATGTCCGATCTTGCTTTTCCGGATACTGCTTGGCGGTATGTACTATTACATGTAGCAATGGTACAGTAGTTAGTGCAGCTTCTTGCTGGCAGTAAATGTAATAGTGACGAGAAATCGGGTCCGATTGGTGAAAAGAGACGCAATAACAAGAATGATGAAAACTGTGCTACGGTGGCACACGATATGCTTTTCTATTTGATTGGAATGTTATTGGGCATTTGACGAAAGCAAATATATATACAAGGTGCTCAATCGGTATGGTGTGCTACACCTTCTTGAGTGTAATACCGAGCATCACTGTATTTCTAAGAAGCAAGGGCATGTATCTATTAGAGAATACACAAGCTGGATCAGAGGTTAAGTATTGTGATGAATAGCAGCATAACTACCTTGGCCATTGACGTGGACTACGAACACAGCATGGATGACGACTGAGGATTGTACGACGTACCACCACCCCTGGAACGAGAACGCTTTCCGCTCTCATTTCTAAAAGCTCGCTGTTGTACATATTATACGCTCATTCATTACATGGTGATAAGTAAGATGCTTAATAAATATAATTGTAATATAAGTTTTCATCATCCGCCCTCATCACAAAGAAGAAGAATGCAGAAACCAACCGATCGTGTAACCAGACGCACAGAGCGAGCTTTGATTTCCTCCACTTCTTTCAACTTTCAAACACGCTTTCTACACACGCTTGCTATAAGCTTATTTCATGCATCCATTCGCAAGCGACGATATAGCATGCATGAATGATAGATGGGGGGTCGGGCCTTCAATCCCGAAGGGTGGGTTTCTGGATGGTATGTACAACCTTGTTTAGGCTTTTCTAAGTGCCTTTGTATATCTTTTAAGTGTCATTCAGCTTCTATGGGTGCTTTTAAAGCCTGAATGCGCTTAAGAACATCCGCAAAAAGAGCTAGAAATAATTCTCTTTCCTGAGGTATACAGTACCATGTAAGTTTTACATTTCTATTTTATATCAGGATAAACGACGGCAGATATATTTTGGTGGATGGGCGACATCTTTCCTATGTAATGACGAGGAGAAGATGAAGAGAGAGAGACGATATAAGGGTGTGAGATAGATGTACATTGAAAAGGAAGAGGAATGTTGGGTTGTTGGTCTTTCATATCTGATTTCTTTAGTGTTGTTGAAGCTCTACATGGTTGGCTATTGGATACGAATTTGGGTGGAGGTGGTGTCAGTCCGAATATACAACTCATCGTAAACAGAAAAGAAGCAAGGATGGTCCCCCTCTCGGTCCACTTTTGTTTTTTCCTTACCTGGGAATAAGCCGACGGATTTGCCATCGGCAGCAACACCTTGCCACCAGTCGTCACTGACAAATTCAATGTGTGTAATAAGCTGGTTCTCCTTGAAGGAAATCTCATTATCCTCGCCAGCGGCATAGTCGTATAAAGCAATGGCCGTGTTGCCTTGATCCTGCTTGGCAGCAGGAGGCGACTGAACACCATTGGCAGCGACAGAGGCTGCAGGGGCTGCAGGGGCTGCAGCTGCTGCTGCTTGAGGCTGTTGTTGCTGTTGTTGCTGTTGTGCTTGTGCCTGCTTAATAGCGAACTGTATTAGAAAAAAAGCTGTAGACGGCAGTCATTTGCTATCTTACCTGTTCTTCTTCCTCCAAAAGCTGTACGTAGTTGGCTATAAACAACATTATGGATTTATTTAGGAACCTTTTATAATTCAACCACTTTGCGAGTTAACTTTTTTTGTTCCTTGTAAACTTACCTGGGAAAAGACCTTGCTTCTTGCCATCTTCACTGACACCGAACCACCAACCTTCATCCACTTGATCGATTTGTCCAATAACTTCGCCTTCAACCAAGGTCATTTCGTTGGCTTCTCCTGCAGCATAATTAAAAAGCACCACTGCAGAGACACCCTGTGCTCCATCGTCTTGACCGTCACCAGCAATGGCAGCACTAGCTGCATGGGTAGCAGAGTGCACAGCACGATCCGCAGTCTAAAAATAAGAGAAGTTATCAGTATTTTTACATCGCTCAATAACCCTTATTATCATTGGTAGACCACACACTTCGTCCAACTGGTTATGCAAAGTAGCTTCTTGCTCTGCCTGACGTGTTGCAGCAGCTGCTTCTTGCTCTTCTTGTTCTCGTCTTTCATCCTCCAATTGCTGTTGCTTCAAACGCTGGCGTTTAGCTTCCTGTTCTTCCCGACGTCGTTGTTCGGCAGCTTCAGCTTCACGTTGTTCTTGTTCCTGATGCAATCTTGCCTGCTCTGCTTCTTGTTGTTGTTGCTGACGTTGTTGAGCTTCCTCTTGTTCACGCTGAGCAGCAGCAGCAGCAGCAGCTTCTCTCTCTCGTTGCGAGGCGGCTTCTCGTGCAGCAGCAGCGCGTTGCTGTGAATCTTGTTCTTCCTGTGCCAATCGCTGACGCTCCTGTTCCTCTCCCGCTCTGTTTCTTTCCAGTTGATCGCGTGCCGATTGTTCCTCACGTTCGCGTGCTTCGCGTTCAGCCTTTTCACGTTCAGCACGGACAGCAGCTGCTCCAGAATCTTGCTGTTGTGTAGCAGCGTTCCATCGACTCGCTAATGGCTTGGGTGCCGTTGATACAGGCTTGTAATTGGTGCCCTGTATATGTGTACCCCCCCCGTCCCGCATAATCGTTAATAGCCATCTTACACAGATCACTTGGGGTTAATCCTTAACACAAAAAAAAACCTTACCACAGGAGCAGGTGGACCATCCTTCTTCATGGATTCGCGTTGCATAGCAGCGATATCTGGAACCTCGGTCTTCTTGTACACCGAGCCCTACAGAATGTCCATGTCACTTTAGCAAGGCAGGTTCCGAACTTTTCCCCCAATATGTAATTTTACTACGTTACCACGGGAGTGACAGCAGGTTGTGCTCGACGCTGTTCTTTATGCACGCTATATTTGGCACCCGATGATTCGGAGACACGCTTTACGATAAGTTCAGGCTCGACGTCCGCCTAAATACGTAGCCACCCTGCTTTTGAGTCAAATGAAACAAATAGACCGTACTCTTTTCTCGCAGTTTATACTGACCTCATCACGGGCATTGATTTGAACGTGGAAGCTCTATTCATGTATCCGGCAAAGCAAAGATATCAGTCTAACTTGTCAATCAAAATCCTCTTTCGCCTTGTTATACCTTGAAAAAGTTTGAGACTTCAACCAAGTGCGAGTTGAAGAAACCTTTACGCGTTTCTGGAACACCACTGCCGCACTAACAGTTATATTGCAAACACACGACGTTAAAGTCGACATTCTCTTATCACATTTTATGCAATCGTAGAAACGAGTGGGGAAATAAAAAGACGTTACCCAAGCAATGAAGACATATTTAGGCAGTTCGGTGTTTGGGTCAAGAACCCGGGCATAAGCAAACTGAATCTTGCCGTCGCTAAATTCATCGTTGAGTTCCTCGAGACCGCCATCTAACAGAAACAGATAAAACCATTGATGAGGATTTCCAATAACTTTTTACTTTCTCAAAGTCTGTAAAGTGGTTCGTCGAGTACCGCCAGTGCCCTGTACGCGAATGTCATTGGTGCCCTTGTCGTACGAGTATATAAGCCAATCGGTTGGGTCGCTGTCGCTCAGAACGGCGTTGTAGGCGTTCTTGAGGTCTTGACCGTGCGTTGAAAAGTTGACGTGCAAACTCATTATAATATGTAGGAGAAGTTGTTAAAGAAGAAAAGAAGCACTCGGCTTGTATAATATAGTCGCACAACGCTATAACGAGGCGGAGTATTTTTTTTAGCAGTAGTGCCATGCCTTGGCAACAACCGCCTTGCCAATAATGCATTATGCTCTGTCCGTTTGTGTTGTAACACTTGTTTGTAACTCAAATGAAAATAGCAGATTTATTGCTTCGTTCCATAATGACACATATGATACAAATATCATATCTAAGCTGCTATTCCCCGAGAATATTCTTCTGATGCTTTATGGGCTTCAATACCAGCAGCACCACTACAATACGAGTTGTACACAAACGATCTGCAGCAGCTGTATCCCCACTTGCCATCCAGCCAGTATGAACCCCAGACAGTTGTGTGATTGTTGAGGAACACTAAAAAAAAAAAAAGCAGGAAAATAAGGGTGTCAGTAACCACATTCAAACATTTTTCATCATCGCATGCACTATCCACAAGGGAACTTACCATCTTCTTCGTATTTTGATCGTGCCTTTGCCCGTTCTTGGCCCTTGATGACCCGACCGGTACGCGAGTACTCAACATAGTTTTCTGTTTGCGCCAATAGCAATTCTTTGGCCGGCGCTTCCAAATGCTCCTCGCCACCATACTTTGAGAGAATATTTTTGTGTGTTGTATCGCGCACCTTGTCCTTCTTTGACTCGTATTCCTTGTGCAGGATGGCGACTTGTGTTGGATTGGCTTGTAAATGAACATCACTGCCTCTGTCGGCAGCTTGCCAAGCAAACAGTTGCACCTTGGCCATGTCCGGCGCGTCACCACCGTAGCGTACAAAGTTGTCGCCAGCAAACGGGACTTCGTCGGATTCTTTGTCTTTGAGTGGATTATCACGCATAGAACGTGTCTTGGGATCGTAGTATGCTGACTCAGTATCCAAATTCAACAGATATTTGGCGGTATCTTCACGAATTCTACATTATAAAAATGACAAGGTTGTTGTTCCTGTGTAAGCTTCTCTCTTGCACAATAGTAAATGTCAGAGACGGAATCTCTAGATTAATCTTTGGCACATACCTCAAATTACGAATCGTCGTTCTTGTCTTTGTGTTGACATGCTGACCAGGCATATCAGCTTGATCTGCGTATTTATCTTCGTCGTCATCTTCGTCGTCGGATAAACGAGCCAGCTTTTTGACTTCTGACGTCGTTGTTGGGCCTTGCTTATCCAACTCTGTTGCCTTATTCGCTCGTCGAGCCTCTTCCACTTTCTCGTATTCTTCAATAACCTTGTCGTGCTCTCGAGGATCATAGCCTTTCCATCGATCCCGCTTTTCGTCCCACTCTAAATCTGGATTCTGAATAATCTCGTCTGCTTGAATATTCTTTCCGCTCCATTTGGCACCCTTTTTGCGTGGTCGTTCAACACAATCTCTGGTCTTGTGCGATAATGCACCGCAGTTTTCGCATGCGCCCTTTCGGTATTTAGTTGCTGCTGGTCCCTATACAACACATATTATAAACTGTGTGAGTTTTTGTAAAAGGAATTCTTTTAACAGAGAAAAAGAGAAACTTACTGCTCGTTGACCTCTGGCATACCAGTAATTGTCTTCTGCACCAAACTTTGTGCCTTTTCGTTTTTCTGGAGCACGTTGATGCTTCAGAGAGACTTTGCCGGTATCAACGTACCATGGCGCCTTTAACATGAACTGGGGGGTATGAGGATTGATTTCGTTGCCTTCATCGTCGACTTCTGCAGGTGCTGTACCGGCTTTACGAGCCGCATCCAGATCTTTTTGTTTACGATATTCTTCTTTTGAAAGACGATTCGATTGCATGGTTTATATAGAAAAAAAGATCGAGTGAAACTAAAGAAATCGGATTTCTGTTCCTCTCTCTCTCTCATAATCTCTGTTTCTCTCTCGCTGCTTGAATTTGATTGGATATGCGCTTCTGGTCTGCCAAATCGCTTTATCTCCAACAAGTAGGATCATGAATGAGCCGGCTCAAAACAACAGCAAAGAGGAATACATACACGTTCACGCACTCGCAAATAATGAGCTCTGGAGCGATTGCATGTTATTGTTGTTTGAGCAGTATTTTTATTATTCAGATGATACGAACGACAAGCTTAGTGTTTATATGTCATAAAGGTTCTTTTTTGCTAGTTTTTAGATATTAGAGTGTAAGTATACAATTCTTCCTTCTTATTCGTTTAGTATTGTGGCTGTAATTCAGACACCTTGTACCACTCTAGGATACGTCTCACGGATCTACGAGTGTTTATCATGCATAACCTTCTGTTAGTCTTCTTTGTACTCGTTCTCTTGCTAGAGTTGCTTCTTACCTTTTCAAAAAGTGCCGGTCTCGTTCTGTATGCGTAGAGATAAACCGTAGTTGTTAGTAAGTACAAGTTGCTCTAAACATTTACAGAGAATAGGTAAGTATTACCTTCGCAATGCATCTGGATCTTCGGCCAAACAAACAAATGTGGTAGCCACACCGCTGGAAATCACAGTGGCGATGCTAGAAAACATTGAGGAGCCGATCAAGAAGCATACCATGACAACGACAGGTGTCATGCCGCCTGTTTGATTAAATGCTGGCTGGGCCGCTTTCAAGTAGATAAAACCAAGCAGGGATGACAGTACACCCACAAGTAAACCGCCTACGTACAAAAAGTATAAGATATTGTTTAGCTGCTCTCTCTCTCTCTCTCTCACACACACACATTGACCATCTTCCTCTTCTCCTCGCACCCTTTTTGAATTCATGTTGTAAGAGATCTCACCCATAAAAAGTACGTTTCCAATAAGGGAATCATTGATCATAGCGTCAATACCGCGATCCTTCATCAGATTCCAGGTTCGTCGTGCAGAAGGGATAAATGCCTCGCCAAAGATAGCCACACCGCTGAATGCATAGTATGTGAACCATTCCTAAAGCAATACAAGAGGTGAATGGTTATCGGTTTGTCATCTCCTTGGCATGCATATTTAGCTGCGGTACATACGAAAATTCCTTGGAAGCACCCGACAATGCACTGCACAATGAAGACCAAGCAGCTCAAAATAGGGTTGTCAGTGTTACTTTGGAGTATCTGCAGGAAATATCGCACCATATTGACAATGGCTATAAGCAGACTACCAAAACAGATGGATCCAAAACTGGTCGTCACCGCGCGCTTGAAACTGCCCAAGATTGGGTGGCGTACAGTGTCATTCAGATAGTAGACTGTGGCATAAAGGCCAGCCAAAGTGACATGCGTGACATATGAAATAACCTATGTACGTAACCATGAACAGTTTAATTGATGTTTGAGAGAGAAACAAGACAGTGTCTCCTGTCACATGCCCTACATATTACGGCTCTCATTCTTTCCAACCGCGCATATACGCGACCCCCTCGTTTTCTGCGAGCATACTATCATACCTGAGAAGTCCAATAGTATGAAAAGACAAGAAAAACCATGGCTAGATTCAGTCGCGCATTGTTGCTTGTATTGCTGGACCATGTTTGATACGCACCAACAACGACCAGTGAGAACCATATGGCAAAGGCGGTTTGAATGATCAAAGAGATAATACCGGCTACGATCGAGCTTGGATGTTTACGACAGATTGAACAAATAGTCTCCAGCATCACTGTTTTTTAAATGCAAAAAAAAAAGTCAGATGCCATAAACAAATATAAACAGACACAGATCGGACTTTTTTTTTGTCGTTGGAGCAGGTGCATGGTGCATGCGTACATTACCTGTCGCAAAAGGTATCCTACTTCTCCACCACCAAAACGCGAGTAGCCAAAGACATGAAAAAATCAAAAATACAATTGCGGCAGAATAGTAGTGCTGTGTAAAGTAGTAGATGGTGACACCAAAGTAAACAATGATACTGCCAATGAAGGTCGCAATAATCATGAATCGAGGAAACCTGGCGTTGGGGTGATATCATCATATGGTAAAAAAAAGGCAGAATAGGCAAAACGGTAAGCTAGGGAATTCCGATACAGATACAAGACAGGATGGTTTGGAAAAGCCAAGAAAAAAGCAACAACAACAACAACAAACAATTTGCTTCATGTGCTTGCTTGTGATAATACTTACGCATTGGCAAGAAGTAGGTAGAGAAAGCTTAAACCAAACCCTACCACAGCAGCCAAACCAAAGATCTGGAAAGCGCCAGTACCAAACACTGTACTCGAGTATTGGGTGGATGATTGAACGCTTCCATACGTTGACTGGTTTTGACTATATGTACGCAACGCCAGTACAGACACGCCAATGAATGCACCCAGATTCAAGAGCCAAAGAATAAGCGCCCACAAGTCTCGCCATCCGCTGGCCGGACGGATCGCCTTTTCGCTTTGCTCGCCGTAGTAGGGCTGCTGTTCTTGTGGCGGCGGCATCGGGTGCTGTTGATCTGACGATGGCGGTGGCGGTGGTGTCGAGTAATTGTTATACTGATAGTCTGGTGGGTTTGAGTAACCCTGTTGTGGTTGTGGAGGAGGCGGGTAGTAGCTGGACTGCTCGCCTTCCTTTGAGTGTTTCTGCATCTTTTGACTCGGTTTTATAAATCACGTTGTAGCCGCAGTTGCTGGAATGGTAGTGGTGGTGGTGGTGGGGCGGTAATGCTGCTGCTGCTGCTGCTAATGGTGGTGATGGTAGAACGGAAAGGGAAGAGAGGAAGAAGGATGATGCATGCATTGAAAAAGACATGCCAAAGAACCGAGTTTTAAATAATAAATATCAAGCTCGGGACAGCGGCCGGTTAATATTTGATTGGCTGGGTCGTGCCCTCCATTTTTGTTGTTGCTCATTTAATATCGCTTTTTCATCCACGGGATTCTATAATCTTTAAAGGTGTGAATGATATCAGTGGAGAGCTCTTGATGCTGGCCTTGAGACTAAGCCCTTACAGGGACTCAGTATACACTATATGCTAGTGGTAGCACTGACTCCACGTTACTACAGTGTCTATATGGATCATAAGCTAAGAAATACCACATGTGTCATCCGCACTACAAAGCTCTGTTTTAATATCAGTGGATCTATACAATAAGCTTTCTAAAACAGTTATGTACAATTGGTTATATTATGATTAATGGGGCGTTGTACATGACTCTAGTATGCTCATTTAGAAAATGTTGTCATGGTTGTGACAGCTTATATAGGAGCGGCTTGTATCGTAATAACTGTTTTTAGTGCTATATTTGCTACAGAGCCCTTCATGCCATGCATACATAAAGTCACTTATATGTAGCAGTGGAGTAAGAATAACCATTAAAAGATGGCAAGTCAGCATATTGGTGAGGGCAAATCATTCTTTGAGTTGCTGGAAGTTTCGAAACACGTGACACTTGAAGTTATGTCAAGTTCAAATTAGACATGGTTCTTCTTCCACTAAACCACTATCACGATACATTGCTATTGAATAAGAGACATATACATTAAGAAGCTATAGTATATCGGGCAAAGAAGTGACCCATGAGGCATTTGATGTGTTGAAGAAGTCCTTGGTCTATATCCCCACATGTTGTGGCGACCAATTGCCTTATATGTGCAGGCTGCAGGCTTGGTCAGCAATATTTGCAAATCCAGTTCACTCCAGACAATGCAACGCGACCTACCCTATGGACCAGGTGACACCTTGGGTCTTCCAAACATACCATCTGTTACTGCTGCTGAGCACTTGGCTCTCTCTTTATCTGTTCCCGTTGTTCTACGCTTTGTGTTCTTCTCCCTTGGCCTACCCCTTTGTACTTCCATAACAACCCGCTGAATCCAGCCAACACCGAATAGAAAGAATGGGTAAACCTAATGCCCAACAGGATCATTCCGCCTCAAAAACCAGGACAACGACAAAGACGACGACTAAGCGCAAAATCAGCTGTTTACCGTGCCGATTAAAGAAAGTGAAATGCGATGGCAACAGGCCATGTCAACGATGCCAAGCCAAAGACACAAACTGTTTGTATGCCAAGCCGGCACCCGTCGGACGTCCGCCCAAGAACGCTGTAGTCAACAAACTTGTGCTGGCCCGGAACGAAGAACCGATACCGTCCCTGTCGTCATCACTGTGCAAAGAGTTCATCTTTGAGCATGTTTCCTACACCAAAACGCCCAACGACACATCCTATTTGTTTAGCGGTAAAGAGATCGGTCTCCAGTACTATATCAAAGACATATTCTCTGCCTTCTTCGGGCCGGACAACAGTGCTTGTAACGAGATCGTGGAAGGACAAAAGATGACCAAAGCTGGCGAACTCGCAAAGTTGGTGAGCAATGTCAAAATGTACGATATGCTCCAGTACTTTACATGGATGACGTCCGACTTGATCAACATTATGATTCGACGGTTCAGCAGGTTGTCGCTGGACAATTACATTGAGCCAGATTTCACCCTGTACAGCTTGCAAATTGATCACAGCAAGGACTTTTTTGGGGATGCAGCCGATAATGCAGTCAATCCACTCAACTCTTTACCACCTCAGCAGGCTATGCGCTTCATTGAATGTTTCTTTTGCATCCATCCCTACTCGCTCATGTTCAACAAGACCATGATCATGCAGAGTTACTGGACAGATTCGGCAGATCCGCTGCTGATGACCGTCATTTATGGTACAACTGCATACATTTCTCAGCTTTTGGAAGGCAAACCCGTCGCATTGTGGGAGACTGTAACTACGGAAACCCATCGCAATGCATTTCTCAACTACGCCTACGTCCTCATCAACAAGTCGTCCGCCGAGGCAAGCTTGAGCAGATACCAGGCACTTATTCTGTTGGCCTTGTTCGAGGTTACATTTGGATATGCCAAGCGGGGCATGTCTCTGTTTGCATTGGGACACATGATTGCTACGCGGGTTGGATTGTTTCTCAAAACAAGACAGAGGATGTCGGATGTCGAAGAAGAGTCGTGTTTAATGACATTTTGGTCAGCATACAACTGCACTATGCGAGGGTGTATCGAAAGTATGTATATATGTACACATATTGGATTAATCAAGAACGAGGGACGGTTCCATTTATTGGACCCATACACTACCCGCATCACGGATTAATCTGTGTAACCCTTGTAGTGGACCAAGTACCCCGAGAAGTACTAAACAAATTCACGCGTCCTTTCCCACCTGCGCGAGTCGAAGAATCTGCATCGTATCGATTCGACCAAGAAAACAATAACGTTCGCATGTTCAAGTCATATCATTACCTGATCGAAAGCTTTTACTGCCAATCCGTCATATCGCAATTCAGCAGCAGACTTTTCATGTACTTTCCTGAAAGCAAACAAAACATCTTTCGACGCCGGCCATCATTTATTTCGACAACCCTTTCAGATAGCACCGCGTTATCACTCGCGCAGGTCGACATTGAAGAGGCCTTGAACAGCGTTCTCAACCAATTCAGCGTATTTATCGAAACAAACCGACACCGATGGTCTACTCAACAACAATACACAATCGAATCTACATATATACTCTACAAGATCCACTTTTCGTTCCTGAAACTGTATGTATTAACAGCCAAGCTTGACGGCATCTATGAAAGCAGGCCGCTTTCCGGGAATCGACGACATGGACGAATACCAGTACCTGTAGCGACTACCAACATTGACATGGAGATGCCGATCGATTTAGACGATATAGAAGTCGTGATCCGGATGCATTTAGTTGTGCCCATGGCGGTCGACTTATTGGAAAAGACGCGCATATATCTGGCGTCACCTGCCAACTACAACAATCAACCAGCATGGCTGCCCCATGGCCTTGTTGCTTCTGCTCTGGAAACGAGTGCCAAGATTCTGATGCTCAAGTATCGCCGTGATCCATGGGATTTGCAGACCTGGCACCATTTGGAAGCCGTGCGTACGATTACATCGAATCATCGCTGGGCTATTTGGACATCTATGCTCCTGATTGAAAAGAAACTCTCCGAATTTTTCGAACAATACCCGGCCCCGCCTTCAGGGAACAACGACAACGACAACGACAATAGTAACACCGACACAACTGTATCGTCACTATTTTTGAGGTCAACCGCTTCTCCAGTACCGTCAGTAGAACTATTTGATACCTCGAACAACGCTTCAAGTTTGGAATCGAGTGTTTCGCCTGTTCCATATTTCTTTGACGAACCTAGCAACAGCAGTAACAACAATCCTGTCACTGCTTTTGAAGCTTCGTCATCATTGTCCACTGATGTAGCCGGAATACCGACAGAGTTATTATTGGATGAAGCTATGGCACCGCTGGAAGCATCGATTGATTCTAGTATAACGTTACCGGTAGAGTTATTCGCGGGTATGGGTCTGTTTGGGACGACAGATGTGGTCATGGCAACTGATACTACTGCTAGTACAACCTGTCTGACGACGAATAATAGCGCTGAATGTAGTATAAGGGACCAACAGCAACAGCATGTGGATTTTGCAATAGATTCTGTTCTTGGAGAATATCGTAATTAGCTTTGTAAATTTAACTTTTGTCATTTTAAAATGTGCTTGTACTATTGATATACACAATTTTTTTTCACTACTGTATCCGTGATCTCGTTTCCTTAACTTTATTTTGCAAAAGATTGGTTATAAAAAAGGCATCCGCTGCGTTGATCATGTGGGCACTGCCGAAAAGACTAACCCATCTCCCTTCCTGCATAACTATATAGCTCTTCGTCATCTAGTACGGTAGCATATCTGTTAAACCTCCAGATTATCGAAATCTAAGGGGCAAACTGAGGAACGTAACCTCGAAACGTTATTGACAGCGATATATTATACAATGCATTGAAAAGTATGAATCAAAATTTATTAGAGAAAATGACGTGATAAGATAAATGGTTGCAAGAACCGAGTTAGTATAGAAAGATTCTTGTAGCCCAAAATAATGCATAAATTCTACGTCTTTTATATATAGAAATGGAAATAACACATGCTTTGCGCTGTTGTTCGTTATCTTTTACAGCTATTTTGTCCCCGGAATCAATGCTGAGAAACACTCACCCTTGCTTCATGTTTGTTAGTGTTCCAGTTTCGGTTCCTTTTCGCCCAGGCTATGTTTGCACAAGGGCATCGTAGTCCACCTTCACGCCATACATCATTGCTTGTACACATATCGAGGGTCTCTTTGTTTTGGTGATGCGTCCAGATTGGTCTTTTAAAAAGATTCTATTATATTGTTATACACTTTACTGTATTGCACATAAACGTTATTGTAGTTTCGGTAATGTCTCTCTTGCAGACTATCTACTCTGCAATTTGTTTGGCTACAAGGTGTTTCATTAGCTGTTCGATAACATGATGGGGAAAGGGCAGGCCTCGCTTGAGCGTCGATTGATACCGCAAGGCGTAATTATCAGCGTGTCCAGCCACGTACAGGATGAAATTGAACTTCCACCTACAGTAACAACATTGAGCGCCGTGTATGATCGATGAGATGATGGTGCAAAGACGGAAAGCACCGCATTTAAAAAACGGTTCAACCCAAGTTTGGATGTTGACCAACGTCGGGCAAATAACGTTGTGATTTCCTCAAATCCACCGCCCATCTTGTTCCTTTAATTTTTTATTTGATGATATGCTACTGTCCACACATTTATATGACCAAACGATTCCCCAAACATCATGATCCACTGTTGGGAAAACTTCCATTGAAATCTAGGAATTATGAGTATTTCTGTGAAGCGACGATCCCTATTGGAGGGACAGATAGTCATTTCGGCGCTCATTATCAGCTATCGCCCACGGTATGCAATGCCTTTGAAAGCGATCCAGAAACGAAGTTCTTTTTGACCTATTGGTAAAGGTGACATGAGCTTGGTGAACATTTTCGTACACTTGACCGGATCAGTGGCTCAAACCAAAAATATAGCCTTGGAGCGTCCATTATACGGGGAGAAACTACATGATTTAAAGCAAACGCATGTAGTCCAAGAGCAAACACATATTACTACCCCTGCCAACTTTAAATTGATATGCCACCTTGCCACCAATCAATGCACCAGTCGTGAATGAAATTATTGCTGGGAAAAGTCTTGTAGCGAAGAAGCTGCTCGTCCCCAGCACACTTTTCGGTGGCATCTAAAGACAACACATAATAGAATATTAAGCGGATCGTAATTACAAGGGACTATATGTTAAGCTAAGTGGGACGTAATGCACAGTAAACGGTGCTCTTAACGTATATAAAAAGCAACTGCAAAAGAGCATGATTTTTCTCTCGGGTTTTATCATAACATCATTAATTCGGAAACGACAAGAAGTCTGCAAAGAGACGATCAGAGACACAATGTGAATTTTGCTGTGAAAACAGGCAACAGTAGGGGTAAATTCGCTGCGTCTCTCTTTTCTTTTTTATTATCACATAACGAAGGCTCCGATCACGTACGCACAAACCCACACTATTGACAATCATAGCATACGCAAATCATCAAGGAAGCAAAAGAGTGCAACACAGATCTTTCTCTTTTGAATAGTGACAAAGTTACGCGTGTGTCAAACCTTGAACGTTCCAACAGCTTTCCCCTGAAACGAAAACTATGTAGAGTGAAAGCGCATTGTGACGCAACGATTTGGCCAATTGACTTCGCACTCGAAATGCACAATGGGATGGCGAGTGAACAAGGTAATAAATGGAGCAACGAATTACGCGCAAAAGTGTCAAACGTTGGAAGAAGTCATCGTTTGTAGTGTTATTCTTCTGATCGTCCCAATGGATCTTGAACGCTGTTTTAAAAGAACGTAGAACCGCACAAAAACAAACGAACCGATTCACTTTATCGGCAGCAATGAAAAACAATGAAGGAATGAGTCGAATTCACTAGCGGCAGCGGATACTTATTTATGAGCGGGCCAACGTATCTGCAGCAGCACATGCTTGGGATGGAGGATAGAACTTTCGCAGTAGCATAAACTGGGATGGAGGATGGAAGGATGAGGTTACACGGCGTGGTTCAGAGAACTGTTGGCGGATAGCGAAGATGGTAAAGCAACAGTTGACGAGCACGGTTAAGCATAGAAGATAACGAGTCTTTATTATAAAGTGCAGCGATGGGGGCATCTTTTTCTGCACACACATAACATTACGTACCACACACACAGTCAAAAGACAATATTAAAAGTACTGTGAACTACGCTATATACACACGTTGTTTGTCTTGTTGGGTGAAGGAATGTAACCTGGCTGCTGAGTGCATGGTGTTCTCAATGTTCACTGATGGTGAGGTGTCTACCTTGTCAGTCACTCATATTTCCGTCATTTACTGCTCACAGAAAAGCATTTCTTCCGTGAATGTACTTGCTCATTCGCATTCGTGTCTTTGTTTTCGCTTGACACGGTGCCGTGCACGGACCTCTCGCAACCAAGCGGCGACGTCGTCGTCGGAGGTACAGCTGCCCATGGTGAGAGACACGTACCACTACCGCCGCAGCACATTTGTTTACTTGACCACCAAGCACACCCCCTTTCTTTTCCTTTCGTGATAGTCCCTTTGAGCCATATGCTAAAAGCCATACTATTGAGCAAAAGCCAATGAAAATCCATGGAACTTGGTGGAACTTTTTGAAGTCCCGAGCGTGACAGTCAAAAAACGTCTATATAAAGCGAGCAGTTTCGCTTTTCCTTTCTTTTTCTTTTTCTTCACTTTAGTTCGTTTTGGAAAGGCGTTGGGCTGTATGCGCGGGAGTCACTGTCCGTGCTATGATCAGTTCCGTGCCAGTGCTGGCGATTGTACAGATTCTTCTGATGATTGGATGGGCTCAGTGGTCCGCCATGAAGAGATGACTGCAATGTACCAGTGCGGGTCAGTGGAGGGTGAGGAACGAACAGATTATTTATTACACACATTATTACACACAAATAAACAAAATGATAAACAAAATAAAACAATCTTTTTCTTTTCGCACTCTTCTCATATACGTTTTTACCGCTTTATTATTTTTTTTTGCTTTGCCTTTTTTTTCATGTGCTTGACAAGTTCCTTATTTTTTTTGCCCACCCACAGCTCCGTGCTAAACAAAGCGCAGAACAATGACAGACGACAGTAACACGATCACAACGCGCTTTATCACACTTTGACACTCCTTTTCACCTTCTGTGATCGCCTAAATTGCTTGTTACCGCGGATATGGTGCGACCCTTCTTGTGAAAAGGGGTTATTTTATAAGAGGCAACACCAGAGCATACGCCAACAGGCTAGTATAACTGCTAGATCTTAAAGTTGGAAAGTCTGTTTTCAGCTGCTCCTCTCTCTCTCTCTCTCTTGCACGTAGCTTATCACAACACGATTTTCTTGTCATTTTGGTTTTCACCTGATTCAGATGCAGAAAATTGCGCCTGTTTTCAAAGCGTGATTCTTGAACCAAACGTCACTTCCAAGAGGCGACAAGAAGGCGATAAAGCTTGCGCAATGACCGTGCAAATAGTTCTTATGCATGTTGACCGCGTTTTAAACACTTTGGTCTGCTCGAATTTGTATCCTTTGAGTACAGTAGATCGATTATGACGCCTGTATTATAAATGTAGTTTAATCTTACTGAGTGGTGCTTATGTCAGTGTGCTAATAAAACATTAAAGGGAAACAAAGAATCGGCAGTGCTAAGGTCAATAATAGTGAGTAGATCGCCCTTGCATACTTTTGTTTTATGTATAGATACCTGCTTAATAAAATTACTGAAGTTTGAAGGGCGCAAATGGACGCCTTCAATTCAACAAGCCATCTACGAACGGAGCCATCTTGCTCGCCTTTTCCTACTTCTTATTCTTCCAAATGAAGTTGTACCTGGTGAATATGTGATTCCATTAATGCGGTGGTATTATCATTGCTGTCAGGATTCTTCTTGTTGTTTTGCTTCTTGATTGAGCTACCATCGCTACTATCTGATAATTTATAAATTTGATCATATATAAGCTCGACACATCATTAACCATCATCAGGACAAATATGACACGTCTTTACACCACGGTAAATATTTTAGTGATATTTAGTTGAATTTCGTTAAACGTGGTTGATTTTTGTTAAGGTGAAAATGACAATTTCACCCAGATCCACCAAATATAACTTTCACAAGAATCTACCGATATTCACCAGCCTTCATTACTAGTAATTCACCAGAAGTAACCCAAATAAACCCATATTAAGCGCATCACTTATAACTCACAAAGACCTCCTCACATGAACTACGTATTATTCTTTTGCGAACTTACCACACTAAACCTTATCACTACTACACCTTTATTACATGCGGCTCTTCTTTTTCAAAGGCGTGTCACCGTCACTGCTCTCTTGTGTACATTGTGGAGGAATTTCTTTCTGCTACTATGACGTTGTTACGACGTTTTTTACCGCCACGTCCACGTCCCGCTCTTCGATTGCTTGATGCTGTCTAATCCTTCTGTTGCTCCTCCTTCTCGATGCTGTCCGTCTTGTACAGATCTATGATAAACAGTGTAAATGAAATGTACATACGTTACTCCTTCTTATGCCTTGAATTTACATTTTATGAAAACGTGACTTACGTTGCTTGTCTTGTTCGACGGCATCGTTGGTTCGAGCTAAGAGCATCACTGGGATTATATGGAAATTCAATGAGAAATGCTGGTTAGGGGAGTTGTCTTGTTTTTTCTTAACTAAAATTATATACTTACTTGCAAACGGTTTTGTCTAAGGGAGCAACAGTTTCTTGCGCATCTGAGATACTATATAGTATACAGTATCGTTAAAAACGATATGTGTAAAAGCGATATCTTCTTTCTTAAAAAATAGTAAACATACTCGCCAGCATTTTGAATAGTCTGAGCAGTGGTTTCTTGTGGAGAGGATGATCTAGATTGGGTTTGAGGTCGTGTGAGGACACATATAGAGTGTCGAATTAAGCACCAAAAAGTACATGACTTACGTGACAGGAACGGTGTGAATTGACCTCGTACCTGATGATCTATATACTACTCGCAGTATTTAAGACATGAAAAGTTTAAGGAACAAAAGTAAAAACTATCTTACCGTGAGTCGTTGCTTAGCTCAGGTCTGGGCGGTCTGAATCATCCATAAAGTGTAAATACTGATCCAAGACGCAGCTACCTACTAGTCTAAAATCTATTGACTTCATACATTTAAAAAGTGTTATTTACCCTGTCAATGTAGCACGGTCGCCAGTTTCGCTTGCAGTTGTGTATTCACTGGGGGACATGGGTGGTGTGGCTGTCGTTCTAGATTTTGATTGTAATGCTCGTCAGTGCAAATAAGATATAGAAAAGACAAGGCAAAAAAATATCATACTCCTGCTAATGTAGCCTTGCAACTATACCAGTCATTATGCTTACTTGCGTTGTTGTTTGCCTTTACGCTGCCTATATCTGTTGTTCCAGCATTCAGACAGCAAGTGATCAGCACACCAAATGATCTCACACCTTTTAAACGCCACATCCTTTTTTTCTTGTGCTAGTGAATTCAATGTAGCGATGGCTTCTTCCTTGTCGTCGACATCCAGTTTGCTCCACGTAGTAAGATAAACTTACTCGCCACGCGATCCATACTTTTTTGCACGTTTGCTAATGAGGAGTTGGCGTAAGATTCGAGTGTATTGTAAACTGCTTCTTTTGTCCCTTCATTCATGCTGTATTAGCGACAATGTAACGCTTGGTTATAGCTTTGAGATTAGTACGGCCTTTACTGTTTGAAAGATTCGGTTGTCTAATTATTTCTGTTGGCTGTGTGCGTGGCTGTCGCGGCGGTAGTGGTGATGGTTGCTGCTGTTGCTGTTGCTAATTGGCAAGCTGGGATCATACATCGCGTACAGCCGATGCAAGGTCTTTTAGGATTTTTGTTTGGGTTGGTGGATCTGACAAGGCAGTAAGCTTGGTTGAGGAGAAGGGAGATGAGAAAGGGAGAAAAGGAGACGCGTTTCTTTTTCTTCTGAAACAACCCGTTTGACACATTAATGACATACTGCGGAATCTGTGACAATACAATTCGACCATTTTTTTGTTGATTGGTGTCTCAGGAACTGGCAAGAACGACTTGCAGAAAGACGGCAAGCCATACCACAACAAGAAAATGAGGAAAAGCATTGACTTTTTCTTTCCTTGGGTTTACTTCTTGTCGTTCAAAGAATTAATAAATGCATCAACTTCCTAAAAATATGCAGTGCAGGAGCGCGCACAATTTCTTTTTCGAGTCAACTATCAGGATCAACAAAACGACCATATCAGAATCATGCACGAGATTCTTCTGAAAGCAATGACAGTGTTTCGTTTGAAAAACTATGACTTGGGCCAGAGAATTGATGCACAAGACAGCCCAGTATGGAATGCCTTATGGACCACCGCCACATGACGGACGAAACAACAGGCTCTATGTTGCCGAAGCAGATAACATTGATTGTGTGGTTGGAACTTTGCAGTCAGCTAAATCGCCTCAACATAACGTTTATCATGTGTATCCTGACTTTAGACCATATGGCTCAAGGCTCGGTGATACTTTGAAAATCTGTTACTAGATTACACCTGAATTCTTCCACTACTGCTTAGCGTTCTTCACAATGTTAAAAAATGTTATTTTAGATTGCAACCTTTATTTGCTATGTTTTACTCAAATCCACTTTTTTAACCAGTTTTCACAATGGTTAACCACATAAACAAAAGCATTTAACTAGGTTTAACAAAAAAACTTCTAGCTATACCTGGTGGTAGCCTAGTATCACTCTTACTAACCAGCTTTGACATAAAATAACAGTCTTCATCAGTATTGACAGGTATTGACTAGAAAATTTCCCGTGCTGATCATAGATATCTAACGAAACAACGAGTGCGTGTGTTCCAATTACGTTTTTATAATGACACTACCATCATCATGTGTATAAATCCAAGGTACTGTTATAGGATCCTGAATCCCTGGTTTTGCTGGATCATGGCCTTGTTGTTGAAGACAAATCGTAAAATCGTGGTTTATATCTCGCTCTATGCCGTGTATGATAGTATAAACAAGAAAAACGAGCTTTAAGTTATACTAAAAAAGACGGCGGGAGTTCCAAAAGAAAAGAGTGATCAGGTTCAAAATAAGCTACATGTGGAATATATGCACAGCGGGTCCCGATTTCTAGGAACCAGCTGCCTTGGTCGTCCGTTTCATTTTATGGGATAGTGTATGTAGACCCTTCAACGTGGTACCAGCATTGCAACTCCCTTTGTGTAGTGGTATCTTTTCGTCTCACCTTCTTCTTGCTCGTCTCAACAACGCCAACAACACTAACAGCAGAATTAAGGCTGCTTCTCAATAGTATTAGATTTAGTACTCCCGATTGGCTGCACGCAATCTTGGCTCCACTAGTATAATAGGTATATCCTACATCATTCAAGTTATCTTCACTTCATGCTTATGGTAGGATGCAGTGTTGTAATATAAAGACGTGGTCAATACTTGTAATGATAGAAGGCAAAAGGACCCCAACGTTGATATTCTATATGGGTCATTCTCTTTTTGTCAAAGCTCAGATTAGTAATACGATTATTATCACAAAAAAGTTTACGGCGCGCACTTTTAATAGCATGTGTAGGACGTATAGCAAGTAGTAATAAGAAGGATCTCGCGTATAATACATGTACATGTGCGCGTAATAGAAAGAACGTTCCGGCCCAGTAGTTCTTTTTCTTACTAGTATCACTGACTTGAGTAACAGCTTTCCATAGTAATGGTAAGAACCCATCCTAGACTACAGCTTTTAGAACACAGAGAGAGAGAGAGAGAGAGAAATAAGGTACTACACGGGCTCACACATACGGAAACCCAAAAGCTTAGGAATTCGCCGACTAGCCCGCCAAACGGGGTAAATGCATGTGTGTAACCACTGATTTTCATTTGATATTCACTGTTGACTATTGTGGTTTAGCAGCACTACAGTATAGAGATGGACTTTGTAGCGGCCGGGCACAGCGCCCGACGCCGGCCGGATAGCAAAAGTGAAACCGCAGGAACTGACCGACAAAAAATATCATAATAATGCAGCTTCAAAAGACCCAAAATACAAATACCGAATCACAAACGTAGCACACTGTTCACACCAGCGCCTGTCGACTTTATCGTGTAAGTGAAAAAAAAAAGATGCGCTGTCGTTGATATTTATAATTTGGCTGTAAAGTGGGCTTCTCCTACTGCTACTGCTAACCGGAAGCAAAACGCCAATGTTTTGGTGGGGGGAGAGGCCGAGATCATATGGGGGTACGTGCTTGGACCACCTTTCACAGAGACACCAAACTCTATCTCTGTTGCAATAGCAGTGCTAGCAGCAAACCAGCACCCAGCACCAAACTTGTAACAGCGGTGAACAGAAAGCCTTTAAAGTTAAGCTTGGCCAAGTAGATGGGAAGGGGAGGAACGGCCAAAGTGAAAACCAATAGGATCTCTCTTTTATTTTCGCCTGCCCTTTCTGCTTATCCTTTCCTTGACCGTATCGTAAGATACCCATGAGCCCTACATATGAAATATCGGGCACAAGTGCAAATTTTCTTGTTCCGCAAAGCGAAGGTGCTTACGAATGCTTATACTACGACAAACAAACCAACGATCTTGCGGTCCACAAAAAAAAACCTTCTAAGAATAGATTTGTGTTACTAGAAAGGAAAAGTTTCCCACTACTGGGCTGAATAGCTAGAAATTTAAACTGGGTCCGCCACTACTGCGCTAAAAGAACTTCTGCCTCGCGAATGGGATGATTTCTGCCGAGTTTGTTAATTTCATGCAAGATGCGTAGTAATGCAAACCACTCACATAGCAGCAGCAGCAGCAGATGCGGTAATAATAGAGCAAAGACTGCCCCTACAGAGTGTCGTCTATGCATCGAGAGAAAGCGCATCTTTAATTACAAATGCTGCAGCATGTTTATGCATCCAATATTTTCTTGCCTGCAGCTGTCAATTTTCTTGGCCACGGTTAAACTAACACAACGAAGATCGATCCGAAATTGCCCTGTGCTTTTTTTATTTCCAATATGGATAATTGGGGTATTTTTTTCTTTATTTTCAAAAAAATAAATTGGATGGATGGTGCGCCGCAAAAATAAACATAAACTTTTTTTTGTGTCCTTTGGTTCCACCCCTTGTGGAAAGGAAAGAAATAGTGACGAAGAAGAAGAAGAAAATCATACAAGAAGTAGGAGGCAAATAATATCATACAACAGAATAAGAAAGGCGAATAAACAAACGGGAAGTGGGGGGGGGGATTTACAGGGAGCATGGAGAAACTGGCTGATAGAAAAAACAAATTCAACAATTCACGATAGAAACATGATAGCGCGCGGGGATGGATGGATGTGAGAGCGTGCAGTAAAGAAGGGTTGGGTGGGTGAATATGAGGGCGTTAGAAGATAGCGAGAGGGTCCTTGGTAATGCCAGAAAAGGGAGAAGAAATTGCAAAAGGGAATGTGTGTGTGTGTGCAAAAGAATCGAATGACCGTGGTGAGAATCGCGCAATATGGTACAGGAAAAGGAAAGGGGTTGTTGTTTGGTTGGTTGCTTGGTGGCAGTCTGTGCGGAGCGGAGTTGCTTTGCTTAGGGCGTCGTCAGCACTTGTTCGTAGAGCTGGATGACCAGACGATTTGCCAAACAGAGTGCGGTTTCCTTGTGATTGCTCAGCTGATCGCACTGATCAAATATGCGGCTTGCCTATCATCGTCCATAATCCATCCATCCATCAGCGTCAGTCTCACTCTCACACAACACCACACACCGACCTTTTACCTCTGATTGCGCTGTCGACTGCAAACATGCGCGGATCTTGTCAACTTCATGGAACTGCGGCCGGTCCGGATAGTCAAGACTGCTCACTCGCTCTTGGTTCCACTTTTGCCAGGTTTCGTAAGCTGCTGCCATGGCAATCGCCTTGTCGCTGTGCAACCGAGAAAAGATAAAAAAGCAAATTCAGTAACCGCCCCTGTGTCCGCTTGTTACCCTCCCCCCCCCCCCACAACCTTATATTTTCCCTCTTTCTCTGTGTGTGTGTGTGTGTGTATGCGAGAATGTCCTACCTGAGACGCGGGTTCCGTTCAAGATAGACCATTTGATGATTTTCACGGTAAGCTTCGATGGATATCAATGTAACCGAGCTCTGTGATCCTCGCTTAGCCGGACTGAGCCCGTGCGCAAATAACTCTGCCGAGGCCGACAAATCGTTGTTGCTATTGGCTACCACAGGCGAGCTGGAAGCGGAAGACGTCGACGGAGTCGGATTCATCGTGGAAGAGGAAGAAGGTGACTTGAACATCGCAGTTGCTTGGAGCGCCGGTGGCTCGTCTAATAACGCACTGTCGCTTTCGTCGATGAAGATCCATTGCTGGCTGTCGTTGTCCATGTTCTGAAACGGAAAGAGAATAAGCTTGCTGCCTGCTGCAACGTTGTCGTCCGGATGGGTTGCGTGCTGAATATCCAAGACCCAATCTTCGTTGCTGAGCGAGTGGATCATACTGCCGGGCTGTTGTCGGCCATATGCGTCAAGTGCTCCGTCTCGTACGCCCCACAGCTGGTTATGCGCTTCTTTTTCGGATTTGGGTGTGTATAAGCAGATCTCGGTCTCTTGGATGAGTCGAAGGCGGCCTGATTGTAATGACGATGTCAATATCATACCATCGTTTGTTGCTGCATAAAAGAAGATCGCTGTACACTACCTTTTCGAATATCGAGGACTAAATCATTCGACTTGTTACGCAAGAACTGGCCGTCCCAGCGCCACAATTCCTGGTCGTTTCGCTTGGCGGGAGCAACCATGACCTGTGATCGTAAGGCGTCGCTTTGATTGCTGGAAGAGGCGGTAATGACGTTTCCAGTAGCCACGGAACGAATGTACATCCAACCATTGTTGAGTGGAGGTGTTTGGAGAGTGGCAACCATGGTTTGTGATTTCCTTATACAGAGTTAATTTGTGTGTTTTTGTTGTTGTAGATCAAAGAAGAAAGAAGAAGAAGAAGAAGAAGAGGCTCTTTTTATGATGATGATGATGATGAAAAGGATGAGAAACAAAGAGGCATGATTTTTCCAAAAGTCATTTTCTCGACAGGCCTTTTATATTAGCTGCCAGGGACGGGGAGCCCGAAGAGTTTAGTAGCATAGCATCATTACCAAATTAGTCATTTGTGTTCGCTGCGTGCTATGAAAAAGGGTTTCCTCGTTCTTTTTGCTATGCTGACCCCTACTTCATATGCTTTTTTAGTTACGTGTCGGAATTAGCGATCATCCTTCCCTTTTGACCTTTTTTCTAATAAGATTATATATACAGGCCCCCCACCTCCCCACACACACACACACACACACACACACCTCGAAAAGAGGCTCTTTGTGCACTATGTAACCCCCCCCCCACCTCCTTCTCATCATCCTTCCTGATCCTTCCGCCGGTATACTTTTGTGCCAACCGAGAATGCTAAACCATAACTGTCGCTGCTACTAGAAGCTAGCTACTATTACCACCAAGTGCTAGCTGCTGCAGTATCCTGCTGCTATTACCGTCAGCTGCGGCTGTTGCCGTGGCGTACATGTAGAATCGTGTTGTTGGATTTAAGCTGGGTATGTCTTACCGCTCCGGGTCTTTTTTTGGGTTCACCCCATCTTTTCAACAGCTCTGCAATAGGCATAGTTTGCTCTCTCTGGTATATACTTTAAACAGTACACCCGGTTCTTCTGCTACTATTGCTGCTGCTGCTGTTGCTGCTGCTACTGCTGCTGTTAGGATTAAGCGCATTATAATGAAGGATGAACCTTGAACCGACATATAGGGCAATGTAATGCTAATTTCCTATATTGCTCTCATATTGTTTCTCCGCTTATGCTTTCTCTCTTATCCTCCTATAGCACACCCCCGCCCATCCCCCCCAAGCACCCACCTTCTCGCTCTCTTCTATTTGCTTTTGATGGACGGATGGTCAGTGTGTCGAACCATAAAGCCTATCTCCGAAATATCTTTTTACCTGTGCACATCGTTTCCTTAAAAGAAGATAGACACAAGCCCCGGTACCTCCGACCGACCGCCTCTGTTCCTTTTACTCGTTTGTTCCGTTTCTGTCTGTCAAAAAGAGCCTCTGTGTCTGTGTGTGGTGTGCCACTTTTCCTATTCCGCATGTGAAAAAATAAATAGGCTGACTCAAAGGGTGCGTCCAGCCATACAGTGCTTCCAACAACCGAAGTCGGTGCCGTTAGAATTGAATTCGCTGGCCAATTAAAATTGAAATCGCTAACCAATCAAAATCAAATTCGCGCTTTCACAAGTGGAAGGCAGAGATTCCTTTTGCAAGTATTTTCTTTCTTTTCTTTCTGATTCCTTACAAGTTGACATGAGTACAATATTTCTATTTGAAGATGGGCATGGAAACGTCGTCAATGAGAATGGTGGTCCTGAGCCTATGGACTACATCGTTGCTGAGAATGAATTCATTGTTGAGACAATTGCAACTCATACTGAATACTTGAACGATGCACCCATCAATGAGTCGTTTCCGAGCTGTCCAATGTTGATACAAAAACCAAAAAACGAAGATGTCTGTATGAAGGAGGCAAATACCAGACGAGATTATGTGCGCTATACCGTCCAGGATAAGGTTAGATTTTTTGACCTGAAGATTGAAAAGTGTATGAGTGCTGCAGCAGCTGCTCGGCGACTTGGTATTCGCGTTCGAACTGCTCAGAAATGGGTAAAGCAATATAATACGTTCCCTGACAGTATTTTTTAGAGTAGTGAAAAAGGAGGTCGTAAGTGTATCTTGACCAAAGAACATAAGATGACTCTCATTGACTTTATTGATGATAATCCCTCTGCTACTGTTATTGAGGTTACCGAGCATTTATTGAAGCGATTCGATAATCTCAAAGTTTCACGTAGCACTGTTTATAACTTTATGAGAAGTGAATGCAACCTTTCACTGAAAAAGGCTGATTTCCATTCTATTGAACGGAACAGTCTAGCAAAGATCGAAGAGCGGTACGATTGGGTTCGTAAATGGGAAAATACGGACATGAACTTCTTGACGAATTGTGTGTTTCTTGACGAATCCGCTTTTGATATCAATATGAAACGATCAAGAGCATGGTCCACAAAAGGTACTCGTACTATTGTTACCCGGCCTACAACAAGAGCAAATACAACATCCATATTGGGTGCAATCTCTGCCGTTGGTTTGATCACATTTGGTGTGAAAAAACCAAGGCCTGTCAAGAAGAGAAAAGCCGATGGATATATCAGCTCAGGATCCGTAACAGGTCATTACATTAGTTTCTTAAAACGACTCTAGATGAGATGGACAAATACCCGCATATGAAAGGTTATTACATAGTTATGGATAATGCGCCCATTCATACGCATGAAAACATAAAGAAATATATTGAATATCGAGGATACAAATGTGTGTATCTCCCTCCCTATTCTCCTGAGCTTAACCCAATAGAACAATTCTGGGCCGTGGCGAAGAGTAAGGTTAAGCGCCATAGGTTTTTGCAGGAAGACACACTATCAAAAAGAATTACGGAAGCCTGTAACAGCGTGGAATAAGGTCATTTCAAAGGGTTCGTCTCGCATTCTTACAAGTGCTGGGACAAATGCCGAAACAAAGAATCTTTGTAATGCCTACAATAATACAGCGATAAGAATCAGGCAAGCAACAATCAGGCAAGCAATAATTTTATTTTATGTTCGACAAAAAAAAACTTCTCCACGCCCAGCTTTTAATCCACCACGTCCAAACCTCAGCCAATTTGTATGGGATTCCACGTCCAACATTTGACTGCCCACGTCCACGTTCCACGTCCAGCTTCTGATTGGTCAGCAATCCATCGGTTTGGACGTGGTTGATCAAAAACTGAATGGCATTCACATTGGAGACATTGGCGGCATTAATCCGTTGCTTGCTCTGGTGAGAAATATTCATGAAAACTCCAGCTTTTAAACCACCACGTCCAAACCTCAGCCAATTTGTATGGATTCCACGTCCAACATTTGACTGCCCACGTCCACGTTCCACGTCCAGCTTCTGATCGGTCAGCAATCCATCGGTTTGGACGTGGTTGATCAAAAACTGAATGTCATTCACATTGGAGACAATGGCGGCATTAATCCGTTGCTTGCTCTGCTGAGAAATATTCAAAAAAACTCCAGCTTTTAATCCACCACGTCCAAACCTCAGCCAATTTGTATGGGATTCCACGTCCAACATTTGACTGTCCACGTCCAGTTTCTGATTGGCCAACAGCCCTTTTTCAGGAGGTCCCTTGGTTTTACTTTGTTTTGTTATCATGGCAACAGAACAACACCGTGTGAACGTGCCTGTCTTGACAATGACTGACCAGCATTCACGATCTGATATGCATACTGCGTTCCATGCCAGAAATCATTTGAAACGGCAAATGCACTCTTCGCCCACCGCTCGAGAGATCACTGCAACGAGCTTCTTTTCAACTTGGGTCATGGTAGTAAGCAAACAATGTGTCTATTTCAGTAACAGATTTCTAATATTATTTTTTTCATAGTCGTTATTTGCGTCGCCAAGGTGAATGGAAAATTTCGCTGCCCTCTAGTCGAGTGCAAAAAAGAGTACCTGAATGTGTCATCTTTTCGCAAGCACGCGCTCTTGAAACACCCAAACAGCAACATCACGGTGGCAAAAACAGACGAATCTCCAGCAGCCAAGAGACGCAGGATCACAGCTTTAGCTTTCTCCAAAAATAAAGGATGTGAAGCTACGCTCAAAATGGGCAACGAAGCGCGCTCGACCCATTTGGCAACTGGTATGGGCTGCATCCCAGTGGCCTTCCACCTTACCCACGAATCTATGAAAGATCCAGTGAGCATGCAGACGTTGATAAATTCGTCCAAGCTTCATGGTGTGTGTTTGAAGCTTCCATTCGCATCGCCTTCCGTGACACCCAGGTCAAATGTGTTATGCAATTGCATGACGACGAGTGCACCATCGGCGTCCTGCTATTAGTTGTCTAACCAATTATAACCTACTAGCTGTAATATAGATAATAAAATTGCTATGATCGGTATAACCATCAGTGGCCGAATTAATTATTGATTTACAATAAAAATAATAAAAATTGACTTTTTTTATTTATATTGGTAGCCTCCCACGAGAAAATAAAGAGCGATTGTTTAAAGCACATAACAACAAATAAAAATGAACACAACACAACACACTGAACAACTCGATATTGAAATTAAAAATTTAATTGATAATAAATGGACTTTCTTGATAAATCTTAGCCTGAAATGCAACATGGATTTAATCATGGAACAGCTATTAAAGATATGAAGAATAATATAATAAATGATATAATGGATGTATTACTTAATAGATTTGGATTTATACCTGTATTTTATTTTCTTCTTACTGTTTTATATGGAAATATTGAATATCCAGGGCCATACCGTGAGATTGAAAAAGGACTTGCATTATTATATCATATGGTATCAGGTGTATCAGGAAAGGATATGCATACTGTTATGCCATATGCAACATTTTATGATTTATATAATAAGCGGTTCTGGATTACAAACTATAATGAATTGAATAAAAAGGTAAAACAAGATCTAGATAGTATGTTCTCATCACCATGTATTCGCATTCTATCAGCAATAATAAACAATCCAGATGGTTTTAAGAATGTTACACTATTTATTGATGGACATGATAGTAAAATAAAGTATTATAAACCAAAAGTCACATTCACAATTATATTCATATAAATCAAAAGGGCCAGCTGTACGTACACAAGTTATACAGGATATGAATGAAATAATTACACATGTTTCAGTATCTGAAAAATGTGCTATCGGAAATGATGGTACTATGTTTATTAATATGAAACTATATAAAAAAATAAGTGAGGCAGATTGTTTAGGAATGGATGGTGGATATAATTTATTTATACAAAAGTTTAAAGATAATGCGACAGATGCTGGATATAGTTTTTAAGATCGTAATTTTTTACATCCCATAAGAAAAGAACCAGGACAAAAGTTAACAATCAATGAGACATACTTTAATAACAAGTTTGGATCATTTCGTTTGGCAATAGAAGCACAGTTTTCTATGTTAGGCTCTAAATTTGAACGATTTAATAATAATCGTGCAGCATTGCAAATATCTGATATAAGATATTATAATATCCAGTTTCGTGTTGCTTGTATTCTTACTAATATATGGCGATTTGTAGATAAGTATAATATAGATGTACAACCACATCATAAATTATGGTATGGAAAAGATTTTGAATTCCCAAGTAAGAAATACAAACTTGACTTGGTATTTTCAAATGAGCAAAAAGTAAATACTGAATATAACGAAATGGTTGACATGCAGCAGAAATTTCTACAGCTTAACATTAATCAATCAATAAATATGGCTATAGATAGTGAGGACGAAGCTGAAAATAATACATCTAAATGCAAGAGAAAAAATCAAAGAGAACAGAGAAATATAGAACATAGTAATTCATATGAAATTGAGAAGATTGTAGGACATATGTATACTGATAATAAGTACATATTTGAGGCTAGGTGGGTTGGATATAGTGTAAAGGATAATAGTTGGTTAACAGTTGATAAGTTTAATTTCCGGGAAATGCTACATGAATTTTATGGCCACACATGGTATTCAGCTCTAAATTAATTTCTTACTTATTTGCTTATTAAAAAATCTCATATTGAAACTGATCATATCAACCTTTCGTTTACTTGCCCAATTATATTTATGTTTTATGCATTCATTAGTTATACTTGTACTTATATTAGTATCTGCTGATTTATTTTTGACATCAGTTTCTTTTGTTATATCTATATCATCTATTATAGCCTGTTTTATATCCTTATGCTTTTTAAAATATTCTTTTGGCTGTATTTCTTCTACTATTTGCTTGTTTCTCCGTTTATTTTTATTGTGTCTTTTTTTCTTTTTACATTTTGGTATATTATTTGGTATGTTGCAGTCACTGCTTTTCTCTGATTCAGATGTACTTACATCTATGTATTTATGTTTCTCTATATCTTCTGGTGGGTTTTCCCAATCAGTAGTATCATTTATAACATCATCACATTTTATATCATTAAACACATCTTCCCAATGCCTACAATCTGCTGATGGTGGTACCTTTACAGTTGACCATCCTCTGTTTGTTTGTTGAGGTGGTTCATATTGATTGTTATCTTGTATATTATTATTATTATATTTTTCCTCTTGTGTTTTCATATATTTATCTGAATCAGCCAATTCTTGTAAATCTTCTACTGTTTTATCCATAGGTTTATACTTTTTAATACCATCTTGGCCACTATTAATTGCATATCGGATAAACGTATGCTGGTCTTAGTACTCATTTCCATACTCATTTTTATATAAGTCCTTGTATATATCCATATTTTCATAATACATGAACTTATCTTCATAATCTTTAACATTCATCGTATATGGATTCCATATGATATGACCTTTGCGGTTCTTATCAATATAAATTATATATAAACGGTTAAGTATTGGCTCTAACTCATATACTGATTTATTTTTATAAAGCATATGGGGCATATAATTACTATTTAATAGTATTGGCATATTCTTTTTTTTTGTGATTGATTTGGTAAATTTGCCATTAAGTTTTATCGTGTTCCTTTAAACATTTGGTTTAAAAATGCTAGTTTGAAATCAGAACCAGTTTCCTCATTATACATAAAGTCATAATCATCATCTTTATAATCTGACTAATCATTGTCTTTACTCATTAGATATGCCCTGTGTCTACCTTGTTCTAACATATCAATGTTATATGTTTTTCCAACATTTGATGGACCAACAATCCAGTATTGTGGTATTTTGTTTTTACCGCTAAACATAGTTTCAATACCAAACATAGACCACATATAGAAATCATTTCTAGGAGTATTTTCCATGTCAGCATCATGAAAATAGCTATTAAGATTAGACTTTACTGTATCATATTTCCATAGTAATTCTGGATATATTTCAGTTGCCTTTCTCATAGTAAGCTGCTTGTTAATTAATTAATAGCCAAGTAATTGTTGATGCATTTTTCTAGTTTTAATTTCATAGTTTGGGTCCATATTATAAGCAATATAATTATTTCCTTTAATGCAGTAAATGATAGATTTTTGTGGATTACCACCTGGTTTAATATTTGGAGTGATACCGTCAATAGTAAAAAACTTACGTGCAGTTTTAGTATCAAATCTTTTTTTTAATTATATCCATATATGCACATGTTTTTCGCCTGTTTCAGGTGCAATTTCATCACATGCAATTGCCTTTTCAATTTTATAACCAATACAGTCATGTTTAGTAAACCATTCTAATATCTGTTCTTTTGTTAAATAGAAATATTTACCAATATATGTGAACAAGCCCTTAGTGTTTTGAAAGCGGAATTCTTTCTCACCCTGTGAGGTAGCTGCACTGGAAGTGTTATCATTCAACATTGTATCGGAAAATTGAGGATTTGAGGATTTGAGGAATCTCATATATGCTCGAATTCTTCTAATAATTTTATTGCGTGCATTATCTTTAGTTTTTTTATCTACTTTAGCCTGTGTAAGGTCTCTTTCGAAATCTGACCTCAGTTGTGTGACAAGAGGTTCATACTCAATATGCTGATGGTTTTCAGCAAGGTGTTTTGCTCTTTCAATTAAGAGCGTCAATGTAATTCCTAAAATAGGAACAAATTCAGCCATAATGGCTAATAATGTGAGAAGGTTGAGTTGGCTCATGTCGATTGTTGAAGTAATAAAGATAAAAAATATAACAAATATATTTTGCTTTATATTCTGTGGTGTTATTTTTATATTAAAAAAAAATTCAATTTTTATTTTTTTCAAAAGTTCAAATGTATACATGCCAAGACATTCGTGCATGAATTATTTCAATAAAAATTAATTTGGCTATCCTGATATATATTAGCTAATAAGTCCTCTAAGGTTACTAGATCGCATTAAAATCATCATAACCATGGCCGGTCCCTATTACCCCAGCCTCTCATCAAGCTGCCGCTCACAACAACCTTTCGGTGCCATTGGACGAGGCATTAGTGAAAATGAAGCAGGCGGTTGCTCAGTCGTGGTTACCGAAATTACTCTGCAACAGCGAGTACGATGAGGTTTCGGGCAATTTACTAGCAGCCCTGAATTATGACGTTCGCTGACGGCTTAGTCTATTACAAGTCATGGCCAAACTACATGTAGGAGCAATTGTCGTTGACAAGGAAGTGATCGTGATCCTGGCCACCGAGGCCTATAGTCATGCAAAAGCTGTGGATGTTCATGGCGAGACAAATTTGAAAACTATCCCTGGAGTACATTCATTATAGGTCTTATATAAATTTCAAACTCAATTACTTATAAAAAATTTTTAAAAAAAAATTGAATTTTCTATCTAAATTAAAAATAGTTGAAAACAAATAATTGAAAGCTTTATAGAAAATATTTTAAAAATACGAAATGTTTATAGAAAGTTACCATATATTAAAGAAAGCTTTTGATAATGAAGTTGATGGAATAAATTATTTACTAGATAATAAATATATATAAAAAAGAGATATATGTGACAAATGTAAAAATAATAATATTAAATTTAATTATAAACAAAAATTATATGTTTGTAATTATTATAAATATAGAAAAACATATTCACCATTTAAAGATACAATATTTTCAAAGATGAAACTACCAATTCATTACCAATTACATATTTTATATGAATTTTTAAAGAAAACACTAATAACTAGTACTTCTAAAAGTTTAAGTATTGATCATAAAACAGCTATAAAATATCATAAAATTTTTAGAAAAAATATTAATATAAAGATTGATAAAATTGGAGGTAGAAATTCAATAGTAGAAATAGATGAAACGAAAAAGAAAATATCATAAAGGCCATAAAGTTTAAGGAGCATGGGTAATTGGTGGCATTGAAAGATCTAGATTAAAAAATAAAATTAAAAATGAAAATAAGAAATCTTTTTTCATACCAATTAATATTAGAAATAGTGAAAGTATAAATAAAATCATTAAGAAATATGTTAAAAAAGGAAAACAATATACACTGACTGTTGGAAAGGTTAAAACAATTTAAAAAATATAGGGTATAAACATAAAACAGTAAATCATAAAAAATACTTTAAAGATCTAATTACCAAAGTTCATACAAATGGAATTGAAGGTACTTGGAGTAGATTAAAAAGAAGCATTAATATAAGAAATCTAACTAAAAATGGTATAGAATTACATTTGAAAGAATACCAATGGAGAAAAAGATATAAAGAATATGATATATGGAAAAAGTTTCTAAAAATATAAAAATAATTTAAAAATTGAATTTATATATATATCAAAATTAAACTATTAGACTTTATTAAACTACATCTAAAAATACATTTCAAATGGAAGATTTCATTGATGAATCATTTAAACATAATATCAAAAGAAATTTAGTAATTAAAGAAATAAAAAAGAGAATATAAGAGAATATAAAATTAAACAAAATAATGGATTTTTTGAGATATTAATAAATTTTAATGGGTCTTTAGATAATTATAAAAAAGTATATTCTTTTAAAACATATAATAAAGTTCAAAATATTGATAGAAAAAGATTAAAAAGAAAAGTAAATAATGATGATATTAATAAATTAGAACAAAATATTAAAAAGATTAAATCAGATTAAATTATAAATATCTGTCCTTAGTAAAGATATAAAACTTACTAGTAGGATGGATGGCAAAAATAGAAAAAAAATTATTGAATAATATCAATCATGTGATATGAAACCTATCTTCTATATAACCCCTATCCCTCAAGATGTGCATCAATTGATGATCAGTATTTTCGAAGAGGTGGACAGTCATGGTATAAAGAACAAGCTCAAGATTGGCGCCCGTCATATGAACATTCTGTCAACTATGTCTGTCTACTTACACCAAGATCCATGCATCGATATTGGACCTGCGACGTCGGCTTTAATAGACACAGTCAGACCTGGACGCGCAAGGTTATTCTTACGTAGAGACAGCATTGAATCCTTCATGGTTTCTTTCGAGGACAAGTCATACATGTTCCCTCCTTACAGTATCTCGTCCATGCGCCAAGTATCAACAGGATTTGATGACGCCAGTTCGTTTGCACCATGGCGTGCCATCATTGACGTGTTGGAAAGTATTTTGACTATGCCAGCTACTGTTTTTACTCTTTGCGACTTGCCCCACAACCAAGGCTATAGAGTGTCGGCCACATCCACGGAAAAAATAGCGTCTCGATTCATGTAAGCCTTGTGTCTTACACATCTGGATTCGACACCGCCTGATTTCACCAAAGCGTTGACAGTATTTGGTGCAGCAGCCAAAACTCGAGAATGTGTGTGAGCATCAAGCAAGGACTGGGACAAGCTTGCTGCCAGCATGACCGATCTCAAGCTGCTCATTGTGGAGCACCATGGATTGTCAGCACTGACTCTTGCGATGCTACACGATTTCAGTAGCATTGCAAACCTAGCATTGAATCGACTTTCCGATTGTAATACAAGATTGAAAGAAAACATCAAGATACGCCTCGCTCAACTTTACGGAGATAACTAGCTGATCACCACTTGCACATGCTTTCCACCTTCCTTTGGAAATTTTACAATCACAACCTATATCATGCCGAATTTGACACTTAAACAGGGTCATTTTCATTTACATACCACCCTATTCTTTTCATCATACAAGTAAAACACACACTGTCGATGTTTTTTTTGCCTTCTTTCACTGCATATTGTTTCGAAGATAACAAGATAACAAAGTACACTGTTTTCAGAAAACGATGTCGCAAAAAAATAAATAAAAATAAAAAAAATGAAGAGCGATATGACAATTTTTTTTGTGCTCATACCTGGGCCTATGTTTGTTTGAATCGTTGCTCTACCAAGCATAAATGCATGACATACTAGCGCAAACATATCTTCCAGTTTATGTTATGTAGAAAGGGATGCTTGCTCATCCTGGTGGTCGGCCGCCACGTCGTCGTCGTCGTCGAAGCGCAAAACCAAGGGACCTATTGAAAAAGGGCTGTTGGCCAATCAGAAACTGGACGTGGGCAGTCAAATGTTGGACGTAGAATCCCATACAAATTGGCTGAGGTTTGGACGTGGTTGATCAAAAGCTGGGCGTGGAGAAGTTTTTTTTTGTCGAACATAAAATAAAATTATTGCTTGCCTGATTGTTGCTTGCCTGATTCTTATCGCTGTATTATTGTAGGCATTACAAAGATTCTTTGTTTCGGCATTTGTCCCAGCACTTGTAAGAATGCGAGACGAACCCTTTGAAATGACCTTTTTCCACGCTGTTACAGGCTTCCGTAATTCTTTTTGATAGTGTGTCTTCCTGCAAAAACCTATGGCGCTTAACCTTACTCTTCGCCACGGCCCAGAATTGTTCTATTGGGTTAAGCTCAGGAGAATAGGGAGGGAGATACACACATTTGTATCCTCGATATTCAATATATTTCTTTATGTTTTCATGCGTATGAATGGGCGCATTATCCATAACTATGTAATAACCTTTCATATGCGGGTATTTGTCCATCTCATCTAGAGTCGTTTTAAGAAACTAATGTAATGACCTGTTACGGATCCTGAGCTGATATATCCATCGGCTTTTCTCTTCTTGACAGGCCTTGGTTTTTTCACACCAAATGTGATCAAACCAACGGCAGAGATTGCACCCAATATGGATGTTGTATTTGCTCTTGTTGTAGGCCGGGTAACAATAGCACGAGTACCTTTTGTGGACCATGCTCTTGATCGTTTCATATTGATATCAAAAGCGGATTCGTCAAGAAACACACAATTCGTCAAGAAGTTCATGTCCGTATTTTCCCATTTACGAACCCAATCGTATACCGCTCTTCGATCTTTGCTAGACTGTTCCGTTCAATAGAATGGAAATCAGCCTTTTTCAGTGAAAGGTTGCATTCACTTCTCATAAAGTTATAAACAGTGCTACGTGAAACTTTGAGATTATCGAATCGCTTCAATAAATGCTCGGTAACCTCAATAACAGTAGCAGAGGGATTATCATCAATAAAGTCAATGAGAGTCATCTTATGTTCTTTGGTCAAGATACACTTACGACCTCCTTTTTCACTACTCTCATAAATACTGTCAGGGAACGTATTATATTGCTTTACCCATTTCTGAGCAGTTCGAACGCGAATACCAAGTTGCCGAGCAGCTGCTGCAGCACTCATACACATTTCAATCTTCAGGTCAAAAAATCTAACCTTATCCTGGACGGTAGAAAGCGCGAATTTGATTTTGATTGGTTAGCGATTTCAATTTTAATTGGCCAGCGAATTCAATTCTAACGGCACCGACTTCGGTTGTTGGAAGCACTGTATTCACATCTCACCCTCCCAAAAATAACGATGCAACCCTCCCTTCACTTGGGCCTCTCTCTCTCTCTCTCCACCCATCCACCCCCAAGCATTCCACACATGTCCACCAGATACCTCCCTCAATTTCGACATACGCAACATGCCATATGTGATTGTGCATTATTGATCAACATCTTCATTTTTCGGCTGGCCCCGTGCTCTGTTATTAATAAAGTGTTTCATCGTTGCTCTTCTCCGCACATCATTCTTCCCATCTTTTTTATTATTATTGCTGTCTTTCCTGCAAAGCCTTGACTAAAGGCTGTGCTATATCCACAATTTGATGTCCGAGATTGATGAACAGGCCTGCATTTCATATGCATACATAATTTAGCATTATTATTATCTTTTTTCCCATCATTCTATCGAAATGAAACTTGCCTGTGTTGGCAGCCGCATCGCCAACCAGAGTAACATTGAGTGGGTTACTATCCAGTTGCACAACCTGATACAGATCAAACATGCTGACGATAAATCTGTTGTCCTTCAGTCCGAGTTTAGAAGCCTAATATTGATACACAAATTTCATCTTGTTAGTACGCATCATACGAAATCTATATTATCTTTTTATAACGTACCTGGTTATTAGCAATGGCAAATGTGCTGGGTATTGTTGATTCGGCTACGTTGATTGGGGCGTCTGGAGATGTGCCTAGGGGGTTTTTTACGTCATTTACAAGTGGTCAGTATATGATTATGAATTGGTCACCATTAAAGAAAAGCATCAAAAGTACTTTTTAAAATGACAACACCGTCTTTGTCTGTAATGAGGCCAGCTTTAAGTCCATCGGGAAAGACTTGACGACATAGTTGATCAAAGGATTCTTCCAAGCCCATTTCCACACTTTTTCTTTTTCAATGCATAAAAAAAGGGCGGGTCTTCTTTTGGAGGGAGTCACCCTTTTCTTATGCCAGCGGTAATAGAAAAAAATGGTATACATTGTAATGCAAACACAAAGCGATACAAGTTTCGAACCAATACTAATCGATTATAGAACCAAAGACAATGGACATACTATCTTTCTAAAGAAGCTATTGTAGGGTGGGCTTTCATATGATACATCAACATCGACCAAGAAAAGTAGTAGTACATTTCTTGAGTACCACAAAACCATCTCGTATCAAGCTATCCTACCAGAAAATGTAATTTAGAGTAATTTTGACAATGGTAATGTTAAGCAGCATACCTGCTACTATGTATTTACTCTCTAACTGAGTGGAATTTAGAGGTTGCATTGATACGAAATAGTATGACCAATGATAATATGGTCGAATTCGTAATAAAGGTTGGTACGAGAGAAAGTGGTAGGATGGCATACGCGTCATCAAATATGTAGTATCAATTAACAAAGCACATGAATCCTTAACGACAAACACAGCATTAGTCATCTTTGATGTTATCATTCTATAATAAAGATCTTATGCGTTAGGAAGTGATAAGTGATAAGCGGAAAACAGGGAAGAGACGAAAATTGTACTGGATCTAGATCTTGTAACTTTTACAAAATGAGGGGGGGGGTGGGGAAGAGAACTGAGAAGAAGCTGTTCAAATTATAATGTACACAAAAATACTGTATTCTGTGGATTTCCTTGTGATTTCTTGTGATGCATAAAAGAATAGCGTATTGTTGTCTATACTGTTACGCTTGGCCGGCGATCAACAAGGTTTCTTGGAAAAAGTCTTTTGTTGGAAAAGTTTTATTTCAACGCAGCTTGTACAGGCTGGCGTGAGCTTTTTTGTTTAACTTGGTTTTAGTCGGCGCAAAGCATCTTGAAGCGTGAGTGAATTGTGAAGCATCTGAGCGTGAGAAGCGATACAAAAATAGTCGATCTCGTAGAACAGCACAAACCTCCGCAACAAACTTGTTGGTCCGAGCTTGTGTTTGTGTCTTTTTACTTTTTGGCCTGTGCTTAGCCCCCGTATTGGGCCACCGACGAAAGCTGGTGGGAGTCAACTCCATTTTCTCCGTGAGTTGGATGATGACGACCAACGGATCCTCTATGCTACGTAGCAGTTTCAAGAGAATTGCTCTTAGCAGTAAACGGGTGATACATATTCATAAGGCTCACAACAAAATAACAAGGAAGTTGCATTATCGGTTTGTTTTGCTTTTACGTAATAGCATACGAAGACAAATTGGGAAACTGACATGCTACTAATACAATAGTTACAGACCAAAGACGGCAAGTTGTTATTTATTGGCATGAGCTCAATTTTGTTTTTTCCCCCATCAACATCACCTTCCCAGTGAAAACATTTGCATGAATCCGGAAATCCGGCAGCATATGTGACATAGTCAGCCCCTTTCCTTTTTATTACATACTCACTATAATACTGCTTCCGCTGTATTTGTTATGATGCTGCTTGTTGTTGTGTCTGTGTACTCCGTCAACGACTTTTAAGCAAGATGCAGCGTGAAAGAAAAAAATGGAAGCTACTTCTATTAGTCAGACCTTGGATAAGATTGTGTCGCTTCCACACTAATAACTATAAAAACACCGCCACAATGACGTACAACATATATGCTATGTATACATCCTTAAATTGCATTGATCATCTGTTTTTTCTATGCTTGTTATACCATCATTACTAATGTTAGTAAGTAGACTACAATATTGCGAACTGTATAGCTAAATAGTACTATATCTCATTACAACAGTGTGAGATAGTATGAATCTCCCTCCTTCAACAGCTATAGTCACGTATTCCTATTTACTTTACATTGACTAAAACCACAAAACGTTGAGTTTCTTATTCATAACGCTAAGTAACTCAAGAGGTGCATGAATCGTTTGCTAGGGACAGTTTCAATACGCAATCATAAAAACTATTGTAGATCAGTAGACCGAAGCTAACATGCATCTTTAGACCCCATACCTCTCGAGTTTACTTTTTCCTTACCAACTGAGACTTCAAAACCCTATTCTACCATAGCAGCAAATTGCTTTTCGAAGGCTATATACTCTATTTTCCCGAGTAACAGAGTGACTTTTTGCACAGCAACAGACTGTTTCTTTTTCTTATCACTTTGATTAAGCATGCGATGTGCTTAATACAGCATAGCCTTGGAGAGGATCTGGTTTCTTGGCAACTAGATCGTATGTGCTACCCATGCATACCATAAAAAAGGCGAGCGCTTGTTTTTGTACCGTTTACTATATATTAAACTTCCTCAAACAATGGCATACCGTATTCCGTACAATTAGTCCAAACCAAAAAGGCTGCTTTAGAATGAAAGATGATCCAATGGTATATACGCGGTCACTACTTTTTTTTTCGTAATCCATACTAAGTTCTATGATAATCTCTGCATACAAAACCGCAAGATTATAAATTGTCATCGTACGACTCTCATCATTATTACAAGGCTGTCACCATCTGAAGCTGTCCATCTGACACGTTATTGTGTTTTTTTGAAGTACAATTTGCTTCCCGTTTTATTTGGAAACAAGAGAAGAAAAACTTTCATCATGGCGGTCTGAAGATGTGCGAGAATCTATAAGTAGATGCAAGTATACTTATTTGATATGAGGCAAGAGTTTAGATTTTACAGTTCATTATCGAAACGTTCTTCAATGTTCCTTCCACAATAATACGCCAGTTTTGCCCCACAGGATATACCTTTACGCTACATACTTTGTGCTTAAGCGAATCATGGATATTCTATTAACTATGAATTTGCTGTATGCTGTTGCGTTTCTGTCAACGCTACTGATTGGCGGGGCATCCCAAAACTTCCATCAAACTGCCAGGTTGAAAGATAGCTGTAGAGGAGGAGTACTACAGTTGTACCCCGGTTTTTGCAACCGAGGGTTTTCCGATTTTTTTTTGCAAAAAGTGAGGATTTGCAAGTAACGGGGTAAACAATTCTGCTTCAAATAGACACTGGATAAGTCATCCTATAAACACTAGCGCATTGTTTATCTGTTAAAGATGATGTACGACACGTTCTGTGGGGATTTCACACAGCTCTAAATGTTACTACTTGCATATATAAGACCGTTCTTTTATTGAAGCTGTCTAGTGCAGTAACCGTATGATTTTATTCCTCGATAATACGCAACAGATGCTTCTTTCAGTTGATATTGAAAAAAATTGAAGCTGTTTTTACCCCGATAACGTGCAAATCGTATAAACTCATTTGCAAGTTGCAAATTTGCGAAACTTCCAAGTTTTTTTTGGATTTTTCAAAAAAAAAAGTTGCAGATATACGAGGAATTGCAAACTCAGGGGTTGCAAAAACCGGGGTTCAACTGTACGATGATCTCGAAACGAGATGTGCAGTTGTTGTGGGAATATCTATGACAAAGATGTCTATGCAGTATGCTTATCTATAAAAAAAGCAAGCGAGCCATAGCAAGTTGACTCTGGGATCACGACACCTCGAGATACACTCAAAGCTACTGAAAATGTAAACTTTACGGTCCTAAGCGCTGGGCACTGCCAGCACAAGAACTCTCAGCCAACATCTTCATGAAGAGCTGGTGCTCCTGGCCAGGTGCCCAGTACATAGCACTTGGGGTATTGCGGCCTGCAATTTCCTATAGTAGCGTTGACAATCACGGCGCTTTCTTCTTTGGGTCGTCCTCAAAACTTTAATAAGAGGATACACAGCACACCTATGGGGATCGGTAAGAATCTGGAAGCTTTAACTGCTGTATTTTTTTTTTGCTTACAATAATAGTACTCAGCATGCCTTGCTTCCCTACCTACTAACTGTTACAAGCAGTATCTGTTGTTCATCGACCTTGGCTTTATTTATGTGCTGTACCTCAGCAATGATGAATTATTACAAAGAGCATCACTGTACTGTAACAAGCACCGTTCTACCTAGGCACCACGAGTGCAACTCTTGGAGTTAATACTCACAGTTGATCTTTTTTGTAGGGAACCCATTGTAATCAACGTTCAATACTGACCACAATATAGTAGCAACAGTTCCAATTTTGTTTTTCGTGCACATGTGTCAGTTTTCATATCCTGCTTGGGCAGTTTTGCCACGTTGCTATGAAGTGCTTGGCTAGAGGAGGGGAACAGCTATGAGTAGCTAGAAACTTTTTAATCCAAAGCACAGCTCTTTCTCACCACTATCCTGGTTTTCTCATACACATTCATCGTGTGTTGTTGGAAAACAAACACAGGCATGCAATAATTTAGTGGGACCCGGTAACGGATGACATTTTGTTGGGGGAAAAGCTATAAGAGGGTCAAATGCTGACGCGTACTACTTTCGTTTCTTATTATTACCAAGTAGCTATACGGCGTAGCACCATAAATAGCTCAAGGGAAAAGTGTGAACAATGTAGAAAACCTAAAACGGACAAAATTTTACTCGTGTACTTTTTATGATGGAAGTAAGCACACATCGCCTGATGTGGCATAACACGCAATTGACGGAAATGCAAAAGTGGATAATAAATAAAGGCTGTGTTGTCAGAGTGCCCGTGTACTTTTGGCTAAATATTGATGTGGTTTGCTTCCTAATTTGTATTGAGAAGAACCCATTTTGGGCTTGTGTTCCAAAGAAGAAACCCCCGGAACAGCCGAGAAATATAGAAAGGATCTTCAACCTGTTTGTTAAACAGACTTCAAACTCCTTCGATGAAAATGTACAAGGTTGGTGACTTTAGTACTAGAAGGAAAAAAGTTTAAAGTAGTATGTAAGCGCAAGATAGATACGAACCATCGGCCTCGATCGCAATCGGGACAAGTTGTACAAATGCACCCAGATCTTTTCAAGAGTCACCAGAAGCAAAAAAGTGCCCATGTCGTACCATCCAGATAACTTTTGCCAAGAATCAAGCAACAATGTTGGTTACATACGCTTTATTGCTTGATATAGTGTGTGTCAACTTGAATGCTTGGAAAATACACGATCGCAATGAGGGAAGAACTCTCGATTTTAGATTTATTACGCCGCACGGTAACTATACTGCGATATAAGCTTTGCCAAAAGAAATCAGCAGATGTTGCAATGTTGACAGTTTCTTTCTGTGTAACCACGTTCCGTTTGACAGGGTGGTTAGAGCAGTTTGTTGCACAAAAAATATTGTGCCCCAGATGGGTTATTGGCTTTTTGTCTATAGGTTGAAGTCAGGTATGCTATAGGTATTTGCTAAATGATGTAAAGTTCGCGAGCATGTTTTCGATACCATCGTGCTTGCAAATGGCCGTGTTCTTAATGACTTGTATGCTATTCGCGTCGAAGCATTTGAAGATTTCATAAAGCAGTAATGAGTTTCCGACGCATGTCAAACACGATGCTCGATGAGGACGGGTCATACCATGTGTGGCAGTGATATACATGAGTGGTTAGCGGTGCGTTTACGTCGCAGCTCCTGTCGGGAGATCGTAACTTTCATACACAACTATGTTGCAAAACATTTTTATTGATTAAGGAACAACATGCATAGACCTGTGACGGCGAGCACCAAGTATTTAAAACTTTTGTCTTTAACTTTGCACAACATGCAGAATAGTATTGCCTCTGTATCCTCTAAACTGCCATCACATTTTTATTCCAGATCCCAGTCATGCAGAGCCTGCGCATTGTCAGCGGAAGATTTGAGCAAGTGAAAAAAGATTCTATCAAGTGAACTAGCAAAATCACAACAGTCCCAACAGCAATATCTTGCTACATGTCGCGGAATCCAACCACAGCAGTGCGTGTGTTTTGGAGAAAAAGCGATGCTACTGTGATAAAGAAACTAATAGCTGATTCCATTCTAAGAGACTGTTGGAAGAATAAGATGGTGTGGATGCAGAGTTAAGCTTTGGACACTAGGAAACATCTTGCAATTTTTTTAAAAATAGCATCACTGAGGACGCGAAATATAGCGACAACATCCGTATTTTTGATAATCCCAACGTTGACCATAAATCTTCTTCAAAGATGATAATTGAGCCTTTCCTCGCATTAGAGACTGCAAATCCTCATTATTGTGTATTTCTTGATAATAATGAATAACTCAATTCAGCACAACACACAAATAGTACAAGTGTACCCCTGTTTTCTTATAGACACAAAAGGTTTGTTACATGGTAAAATACTAGATTGATCACATGCCTTATTGCTAGGATACGGCTCATGTCAATTGAGTCTCAATTAAGGATGATCGTAACGGAAGAACTATTCACTCTGATCAGGTCTCAGTTATAGTGTATACTACGCCACATCCACTTGTAAATAAAACTTTAAGAAAAGAGATCAGGAGATGTTGAACGTTCATTTCTTGTGTAACCGCATTTCAGCCAAATGTAGTTTGTCACTTGTTTGAGGTTGCAATCGAGTATGCTCCCATTATATTGACAAATGGCACGAATTTAAGGCTAACTATCTGTATGATTCATTTATGCTAGGAACAATGAGACCAGTGTGACGACGGTACACGGAAAGAAACATACTAGGTATATCTTACAGCGCTGTGCACCTTTAATGAAGAAGGTACGCGACATACAACCGAGATTTATTGTTGAAGTGTGCTGTTGATTTTGCTTATATAAGGTTCGACAAAAAGAAAAGAAGCATGTAATGGCTTGATATGCAATTCAAAGCACGAGAGAGTCCAGTTATTTTAGTCGAGGCTATGTCTGTTGAGCAGTACGCGTTTATTATAATAATGTCAACCATATGCTTAGAGTTTAATAAAAAAACTGGGATGGGTAACGTAAAGCGGAGGCTGAGGGAGGGTTCGTGTGTGGAGTATGCTGAAAGTGACTTGGTGTATTTTGTAAGACGTCGTATAATAAGGAGTTAAAAGAAAATCATACAGTCAAACTAGTAACATCATATCCGTCTTGGCAGCAACTTTCTGATACAATTCGCGGAATCCAACCACAGGTCCGGTTGGTGTTTCCCTAGACAAAATGTGAAGATGAAAATAACATGAGTACACATCCTGATTGTGGTTTTATCTAGTGGAGAACAACAGAGACATACTCTTCTTTCTTCCTCCGTGCAAGTTGTTCAGCGACCCATTTAGCTCTGATAGAGTCTTCCTCCCACTGCGATGATCTGATTTCTGCCTTAGCAGCGGCTTGACGATGTATTTCCTTGAGCCGTTTTTGCTCCAGCTCCACTTCCAGTTCTCTCGATCGTTCTAAATCCTTTACTTCATTCAAATCCTCCAAAATCTTTTCCACAAGTGCATGATCTTGAACGTTACGGGCATGCTCCAATTTCGCCAATAACACAGCATGTTCCATGGATGCATTCACCTTGCGACCGGATATAGATTGTTTCTTTTCAATCATCTGAGATACTTCTTCATTGTTCAATACGTAGGATCGTGCAGCTTCAAAGTTCTTTGTCTTGGCCTTAACATCATCCAAATCCGGAAGAGGCACGCGGTCAGCTTCGCAAGTGCTTAGCAGACGCGAGTATTCTTGCTAAAAGTTTTATGAAAGTTTAGCGATTGATCAGTACTTACAGTAACGGATAGTGGTAGCAGTAGAGCCATTTCTAAATACCTGTGTTACTGGTTGATTTGAAATGATATCCATGGTGAACGCCTTTTCTGCTTTTCCATGTTTGACCTTCAATGCCTGGTTACTCCATATATCAGTGGAAATCGAGTATTTCTTGTGGTAAGGGACAACATCTGATATTGAAAATGACAGATACTTGTTAGATCATACATCGTCCCATCATCTGACCACAAGTATACAATCAGTACGTACCAACAACTTGGCATAATCGATACACATGTTTCTTTTGTTCGTCCTGGCCGATGAAAAGTCGCACATAGGAGCCTAATCATGCATGTTCAGTAAATAAACCACACAAACTATCCTATAGCAAAATTCATCTTACCGATCGCGACATCCTCAAAATATGGGGCATACAGCCATCTTTCGATCCGATGACGTGTGAGAACAATGGGTTGGATTTCGTCCAATGTGGGTGTACGCTATTTTAAACATATATAATGACTGTGAGATTTTACGAATACATTCGGGCCAAATTGCACCATCTCAAGGCTGATATATATTTACGCACCTTGACCCGACCCTCATCCTCCTCCTCCTCTTCTTCATCGGTATATTCAGCAGCACTTTCATCGCTGTATGAAGCACGTGCTCTCTTCCGTCGTTCTGTAGGTGATGGCGAGCGTCGGTGCCGAGTGCTACGTTTCTTTTCTTCGCGACGTCGTGCCAATTCATTCAGTGCGCCCGAAGTTCTGCTTCCTTTAGCGCGCGTGGAACCTGAGTCATGGTACAAATGCAACCCCAATGTTTAGTACTCCCGTACGCAACATTCCCGCCAATCACAAACATGACAAGAGGAGATCAATGTTCCACGTACGTCTTGTGCTGTCTTCACGTCGTCCATCGTTGAGCAATTTCCGCACTTCGAGTCTTTCTAAGTTGCGTTGACGTTCTTCAGAACGCTCACTGAGAATGCGTTCGCGCTCTACTTCTGGAAGCGCTTGTAGTCTAGCAGAGAGAAAAATACAAACGTATTAGAAAGATCAGGGTCGTGTGCCGTGCACGCTTGATTTGTATGTGTTATCGGGTCTCAATGGCATCATGTGAATATACCGTCGGCGATCTTCTTCGTCTTTGTACAAGTCGGGTCCGTATTCATCAATGCCTTCATCGTCGTCAGATTGAGCATTGTTGGGTTGATCGACCAGCTCGAGAATAAGATCGTCAATTTCTTGGCTCATTTTTTGTGTGATTTAGTAAAGATATTGTAAACCGAGAAAAGTAAAGGTAGGCGCTCTCGTATACTGATTTTGAAGCCCGGCTCTCTCTGTTTGTTGGTTACCCTTTGAAACCTGTCATCTAAATCAATAACACCTCTGCTCTCTCTCTCTCTCTCTTTCATATTGAACATTTGCTTTTTATCTTTAGTGTACTCGGTACTTGGATCAGAAAGCTAAACAAAAGGCTCTCATGACCCTATGTAAACCCACAAAAAGTTGTATTGGTATGGTAATTCCAGGGTAAGTAATAAACTAATGCTGTTGTGATTATCCCATATTCATCGTTACGTGTAGCCAAAGGAACCAGTGACAAAACAGTACAGCCATCAAGTTGCCTTTAAAATATACTGACAGATGGTAGCGAAGAACAATCGGCTGCTACAGCTTTTAGGTCTTACATAACTTATTATCGAAGAAAATAACACGATGTCTATTAGATGGCTGCCGTTGCATGATAAATGGTGAACAGCACTAAATACATCAATTCATCTATACTACAAGAGCTATGGATAATGATGAAGAAGTCAAGAACCGAGCACTGTCCCCTTCATTCTTCAATCGTATGATTACAAACGTTCCATCGGTGCATGTCTATGAAATTGCTCGATGAGCGGAAAATGGCACTTTTCCCGATTTGGATGCATTTTTTTTGTCGTCAAACAGGTTATATTCGGCTGAACTCTCCCCGCACCACTGCTTGCTCCGTAGCTCCCCACTCTTTCCCTTAACCTTTTCGTGTTTGATTCAACCCATGGCTCCATTTGCGTTACTCGCCCGGAATGCAGGTTAGTATATACACTAGCGATTTTGATCGGATCGGCATATTGCTACATATTACTGACTGTGCTCCTTGACCTTCTTTAATACCTCTACGACTGTTATTTCTAAAAGCACGTCAGCATCGATCTCTAGCGTGGCAATCTCGCGTCACCTTTCGATTGTATAGCGACGTGTCCACCAAAAAGCCGTACGTAATTATCATTCAACTTCTCTTTGCTTTAACGTTGTTTCTTCCAACTTTCAAACGCTCTGTCATTTTGTTCCTGGTTAATAAGCAAAAATCCACGTTTAATAAAACTAACGTTACGTTGTGTGAAACACAGACCAACAGCTGTACTTTTGACGAATATGGGTGGCCCTGAGACACTCGACGATGTTCAAAGCTTTCTTCATAACCTGTTTTCAGACCGCGATATCATGAAGTTGCCGTTCCAAAAGCACATGGCCACATTTATTTCTACGAGACGAACACCTAGCATTAAAGAACAGTATGCTCAAATTGGTGGTGGATCGCCTATTTTGTCGTGGACACGAAAGCAAGGCGAAGCCATGGAAAAGTTGTTGGATAAAATCTCTCCGGAAACAGGTGATCCATCCTCTTCATATTCATCCATGCCCAATCGCTTCATTTTTTCAAGAAGTGCTTCTGAACTCAACTAAACAATTGCTTATTTCAGCACCTCACAAGCATTATATTGCATTCCGATACGTTGAACCATACACCGATACTGCATTACAACAAATGAAGGAGGATGGCGTGAAGCGTGCGGTCGTATTTACACAGTATCCACAATACTCTTGCTCCACGACGGGAAGCAGTTTGAATGAACTTCATCGAGGTATTATGCGGAATGGCCTGGAGGAACTTGATTGGAGTATTATTGACCGATGGCCCAAGCATCCTGGTTTCATCGAGGTATAAGCAATGGCTGTATGATAAATTGCATAATGGGAAGTTGATACTAAACGGTCTGAACTCTGTTTCCTTTTTGCCAGGCGGTAGCAGGTCGTATTGAGGCCAAGCTGAAAGAATATCCCGCTGAAGAACGAGATGATGCGATTATTCTGTTCTCTGCCCATTCGCTGCCCATGGCCGTCGTGAACCGAGGCGACCCTTATCCGGGTGAAGTCGCGTATACAGTACATCAAGTCATGGAGCGGTTAGGACACAAGAATCCTTTCCGACTGGTTTGGCAATCGCAAGTAGGCCCCCAACCTTGGTTGGGTCCTCAAACGTCGGATGCCATCAAGGGCTATGCTGAGGCTGGAAAGAAGAACCTGTTGCTAGTTCCTATTGCATTTACATCTGATCATATTGAGACTTTATTTGAGCTGGATCTTGAGTATGGCAAGGAGGCAGAAGAGGTAAGAATGTGCAATATTGCGTAGTCTTTACGAGATTGACTGAAACGGTGTGCATAATCTTTGTAATATAGGCCGGTGTATCCGGTTTCAAGCGAGCTGAATCACTTAATGATGATCCAACATTCGTCAAGGCCATGGCTGATATCGTAAAGGAACATTTGGACAGTGGCAAGATGGTTTCCAAGGAATGGTATCTTCGCTGCCCGAGCTGTACCTTTGATAGCTGTGGAACAACCAGAGATTTCTTTGCTTCAAAAGAAGCTTCAAACAAAAGTAATACCTAATTCTTCTATCATTGTTTTCTTTTCAATCCCATTTTCCATTATCTTTTATTGTTACATAACCACGCTTTTTGTAATACACATTGCATCAAAACCGACATTAGCAAACCATTACAACCCCAAAAAATCATAAACACAGAACGAGGAAAGATGAATTGTGTCTAGGCAAACCTTTTAATTTGAAATTGTCGGAGGTGATGCATGAAAATAGGAGTTGATAATCTTTATCTATTATACAACAAAATGTTCTAGTTAATGATGACTGATAGGTGCTGGTTTTGTGAGTGGTTTTATTTCGTCAACACCCATCGTGTGCCTTCTCGGCGCTGTTCCACTTCAATTGCTGGCAATGGCCAATCCTTGGGCCCAAAGTTTGGAACAACATGAACTATCCGTCGATCCTTCTTCTCGCCAATCACCCTATTTGCAAGTATGTTACATATCAGCAAAAGCCCTGCCTTTTTAAGATAGAGAACGGAAAAGACAGCTTACTTTGGTAAAGGATAGTTCAGTGGTCTACCATATGTACACAGCTCCTTGCCCAAGTTACATAGCCATTTGGCTTCTACGGCTGTAACATTCTTCATCCAGGTATTGTTCGGTGTCTGGGTCAGTTCGCTGTATGCAACCATGACCGGCGGCTCTTGCACATAAAGGACCGATGTTGGATGGATAAATGCATCTTCGTTGCTCCACATGAGTTTATACGCCACACCACTAGCATTCTTGTGTCGAGCTCCTTTGCCGCCGCCCGCTTCTAAAACATCAGCGCGCACGGCAATGCTATCAATGAAGCCTGCAGTCAAAATTTGTTGCAAAATCTTGAGTTGCTTTTTGTTGGGTGGCCTGAGTTTTGGATCGACGCAGATATCGACACCTGGGAAATTGGAAGCGACGATATTTGTAAGTTGGCGTCGAAGTTGACGAATTTCGGTCATGGCCTATAAATACATATACAAAGGAGTGCATTATTAACAACTAGTTCACAGTGCTTTGAAAATAGCTATTATACTTTACCTTTTGACGCAAACCATGTTCACGACAGAATGAATCACTTGCATCGGCATATTCATAGGCACCGACAGTGGTGACTAATGTCAAGATATCACTCGCCTCTGAAACAAATGTCTATAACATACACTCTTAATGAATAAGTCTCTCTCTTGCTTCTACGTAGGAATTTGAATCCATTGAATTTCGAAAGCTTACCATGATATGCTTCTGGTGTTGGCCTTCGTTGGGATCAAAGGGATTACCAACAGATAAAGCAGATACCATGATAATAACGTAAGGCAAACAACCATGCTGCTGACCAATGATCAACCTATTGAAAGAAAGGGTTTTAATAACATGGTCGCCTCAACAAGTATATTTAATATACTCACATTTTAGCAAGACGAGGTGTAACCGGGAAAAGAGACATGGCTTCACCAAAATCAGTGATATGTTTGGTCATCTTGTCGACACCACCAAGATATTGAAGGAGCTGTACATATCAATTAAAAGTAAGTTTTTCTTCTCTTGTTTTCACATTAGACTTTCAAAACACATATACTTTTACCTTTTCGGCTTTATACAGACTTTCTCGAGGAGGTGGAGTTGGGAAGGGGAAGTTGACCACTTGATCGATGTTCATTGATTTCATATTCAGCACCACACCTATTTGTTCAACGGAAACGTTAACATTATGCCTAGTCCACTTTTTATAGTACCAACATAACAGTTGATCAACAAAATACAGCAAACCGACCTTCTAAAGGCATACGCTTGATTTCTGGAAGCGAGAACTTTTCGAATTCGTGATCAAAGACTGCAGACGAAAACAAACGATAACAATGACCCGCTTGCGTTCTACCAGCACGACCAGCACGCTAAAGCAGATTTCATTTGAATTAGAACACTGATATAGTAAATAATAAACTTCTAATGCTCTTGATATTTACCTGATCTGCAGAAGCTTTAGATGTCCAATTAATCTCAAAGGATTGTATACCCGTTTCGACGGTAAATTTACGCTATGATACAAGGAGAACAGAGTGTCAGTTCCTCACCAGCTTTTCGGTCGGCAAGAGGGGCCCAAGATCATACTCTCTATCCGATATCGCATCATCGGTGTACTTACATCCTTTACTTTGCCACAGTCAATGACATACCGAATGCCAGGAATGGTTACGGATGTTTCGGCCACGTTGGTTGCAATAACACAAAGGCGTGTGCCTTCGGGTGGTGGCTGGAATACACGAAGCTGGGCCTCCGTAGGGAGCATAGAGTAGAGTGGCAATACGTGCAAGGGTGCTATATATGGATAAAACAGCAGTTATTATACATCCTTTAACAAATACACACTATCCAAATAGACAAAAGAGGTATTACCATCCTGAACAGATCCAAGTTCTTCTTCATCAAAACCTTCTTCGATATCTGTATCATCCCCTTCCGATTCTAAATTGAAATCTTCTTCGGCAAGATCATCATTCTCACCGAGATCGACGTCTTCGTTCTCGACATCGGCTGCAAGCAAACGAAAGCCATAATGGAGGTGTCAGAAAGAAAGGAGGCCTCGTCTTTCTCTAAATTTCCTTGATGAAATTCCAAAATTGGGTATGTATTTACCTTGACCATTGGGGAGATCTTCAGTGTGTGTTTCGAGCTCATTTGCCTTGTCCTCTTGGACTTTCTCCGTTTGAGTAGCTTTAGGTGGCAAGGATGGGTATTTTTGTCGCAAAAGTTTGCATAAATGCGTAATTTCGTTTTGACCCGTCAAGAACACCAAGATACCGCCTGTTGGGAGTCGTTCGTGAATTTTGGATATCTTTTTGAACGCTTCACCGACATAGTCTTCAGGAGTGCGCTTATTGAAGTGCACCGATACAGGGAACTGACGGGCATCCACATTGATCACAGGTGGTGGTTTATCAAATAAGGTCTTGTTTTCGGTAAAATCGGAAACACGCAAAGTAGCAGACATAATCACGACACGTAATGGCTAATAGCAAATTATGCGAGTTTGCATTAGGACCCAGGCTATAATCAATGCTTCAATAATGTCCAACTGCTTTACCTTGATTTTTTCCCGATCTTCCCTACTAAGTTCCGCTCTCAATCGAAGAACACGGCTGACAACACCAATAAGAATATCAGTGTTCAAGTTACGTTCGTGAGCTTCATCGATAATAAGCACCGAGTATTTTGTAAGCAGCAGATCTTGCGAAAGTTCACGAAGCAAGACACCATCCGTCATGAATTTGAGTCGCGTTTTGCTAGAAGTTGTCGCATCATAACGAATCTTTTTGTGTGTGGTGACGAGCAAACAAACGTTGTCAGTTACATGACAGATATTATGGCCTGTAAGATAAATAGCTCATGCATTACCTGATAAGAAACCTCGCCTTCGGGACGATTTAATTCATGTGCAACACGCTTCGCCATACTGACAGCGGCAACACGACGCGGCTGGGTGATACCAATGAGGCCAGGATTGTCACTATCTGGATGTGACCAACCGGCTTCATACAAAAATTGTGGTACTTGTGTTGTTTTACCTGTATGAAAATTCGCAATGAAGAAAAAGAGGATCGTGAGTAATGAAGTTGATGGATCCGATTTTTTGCATAAACGCAAATTAAATTACCTGAACCAGTTTCACCACAGATGATGACCACAGTGTTATTTCGAATAGCTTCCATGATCACTTGTTCTTCACTACACACAGGTAACTTGGACCGAGCTTCTTGAACACTTGCCAAGCGATTGACAGGAACATTGAAGGTCTGTCACGGTTAATGGCATTAGTTAGTATTATGCTAACGGGATTTTCTGCTTTTTTTGCGATAGTTTACCTTGGCAACATCGTTACTCAAATCACCTTCATTGAGACTTTTCAGCAGCTTAACCTTGATTTCATCCGTTTCTTCTCGACGTAATTCGGGTTTTGGCACATTCTTCGCAGCCTCTACCACTTCTTCCAAAGCTGTTGGTTGTCCATCGATGTTTTCTGGCTCAAGCAAAGCAGCTACAGATTCTCGTGGCTTTTCATCACCGCTATCACTGTCGTACTCTGAATCCGAGCTGTCAAACGAAGAATCCGATTCGATTCCTTTCCGTTGCTTGAAGCGTTTGCGTGCTGCTGCTGGAATAAGAGACTATTACATTGTGTAAGTTATTCTGTATAATTTCGTACTCCTTCTTCAAACTGTTTATCCAGACACAAGTGGAGTAATGGTTATTTTACCTTCTTTTTGCGCTTACGCTTGGTCATAGGCATTGCTGGGGTATCGGACTGTATCAAAGCACTACCAACGGCAGATGCAGTTGATGCAGCAGCTTTTTCTGCTTCTGCAGCGGCGGTCGCTTTTGCTTGGGCTTCAAGTTCTTTTCGCAAAATCTCGGGATCGGCCTCTTCTTTTTCAACGAAAAGTCGAACATCCTCATTATCCGCTATATCCTTGACTCCCGCCTTATCTTCTAGGTATGCCTGGCGAATCTTTTCCCGTGCTGTAGGTCTTCCACGACCGATGGTTTTTGATGATTGTAGTAATTCTGATGACCATCCGGACGATCTAATAAAATATTACGTGTTCATCCCAAGTGTTCTATTACTGTTTGATACTTGTTATGATTCTGCTTACGATAATTGTTCCATGAGACCAGCACGCTGTTCTTTTTTCAGTTTTTGATCCTGTACTAGATTGTCAGAAAATAATCTTCTTAAACTGTACGGGGATACCTATCCTTGCTCAACTTACAATATATTTTTCCAATTTTTTTCTCTTTTTCTTGGACATGAATGGTGCTGGCTAAATAAAGTTAACCTCTGTTAGTATCCATATTTTTTTATTCACAGTAATACTTGTAGCAAAACAAGACTTACTGGGGGCAAGGACTTCTTCTTTCCTTCTTCAGGCTCTTCTTTAGTTTCGCCAGGAATGATCATTAGCTGGTTTGTATCATTGCTACTATATAATCGGATCAGTTATTGTATCAAGTCGATCGCGCGCTTTTTTCAGTGCAGACTCTACGCATTCCATAGGAACAATTGTCTGTAGCCTGTCATTTAACTTTTTGAAAGCTTACTTGTCAGTTGGTGCTGTATTTGTCGAGGATCGCTTTGTGGACGAGGAATCCTGTTGCAATTCTTCCGGTCGAAGTCTAAGTCCACCGTCTCTGGCTCGCGGGTGTGGTTTTTGATTTGCATTTCGAGAAGAGGCTCGAGCCTTCTCATTGTATCTTGGTCGAGATTTTCCCATTACTGGTGTATATGTATATCAGTAGAAGAGGGAAAAAAAGACAGCTCGATTTTATGCAAAAAATTAAAAAATGGTGGCTGAAAATACCTTTTGTATCACACGATCAGGCACTGTGGGTACAAGTGCATAAAGTTCTATTTACTCTTGACAGCTGGTTTAAAGTGCTCGGTCGGATTAGGCTCAGGAAAGTATACTGATAGATATGCACATCAGCATCCTCGAAACTTATTGAGCCTATGTATATGGACAGCCTAATGGATAGACCACACAGATAGGTAATAATTTTGTATCTGCTTAATCCGCCTGGCCCAACTCATTATTATTATTTCTAGGATATCGAGAGTCCCCTCTTACATTTCCTTGCTTCAAGATGTTGTATATATCCGATTTCAAAGCTGCTTCCATTATTGTGTCATTTGACGTTCTTGCTCTTGTTTTTGGGTACTGTCTTAGCTGTAGCAAACCTTTGTCCTGGGAGAATGCCATATCGTTTTTGAAATCCCCGCTGCAGAAAAAAAATCTAAAAATTTGCCCGCACTAACTTCTTTTTTTCTAAACTCTGACCACAAATTGACTATGCCAGCTGAAGAACGAAAACCTGAAGATCTGTTTGGTCTTGATCGAGAAGAGGACGGCGAATCTGAATTAGATCACGACGAACATGAAGAAGAGGAAGTAGACGATCGTTTTTCTAAACGACGATTACGACAAAGTGAAGATCTATTCGGCACAAAGAAAGACATGGCAGATTCCGAAGACGATGAAGACAGTGATTCCGATGCAGACGAAGACGATGATAGCAGTGAAGACAACATTAGCGAAGACGAAACAGACAATAAAGAAGCGGACGATAACGATTTATCTGAAGAAGAAGAGGATTTGAACGTTCACGATGGACAAGACGAGGGAGTAGACAAACATGGCAACGCAATTCTTGACCTAGGCGACAACAGTGACAAAAAGAAGAAAAAGAAGGTGAAGAAGCTGACTCCCGAAGAACTAGAAGCATTTGAGAAACAACAGAAGAACACGGGCGTGTGCTACATGTCACGTATTCCTATGTTTATGACACCTACACGTCTACGAGACTTTTTGAGCAAGCATGCTGAACTTGGCCGTATATACCTCGAGAAAGAAGGTAAGAGAGAAGCCTAGGCTGTGGAGGGAATCCTGCTGGTTTTCTAAGAGAAATAAACTCACGTATATCGGGTGACGGGACATTCGTAATTGCACAGATCCAAAAATCACAGCCAAGCGACGAAAATATCACAAAAACAAGCGTGTCAATTATCGTGAAGGATGGATCGAGTTCAAGGATAAAAAGAAGGCAAAACAACTGGCAGAATACTTGAACGCTCGCCAAGTGGGTGGCAAGCGTGGCAATGCATTCTATTACGAGACGTGGACGATCAAGTACCTGCCAAAGTTCAAGTGGCGGCATCTGACCGAACAAATGGGTAAGAAGATCTTCACAATTTCAAAGGTTATAGAAAGATTGCAGAGGTATTGATCTTGCTCCCTTATAGCATACGAAAGAAAGGCACGCGAACGACGATTGGAGGCAGAACTTGCACAGGCAACGCGTGAAAACCGAATCTATCTTGAAAACGTCGAAAGAGCCAAGATGCATCAAGGCATGCAGAAACGAAACCAGAAGAAGCGCAAACTTGCAGATGACGATGCTCATCAGCCAGAAGCAGAAGAGGAAATGCGACGAAGCTTCAAGCAGAGATCCAAGGTGGTCACTGAGGTGGCTTCACAGAAAGCTGGTGATGGAAAGGAAGCTATGGGTCGTCTGGATGCTAGTGTAAAGAATGTGTTGTCTCATGTACTTGGCAAATAAAAGCATATCTTATAAGCATAACAAATCATGACCAAATTTCGCGTTTTGGATTCTGCCTGTTTACTTTTTTCTATTTTACCACGCTCTCTGCCTTTCACTTTTTTCCCTTTGTGAAACCCAAAGATAGAGTGGCTCACCCAGAATGCTTTTACCTCATACTCTCTATGTCATTACCGGTGCCAGTCGTGGATTCGGGCAAGCAATAGCGAATGCCATTGCCTCCAAAGCTAACCACAAATCGACGTTGATCCTTGTTGGTCGACAGCGTGATCCGCTTGAGAACGTGGCCAATCAACTACAAGGGAATGCAAGTGTCACCGCGCGCGTCATTTCAGACGTGTCGCTCGACTCTGCAGTGGCAGCTCAAAGGACGATTCTCAAACCACTTGAAACCATGGTTACAGTAAGAGCTATTTGTCGGGTAGCAAAGGGGTAACTGCAGTTTGCTTATGCTACTACGAACCGTGCGGGCTATAATAGGAACTACAGCAACCAGTGACACGGGCCGTGCTGGTCAATAATGCGGGTTCGACAGGCGATCTAAGCAAAAAGGTTTCAGGCTATGAAGCTCAGGAAGTACAAGCCTACGTGGACATGAATATCGCCTCTTACATTACACTCGTGTAAGATACCTTTCTTGTTTCCGTATAAAAGTTCAAGTTGACTAACTAGTAAATCCGTGATTGATTTGCTCTTGTTATCAGATCAGGGTTTATTCGGCTATTCCATCCAGAAGAGGAGGATGACAACAGTGCTGCTGCTGCTGTTACTGCTGCTACCCGGCCGATTGCCCCGGAATTGACGATTGTCAACATTTCGTCTCTCCTAGCAGTCCAGCCTTTTGCCAATTGGGGGCTTTATGCTAGCGGCAAAGCTGCCAGGGACATGCTATTACGGATCGTGGCTAAAGAAGAGGTATGCTTTGAGTCAAACTTACAACCTGATCCCGATACAATAAATTATAAAAAAATGTTACATATTTCAATGCAGGAATCTGTGCGCACATTGTCGTATGCCCCTGGTCCCCTTGATAATGAAATGCAGCAGCATGTTCGGGAAACACTGGGTGATGCGGAGCAGAAAAAGCTGTACACGGATATGGCATATGAGGTAACAAAGTGAAGAGGATCGGGAAGACTGAGAGAGAAAAGAAAATAAGGAGGGAGATGTGTTTATTCGGTTGAACGGAAGAAAAGCGCCATCAATAGCAGCAGCAGCAAAGAAAGCAGAAACTTAATGCCATTGTCTTCTTTACTGTTTCCGTTTTCTGTAGAAAAAGCTGGTTGGCATGGATGCATCGGCCGATAAACTTGTGGAGATGTTGCATAACAACACTTTTGAATCAGGCGCTCATGTTGATTTCTTTGATCTTTAACTATTGTAAATATAACGGCATTGATGGTTAATGCAAAATAAGGGGAGCGTCCTCTTGGAAGATACGAGAGGTACAAGTGTGGGCCCACACTTCGTGCTGGATAAGCCAGCCAAAGTACTCAGCAAAGAAGGCTACAATACAATTGCTCACGAAAAAAAACAGTAACGGCCAACGCGTTTCTTTTTCCTTAAAACTCTCTTCAAACAATCACATTATCTTTGAAAGGAGGGGGCTTACGTGCGAGCGAGCGTTATACGAACAAGGAGCGTGCACATCCTCCTTGCTTGCACATATACGCACACAACGGGTTATTTTTTACTTCACGTACGGATTATTCATCTTCCTTTTTCCTTCCTCTTTTTTTTGCTCTCTCATTTGACAAGCGACATAAATGTGATATATAGTATCTAGACTTCTTTCCACGTTTTCCGCTTACCAGATGAACACCTCCAACGACGATATCCAAAATGCCACAGCCTCCCTGAACGACAAAATAACTGATGAATCCTCCGTAGTACGGTCGATTCAGAGCGATGAAAACCAATTGCGCACGCTTGTCGTCGTCCTGTCGCTGGCAGGCGGCCTTGTGTTAGCGTTAACACTGGGATTTGGAATCTATCTCTATTGGCATTGCTGTTCCTCACGTCGACAACAAAAGAAGAAGCTATCGCACGAGCAGAACGGTTATTTCTCAGACGACGATGACATAGACAGTTTCGCTAGCAATGACAAACCCCGTGACAAGCATGCTTCCCATCGGCCCGCGCAGTCGGCACCTCTTGAACAGAACTTTTCAGTAATAGCGCCCATGCCACAACCACCTTCAATACCACCCACTAATATCCACTATAACGGTAATCACAGCGGTGCCAACAGCATTGACAATAGCTGCGAATCCATGCCTGCTTCACCCACTCCTGTCGTAGTCAATCACGGTCCGGCACCCTCGGCACCCTCGGCAAAGGAGCTCGATCGTGCTGGACACCAACATATCTGCCATCATAATGATATAGAAGCCTCAAATAGTAATAGCGATAGTATCGACTACATGTTGATTTACGGAACGGCTGGTCAGCAACAACAGCAACATAATCATCATCACATTCACCACTTCCACTCGCATGCCGTCGGATTACCAGAGCAGCCGCCTCCAGCATACACTTCCCTTACTCCCTGAGCCAACATTATGCATAGACTCTCCTCATCTCTCTCCTCGTCGTACCCTCCCGCTTCAATCTGTTGTATCTATTCTCTTATTCGACACGCACACACACAGTCTTTGCTCTGATCCCGCATTCATTTCCAGTAACTCACAAAGTAAATAATGACACTATTAGTAAATATATACCAAGCTTCTCAATGGTCCATCGGAATCTTATTTTCGTATTTATTATGCAAAACAGAATACTCTTGGTAGTAGTAGTAGTACCACTAGAGGGGTCATACAGTCATGTGGATGACATTCTAAACATTTTACCAAGGGACGCTCTCCAAGTAGGGCTACTGGGCTTGTGCTTCGTGGTTCTCTTATAGGAATCCTGATGTATCAAAGAAAACGCATTTATAAATAAACCTTCTCCTTTATCGTCAGGGCCGGAAAAGAGAAAGAACGGAAAAGAAGGGGTGGGGGATAGTAGAGAAAAGAAAGCAAGGGGTTGAAAGCACTTACTAAATACGCAATCTGTGGTTTGTTGAAAGCACCACGACGCTTACTTCTGATATTTTCGATGGAATCCAAAGGATCCATCCCTGCCTCTATCAATGCGATAGCAACCAGCACGGGTGCACGACCCAAACCGGCGACGCAATGAACGGCGATCGTTGCCTTGACTGGCTCAGAAGGAGCTGCATTCAGTCGCACCTTCTCTATCAACAGGTTCCAATCGTGGACCAAGGCTGGCGATGGCTACAAATATGACAGATCTACCAGTTAGTGTCGCGGAAAAGGGATAATAATAGACGCAGAATGGGGGGGGCCGGGGGGCGGACCCGCAAAAAGGTGATATGTAATCTGTGTACAGTATCACAGAAGCGCAAGTATACACTGCACTACTTACCACACCACCATCCTTGAAAGGCAAATCAACGACATCAATATTATGCTCCGACAAGCGGATCGCACTATAGGTCGGCTGGCAGCAGCGGACGACGGCATGGACGTTCAGGTTGATGAACTGCTCGATATAGAAGCCCAGTGTACTCTCTGTTGGGCAATCCAATATCAGAAAACGCACGGGCAGCGCTGGGTCGTCGATAATCGACAGCATCATTGGTCCGACGTTGTTGTTGAGCCGTGCGGAGGGCTTTCGTGCAGTGGGTGGTTCGTAAGTACGGTTCACCATGGTGATAGATTGATGAATAGGAAGAAAAGTGCGTGTGCGCGTGCTTGTGTAGGTGGACGTTGTTTAGTGTGGAATAATTAAGTTGGAGTCACAGCCGTTGTTCTCGTGTAGAACGCAAGGGAGCAAAAATAAAAGACGAGGTGCAGAGGTTGTTGGTATTTAGGGTCGAAGGAGATGAAGAAGGTGGCCGACCGGGAGAACAAGGTGCCCAGCAGTGATCGCAGTAGCAAAGGTAACAAGACCGAAGCGCATAAGTTGGCTGATGATATCAAAAGAAGTGTTATGAAGAAATCGAAAAAAAGCGATGCTTTTTTTGTGCGTTGTGGTAAAGAAGTAAGAAGGGAAACCCCCCACGAAAATGGAGTTTCGTCGTTTTTATAGTTCGCCTAAAAAATATAGGTGGGTTTCAAAATTTACCGCAGTGCTTGGAGGGTGGCGCTTGCCATCAACACGCTAAATTTGGAGACTTGTCCGATAAGGGATTCTTCTAGGGGTTAAAAACAACACCCACAAAAAGACAAGAGGGCATGCGTGGTCCCGTATATGGCAAAATGGCGACCCATATTACGTACATGGCAATCTGTTTATTTTCTGCTACAGCCGCTACTGCTACTACGTTGTACTGTTTAGTGCAGTGCTGTGGCAGTAACTGGGGTTGCTTTTCCATGGTTGTTACGCACTTTGGTGTGATGCGCGCAAGTGCAGCATGTCGCAGCACCAGTATTAGCCGTGTCGTATCAAGATGATGCATAGGTACAGTGATAATAAAACAGCTGGTATTATACCAGTAGCTACTGAGAATGCATGCAAGATCTCTTACATAGTCAGTTTCGTTAGGCAACAAGCCGGAGCCTGTTTTCTTCATGGTTTTACTTCCATGGTCTCTTCATGATTAAGTAATTGTCCTGAAGCTGACTGATAGAATTGAGCAAGATTGTTCTGGCAAAGAAACTACACCAATGCAGGCTATGGGCTGGTTGGATTACAGTGTTCCACTGATAGTGGTGCATATTACTTGAGGTTCAGGTGCTCATCGCAAGGCTCCGAAGCACATACATCGGCAAATCGACTTTTCAAGTAAAAAACAGTTGCTCAGCATGTGCATCATCTAGGAACCAATCATACGATTACTGCTCCCCCACACGCTAGTTTCCATTTCTGTGATGGCTCGGCAAAATTAGCCACATGTGCTACAAAATACCCTACGGAAATCGCTTGTTCTTCTCTCTTTCTCCACATCTGTTTTAACGAAATACGCTAACAATCAGTGTATACATAAGCAATCGGCTGTACGGAATACCTAAGCGGTTGCGAAAAGGTTTTGGCAATGAATTACCAATATAGACAAGTACAGACAGGACGTACACGTAGTACACGACTTTCCTGACTGTTGTATGATAGCATAGTAGTAGCGAGTACCATACCAATTAGCGCTGCCAAAGTTTAACAGTCATCCTTCAATTTTTAATATTACCATGACCCTGGGAGAAGAAGAGAAGAGAAATTTTTGCATCAAGCAGCACAGAGTTTCTCGTGATCCGAGTGGTAAACTCTAAGTCGATTGCACGAAACCCGCTGCCGCAGCATGATGATAGCATCATCCTGTTGCAATTATTTCTCTTATTATGTGATCTGTATACAAACAAACAAAAGGCTTTGATAGGCTCGTTCCGCTATTAAAAAAATGCAGTACCCGAAATGCACGGGCTTTCGCAACAGGATCGGTGATCATACGGCTGTGATAATGAACGCGTACATAAACAAGATGTGTGGTTTCTCACGAGCCATACCCGTTTCGTTCCGGGTGCTTTTATACGGTCCAGGCACCGTTTCTGATAAGATCATCTGCAAGGGGTAGGGTAATGAGGTCTGTGAGAAAAACTACTAGTGTAGAGATAGAGGGACAAAGAACACAAGAGGCATTTATGCCTGGAAGTAGTCGTCATCATTACGACGGCCAAGGTAGCAGCTACACTGACTTTATTCTCTTTCCGCAGCTGCGATGAAGCTGGCTATCAGCAACAACAGCGAGGATGATGTTATTGTGTCATCGGTAAAAACAAAACATGCCATTGCAATGTTTGTCGTTGCACTCGCCACAAGAGAGAAAAAGGTGGTAATTTCTGGCTCAATAGAAAAAGAGCACCTTCTTGGGATGTCACGGGATAAAATCACCTGGGAAACTTTGTGTCTACGAATGAGTCATTTTGAGAGCGAAACGGGAAACCGAGTCAATCACAGAAAAAACACTGGGTCAATGAAAATAAATTGGGCCACAAGTCATATTTGGTTTGGGCCACGATATGCAAAAATTGACCTAACATCCCTTTTTCCTTTTTATTCAAGACATCTATGATAGGGGTTGGGAAATGGTTATTTGTTCCACCATCCTGAGAGAAACCATGGGCGGGTAGTTACCACATCCTCCGTCTCCACTTCGTCAACTGACGAATTGCCGTTTCGACTTCAGATGTGGTATGGTTCTCCGTTTCTGAAAAAAGTGAGTTTGCAATCTTGGCGCTTATCGATTGTTGATGTGGTGGTTTGTAGTAATATGTTTCAAAGGTATTGGAATGGAGACTCCAATTGGCATGTTTCTTGATCTCGTCTATGGGATGACCCAACTGGACGGCTTTCGTACTAGAAGCTGCTCTGATCGAATGAGCGGAAAACTCCGTGTCAACACCCGCGTCTCTCATTGCATCCTGCACCATTTTTGACACTGTGGCTGGTCGGATTGACTTGATCTTATCCTGCTGCTCTACATATGCTAGGAATAGTGTATGATCAACGGGCAAATTGTTGCGGAGATGGTTTGTTTTTTCCATGAAGAGGGCTACCGTTTGAACTGGGCAAATATCGTCGTCGTTGATGGTGCCAAGTTGTATCGTCTTTACTTGTGTCTCCTTCGGTTCTCTTGCATTGATTGTCGCTCCCACCAATTTTCCGTCCATGTCCCGCTTGATGTGGATATCTCTGTGCTGTAAAAGTCCAATATCAGAACGCGGTCTCCACATTGTGGTGATACACAGTAAAATAATGGCCTTCAGTTGTAGTCTTGTCAAGGTTAGCTCGACCGATGTCCCCCAGGTTCGTATTGCATCAATTATGACATTGACATCCCATGTCTCAAGTTGTTGTTTTGTGGGCAATTGTACATTATTCTTCCTTCTTGCTTTGAAGAATTCCTGGATCAATGGTTGTTTTGCAATGGGTGTTGTCTTCGGATGGCTGACGTTGAAAACTGACGCGATAGCTGATCGTATCACATTCAAGTATTGAATTGAAAATTGTTGATGGGCGAGGAGAAACTTGAAAACTTGTTGTACGTTGTATTCTTCAGGGTTAACCCGCGGATGTTGGTTTTTACACCAGTTAGTCCATAAACTCCATGCTGAGTCGTATGCTGTGTTCGTGCTTTCTCTTGTTGCGCCTTGTAGGAACTTGTTTGCTTCATCTTGTATTCCAATTTTTTTGTCTTGCCTTGGAAATAACCTCCAAGCGACTAAGGTCCATTGGTTGCTTACTTTCATGATCCAGGGTGGTGAGTGATTGATGTTGAGAATCATGGGCTACCAGTATTGGGTTGGCCAAAATGGTGTCACTAATACTGCTTCCTTCACTTTCTCTGCTCTCAATTTGTGTAGGACTCTTGGGATGAATTTCCAAGGTGGGTTGAGGTAAAGACCTCGTCGCGGCCATCGTTGAGTGAATGCATCCACCCCCTTCGCTTCCGGATCTGGGAGTAAGCTCCAAAACTGCTTCAGACGCTTGTTGTGCCTTGCCGCGAATGCATCGACCGTTAGAGGTCCCCATCTCTGTTTTATCTGTTTGAACCATTTGAATGGCAAGGCTTTCTCGTATAGTGGGATTTTCCTTCTGCTCAACTTGTCCGCTTGGATGTTCTGTACTCCCGGTATGTGTTGGTATTGCAACGTCATGTTGTATCGGTTGCATAAGTCCTGGATCTTGATGGCTAGTTCTTGTAGTTCCACTGACGCTGTTCCTCCTGCTTTAGTGACATATTTCAGTGCCGTGATACTGTCTGGCAGTATCTTGATCGAGCAATCGCGGTATTTTTCTTTGTGTAGCTGTAACGCAAACAAGATTGTCTTCAGCTCTCGCACATTGATCGATGCGTCTTTTTCTGCTTGTGTCCAGAAACCGGACGTGTCTATCATCGTTGAACTGACCCCCCATCCGGTGTCGGAGGCGTCGACGTAGATCGTCACTGCTGGAGTCTTGTATATTGGTTTCCTGATTGGGAGACCATTCTTCACTTGTGAATACTGTATCCACCACTCGATTTCTGTCCGGCCTTGATCTGACAGTGTACATGTTTGTTCCCATTGATGGCCGTTTTCCTTCAGACATTTCGCTAGGTCTCGTTGCAGAAAGCGTGTGTGTAGTAACGCTTCCCTTATTGCTGGGATCATCGACGTCATCTTCCCCAACAAACTTGCCATCCATCTGCAAGTCTTTGATGTCTCGTTTTTCGCCTGTCTGAGTTTCCAATTCAGCTTGGTCATTTTCTCCTTCGGGACGTGGATCATCATTGTCTTCGTCTTGAACCGGAATCCCAGGAACTCCTGTATATGTTTCGGCTCCAGTATGCTCTTTTCCCAGTTGATCAGAAAACCCAATCTTGTCAAATGGTCGATCACCGATTTTGTGTTGATTTTCATCTCCTCCTTCGACTGGGCTAGAAGACATATGTCGTCCAGGTAATACACCAGACGGATGCCTTGTTTCCTCAATGGTTCCATTGCATATCTCATTAGTTTCGAGAACACTCTTGGGGCTACACTCAATCCAAATGCAAGATCTTTGTATTGGTATATCACCCCTTGGTGACGAAATGATAGAAACTCGCGTGAGCATTGATGTATCGGTACAACCACATATGCATCCTTTAGATCGATCTTGCAGATGTAATCGTTCTTCTCCACTAGTTCCCTCAGTGCTGGAACACCTTCTATCTTGAAGTGGCTGCACTGCACAAACGCGTTGATCTTCTTGCAATCCAAAATTGGACGCCTCTTGTTTGGTTCCTGAATTGTGAAGAAATTTGACAGGTAATCTTCGTTCTGTGTCGGTGACACCTCTATAATTCCGGATCGTATAAACTTTTCTACTGCCAAGTCGACTGCTATATATTCCTCTTTGTCCATGTTCATCTGCTTCTGCTTCCAAGGGATTGGTTTCTTCGCCCACTGGATCTGGTATCCCTGTGTTATCATGGATAGTGGCCACGGGTGGTTCGTGATTTCTTTCCAATGGGACAGAAAATCTGTTAGGCGTCCACCAGGTAAGATGCCATCCGCGGGAATCTCGTAATGGTCGCTCGATTGGTGTATTTTCTGTGACACTGTTGGTTGTGATTGTGTCATATTGTTGGCTTGTGGAAGTGAGTACATGGATGGTGTAACTTTCTTGAGTGATTTCATTGGTCGGTTGATGTGCTTGTTGAGTTGTCGTTGTTCCTCTGTGTAGGACCCGCTGATTTGCCTCTGCCAAAAAAAATTCTTTCCTGAGTACGAATGATATCTACCACCTCGTGGTCTGTACGATGAGGATCCATGGACGTAGCCTCTTCCTCTGAAATGTCCACTTCCATAGGAGTAGCTTCCTCCTTTGGTCGATGATACTGCATTTTTGAGGACGCTCTCTTCATATCTAGCCTGCTGGATGCGTTGGACAAGCTTGGGAGTGAAGGCCAGATCCTTCTCTTCTTCTCTGTCTTCCTCTGCGATATGTTTGACATTCTCTAGGAGTCTGAGTGCCTTGGCTGAAAGTTCTTTGGCTTCTTAATCGACGCTTTTCCCACTAGTATATCCATAGACGGCCAGTCTTCTTGCTTTTTCGAGGATTCCCCCAAGATATTCCCATCTGATGTGTCTCCGCCTCTTTCCAGGACGAGTTGTAGTTCAGTGAAAATTTCGGTAGCAGCTCTTGCTGCCACTCTGAGCCTTTCTGATTGTTTGTATAGTGATGTAACGACTTGATAGGTTTCCATCTGGTGTCTCTTAAGGTCCTTGACGAAAACTTAGTTGACAGCTCCTGGTTTTGTCCAGCTGCCTCCTTCGTATTGTTGGACTTCCCACTTGTATTTTGTAATGTTATACCACAGGTCAGTCTGGGTAGACTCTTCCAAATCCTCGAGGATTTGCTCGGGGAGCTCAATTTTATCTTTTCTGCGTTCTGATTGACCTTCTTGGAGTCTGAGGCGTCTGCTGAGATCCAATAGCTCTCTGATTTCTTCATTGTTGTTATTGTTGTTGATATTGTTCATAGTACTGCCCCGATGCGTGGCTTCGAAAGATATGGGGAATAGGGGATTGAATTATATTATGATATTTAAACGAAAAATAAAGCGTGGCTCCGAGAGCAGTTACCACATCTGAAGTCGAAACGGAGTCAACGGAGATTGTATTAGGTACGACATGCAATGTATTTTTTTTGAGACGCGCTTTATTTCTTTTGAGACTGTTGGCAATTTATTGAGATCTTTTTCGTCTAACATCTAACACCTAATGGACTTCATTCACTGCTACCCTGATGAGAGCCCCATCTCAACCTACGATGAGAGCTCAGATGAGATGGATTTCGCGATCGAGCATGGCCAATTTGAGATGCTCGTCGAATTTGACACTGTTCCTGAACATGAAACACAGCCGGTTGCAATAGACGAAGCAGTAGACAGTCTTCTTAAAGACTTTAAGGAATTTGCCATCACAACACCGCAAAAATACAAAAAGTACGGCGAAGACCAGATTGCGCGATTCATTGGTTTAGTTCAAGAGGAAGGACTCACAACGCCGAAAGCAGCAGAGCAGTGTGGTATACCTTGTAGCTCTGCTTACAGGTTACTGGACGAGTTCAACGCTGGTTCTGGCACAGTTCTTCCTGGAAGAGTAAAGAAGCAACTTCAGCGTGAGCCAAAAAAGCTGTTTCTTGAACATACAGCTTTTTTGATCAAGCTATTTAATGATAATCCTTCAATTGTTCTTGTGGAAGCAAAACAAAGGTTATGTCAGCATTTTGAAGAGCTTGAAGTATCTATTCTTGGTGTTTACAAGCATATTTGGGAAAAATGTGCGATCTCATTGAAGCAGGCGACCAAGTATACTTTGGAACGCGATGCCCCAAGGACTATTCAACTGCGATTCGACATTGTTGGTCAGTGGAAAGCTGCCGGTGTCAACTTTCAAGAAAATTGCGTGTTTGTTGATGAAGCAGGCTTTCACTCACAGTTAATGAGAGGCCGTGCATGGTCAAGAGTTGGAGATCCTGCAGTTGTAAAGGTACACACCCAAAAGGGCGTAAATATCAGCATAGTGGGCTGTACATCTTCCTTTGGGACGATCTGCTTCTCAAAGGCGGAACCATTAAAGAAGAGTGATGCTGCCAAGATTGAGAAGGAGTTTCCAGAGTCGGCTCCTAAGAAAAGAAAAGCTGGTGATCAAACCGATGTAAAACCAGTAAAACTCAAGAAAGGCACTACTGCATACCACATTGTCTAGTTATGGAGTCAGTGATAGACATCCTGTATAAACGTAATATGAAGAATATGTATATTGTGATGGATAATTGCAGAATCCATCACTCTCACTTTGTCGTGGATACTATCAACAAGCGCGGCTATAAACCTTTGTTTATGCCGCCATATTCGCCTTTCTTGAACCCCATTGAAGAATGCTGGTCCAAGATCAAGAAGAATATTAGATGCAACCCACTCGACAAATCTGACATGCTCACGCCACGCATTGCTGAGGCATGCAATACAGTTACTAAAGCTGATTGCCAAGGTTGGATAAAACATGCTGATACTTATTGGGATCGGTGCCTGCAAAAAGAGATCGGCTTGAAGTAGTAAGTTAAAATACTGTAGGGCGAGTTTGGAGCGAGTTTGGCGGAGTTGGGGCGAGTTTGGAGCAAGTTTAGCAGAGTTAGGGCGAGTTTGGAGCAAGTTTGGAGCGAGTTTGATGGATAGCTTTTATGCATCACTATGACGAAAACACTTGTTTCATTGCGGTACCATTGCCACATATGTCGAAAGTCTCTCTCCGAAGCTTCCAAATTGAAAGGTCACCTTCTCAAAATGAGGCTCAATCCATAATAATTAATTTTACTGTAAACAGTAAATTAATTTTAGTTATTCCTTTCACAGTCAAGCTAGCCTTCGTCCAAGTGCTCCTTGGCTAGAGAAGGGATTTACTCACTACCGTTGTGCCACTTAAAGTGATTTAAACTTAATGATTGAGAATAATCATCTTAGCTAAGAATTATTTAGGGGTTGAGAAATTATTTTTTTAACAAAAAATTAATTTTATCATTTATTATAATTATTTAAAAATTATATTACTTATAGTTTTTTAGCTAACAATCATTTTGCTAAAATCATTTTGCTAAGACTCACCCCTTAATGCATGATGCTTCTTTGCCCGCGCATAAGGAAGGCCGATCTTGCTATGACACGGACGAGTATACATACATTACACAACAAAACGACACGGCGCATCCTGCAGTTGAAACCCATTTCGCGTGTATCTCTTGTCTAGCACACTATGTGGACCTTGACGATCTTAAAGCACATGTCGACGAGTCACACATGAGCTCAGAAAAGGCCTCTGATCCTTCAAATGAGCATGCACACCCAACTACTGAAGATGAGCCGACACAGAAGAAACAACGCAAAATACAAGAAGAGGACGAGCCACTGCCAATTGTGAATAGCAAAAACAACCTTTTCAAATTCATGTCTGCCCAGCAAAGCTTTTGCGAGCTTGAAATTCCACGGATAACTTCAAAGACAATACAAACACTGGCATCCATAGCTACCATCATCGCTCCCTATAACCAACTATTGCCGGAGGACCTTTTGGAAGAGTTGTGGCAAGACAAAGCAGAGCACGCCGAACTCCAGATGTTAAAGCAATTCCCAACCACACATATCATGCTGATCGAGGCCATTGACCAACCACTGGAACAGTTACTGCAATGGCTTTGGACTTACGACAGCAAAAAGGCGTTGGGAACTGAAAAACAACTCTTACAAGCCATACGATGCATATTGACGGATTTTGCCAGTAATTGCATCAATCCCTGGAAGGCGCCCTTTTCAGATTCCAGCGAACGAGCTTTCCTGATAAATCACGTCGCTCCGATCTTCAAATCGTTCGGCAATCATACCGATTTGCTTTGCTTCAATTGGTGTGAAACTTATTTAAGGCAGCAAACTCAACAAGCACGGGTAATGGTTAGCACTGGCCAATTCGACAAAGCAATACTGCGATTTGTAGATGGACTGGGGTACGATAAGAACAATGACGAACGACTGGTGCTGGAAGCATCTGGTGGGCATGCATCTGATAGTCATCAACATGCAATTGATGACACGCTGAAAATCGTGCACAGTTTAATGTGTATTCTCAAAGGAGATGCCCGAAAGCATATCAACGGAAGTCTATGCACATACCGGAAGGTGAAAGCTTTTGGCGTCCAAACAGTAAAGTCATCTCTGATACTCTCTGAGATGAGTCTGGGTGAAGACTTGAAATACAAATACAAGGAGGTTCGAACTGCGGAGATTCCCATCAACGATGATCACAGAAGCAAATTTTTTCCTATTGTTGACTTACTGGCATATCTTATGGTGCAACTGGATCTCCAAATGAAGCATCTCAGTGGATTGCAGGAGGAACACGACGGCAAGGTGGTAGTCAAGCGAGAAGATACCATACGATCAACACTGTATAACACATAGGGGGACCAGCCATGGTTATGATGATTTTAATACGATCTAGTAACCCTAGATGACTTATTAGCTAAGATATATCAGGATAGCCAAATTCATTTTTATTGAAATAATTCATGCATGAATGTCTTGGCATGCATACATTTAAATTTTTGAAAAAAATAAAAATTGAATTTTTTTTTTAATATAAAAATAATACCACAGAATATAAAGCAAAATATATTTGTTATATTTTTTTTAGCACTCCAACAAAACTACCCCAACGAAAACACAACATGGACCAAATGAACCTCCTCACATTTATTGCCATTATGGCTGATTTTATTCCTATATTAGGAATAACATTGACGCTCTTAATAGAAAGAGCAAAGCATCTTGCTGAACATCATTAAGATGTTAGTGAAAAAACAATTGCTGACCAACTAAGGGTCGAACTCGAAAAGGACCTCAAAAAGGCTAACATAACAAAGGAAGTAAGGGACGAGAACCGTACTGCAATAATGGGACAGATTAGGGCTTTTGCAAAATTCCTCAAATCCTCAAATCCTCAATTTTCCGATGCAATGTTAGAGGGTAACACCTCTGGTGCAGATTCCTCGCAGGGCGGCAAAGAATTCCGATTCCAAAACACTAAAGGGCTGTTCACATATATTTGTAAGGACTTCCATTTAATAAAAGAACAAATCATGGAATGGTATATAAAACATGAACGTATTGGTTATCGAATTGAAAAGGCAATTGCATGTGATGAAATTGCACCAGAAACTGGTGAGAAACATGTTCATATATGGATACAAATGAATGAGCGGTTCGACACAAAAACAGCACGTAAATTCTTTACTATCGATGGTGTTACTCCAAATATTAAACCAGGTGGTAATCCACAAAAGTCCATTAGCTACTGTATGAAAGGAAAAGATTATATTTGTTATAATATGGATCCAAATTATGAAGTTAAGACCAGAAAAATACACCAACAGTTACTTGGATATCAATTAATTACGAAGCAGCTTAATATGCGGAAGGCTACCGAAATATATCCAGAATTGCTATGGAAATATGATACTGTAAAATCAAATTTAAATTCTTACTTTCATGATGCCGATATGGAAAATAACCCTGGAAATAAATTACATATGTGGTCTATGTTTGGGATTGAAACAATGTTTGGTGGTAAAAATAAGATACCACAATACTGGATTGTAGGTCCATCAAATGTAGGTAAGACATATAACATTGATGTATTAGAACAAGGTGGCCATCGAGCATATCTAATGAATAAAGAAAATGATTGGTCAGATTATAAGGATGATGATTATGATTTTATGTATAATGAAGAAACAGGTTCTGATTTCAAATTAACATTTTTAAACCAAATGTTAGAAGGAACACGGTTAAAACTTAATGGCAAAATCACAAAGTCAATAACTAAAAAGAAAAATATGCTAATAATACTGAATAGTAACTATATGCCGCACATGTTATACAAAAACAAATCAGTATATGAGTTAGAGCCAACGCTCAATCGTTTATATATTATCTATGTTGATAAGAACCGTAAAGGTCATATAATATGGAATCCATAGACAATGAAGGTGAAGGATTATGAAAATAAATTCATGTATTATGAAAACATGGATATGTATGAGGACTTATACAAAGGTGAATTCGAAAACGAATACCAAGATCAGCATACATTTATCCGTTATGCACATAATAGTGGTCAGGATGATATTAAAAAATATACACCGATGGATAAAACAGTAGAGGAACCACAAGAATTAGCTGACACAGAAGAATATATGAAGGAACAAGAAGAAAAACATAATAGTAATAATACACAGAACAATAAACAACATAATCCGCCTCAACAAAATAATAGAGGATGGTCAAATGTAAAGGTACCATCATCAGTAGATTGTAGGCATCGGGAAGATGTGTTTAATGATATAAAATGTGATGATGTTGTAAATGATACTACTGATTGGGAAAACCCACCAGAAGATATAGAGAAACATAAATACATAGATGTAAGTACATCTGAATCAGAGAAAAGTAGTGACTGCAACATACCAAATAATATACCAAAACGTAAAAAGAAAAAAAGACACATTAAAAATAAACGGAGAAACAAGCAAATAGTAGAAGAAATACAGCCAAAAGAATATTTTGAAAAGCATAAGGATATAAAACAGGCTATAATAGATGATATAGATATAACAAAAGAAACTGACGTCAAAAATAAATCAACAGATACTAATATAAGTACAAGTATAACTAATGAATGCATAAAACATAAATATAATTGGGCAAGTAAACGAAAAGTTGATGCAGTCAGTTTCAATATGAAATTTTTTAATAAGCAAATAAGTAAGAAATTAATTTAGAGCTGAATACCATGTGTGGCCATATATTCATGTAGCATTTCCTGGGAATTAAACTTATCAACTGTTAACCAACTATTATCCTTTACACTATATCCAACCCACTTAACCTCAAATATGTACTTATTATCAGTATACACATGTCCTACAATCTTCTCAATATCATATGAATTACTATGTTCTATATTTCTCTGTTCTCTTTGATTTTTTCTCTTGCGTTTAGATGTATTATTTTCAGTTTCGTCCTCACTATCTATAGCCATATCTATTGATTGATTAATGTTAAGCTGTAGAAATTTCTGCTGCATGTCAACCATTTCGTTATATTCAGTATTTACTTTTTGCTCATTTGAAAATACTAAGTCAAGTTTGTTTTTCTTACTTGGGAATTCAAAATCTTTTCCATACCATAATTTATGATGTGGTTGTACCTCTATATTATACTTATTTACAAATCGCCATATATTAGTAAGAATACAAGCAACACGAAACTGAATATTATAATATCTTATATCGGTTATTTGCAATGCTGCACGATTATTATTAAATCGTTCAAATTTAGAGCCTAACATAGAAAACTGTGCTTCTATTGCCAAACGAAATGATCCAAACTTGTTATTAAAGTATGTCTCATTGATTGTTAACTTTTGTCCTGGTTCTTTTCTTATGGGATGTAAAAAATTACGATCTTAAAAACTATATCCAGCATCTGTCGCATTATCTTTAAACTTTTGTATAAATAAATTATATCCACCATCCATTCCTAAACAATCTGCTTCACTTATTTTTTTATATAGTTTCATATTAATAAACATAGTACCATCATTTCCGATAGCACATTTTTCAGATACTGAAACATGTGTAATTATTTCATTCATATCATGTATAACTTGTGTACGTACAGCTGGCCCTTTTAATTTATATGAATATAACTGTGAATGTGACTCATTTGGTTTATAATACTTTATTTTACTATCATGTCCATCAATAAATAGTGTAACATTCTTAAAACCATCTGGATTGTTTATTATTGCTGATAGAATGCGAATATGTGGTGATGAGAACATACTATCTAGATCTTGTTTTACCTTTTTATTCAATTCATTATAGTTAGTAATCCAGAACCGCTTATATAAATCATAAAATGTTGCATATGGCATAACAGTATGCATATCCTTTCCTGATACACCTGATACCATATGATATAATAATGCAAGTCCTTTTTCAATCTCGCGGTATGGCCCTGGATATTCAATATTTCCATATAAAACTGTAAGAAAATAAAATACAGGTATAAATCCAAATCTATTAAGTAATACATCCTTTATATCATTTATTGTATTATTCTTCATATCTTTAATAGCTGTTCTATGATTAAATCTATGTTGCATTTCAGGCCAAGATTTATCAAGAAAAGTCCATTTATTATCAATTAAATTTTTAATTTCAATATCGAGTTGTTCAGTGTGTTGTGTTGTGTTCATTTTTATTTGTTGTTATGTACTTTAAACAATCGCTCTTTTTTTTCTCGTGGGAGGCTACCAATATAAATAAAAAAATTCAATTTTTATTATTTTTATTGTAAATCAATAATTAATTCGGCCACTGATGGTTATACCGGTCATAGCAATTTTATAATCTATATTACAGCTAGTAGATTATAATTGGTTAGACAACTAATAGCAGGACGCCAACTGGGAAAAGAGCATACTGGAGCCGAAACATATACAGGAGTTCCTGGGATTCCGGTTCAAGACGAAGACAATGATGATCCACGTCCCGAAGGAGAAAATGACCAAGCTGAATTCGAAACTCAGACAGGCGAAAAACGAGACATCAAAGACTTGCAGATGGATGGCAAGTTTGTTGGGGAAGATGACGTCGATGATCCCAGCAATAAGGGAAGCGTTACTACACACATGCTTTCTGCAACGAGACCTAGCGAAATGTCTGAAGGAAAACGGCCATCAATGGGAACAAACATGTACACTGTCAGATCAAGGCTGGACAGAAATCGAGTGGTGGATACAGTATTCACAAGTGAAGAATGGTCTCCCAATCAGGAAACCAATATACAAGACTCCAGCAGTGACGATCTACGTCGACGCCTCCGACACCGGATGGGGGGTCAGTTCAACGATGATAGACACGTCCGGTTTCTGGACACAAGCAGAAAAAGACGCATCGATCAATGTGCGAGAGCTGAAGACAATCTTGTTTGCGTTACAGCTACACAAAGAAAAATACCGCGATTGCTCGATCAAGATACTGCCAGACAGTATCACGGCACTGAAATATGTCACTAAAGCAGGAGGAACAGCGTCAGTGGAACTACAAGAACTAGCCATCAAGATCCAGGACTTATGCAACCGATACAACATGACGTTGCAATACCAACACATACCGGGAGTACAGAACATCCAAGCGGACAAGTTGAGCAGAAGGAAAATCCCACTATACGAGAAAGCCTTGCCATTCAAATGGTTCAAACAGATAAAACAGAGATGGGGACCTCTAACGGTCGATGCATTCGCGGCAAGGCACAACAAGCGTCTGAAGCAGTTTTGGAGCTTACTCCCAGATCCGGAAGCGAAGGGGGTGGATGCATTCACTCAACGATGGCCGCGACGAGGTCTTTACCTCAACCCACCTTGGAAATTCATCCCAAGAGTCCTACACAAATTGAGAGCAGAGAAAGTGAAGGAAGCAGTATTAGTGACACCATTTTGGCCAACCCAATACTGGTGGCCCATGATTCTCAACATCAATCACTCACCACCCTGGATCATGAAAGTAAGCACCAATGGACCTTAGTTGCTTGGAGGTTATTTCCAAGGCAAGACAAAAAAATGGAATACAAGATGAAGCAAACAAGTTCCTACAAGGCACAACAAGAGAAAGCACGAACACAGCATACGACTCAGCATGGAGTTTATGGACTAACTGGTGTAAAAACCAACATCCGCGGGTTAACCCTGAAGAATACAACGTACAACAAGTTTTCAAGTTTCTCCTCGCCCATCAACAATTTTCAATTCAATACTTGAATGTGATACGATCAGCTATCGCGTCAGTTTTCAACGTCAGCCATCCGAAGACAACACCCATTGCAAAACAACCATTGATCCAGGAATTTTTCAAAGCAAGAAGGAAGAATAATGTACAATTGCCCACAAAACAACAACTTGAGACATGGGATGTCAATGTCATAATTGATGCAATACGAACCTGGGGGACATCGGTCGAGCTAACCTTGACAAGACTACAACTGAAGGCCATTATTTTACTGTGTATCACCACAATGTGGAGACCGCGTTCTGATATTGGACTTTTACAGCACAGAGATATCCACATCAAGCGGGACATGGACGGAAAATTGGTGGGAGCGACAATCAATGCAAGAGAACCGAAGGAGACACAAGTAAAGACGATACAACTTGGCACCATCAACGACGACGATATTTGCCCAGTTCAAACGGTAGCCCTCTTCATGGAAAAAACAAACCATCTCCGCAACAATTTGCCCGTTGATCATACACTATTCCTAGCATATGTAGAGCAGCAGGATAAGATCAAGTCAATCCGACCAGCCACAGTGTCAAAAATGGTGCAGGATGCAATGAGAGACGCGGGTGTTGACACGGAGTTTTCCGCTCATTCGATCAGAGCAGCTTCTAGTACGAAAGCCGTCCAGTTGGGTCATCCCATAGACGAGATCAAGAAACATGCCAATTGGAGTCTCCATTCCAATACCTTTGAAACATATTACTACAAACCACCACATCAACAATCGATAAGCGCCAAGATTGCAAACTCACTTTTTTCAGAAACGGAGAACCATACCACATCTGAAGTCGAAACGGCAATTCGTCAGTTGACGAAGTGGAGACGGAGGATGTGGTAACTACCCGCCCATGGTTTCTCTCAGGATGGTGGAACAAATAACCATTTCCCAACCCCTATCATAGATGTCTTGAATAAAAAGGAAAAAGGGATGTTAGGTCAATTTTTGCATATCGTGGCCCAAACCAAATATGACTTGTGGCCCAATTTATTTTCATTGACCCAGTGTTTTTTCTGTGATTGACTCGGTTTCCCGTTTCGCTCTCAAAATGACTCATTCGTAGACACAAAGTTTCCCAGGTGATTTTATCCCGTGACATCCCAAGAAGGTGCTCTTTTTCTATTGAGCCAGAAATTACCACCTTTTTCTCTCTTGTGGCGAGTGCAACGACAAACATTGCAATGGCATGTTTTGTTTTTACCGATGACACAATAACATCATCCTCGCTGTTGTTGCTGATAGCCAGCTTCATCGCAGCTGCGGAAAGAGAATAAAGTCAGTGTAGCTGCTACCTTGGCCGTCGTAATGATGACGACTACTTCCAGGCATAAATGCCTCTTGTGTTCTTTGTCCCTCTATCTCTACACTAGTAGTTTTTCTCACAGACCTCATTACCCTACCCCTTGCAGATGATCTTATCAGAAACGGTGCCTGGACCGTATAAAAGCACCCGGAACGAAACGGGTATGGCTCGTGAGAAACCACACATCTTGTTTATGTACGCGTTCATTATCACAGCCGTATGATCACCGATCCTGTTGCGAAAGCCCGTGCATTTCGGGTACTGCATTTTTTTAATAGCGGAACGAGCCTATCAAAGCCTTTTGTTTGTTTGTATACAGATCACATAATAAGAGAAATAATTGCAACAGGATGATGCTATCATCATGCTGCGGCAGCGGGTTTCGTGCAATCGACTTAGAGTTTACCACTCGGATCACGAGAAACTCTGTGCTGCTTGATGCAAAAATTTCTCTTCTCTTCTTCTCCCAGGGTCATGGTAATATTAAAAATTGAAGGATGACTGTTAAACTTTGGCAGCGCTAATTGGTATGGTACTCGCTACTACTATGCTATCATACAACAGTCAGGAAAGTCGTGTACTACGTGTACGTCCTGTCTGTACTTGTCTATATTGGTAATTCATTGCCAAAACCTTTTCGCAACCGCTTAGGTATTCCGTACAGCCGATTGCTTATGTATACACTGATTGTTAGCGTATTTCGTTAAAACAGATGTGGAGAAAGAGAGAAGAACAAGCGATTTCCGTAGGGTATTTTGTAGCACATGTGGCTAATTTTGCCGAGCCATCACAGAAATGGAAACTAGCGTGTGGGGGAGCAGTAATCGTATGATTGGTTCCTAGATGATGCACATGCTGAGCAACTGTTTTTTACTTGAAAAGTCGATTTGCCGATGTATGTGCTTCGGAGCCTTGCGATGAGCACCTGAACCTCAAGTAATATGCACCACTATCAGTGGAACACTGTAATCCAACCAGCCCATAGCCTGCATTGGTGTAGTTTCTTTGCCAGAACAATCTTGCTCAATTCTATCAGTCAGCTTCAGGACAATTACTTAATCATGAAGAGACCATGGAAGTAAAACCATGAAGAAAACAGGCTCCGGCTTGTTGCCTAACGAAACTGACTATGTAAGAGATCTTGCATGCATTCTCAGTAGCTACTGGTATAATACCAGCTGTTTTATTATGAGCTACCATTGATTCTAATGTTGGAGCTTGTTCGCAAAGGTGACAACAGGCATGCAAGAAGTATGATACCGGCATGCTGGTAGAAAGGTTGAAACTTTACCCTTGCTGCCGCTATTATCGAATCTTTTTTCTGGTTTAATGGGCACACTGATACCAGTGACTGAAATGGTGCATTGAATTTGTCCTTTATAAAGTTTCTTAATGCAGCAGTGAACTTCGTTTGAAATAAAAAGACGTACACAATAATGGGCATAAAGCGCGACGCTGCAAAAAGCATCAGCAATAGGCAATGCAACAGCGACCGCAAGCCACAATTTCCCAGATTTAAATACCCACCAACGGCGGCAACCCCGTTTTCTCTTCGTGCTTAATGGTAAGTTTCTAGTGTATAGTGAAAAATGAGCAAAAGAAAGAATTGGTGATTGGTGTATAAACTTCTGGGGCTGATCGTATAATTTTGTTTGATCTTATAGAAAGGAGAGATCTTTGGCAATCCCCTTGATAAGGACGGACTGAGCTTTTGCTCTAAACACGCATCACTTGTTGATGTTGGCACAACTAGCCCCATTGTGGGCGTCTTGGCACATTTGCCTTACTACTTTTTTTTTTCAATCAAATAAGAAAATGATAAAAAAGGCATATGATGCCCTGTAATGGAATGAGTGGGAGAAAGAATTGTTTCTTTTCTCCACATGTTCTTTAACTTTATTGTCACATCGTATGATAATGCTTTCAAAGAGCTATTATCACGATAAATAAAAAAAAGTAGGGATAGATGATTTGTTTTCATAATTATCTTGTTCTAATATACTGGCATATATGCTAGAAATATGATGAAAGATGATGATAGAAGCAGCAACAGGTCTGCATTAATTGATGTTGGTAAAACTACAACATACTGCCTGAGCTGCAATAGAGAGGGAAAAAAAGGAGTGATTTTCGGATCGCTTATCCCTGACTGCGAGGCAGCCTAGTACTCCTGCGTACGTACAACAGGCAAACTGTTTTGGACAGTCTAGGTTTTTGAAGCTTCTAGACTTATGCGCGAGACTCAAAGCTGCGTGTGTTTGTAAGCGTGGGAGCGAGAACGGATTTCGGCAATTATTCCTTTTCTCGCTGCCAGAGATCAATGTCGCCAAGCTGCATATCATCACGCTTTTCGTTATGGATATTTCATAAACGAAACGATAAACAATCGGCACATGCACAAAGATGGGGAGCATAAAGGGCCAAGAAACACAGACACCCGATTACGGTAATAAACGGACATGTAGTTCCATCGTCCCAGTAATAAATTGCAAATTTAGAGGCAGGAAGCATCATGCAGAAAATAAGATTGAAGGGATGCGCCTAAAAAAGCAAAAAGTAATGTCCATAATGTTATTACGGACATTTAACGAAATCAACGGGTTTGCATTTCAACGCATCTTTCTTTCTCTTTTTCTTCGTTCTTCTTACTTCAGCAAATACCATCATCTTTGGTCCCTTTTTCCTCTTTTACCACTCGTACCAAGATGAAATTCTCGCATACTCTAAAGTTCAATGCCGTACCTGAATGGGCTGAACATTATGTAGCGTAAGTCATCTTTATCAGTTGTCAAAATCCTAGGGTGGGATTTCATGTAAGAGCGGCATTATTAACTCATACGGACATTACACCAAAAATTGAAAAGCTACGATTATCTTAAATCCGTCATATTCGATATCGAAAAGCGCCGTGTCGAAGCCATCAACAGCCATACCGACACCGAGAACGGGAGCAGTCGATGGATAAAGCCTCCAAGCGAGTCTGACACGACAGCGACGGATGACGATAATGCATTTGTAACAGCACTAGATGCCCAGCTCGAAAAAGTAGCCAAATTCTTTACACAGAAAGAGGTGGCGATTTGTAATCTCTTAGACAATGTCGACCGCAAAATCGAAGCGTGTCCAGAGGATCCATATCCTGGATGCAACATGACCCTGTACACGCATAACAGTGGAAGCGCCATAACATCACATCGAAATAATACTCTCGATAACATGATGACAATGCAGAACAGCACCAACTCCTTGCAGGTTCCAGATGCATCTACACTTAGCATCACTACCTCATCGAAACTAAGTCAACAAGCGACCGTTAAAGCAAATAATAACAGCAACAGCAAGGACGACCAAGACCATGACTGCAATAACAGTAATGTAGAAAAGCGATATACTATCAGCACGATAAGAGGCCCGACGCAAAAAGCTTCATTCGAATCGCGCCTTTCCGCTCAGACGACCAACGAATCGGAATCGTATGTCGAGTATCTGCTCGATTTACGCATGCAGTTGATCCAACTTTATGTCTTGGCCTCCGACCTAGAATCGTTTGTCGATCTGAACAAAACCGCGTTTAACAAGATATTGAAGAAGTACGACAAAGTGCTGGTCGGGCGTTTACGCAAAGAATACATGGATAGCAAGGTGCTTGTTGCGAGGCCATTCACTGAAGAAACAGCAAACAAATTACACTATGTCCTAGAACGCACAGAGCGGTTCTATGCTGACATGTTTTGCGACGGACATACGCAGCGAGCAGTTCGCCAGATGAAAACCCACTTGCGAGATCAAGTATCGTACGAACGCAACACCGTATGGAAGGATATGGTCAGTCAAGAACGACAAATTTACGGCGCCCACATCAACGAACCTAAAGCACCTGAAAAAGTGTACCGGATACCCCTGACGAAGTTCGACTTTCCAGCCAAGCAGCTGGGCAACGTTCTTCGTTTCCTCCTAGCGCTGATTGTATTTGTCGTCCTGGTGAATGTCAATATCTTTGGGTCCACCGAGGAAAGTCGCTGCTTTGCACTACTGATATTTGCTGCGATGCTCTGGGCCACAGAAGCAGTACCACTCTATGCCACGTCGCTATTGATTCCGTTCTTGATCGTACCGCTCGGTGTGATGCGCAATGAAGACAGAAGCCACATGCCAGCTCCTGCAGCAGCCAAGGAAGTGTTTGCCTCAATGTTCAGCGGTACAATTATGATGTTACTCTCTGGCTTTGGATTGGCTGGTGCATTATCCAAATATGGCATTGCAAAAGCGTTTGCAACCCATGTATTGTCTCGTGCTGGCACACGACCGCGCTGGGTTTTATTATCTATCATGTTTGTAGCTGCATTCCTTAGTATGTGGATATCCAACGTCGCGACCCCCGTACTCTGTTTCTCCCTTATTGATCCAATCCTCCGGACTTTGCCCGACAATTCGCAGGTGGCGCCGTGTTTGCTCTTGGGAATCGCCTTGGCGAGTTGTATTGGTGGCATGACTTCACCCATATCCTCGCCGCAAAACATCATCACCTTGCAATACATGAACCCGAGTCCTGGATGGGGTATTTGGTTTGCAGTTGCTCTGCCTATCTCTATCATTTCCATTTTCGTTTGCTGGATTTTGCTCCTCCTGGTGTATCGGCCCGATCGTGTATGCGCGCATCTCAACACCATCAAGCCGACGAAGGGCAAAATCACGATCCAGCAGGTGTTTGTCCTGTTAGTCGCAGCAGCAACAATTATCTTATGGTGCGTCGAATCTTCTATTGAAGACGTAATTGGCGATACTGGTGTTATTGCTGCTATCCCCTTATTTGTGTTTTTCGGCACTGGTATTCTTGGCAAGGACGATCTAAACGCTTTTCTATGGAGTGTTGTGGTAAGTATAGCCTCCTCCTATCTTTAAAATAATTTTCTGTCTTATTCACGCACCATTAAACACATTTTGTTGTACAGATTTTGGCGCAAGGCGGGATGGCGTTAGGGCATGCTGTCACTTCCTCAGGTCTCCTGCAAAATATTGCATTGCATATCAAGAGCGGCATCCAACACTTTGATGCTATTACCATCCTCATAATCTTTTCGTCACTTATTTTGGTATTTGCCACATTTGTGTCCCATACCGTCGCTGCATTAATCATCGTACCGATCGTACAGCAAGTCGGCCAGCAACTACCGCATCCGCATCCCAACCTGCTTGTTATGGGCGCTGGTCTCGCCTGCTCGGCCGGAATGGGGCTGCCAGTGTCAGGTTTTCCCAATATGTCCGCCGTTATGTTGGAGGATCGCAAGGGGAAACAATACTTGACTACACGTGATTTTATTGTCACGGGAGTACCAACAAGCATATTCTGCACTATTTTTGTGTGCACTTTGGGTTATGGCATATTATCTGCCGTTGGTTATTGAAGTTATACTTCTTTTTTGAAAAGGAAAAGAAGGAACAACCCCTCTAATCACATTAATTATTGCTTCATGTATAAAAGAACGGTCTATCATATCACGACTACATACACAATATATATATACTATGTATACCCAACTTTGAAAAGACCCGAAAAACCCTCTTTATAAATACTCAATTTTGTACACAATAAAAGTCGTGTGGTTGTTTCTCTTCCTGTAAACCACGTTTCATATGATCGTATGCACGAAAATACTTATGCACCTACTAATGTACAGTATCTTTAAGGCATACGTTTACATAGTCTTATTTTCGTATAATACTGTGAATAGAGGATGTGTCACCAGTGTGGTCTTTACTAAACAGTTAGCTACGTAAGTGATAACAAGTACGCACAAAGCATATGCATTACTTTAATTTGCAGAATTACACGTAACGCCATCCCGCAGTAGAGTAATATATTCTTATTCAATCGTTCCCTTTTGTTTGTACGGTTTAGTCTCATACAGCATAAGTGAGAAATAACCTACGCGTTTTTCTTTTTGTAGATTGTATATACAGTAAGCACATATCGGATAACGTGCATTTGTCATCATTATTATCTCCATCAGTGGGCATGAGAGTATGTGGATAGGTGTTATTAGCTTTCTAGTTAATCGTATCCATTCAACGTATCATACACACATGAAAAGAAAAGGACAGGTACATAGAGACTAGCAAGGGTACGTTTGTGTACGAAAATCAAGTGCAGGTTGTAGTAATCTTCGTATGTATACTGTCCAAGTTGGATTTGATAGGTTCGGAAAGAGCAAGAATGATATGCACTGCTAATTGTATCAACAAAACCCTCGAATAAGTAATGAAGCATTATGACATTTTTCATCCTTGAAATTGGTCTGCTGCTGTCCTTCTCGCCGACGATCTGGTAGCTAATGTATCGCTTGATTACATGAAAGGATGTAAGTAACTGTCATTCTCAACATCGTAGTATAGAGCTATGAACATCCCACGCCTAGGTAGTTGTATTGAAATATATGAAAATACGCAGATCGCCGTTGATACTCTTGTCTATACGACCAATAATACATGTTTTTTCATTACTCAGTAAGTATCCAAGGTCCGTGAATCACCTATCTAGACATTTGAATTTGTTGCAATAGACTTGCGACAACTCACGGTTGTATTCCAGTTCTTCCTTTCTGCCGAATTATCCAGTCAATGCGCATCACTGTTACTGTTTGTGTCGGCTATTTTTTGAATGCACCATGATATCAACTGGACATTTCGCAGCTCCAGATCTTCTTAGCCCCATGACGCTTAGCTGCTAGTTGTGTAAATTCATAAAACAGCGATACCATTTAGGTTAGTTGATAGTGTAGCTGCCAGCAGCTGTATTATCTCGTCCGATGCCGTATTATGTGCCCAACTTGTAAAATCAACTGTGCTGTCGTGCACTTGTAATTTTACATACGCTACGCCTTGACTAGTTCTGGCATTTTAGTACTGTAGTGTCCAGCAAACAACGATTACACCTCTTGCAGGTCCGCAGGCTCGAGAAGTTAAGAGAACGACTGCTTCAACCTATCTGTACAGCTGTCCAAACATTATAGAGATGAATGGAAATTTGAGTGTGATGTAATTAAATCACGGTTGCTCACAGATGTTTGCTTCTTGCCAGATTGTATCTTGGCAGTTAAAAAAAACCTTCTGTATTTCCAGCAGGGAAAACGCTTCGCCGTCGATTATATTGTTGTTGTTGTGATGGGTTTTATTGCTTTTGAAAGAATCCAAACATCCTGCATCGTGCATGGGTAAACATATTAACCTCAAGGCTATATGTTTCCTCAACATCCTAAAACGAATTATATGTCGATAAAGAACGTCAATGATTCGAGTCGCGGACATGAGTCAATGTTGCTATAATATCTGTTGTAAAGCACCCTATTTCTCTTCTGCGCGCTCTGGAGGTCTTGTAAGCACTTGTATGTAGGTCCATCGTAGTCAAATACGAAGGGTGATAATGCTGAAATATATTGAGGGATTTATAAATGGGCGCGTCGTTGGTTTGTGTATAATAGTTTATACAGTTGTACCCCGGTTTTTGCAACCCCTGGTTTTGCAATTCCTCGTATATCTGCAACTTTTGTTGAAGAATCCCAAAAAAACTTAGTAGTTTCGCAAATTTGCAACTTGCAAATGAGTTTATACGATTTGCATGTTATCGGGGTAAAAACAGCTTCAATTTTTGCAATATCAACTGAAAGAAGCATCTGTTGCGGATTATGAGGAATAAAATGATGCGGTTACTGCAAGATAAATGTGTAAATATGAAGATGTATTTATTGTCGAAATACATAAAAATTATTATTTGGTAGTTGAGCCAGTAGAATCGGGACACATATATAGCACTGATTGGATTGAATCCACAAAAGAAATGATGAAGATGTAAGAAAAAGGGAACACACTACATATAGATATAGAAATAAAATGTTTGCTCAAAGGAGCTTTTAACTACATATCGAAGAAGTCATCAAGGGATGACTGTCAGGAGAATGATTGCTGCCTGAGACTCTCTGGAATCCTACGCAAAGACTTCTTTAAGTCGTAGTTATCGATATTATCCAAAAAGCTCAAAACTCCTGCAATTGCAACCTGTTTTTCCTTCGACGTTGGCCCTGGAATAGGCGAATCAGCGCTTTGGTCCACCGCCCGCTCAAGTGCTCGTCGTACAATCGATCCTCTTGCTTGGATGTGAACTTGTGGAACGATTTTGTCATGCTTAAAATAGCTAATAATTATCAAACCACTAGACAGCTTCAATGAAAGAACGGTCTTATATATGCAAGTAGTAACATCTAGAGCTGTATGAATATTCCCAAAGAACGTATCGTACATCATCTCTGACAGATAAACAATGGGCTAGTGTTAATAGGATGACTTATCCAGTGTATACTTAAAGCAGAATTGTTTACCCCGTTACTTGCAAATCCTCACTTTTTGCAAAAAAAAAACGGAAAACCCTCGGTTGCAAAAACCGGGGTACAACTGTATTGGATGTAGTATTTAACCAAATCGAGCCGAGGTTACATTTGGGCATATGATAGCTTAGCGGTTTTTTTTGCATGTTCAGGTGGTCATGAAGTTGCCGTAAATATCCAAATGTAGCACGCTTTATTTCAAGTTATTAACGGATAGTATCACTATCGGCGCATCTTCCAATGCCATCCCTTCATACATAAGAAAGGGTGCTTGTTTTCTCGTATACGCTTTTTTATTTTCCTGTTGGCCCGAACACATTCCTCGAGTACTATCAAAAAGCTCGGTTCGGATCAGTTCTCTGCCAGAACCGACCCTAGTAGGATGTTTATGAACCGAGTTTTTAGACTGCAAACTTTTAAATGATGGGATTATAGTAATAGTTGCGTGGAATTTCAGGGAAGACGAGATTAAACGTATAGTATATAAAGCGGATTAAATACGTGCTTTATCTCAGATATTGATAGTATGATTGCGAAACACATGCGCACTCGAAATAGTCGAACCGGTCGAGATGATTGAAGACTTTACGAAAAATGTCATAGGGGGTATTACAGTAGTAAAAAGCGGGCTGTTATCGATCCCTGTCTCTTCTTCAAACTCGTCAGAATTGTAAGACACCATAACAGGACGAAGGGCAACAGAAGAAAACTTAACATCGGGCATTCTGTTAGTCTAATAACGGCAGCCAGTTCGATTATACAATATTGTCCATTAAACCTTTAAATCTATACATCGGTGATGAAATATTAACAGAAGAAGTGCTATCTCTCCAAATACTTCCCATCTTGAATAAACGACTCCTTGTAGTAAAGATGTATATGCTAGAAGAGCTCGTTTTAAATCACTTTTCACAATCTCACACTGTATCCGCTACTATGTAGACTCGCCAGAATATTACCGAAATCGCCCTCCTTATAGACTTCTGTCTATGTGATTGTTACTGTAGCTGAAAAGGCTATATATGACATTACACAGATAGTGAAATTATGGGAGAATTTCCATGCGGCGTGTGATTTTCCTGTATGTGAAAAGACAGAGGGAGAATTGACCCAAGGGGAAACAGACCGTCGCGTGTACACAGGCAACTTGCTAAAAGCCTTCTCTCTGCCTTCTATCCTTTTTCCCACAACACTTGTAGCTGACAAAAAGGCTATACCACACAATGATTAATATTTAGGAAACAATTGCATAGATATGTCATGTGAGCTAAATCCGTTAGGCGGAGTAACCAAAACCCGTACGTAACTCTCGCAAACCCCACACAATTTAAAAAAGGATCCCACGTTATGCAATTTTTTATTTTCCATTTTTCCTCCACTACAATAAAGCATACAGAAAACACATTCCTCATTTTCTTTCTTACTTTTAGCAAAAACACACGCACGTACATTATAACACGAAGCGATGCCACCAAAATCCGGAAAGCCTAACGTTCGTATCGGTTGTTATTCGGCCTTTTTGGGCGATTCGCCTGAAGCAGCTTCCCAGCTTGTCTATGAAGAAGGCGCCAATCTCGATTATCTTGTCGCCGACTACTTGGCAGGTATGTACCATGGGGAGTCGAGAAACATTAATTTCAAAAACAATATATAGAAGGATAGCGAAGGAAGTAGTGGCACTTGCGATCGTTAGATCATTTATATAAATAGAAATCACAATGGGCGTATTGGCCCTGAAAAAGAATGCTCGTTTGCTGAGTGGTAACAACAAGGATCCAATCAGCGGAGAGCCAGGTGCTGACTACATCAATCAGTTTGTCAACCTAATCCTGAAAAAGCTGTTGCCGGACTTGCAGAAAAACAAAACCAAAGTGATCACGAATGCGGGAGCACTTGATCCACATGGCTGCAAAGCGGCCATCGAAAAACTGTTCGATGAGCTCAATATCAAGGGCATGAAAGTCGCAGCTGTCGTTGGTGACGACATGATGAACGGGGAGAACATAACCACGCTCGAAGCGTTCAAAAAGGACATCGTATCCTTTTCGCCCTTGTCTGTTAAAAACCTCGATTTGGATGCCGACCGATTCCCTGTTAATAACGAGCCGATCGTGTCCATGAACGCGTATTTGGGCGCCAAGGGCATCGCTGCTGCTTTGGAAGCAGGTGCGGATATCGTTATCACAGGCCGTGTTGTGGATTCGGCTATCGTGGTCGGTCCATTGATGTACGAATACGGCTGGGATGTGACCAAGCATAAGAATTACTATGACTTGCTGGGATCAGCCTCTTTGGCTGGCCATATCATTGAATGCGGCTGCCACGCTACAGGTGGCAATTTCACTGACTGGCGACAAGCTGCCTACTCACCGTATGGAGGCTATTCAAACATGGGCTATCCCATTGTCGAGTTTGAAGAAAGCGGCGAATTTGTGGTCACAAAACCTGTCAAGACAGGTGGATTGGTTACCGTGGGCACTGTCGCTGAACAAATTCTGTACGAAACTTTGGATCCTGCTCTGTATATCTTGGCCGATGTCATTTTGGATATGCGACAGGTGCAGTTGACGCAAGTCGGCGATAATCGTGTTCATGTCAAGGGCGCCAAAGGTTACCAGGCAACTCCGTTTGTCAAGTGCTGTGGTATCTTTATGGATGGTTGGTCCGTCAACGGTACATTGATCATTGGTGGTGAAGATGCCAAAGGAAAGGTAAAGAAGGGTAGTTTTTTTTCCTGTCCAAGAGAAGCTGACCCACTTAATTAACTCTATGCATAAGGCTGAAGCTGTTGGCAAAGCTATTATTGCACGAGCTCGACGTATTCTCAAAGAACGTGGCATTGGTGATTTCCGCGAATTCAACATTGAGCCACTAGGAACCGAAATTGCCCTCTTTGGGTATGTCAATTAATTTGTCAGCGATGTAATCTCATTCTTTTGATTGTAACTATCGCATATGATGCATTGTGTTTTGTGAAGAGCCAATGCCAGATCACATGCCACTCGCGAAGTCGTTCTTAGAGTATCAGCCGTCCATAATGACCGTAAGGCGCTTCAAATGCTATCCAATGAAATTATGGCCGTAAGTTCTAGTCAATTAATTGACCGTTATAGCTAGCATCATGAATCCCATATTTATCACATACTTTTCGGGAAAGAGCAGCCTGTGACATGTATGGCTCCAGGTACAGGATTTGGCAACCAAGCTATCCCTTTACCCAATCTGGTCCACTTCCCGTGTTTATTGCCCAAGTCTAAGTCGACCACGGAGTACCTAATTGGCTCTTCATCGCAAAGAGTTGATTGGGATGATTGGGACGATGCGCTCACATATCAAAACATTCCACCGTTGCCACCAATTCCAACAGCCTCTGAAACTTCTGGCCTCGTCAAGACCAAGTTAATCAGCGTAGCCTTTGGCCGCAGTGGCGACAAGGGCGACGTATCCAATGTTGGTATCATTGCCCGTGATCCAAAGTATTTGCCCTATATTAAGCGTAGTGTGACCGAAGAAGTCATCGGCAACTACATGCAGCACTTGTGCCAAGGCAGTGTGAAGCGTTACGAGCTTCCTGGATTGCTTGCTTTCAACTTTGTCCTAACACACGCGCTCGGTAAGTTTCTTTAGCATTCAATCAGTCAAAGTTGATAATGATATCAGCAGCAACAGCAATAGTAGTAATAGTAAAAGAAGAAGGAACAGTGGTATATTACATTGATGACATACACTAATTTCTATTGTCAATGGATATTGTAAAATAGGTGGTGGAGGTTTAAACTCATTGTTAATGGATCGACAAGGCAAGTCGTTTGCCCAGGTTGTGGTAAGCGGCGTTGAGGTTGAAATCCCTGCAGAAATGGTGCCTGCCGACGCTCGTCTATAAGTGTTTTTGCTTGCTTGTATGATAGCCTTTGTTTACTTGAATAAATGAAAGAACGACCACGTTATCTTTTATTAGCTGCGTGTATCCATTGATTCTGCGCCACTACTCGCAGCACCAGTGTCTTTCGTTTCGCCCTTGAGAGTTTTGTGGAATTCGTGCCAAAGGTTCGATGGTTCGTGGAATCCAGCAGCGATCGAGTTGATTGTTTGTATGTTTTGATTGACGTTACTGAGGTTGCCCGAGAGCTTACTTAGTGCTTGCTTGTTCTCGCGTAGTAATCGCGCTCGTTCGATTTCGAAAGTCTTTAGGGGGTTGGTGTCCATGGTTTTCTTTCTGTGAAAGAAAGAAGGGGAAATAATAGGGCATCAAATTCGTCTCTGAGCTTCAAAAAGCCTCTCGTACAGTACAACGTTCTTCTTCGCTTTGAATACACACTACAATGGCAAGCAACAAACGAATGAAAGGTGTTAGCGTTACGCTTCCCGTCTATACGTTCAATTTTGCTACGCCACTGACGGGCAAAAAAGCCAACGATTCTGATCATACGCATAAATGGACTATCGGATTACGTGGATTTCATAGCGATCTTAGCTTTTGCATCAAAAAGGTGGTTTTTCGATTGCACGATACGTATCCCAATCCCGTAAGAAGTAAGTCAGTCTTCCTCCCTGTCTAGCAGATTCAATTGTTCTTTTAATCAGTTTGTTGACATTTATCTATTCGCGTATATGTGGTGTCTGTTTTTTTCTATATATGAAGCTGTCGAAGAACCGCCTTTTGAGATACATGAAACAGGCTGGGGTGAGTTTGAAGTACTAGTCAAGGTACATTTCCATCCTGCCGCGAACGAGAAGGCTGCACAGTTATATCATCATATTAGACTGCACCCATACCAAGATGATCCAGCCGGGGGTGCATGGCCTAAGGATAAGCCAGTAACATGTTTTCTATATGATGAACTGGTATATATCTTTTCTCTTTTCGCACATTTACAACATAGAGGGACATATGGAACTGACAACATGCTTGCGTCAATGTAGGTGTTTAACGAACCAACAGAGACGTATTACCAAATATTGGCGGATAACAATGTCGTTGGATCTTCTGGATTACCTCTTCGCAAGTATACTGGCAAAGACTATGCTATTCCACCATTCTCAATTCAAATGGAGCAAGAGGAATTGGATCGGTTGGAAAAGGCTCAACGTGAAGTGAACCAGCAGATCCTTCAGTTAAGGCAACGCAAGGCAGTGCTTGAACAAGAGAAAGTGTCCGGTAACTGATTATGTATGCTAGTAATATACCCCTCCTCCACTTTCCACTTTCTTTGTAATCATGTTAAAGCATTATCTCTACGGCACAAAGCTTGTTTACACTGATTACTATCATCAAAAGTTTTTCTAAATGTACATAAATTCTTAATAATATTCTCTGAACAAAGGCAACAACAACAATGTCATGCTGTAATCAAGGATAGTTTTGAAGAGAGGAGAGAGGGAGCGATGTAATTGAGTTCTCCTTCTATCAGTACTCAACCATCAGCAACATACGGTCTATCTCTTATTCAGAGGTAATAGGTTTAGGACGGACAAGGCTCTGGCTCAAAGATACATAACAGCGAGGCAATGTATGGTTAAATTTTATTAAACCCTATGGCTTACATGAATAGTAAACAGTATGTAGAGTAGCCAGTACTGTACATCACCACGGATTAAACCACCCAGGTACGAAGTGAATACGAAGTGAAGAAGTAGAAACAGGTCTATGCATGATATTGGTGGGAGGTACCTAGTCGTCGACAATGTTGAGAGAAAGAAGGAGTCTACATGGAAAGTATATTATGACCGGGTTGAATGTATCGCCGGTCTTTCAATGATTCTATGCTGTAAAACGGAAACCCTAGGAATGTTTATACATGTGTATTAGACAAAAGACCTTTAAAAAAGAGCAGTGATGCCTAAGAGTTTTATTGATTATGTAGTTATCTGCACACTACTAACTTGTTGCTCAGTACATGAAGCGTGTAGCTCTTTAAACAAGGCCACCATTTTCGCGAGACTTGATGTTGGTTAAAAGCTCTAGATATTGCCGTCGTTTGTTGCAATTCTACTGATGGTTCTCTCTTTTTCTGCACGTAGCTTATCACAACAGGATTTCCTTGTCATTTTGGTTTTCACCTGATTCAGATGCAGAAAAGTGCGCCCGTTTTTAAAGCGTGATTCTCGGACCAAACGTCACTTCCACGAGGCGACAAGAAGGCGATAAAGCTTGCGCAATGACCGTGCAAATAGTTCTTATGCATGTTGACCGCGTTGTAAAGTCTTTGGTCTGCTCGAATTTGTATTCTTTGAGTAGATCGATGACGACGTCTGTATTATAAATGTAGTTCGATGTTAGTGAGTAGTTCTTATGTCAGTGTGCTAAGACAACATTAAAGGGAAACAAAGAATCGGCAGTGCCAAGGTCAATAATACTGAGTAGAGCTCCCTTGCATACTTTGATTTATATATAGATACCTGCTTAATGGAATTACTGAAGTTTGAAGGGCGCAAATGGACGCCTTCAATTCAACAAGCCATCTACGAAAGGAGCCGTCTTGCTCGCCTTTTCCTACTTCTTATTCTTCCAAATGAAGTTGTACCTGGTGAATATGTGATTCCATTACTGCAGTGGTATTATCATTGCTGTCTGGATTCTTCTTGTTGTTTTGCTTCTTGATTGAGCTATCATCGCTACCATCTGATAATTTATATATTTTATTATATATAAGCTCGACACATCAGTAACAATCATCAAGAAAAATATGACACGTCTTTGGAAACCACAATGGTAATACATATTGCTATACAGTATGTATGCAGACTGCGTGTGAACAATGATAATGTTACCTTGCTGCGATTTATTAATGATGCACCCGATAGGTTCTCCTACTAAATGTTCATACGCGCGAACATTTTCTGCGCCATCTAACAACAGCAACAATAATACAAGTTGGGTTGAAAGAAAAAAGTATTGTTTTACCGTCCAGTTTGACAGAAACAACAGCCTGTACAACTTTGACAACAATGTCAGTACCGTATGGATCAAGTGCTAGTGAACTCACTGTAGTGGTGCGTGCTATACGCCCGGAACGAAAGAAGAAAAAAAACTAACCTGCTGGCACTTACTACTATAAAATGTTACATATATAGGAAAGCATGCGTGTGGTGTGGCTGCGAAAAATCAGGTATATACGTGCCTGGATTCAAAATGTGCATTATCACCAATTTCGTGCTTTAGGTTTATTTCCTGAGAACTCTGTGCTAGAGTGGAAAATCCGTCATGCTACATTACATATAATATTACAACTACGCCTATAGTGTTAGCAGCAGCAGCAGCAACGGATGACATCACGGTATGATATGCTACTGTCCACACATTTATATGACCAAACGATTCCCCAAACATCATAAACCACTGTTGGGAAAACTTCCATTGAAATCTAGGAATTATGAGTATTTCTGTCAAGCGACGATCCCTATTGGAGGGATAGATAGTCATTTCGGTGCTCATTTTCAGTCGTCGCCCACGGTATGCAATGCCTTTGAAAGCAATTTAGAGACGAAGTCCTTCTTGACCTAGTGGTAATGGTGACATGAGCTTGGTGAACATTTCCGTACACTGACCGGATCAGTGGCTCAAACCAAAAATATAGCCTTGGAGCGTCCATTTTACGGCAAGCCCTACATAAGACGCATGTAGTCCAAGAGCAAACACATATTACTATCCCTGCCAACTTTAATTGATATGCCACCTTGCCACCAGTCAATGCACCAGTCGTGAATGAAATTATTGCTGGGAGAAGTCTTGTAGCGAAGAAGCTGCTCGTCCCCAGCACACTTTTCTGTGGCATCTAAAGACAAGACATAGTAAAAATTAAGCGGATCCTAATTTATACCAGAAGATAAGTGGGACGTAATGCACAGTAAACGGTGCTCCTAACATATATAAAAAGCAACTGCAAAAGAGCAGGATTTTTCTCTCGGGCTTTATTATAACATCTTTAATTCGGCAACGACAAATGAGACGATCAGAGACACAATGTGTATTTTGCTGTGGAAATAGTAGGCAACAATAGGGGAAAATTCGCTTCATCTCTCTTTTTATTATAACAAAACGAAGGCTATGAACGCGTATGCACAAACTCTCACACTAACGACAAGCATAACGGACGTAAATCAGCAGGATGCAAAAGTCTAGGAGTGAGGAGCGCAACGCAGATCTTCCTTTTTTGGATAGTGACAAAGTTACGCGTGTGTCAAACCTTGAACGTTCCAACAGCTTTTCCCTGAAACGAAAACTATGCGCATTGCGACGCAACGATTTGGCCAATTGACTTCGCACTCGAAATGCACAGTGGGATGGCGAGTGAACAAGGTAATAAATGGAGCAACGAATTACGCGCAAAAGTGTCAAACGTTGGAAGAAGTCATCGTTTGTAGTGTTATTCTTCTGATCGTCCCAATGGATCTTGAACGCTGCTTTAAAAGAACGTAGAACCGCACAAAAACAAACGAACCGATTAACTTTATCAGCAGCAATGAAAAACAATGAAGGGTGAGTCGAATTCACTAGCGGCAGCGGATACTTATTTATGAGCGGGCCAACGTATCTGCAGCAGCACATGCTTGGGATGGAGGATAGAACTTTCGCAGTAGCATAAACTGGGATGGAGGATGGAAGGATGAGGTTACACGGCGTGGTTCAGGAACTGTTGGCGGATAGCGAAGATGGTAAAGCAACAGTTGACGAGCACGGTTAAGCATAGAAGATAACGAGTCTTTATTATAAAGTGCAGCGATGGGGGCATCTTTTTCTGCACACACATAACATTACGTACCACACACACAGTCAAAAGACAATATTAAAAGTACTGTGAACTACGCTATATACACACGTTGTTTGTCTTGTTGGGTGAAGGAATGTAACCTGGCTGCTGAGTGGATGGTGTTCTCAATGTTCACTGATGGTGAGGTGTCTACCTTGTCAGTCACTCATATTTCCGTCATTTACTGCTCACAGAAAAGCATTTCTTCCGTGAATGTACTTGCTCATTCGCATTCGTGTCTTTGTTTTCGCTTGTCACGGTGCCGTGCACGGCCCCACTCACAAACAAGCGCCGATACCATCGTCGGAGGGTACAGCTCCGCATGGTGAGAGACACGTACCACTACCGCCGCAGCACATTTGTTTGGATGACCACCAAGCACACCCCCTTTCCTTTCCTTTCGTGATAGTCCCTTTGAGCCATATGCTAAAGCCATACTATTAAGCAAGAGCCAATGAAAATCCATGGAACTTGGTGGAACTTTTTGAAGTCCCGAGCGTGACAGTCAAAAAACGTCTATATAAAGCGAGCAATTTCGCTTTTCTTTTTTTTTTTTTCTTCACTTTAGTTCGTTTTGGAAAGGCGTTGGGCTGTATGCGCGGGAGTCACTGTCCGTGCTATGATCAGTTCCGTGCCAGTGCTGGCGATTGTTCAGAGTCTTCTGATGATTGGATGGGCTCAGTGGTCCGCCATGAAGAGATGACTGCAATGTACCAGTGCGGGTCAGTGGAGGGTGAGGAACGAACAGATTATTATTATTATTTATTAAACACAAATAAACAAAATGATAAACAAAATAAAACAATCTTTTTCTTTTCGCACTCTTCTCATAAACGTTTTTACCGCTTTATTATTTTTTTTTGCCTTGCCTTTTTTTCATGTGCTTGACAAGTTCCTTATCTTTTTGCCCACCCATAGCTCCGTGCTAAACAAAGCGGGGAACAATCTGTATCGTAGCCGACAGTAACACGATCACAACGCGCTTTATCACACTTTGACACTCCTTTTCACCTTCTGTGATCGCCTAAATTGCTTGTTACCGCGGATATGGTGCGACCCTTCTTGTGAAAAGGGGTAATTTTATAAGAGGCAACACCAGAGCATACGCCAGCAGGCTAGTATAACTACTAGATCTTCAAATTGGAAAGTCTATTTCAGCTGCTCGTCTCTCTCTCTCTCTCCAACATAAATACACATTTATCTCATAATCCGCACCTCTTTACTATAACAATAGATAAAAACCTTTATATAACTATGTAATTTTATCGACAATAACAATACTAGCACATCTTTAAGGTTCTTGGTTTCGTTCTCTTCTTTTACGGAAATTTTCAAGCCATTTTCACCTTCCTTCACCACAAAGATGTTTGTGGATCTCACCCTTCAGGCTCAAGTTGTGTTAACAGGGTCGATGCTTGTTTAGATGGCGGATGCCAGCCAGGTGGAGAGTACATGTGCATTTAAGGTAGCTAAGGACACTATTCTCCAAAAGGTTCCCAGACAAGAAGTTTGGTTAGTTATTAGAAGCGACGATATATACAAAAGACATGTTTGTCAACAGATCTCGTTAAGCTGATGTATATCCCTGTTGATTGCATGTTCCCAACCTTATCTATTAAATCTGTCATATATGCGCTTTATGAGTGGACAGGCTATATTATCTCAATCTAAAATGTTACTGGACAGGATCTATAGACATGTTACAGAAGAAAAATGTGCTTGGGTAATTGTTTAATACACTATTAAGCACAGTCGCTTTCAGTCGTGCAGGCAATGGTCCTTGAGAAGCTCAGTAATGATACCAAATTTTCCGGACAAGTGCTGTGGCATTAAACATTTGACGTACAGGCAACGCACAAAGAAGAAGCAAATTACTTGCCCAAAAACGTTAACCACGCGGCTCAAGATGAAATGATTGACAATAACTGGTTTTATGTACGTATATATAAGCTTTTGAAAATAGTAATAAAATTGACAAGAAATGGAAATAATATTATTTTAGTGTGTAAGTAAGGAGAATAAGGAAAAGGAAAGAGGTATTTGGATTGAGGGAAGTGTATGAAGTAGATTTTGCGTTTCTTTCACATGGATCGGCGACCTTCGGCCGTGCCCGCTGCTATCGGTGCTGTAGATCCAGTTTTCTTCTGGCCGCTTGGTGCATTTGCACCGCCTTGCTTTACACCAACAACACCTCCGCCCATCGATGTACTGAAAGCTGCCTGCGACGCACTGTTTTGCTTACGACGAAGCATTTTGAGACCACCGCCACCAGCCTTCTTTTTCTTGGAAACCATTGCCGGACTAGCATCCTTGGCCACATTCTGTTCCCTTAATCGTTGGGCGTGTCCGACGATACAGCTGATCAAATCATTATATGTCTCTGCGTCCATCATGAGTTGTTCACGCTGGTCCAAGAGATAGCCAAGATATTCAGAGGCTTGCCGTTGTAACCTAGTGAGCTCAACTACCATGGATTTTAATTTTTCGTCTGGGAATATCCGAATGGTTTCTTTTCGTAAATGCATAAACAATAAAAAAGTGAGTAGTCGGTAGCTAGAGTTGTTCCCTGTTACTGCTTGTGATTACCTTCGGTCAGTTCGCAATAAGCTTTAGCAATATCAATGTCTAATTCTGGTTCTTCCTCTACTGGTGGTTTAGTGATATCTGCATCGCCACCTGCCCGCCGACCATTGGCGGTGGGAATGCCGACACCGGACAGAGATGCCGACCGTGTATGTTGATTCGGAGAGCGTTTGTTCATTGATGCTGCTGCTGATGCTGCTGGTCCACCAGCCGCTCCTCCTGCTACGACCGATGCTGAACGTGTGCTGCTCTTTGTATCTAGATAGTTAGATTGTGGTCGTTTGCTGCCACCCATAGGAGAGTTTGAATTCCCTCCAGGGCTTAATTTCTAAGTATATGCAGTCGTACCGTTTTAGCCACCTTCAAATTAATTTGACGCCTTTTAGACTTTTACCTCTTCATAATTGATGGTTACACCCAGCGCATTCAAATAGGAACGATTTGTCTCTGAACGAGTCCATTGGAACTGACCGATGGCACCGGTGATTGAATTATAAAACACTGAATCCCGAGAAAGTTTATCCCAAAGATCATGGCTGATAGATGCATATATTGTAACAAGTTAACCAACCACTTGCGCCTCTGTCTTCGTGTACGTGCGTCTCTTACGCTCACATAATCACAAACAAAACCCAATCCCGTGGTTTTCTTTGTTTACCTGCATTGTGTGCATAATACACTATTGTCTGACGTCGGCTCTTTCTCTTCTATAGGAGACGGAGACGATACCATGGGCTCCTCTTGCAACAGCACATCCTTCGTCCATATTCTTCGGAAAAACTGTTCCACGTATTCTGCCGCCGGTTGAGTTGCAGCTTCCAGGGCTTTGACCTGTTGTTAGAACAATACCGTTTACGATAAGTCAAAACGATGGTCATTAAACAAGCTTTCTCTTTCCTGCTCCTGCCCTTTCCATGATTTCGAAAAGTTGATGACTTCGATTTGTGGTACGCACATACTCTTCCGCTTCCGTGGGCGCCGGCGGATCGGCGGTGGTAACAGTAGCAGCGCTGGTATCAAAAGCAGTAAACTCGTCCTCGTCTTCAAATGGCGGTTCAAGATTCGTCGTTTCTTGGAAATCATCAAAGTCGCCAAAATCGTCGTCATCAGCATCAATAGGTGTAGCGAACTCCTCATCGAACTCGCCAAATTCGTCCTCCTCTTCTTGGTTTTGATGCTGCTGTTGTTCTTCATGTTGGCTTTCTTTGTCATCGTTATCACTGGACGACGTGGCGACGGTAGTTACTGTAGTTGTGCTACTGCTGTTGCCCCGGTGGTATTCTTCTTCTTCCTCGTCCTCCTCTTCCGTACTCCACTCTTTTTTCGTTGTTGTTGTAGTGGTAGCTGCATTGTGAGTTTCTGTTGAAAACTCTTCTTGAACGTCCTTCTTTGCCTTGTCGTGATTGACCGTAGAGCTAGTATTGGCGTCTAATTCTGCATTGCTCATGCTGTGTGTGGGTGTGTATGTTGTCCTTTAGGTGTGTGGGTGCGTTTGCTGAATAAAATGGGTTACAAAATGCGTTCACCGCAAAAAATGATCGGGGATGACATACCATGGAGGAGCACAAAGCGCAGGTATTCTCACTGATTGGACAACATGCTCCAATGAAAATGCCCGTATTATGAAGTGTATACGACTGCCTACTGAGAGATGTTCCCAGTTTACCAATATCGTTATACTTCGGCAGCAGTACTACTTAACAAAGATAGATAATCGTAAAAGCATTTTTAAATGACGGGTGATGCGCAGTAGCTACTATATACAGCTGGTAAGTATATCATACCAGGTTAAATATGAAGCATTTGATCGTGAGAAGATACGAGTCGCTGCTTCTTTCACGGTTTATACGTTTTTCGATTGGTATGTACCGCCTGTCATTGGATATGACACATGGAACAATTCTTTTACACCTTCTCCGTCACCTTTACCTTCAATGATCATGTCTAGTATTATGGAGCGAGATGCATACAAGCGGAGGATAGGAAAACATATTGACCAGGAGCAAGGCACGCATGTATACTAAAAAATAAATTCTAGATGATTCACCCTGTGTGTCTACTGCTTGTATGTCCTTACCGGCATTTTTTAGCTAAAGGGACCTAATAACAATGTTGTTTCCGAAAGTATTACATCTGCTTACAGTAAATTGAGTGTCGCTCCATGTTTAAAGCATTACCTATAATTTGATGCCCATCAGCCAAGATACACAGACTGTACGTATGTCAGAAATAAGGGAGAAGGGTGATATCGCTCTTCTGAGACAGTATGAGATGATAAGAGTGTTTGGTAGCTTAAAGCTGATATAGTGTTTTTATTCCTCACCTCAGAAAAAACTCGGAAAAATAAGAGAAGAACATCTTTTTTGTGACTGAATGAAGCAAGATTTAATAAAACCTGACTCTCTATTAATCCAGAAAGTGACGGTGGAAGATGATCAATAGTCAGCATAGTGGTTTATCATAATCTTCCAAGCTCCAAATCGCGAGCTATCATGATGCCTAAATGAGCACCATCGAGTTGAAACAGGCTCGATGGGCTTAATAGTAAGTATCATCAAGAAGCAATGAGCAAAGGCACATTATAAAAGCTGTAAAACAAGAATAACCGTAGGTGAGCTTAACCCTTGTAAGCATTCGTATGTTTATTTGAATAAATTTGCATTTTCAGTATGATTGTTGCACGATAATGCTTTCAAGACTTTGGGATTCATTAAGCACATCTAACATTACATCTTTCGAAGACCCATATGTCATATACGTATTTACAAATTCGACTCGCTTGAGACATGGCAAACGGGAAATTGCAGCCATGCAATTTCGCGTTATGTATCGCACATCGATCAACGTGATACTTTCTAATAAAGTGAGTTTATCGATTATCCTCTCTAAATGACGCCCTTCTAGCCCTCGTCGAAGACATAGTGTGTTCAAATACTGCATATTTCCAAGTGCATCAAAAACGGATGAAGAGTGATGGTAAGACACGCGGGAGAAAAAAGTCCATTGCACCTCCCGCGTCAATTTCAGGTGCTTCAACTGCTGCCGATACTGTGGTGTGTTCGACAAGGAAAAAAAACGTTGCAATCCGACAGCCGTGATATTCTTGCAATTCTCCAAGTTCAACCGCTTTAGGTGCCGTAGTTCGAGCAGAGCGTCGAATATTCTGTCGGTGGCTTGCTTTACATTGGCGATTTTGATGGAATCGAGATTCGGGCATTGTTGGATAAGCTGCAAAAACGTCGAAAGTTCAAGGTGCTCCGTCTCCCAATTGATTTCGCATAGTTGAGTACTACCAAAATTCCCGAGGATCTGCCACGAGCTCTGCTGCCCCCCCTCAAACCATTCCCCGTGTAGTAACAACTCCTTTAGTGTATCCTTGTTCTCCTCTAGCGTTTTATAGATGCTTTGACCATTTTGATTGGGGCAGTCAGAAATGATCAGTGAACGGAGACCTTCTTTTCCATTTTTCAGGAAATGAGAAGGAGCTCCGTAGTCAACGGTAATTAAATCGTCGTTTCCAAAGCTGGTGAAGCAAATTCTGTCGTTCCGAGAATCATCGTCAGTACCGCCGTTAATCCATAAATATTGAAGCCTGGTACAATGTTGGCGGATAGTATCGAGACCACTCGGAGGACATATGGTCTTCAGAAAGTACAAGTTTGGACATGCCTTGCAGATTATCTCCAGATGGACATATGAGAGGTCCACTGATTGAGTGTTCGCTGTAAGCCAGGAATTCGGTTGATAGCTCCCTGTAAGCCAGTACACCGAAAGTAGCAGATGGGTTAGGCTCGGGATCACGGGCAGCACGGTGTCTGTCGAAAATGACGTCGTGTCGTAAGCATCTTGGAACGCAAGGTGAGTGATCCGGCTATCGGCTTCGCTTAGGGCCTTCCAGACACATGCTAATACGTTATTGGAACCAGAATATGAAGTTCCACACTTTAACGAGATGTCCAGTTTTTTCAATGTCGACCCTATTCTCTTTAAGCAAGAAACTAAGGTATCCGGATCAATGTAACTAACATAATTTATCACTGGTTATAGAAAAGGAAGGGCAGAATGCAAAATATGTTCGAGAGTTAGTTGTTTTTTATACATGTATTAGGTGAGTATATATATGCTTGCAGCACTTGTACAGACAGAAAAGGTTTGTCCTTCACGTCGTTCTGGTTTTAATATTACCCAGGGTTTCCAAGTGTTTAAATCGATGATCGCATCCCCGTAGCCACTGATTAAGGTCGTAGCGCCCAAGGTAAGGGCCTAATTGTAGCTCACGCACATACTGGACACCGCGGTGCTGAATGTGATGAAATAATATATCGCTGTTATAACAGTTGTAATCGATCGCCTCTTTGTGAGCTGTCGTAAGATCAGGTACAACAGCTGTACGCCAGGCACTTGAGCACTCGGAGATCCGCTCCCACCAGGTTTTGCTGACGCTCATACATTCGATGCGACAGGTGATCGGCAAAAAAGGTAAAAAAGAGGTGGCGACATCAAATGGGAGTTCGCTGATAAAATCGATTCTTTTGTCGCGCTGAGCTCGTACAGTCTTTAATTTACACTCGAACATTACGTGTAATGATGTTGAAGAAGGTGATAAACTGATTGGTGTAAATAGACGTTGCTCTTGTTCCTGCCCGAGTTTATAAACCTTTGCCGCCTGATGACAGTTGCCTTGCATTACATATATGTCGCCAGAAGTCATATATGCTTGTGCTGTGTGTGGAAAACGTTGTATCCATTGTTGTGCTAAGCGCTGAGCTTTAGTCATTTGACATCTTGCAACCAATTCCGCAATGCGGTCAGCAAAGAAACGGTTCGGAAGATCTTGGAGTTCGGCCTGCAGGATATCATAGTCACTGCTACTGCTGCTGCTTTTGCTGCTGGTGAGATCGCCCTTGATGTTTATTAAACCTTTCCGGTATATGGCATCCGCGTCATCAAATCTGCCTCGTTGGATACACACGCCCGCCGCATGTCGATAGCCAATAGCAGCTAAACGCGAAGCACAATCGATCAATTCAACCACGTCCTTTTGCGCTTCTGCGTACTCCTTTCGTTTTGTACGTTTCTGAGCACGAATGTCAAGGAGAACAATAACAATACAGTTATTTAAACGATCGATTGCATTAAGTGAGCTTTTGACATTTGCTACATCACCGTCATCGTCCGCGACTTTCTGTTGCTTTTGAACGCACTGATGCCAAAAATGTACCAAGTTTTCAAGGGCAGTGTAAATGTCGTTGGCTTCGCTGTAATTTGGGAGCATTGTTCTTCTCTCCTTTAGTAACGAAGCTTCGCCGTCATCAGTTTCGGTTTTGGTCATGTATGGCTATAATATGTAGTAAAACGCAAGAAAAAGTGGAGGCATACAGTTAGTTAATGTGGGCTTTGTGCTATTTTATTTGCGAGGAACATAATGGATTGAAGCAACAACCTCCTGCATTTTTGTTTGGTCACCCGTACATGGAGGTGAGTCATAGCACAACATCACGACGGCGCATCGCCGGTGGCAAGCAGCAAGCCGTTGACTAGAAGGCTACAGTATTTTACTGCCAATTTACGCATTGCAGGTATTTGACATTTGCTAGACTGCTGCGTAAACGAGTCAATCAACCTTGACATGATGAAAGCCCACCGTTGAGTACACTAATCCAGGATGCATCGCATAATCATAAACTACTATTAACCAGCTGTAAGCTAGTAGTTCGTTGTCAACCTCTTTGCCGATATCGGCAATGACTGTCTCTAATCGAAATAAGAACGTTTTTGAAAAAAAGAAGTGGAGTGGCTGTACTTTAGTTTCAGGGCGTAAGAAATTGACACTTTGGCTTATACCAGCATTGGGACAATACCAAAAAGAACTGTAGCATTTTAGGCCTATTTTTTCTGTCCTATTGTGAGTGATATTTAGTAGATCTCCTTCTCGACAGTAGGATTCTGCATAACTAATTTTTGAAACGTAAACTGATACTATTTTACCATTGCAGTTTCTAGCAATTCATATTAATCTGTTGACGACTCCTTCGTGAGTCTGCTTTTAGCGCCAAAAGGTTGGCACAGGGTTGACTGATCTGGATGAGAAAACAGACAATCCAAGAGGGCGAGCCACACAGTTTCTTAATGATATCCAATTGAAGATAAGAAAGGCAGATAATCTCATTACTTCTATCATAAAACGCTGCCATATGCGCAAATAATACGACCTTCTCTGAGCGCTTTCGGCTATGGAACAGTTCCTTAGCTGCTACCAAAATAACGATCTGGAACATGAGAGCTCCTTCCAACTCATCCAGACGAGACATTGTATGAGTTCATTGTGCACTGTATAGGTGAACAATAAGGTCAGAACATCAAAAGTAAAAAGTAAGTTTAACAAAGAATAGGGTTATGGGTTTAGGCAGCTCTTCAAACCGGTGAGTATGAAGACAAGTGCGTTGTATTAGTCCAGGATACCCTCTCATCACCGCTAGACAATCTCAAAAATAAAAAGAGGAAGGTGCTACATATGAGCGTCTGAACACTGCAGTGTCTACGTCACTGGGCAATTTTCGCCCTCACAACAGGAAGCCGTGACTTCCAAACTGATGGGCGCGGGCTGGCATATCGACAATAAGGAAACACAGCTCTTTGCACACATATTGTGGTCCTATCTCTCCCTCCCTACTCTCTTACGCAAATATGTCCACTATCGGCCGTACCATTAAGAACATAATGAAGGCAGGTCCTGCCAACTCATTGAAACAAATGAACTATATCGGTGATACCAAATGGGGTGCTCTTATCGGCACTGACCGTAATGGAAACAAGTTTTTCGAAAACAACGACGAAGTGTCAGGTTAGAGAGGGAAAGCGACACGATTGCTTAACAATCACTACCATTTGGCACTGCTTGACAGCTTACTGATACAAACTTCCTGTTATTTCTCTTCAACAATTATAACTATTATATAGGCCGTGAACGTTGGGTTGAGTACGCCAGTGTCGATCCCGAAGCCGCAGATATTGATCCCGCATGGTAAATAAGAGGACGAAAACGACCTAAACATACACATAAACATTCGACGTGAACCCCAACAAATTCACGTATGAAAAAAGAAAGCGAAGAACAAAAATAACACCAAGACATTACATTTATTGGAATATAGGCACATGTGGTTGGCCAGAATCGTTCAAGAACCACCTACCGAAATGAATTTCAAGCCTCAAAAGTGGTGGGGTGAACCTGCTCCTAACTATACCGGTTCCCGCAAGAGCTACAGAACCTACAGCACCACCAAGCCCAAAGTTACTGCTTGGGAGCCTATCGTTCGCGCCAGACAGTAAAAAAATCTCGCTTTTCTTAGAAAACACAACACACACCCACAACCAACCAACCATACATCAATAAAGTATAAACAACATCAACAGCAACAACAAATCCGGATGGCTACTACTACTATTCTATGTGATCATTACTAACGCCAAATGAAAAAAAGCGTCTGCTGGTGTGTGTGTGTATAATGTTTATATTATATGCGGATATAGTATCACGAAGTGGGGGAATGTTGATTTTATTGCAAACAGGAGAAGTTTGGTGTATGGAGGGTAAAAAGAGAGAGGCAGAGTGAAAGAAAGAATCGAGCCGCAAAAGCTATACTCATTAGATAACCCGTGTCCTTTCATTTGTTGCCGTTTGTAAGAGATTTAGCATGCACAACCAGGCTCAGGACTTTGTCGATCAGTGTTTGAAATATGAACGGTATCGGGGAAGTCACTAGAAATGGAGAAGAGCCATGAGAAATGCAAGAATTAAAGCCACTCAATCTCATGCCAAGCAATAAAAGAACATACATATCAACATCCGTTTCACGCGACAGGGCGTTCTTTGCAATGGTTTGGAAAGCTTGTTCAACATTGATGGCCTCCTTTGCAGATGTCTCAAAGTACCTAATGTGGATTAATAGATAGATAGATGTACACTGCTTAGTCTACTGCTGTTACTTTGTCGCATGTCATGCTTTTTTTCGGGTAGATGGTGGGGGAGGCATCACGGTACTCACGGGACATTGCCCTTGGACTGGCACCACGCCATGGCGCGCTTCAGAGAAACCATGCGTCTCGACTCCTCTACATCAATCTTGTTACCCAACAGCACAAACGGGAAACTCTCCGAATCTCTTGGTGAAGCCTGGACGAGAAACTCGTCTCGCCATTGATCTTTATGAGCGGAAAATATGGCACGTTAATAGAAGAAATATATGTTAAAGAGAACGTGGCATAATGTTAAAAAAGCGAGGGTGCTGATTATGCGTCTAATAAAATTACCCAATGATTCGAAGCTTCGGCTGTTATTCACGTCGTATGTCAACACGCAGCAATCCGCACCACGGTAAAACGCCACACCCAACGATTGGAAACGTTCCTGACCAGCCGTGTCCCATATCTAGATTTTACAAACATCAAAGAGCCTGACTGTCAGATAAACCTGTCCAGATATTGCACATACAAAACTGTCCCGCGCTCCTCTTTTGTTTCGCATACATAGAGCAAGAATAATACAAAAGTGGAAGATTGAAGCATTACCTGCATGGTCACCAGGCGATCATCAACGAGGACTTCCTTGGTCAAAAAGTCGGCGCCAATTGTTGCTTTGTATTGATTTGAAAACTTCTTGTTCACATACTGATTCATAAGGGATGTCTTTCCGACACTAAGTTACAATATACATATTATGAGCGACTTTCTCTGCTCTGAATGAAAATGAAACAAATTACTGGCACGCTCCATGTTTCACGCATCTTACCCGCTGTCGCCGAGGATTATAACCTAACATATCGAAGCGAAAGACAAAAGAAGTGATTAAACTGATCAGCTTCACTCTCAATCACTAAACAGCAACGGGCCCGTCTTTCTTATTTGTGCCTTTCCTCCACTTGTCAGAATGACAGTAAGGATAATATAATAAAAGTGAAATTTACCTTCAAGAGAACCTTTTTCCGCCCAGCCGACATGTTTCGTAATAACGCTTTAGTGTTAAAAAGAGAAAAGTAAGGAAAGGTATAAGGGAAAATATAAGAAGATAGAAGCGAGCAAAAAAGAGCAACCTCTGTCTTTGTCGGGCCCTCTTTCTTGGTTTAGATCATGTGTGCATGTTAGGTTACACGAGAGTGTCTGATACAAAAGCAGAATGATTGTTTGGTGAAAAGAAACTTTATTTATTTTCCTTTCTTATTGCTCTGGCATTTTCTACAGTTCAAAAATACCAATGATATTACAAGAGATCTACCAGATAACACATTTGTTTTCAGGATTCATGGGAGTAGACTGAGGACATTGGAAGACCTTGGCAAAGTCTGCTGAATTCTGGACTGTGCCGATAACACGATAGCGTTCAGGCGAATGTACATCCGTATAAACCTACAGAGCGACAGTAGTGAGAGTTGGGTGCGTTTGTAAGTTAATGAGATGTATTTTCTTGGGAATGCGGCGTATATATATGTACCTGTTGTACTAGCGCTTCCGGCCTCACAGCACTGCACCATGACCTAGCATAGCTTGTGTAAAATAATGCTTCTGGTGATAGATCAATACCCGGCAGTCTTGCATGCTGAGGTTGACCTGGTGACTGAGCATCATTCCAAACCTTTTGGAAAGCCTGATACGAAGCTGCAATCCCGCCATTATCAGCAAGATTTTCGGCGAGCGTGAGCTTCGTTCATACATGCACAGTACTTACAGTTAGTACGATTTTATGTATAAGCTCTACAGGAGTGTTCATCTACTGTCTAAGTAACATACTTGGCCGTTTACGTTGACGGATTTTTTATTCGGACCTTCGACGGTAAATCCATTGTACTGTTGCACGAAACACTGTGATTTGTCTTGAAAACGTTTTGCCGTATCAGGACTCCACCAATCTTTAAGTTTTCCGTCACCATCGTACATCCTTCCTGCACTGTCAAATGCATGCTGAGAACAACAAGCAACGAAGTTATTTAAGCTTGATATCTCCAAAACAATATGTGATAAGTATACAGAAGGGTTGAGAAGCTTACAGTCAACTCATGGCCAATGATGGCGCCGATACTGCCATAGTTTAGATACCAGGGTGCGCCATAATTGTAAAACGGAACTTGCAAAATACCAGCAGGCACAGCAATCTAAATTTTTTAAAGTATGTACACACATGAGAAGTGGGGTTACAGCTAGGCGAATACTTATATAACATGCAAGCTATTGTACCTCGTTAGTGCTTCGACTATAGTAAGCATTGACATCAGATGGGCTCATAAACCACTCTTCTTTGTCTACTGGTTTGCCAACTTTTGACCAAGCTCGATTGATAGCCCATTCAACAATAGACAACTCATTGGAGAAAAACGATTCTCTTGTGATTTTGATCGACTCGTAGTGATCACGTAAGGATTCGGGAGAACGCACGTCGGGTGAAACGATACTGTAGGCAATTTTATGCTTGATTTTGCTGACTTTATCAATAGCTGCTTTGCGAGTCTCTGGATCGAGCCATTCCACTTTATCCAACCGATCTAACCATGCCTGGTGCACTTGGCTGATAAAGTCGTCTACTTGCTCGCGTTCTTCCTCACCGCCAAAGCGACGCATAACAAAGAACCGACCAACCATCGAGCCAAACGAACCTATCACGTTGTCGACGCAGGTGCGATAGCGAGGCGGTAGTTCAAAAGATCCGCTGGAAATTTTGGCTGAAGTGCGTCGCCAAGACCGTCGTGTGTTTGTGTCTAGTGCATAGATCCACGCTTTCAGGTTTTTGACGAGGAGAAAGTCTTGAATGGTCTGCAGTCTGACGCCTTGCTGTTGCTGCTGTTGCATATCAGTGGAAGGTGATGACAGTGAAGGGAGAAGCCAGGACGCCAAATTTGTAAAGTAAGGTGGGGCGCTGACAATCAGTGTGTCTGGCACAGGGGTTCCCGTGGGAAGAAATGCCTCAAAGAACTTTTTCCAGTTGATGACGGGATATCTTTGTTGTATTTCATTCAACGGCATTGGATTGTATAGCTTGGTTGGATCCAAGAGTTGGTCTCTGAATGATACACAGATGACGGCCAAAAATCAGTCATAGATCGCAAAGCAAGAATAAGGGTAACAGTAAAAATTTGCCAACCTGTCAAGAGTGATGGAAGCTAGCTTTGATTCAAAATCAACCACGCGGTTCACCATATCTTTTATTTGTTCGCTCGAAAGTAGTTGAATGTTTGCGTTTTGTGCTTCCTTTTGCTTTTGAGCACCCATATTGCTGTTGTTGACATCATCAGCGCTGCCGATTAAGATAGTAAGCACTTCAATAAGGCCGGAGCGGTAAGTGTCCACTGTGTCTTTTTGCTCGTAATATTCTTTCGACGGTAATGCAAGACCAGGCTGGTTGATTTGTACAGCGTTTGCGTCTGGTTGTTTATCGTCGGCTCCAATAACCATAGAAAACATTGGCTGGACCCCTTGGCGATACAATTCAATCAATGCGTCGGTAAGCATATCTGCGGATTGGGCGGTATATACGTCATCATTTTGTTGTTGTTGTTGCTGCTGCTGCTGTCCTTGAGTATTCTCCTTTCCAAACGAGAAAATTTTGAGCAGTTTGGAGATGGTTGGATAGACGGGCGTCGGACCAAGTGCCTCAATGGTTGCCACATCCATGCACGATGTGTAGTAATTCTGCAGCTCTTCGAAATTTTGTTTGTCAATGTCCGACTGACTTTGGTAATGAAAGTTTTCTTCACTGCAATCGGTGTCCTTGATGATGTCGCCGTAAGTGCCTTCTAAGAGATTTCGGATCGTATCGGTGTTCTGATCTTGTACTGTATCGAATGTTCCAACAGCTTTGTATTTGAGAATAGTATACACGTAAAAGTAAATATTCCAGTGAACGAGTTAGTCCAAATTTGTGAATAGGGGTAAGGATTAAACCAGGAGATTATTAATAGAAAAGAGAGGGTGTGCTTGAAATATTCTTTTTAGTTGTTCTATAATGATAACTTACACGCCTTGTCATCCGGAATGCTTGTGCTTTTTAACCAGGCACCACCTAGTTAGACAATCGATCAACAGCTTAACATAGTATTTGTCGAGCATTTCCTTAGCAGTGCTACTGTTAGAAGGTGGACGTACATGCGTATTGGTAAAAGTCTGTACAGGGGTCAGCATTAAAGTCGATATAATCTTTAACTGCTTTAGCAGCATCAATGCAGGCTTGTGTTTGACATTCGGTGACACTATTAGTCGGTGGTGCAGGACTAGCGCTGACAACTAGGCCCAGCATGATGACCAGTGCAGAAGAAGTTACGATAAAAGGATAGAGGAACAGAAGAAGCAAAAGGCATCAAAAAGTAGGAGCCTCCCTTTTATATTTTTGATATAGCGAGTACTTCTTAGTAATTAGTAGATGCTCTTTATTGCCGTCTCCGCCCTGTTTGCGCCCATCTCACTTTCTCTCGCTTTGCATGTGGTGTATGGATAATCCACCAGCAGCTGCACCACTACTTTAACCACTTTAACCCCTTATTTTCCAATTTGATAAAAAACTCTTTAGTGTGGTCCATTTGCTGCCACGGAGCAAAGTTTGCATATTGCAGGTATCTTATGAGCAATTTTATAACAATAAAAAACTGGCATACGAGAGTGTGAAGCATACTGCACATATACACACACCGTCGTTTTCTCTCGTATCTTAGGCACGCATTTTAAAAAAATTTAATTACCAACCAACTGATATAATATGAGTGACCACCAACTTTCCATGAGTTCGATTCGATCTACTTCGCGGAATCATGATCGCTGAAAGAACACTCATTTTGAGCTTGGTGGAACGCCTTGAGGCAGAGGTACGTTGATTGTTCTGAAATGAGCAGGGAGGAGCAAGGATGGAGATTGTTGTAGTTCACGGTAACTCTTCACTTACATCAGGGAAAACTAAATTCACTTATAGCTACCCTGTAATAAAGCTAATGGCAGCATCAAGTTCGACGAAGCGGAAGCTTTTGATCCTTATCTTTTTCGCATGTATGTATTTCTCTGTACCTGGTACCTATTCGCTTCTAATACCTCAATTTGTTTTTAGCGGTATAGCCACTATCCCTACACAAATATATAGCAAAAAAAACTCACTAGGTGGAATAGTGGACACACTCATAGGACTTTCGACCTACCGATTGCCGGTCGTTACTGAGGCTATCGCTGACGCGTTGGAAAGAATTCCGATCAGCAACGTAATAATTTTACAATAAGACTTTTTCATTTTTGCTCACTATATCTCCCATCAATTTAGAATCACCCAACTGTATCATTCAACGACGAAACTACACCAACGGAGATGCTGCACTCTCAATATTTCCTTGTGTGCCTCATGTCTGCATGTCTCCAGCAATGGCGCGAAAACAACCCGTCTGATCTGACGGATCATCCAGAGGTATCAACACATTGCATCCGAGCAACTGGACATACCTCGACTGACTCTGTAGCACAGCGACCCGATGTGGCGCTGGATGATAGGATCGCACACCGCATATTAGCGATCATGGCACCTTTTTTGCGCCAACCGCCTCGTACGGCGACGGCTATAAATAGAGAGCTCGAACACCGATCGCTGCTGATGGGGAAACGCTTTAACATGCAAGAATCAATTTTTACAGAGACATACAACTGTGCAACAATAAGCGAGCATTATACCGCTGAAACGCTACTACTGACGCGACTCTATGTGCTCGCTGGCAGGGTCGTGTACTTCGTCAGTATCAGTAACTGGTGCGTTACATATATTAGAATCAAATCCAGGTTGGAAGCTCTATCGTATAAGCCTAGCAACGCAGAAGAAATCCCACAGATAGGCGAAGTGCAGTTTATAGAGACTGTTGCAATGAATAAGGAACGATTGAACAAGATGCTTTATGGTAAAATCTTTTCACTTATTATGAAGACGGACTGCACAATGTATAACAGATGTAATTTATACTATGCCTTTTTCTCGTTCCTTTCTTCTTTCTGTGTTTGGTTTCTAATGTAGTACTTCAGCATACAATGGGGTCAATGAAACCATCAGTGCAGCGTATGATCAGCATTATTTTCTATCGTGCAATTTGGGGATGGATTGAATCTTTTCAAGACGAGTTCGTGCAACTCTACCGGGAAAAGGGTCGAGTTGATGGAAGTCCAGAAATTTTATTCATGCTTTGCCGGGATACTGCGATGAAGAAAAGCAAAGAGACCCTTTGGCCATTTCAGACTGCACTTCTTCTTATCAGTCCTGGCCTTATGGTAGAGACAGCCCAATACAACTCGGTAAGAGGGAAGTGCGCTTCTTCCCCCCACCCATCAGTGGTGCGTGTTACGATCGAAAACTCATTATGATCTTGACATCATCTGCAGTCATTGCCGACAGTAATACTAATCAAAAATTATAACTTTACACAAGATTGACTTTGTCCGAATGATCGAGAAGATGGTGGTTGACGGTGATATGCGGAACGAAGAAGTAGCCTCACTTTGCGTATTGGATATCTGTCGAGCTGCATCATACCTACATGAAGAATCTGCACTCTCCGTATTACACCGACTCAACATGACCGCTAAGAACAACCTTCAAGAACGACTTTTCGACATTGAGCATCCAATAGCTGTTGATAAGATCTTCATGACGTCCAATGCACAATACGGCTTGCCAGCGCAAGAGCAACGCGGTGGAAGACCGTTGGACATCCATTGCATGCTGGTGGACGCAATAACGACACTTTATCGCCTGAACCCAAGAAACGCAGTATACAGCGTCTTTCCCATGTGTCTTGACAGCAAAGCCCCGGTTATATATAAGTCTGCGTTAATTAAATCGATCCGCTATCTTATAATTTATTATAATATTGAAGAGCATCGGGATTCGCAATCGCCATGGAAGTTTGGTTCCAATTATTTCTATGAAACCGTTTGCGAAAAGATACGACAGATCTTCATCCAGTATGTCAACAGTATGGCCGGCAATGAGCGTGCTGCAATGAGCTCTATGAGAAATTGGAGCAACAATACCAGCAACAATGCGTCGGATAACAAGAAAGGCGATACTAAATCAATGACGAGCCAGACCATCGATCTCGATAGCAACGAACGGCTCCATACTATATGGGAGATCTTGCGACTTTACAATGTTGATCCGAAGCTAGTGATACTAGTAAGTTTTGTATGATACTTGAAGCAGATCATTTATAGCTGCTGCTAAAAGTACAAGGATATGCTTTTTTATTTTCTTAAAACTGATTTTATATTAGGGTACTAACGGTCAACGGACTGACCAAATATTGCGTGTTATTGAAGCTATGATTCAATGCATGCGCCAACCTAGCCAATCCATAACTACACTCGCCACAGAATGTATACGAAAGCTGCATACGTCTGCCTACATTCCACTTTGGGGTGAACCTAAACATACCATGTTCTCGTTTTGGAAAATATCGTCCACCATTGTCCTATACTTAGCTAAAGAGCTCCTCACCCTCAAAAGTGTTCAGAATGCCGAAATAATAACCTGTATGCGAACAGTTCACAAAATACTTACTGAACGAGTTGTTTTCCTCAAAGGTGTAGGCAAGGTAATCGATCTAACAACTATTCAGCTAACTTTCTTTTTCTGTCTGACTCTATTATACTGCCTGTCTATTATCTCCGGGTGTAAGAATCGCGACTTATTGTTTTGTTCACATAACCTTGCATCATATATGTAGGAGACGGTATTACAGGGGTGGAATGCAACAGAATATTTGCAAGGAGCTATTACAATGGAAGTAGCCTTTCTAATTTGGCTGAACGCGACCGATGAAGATATTCTACGTATGGATATTGCGTGCATTAAGGAATATTGTAAAGAGATCGATTATCTTTTTGCCAGCAACTCGCACACGGAAGTCGTCGGATCTCAAGCGCTCAGGGTTCTCTTGGAAAACTATCCGATCTATCTAGAGCTATCTCTACTGGATAAGGAGCTAGCGACGGGACGTAAGGGAGCACAAAGACATATCTGGCGTCTGCTACGTATGCTGCCTCACGACTCACCAGCTTCACTTGTTGCTTGGCGAGAAGTTTGGAAAAGATGGAAGTCGCTCACAGAATCCTTGACCTCGATCCAAACACAACAGGGGACGTCCATTAACGGGCCACGTAGTCCAGGCAGCAGTCGAAGTTTCGGTAGCGGTGGTAGCGGATCCACATCTTGTTCATCATCCAATGGTGGCATGTCAGCAGGACACTTTCATGTCGGATCAACTTCAGATATACATGAGCAGCCATCTTATCTAGGCAGCAGCAAGAAACGAAACAGGTCGCTATGGAACTTCAAAGACCGATATACCCTGTGGCATAACTGCACTGGCTTTCTCTCATCACTTGCTGGTGCCTGTCTAGGGAAGCGAAATAACGATCAAAATGATGGCAACGAAGATTACATTATGCTTGCGAACGAAGATACAAACCAGCAAGCTACAGAATTCATTCGACTGATGACACAGCTGTTGTCCTGCAGCGATGTCTTTGTCCGCGAAAAAACCACCGACATTCTCAGTAAGGAGCTGTCGCCTGCCGTTCGAACCGCGTTTTTGGAACAACTCGAGCACTCCTTGTCAAGCACTGTGGTTTCGTCTGCTTCAAAATTGAATTGCTTTATGCTTGTCGAACGAACGAGCAATATTCTCTGTAGCTATCTAGAAGATCTTTCCAATCAACCGACTACAAGCGCAGCAGTATCCTCACAGATATTTGCCAATCTCGTCGATCAATGTGCGAGTTTTCTTTCATGCAAACCAGGTGATACCAACCTAAATACCGTGGGAAGCGATATAACAAGGATCAGATTACGATTCGCCCATCTTTGCAAAGCTCTTATGATTTCCAAAAATACGAGCTCGTGGATCATGATACAGCGAGAGTTTGCTCTACGCACTAAGCTACTCGGCACTGTAATCGAGTGGATAATTAATCCTCAAAATATGTTTGTAAGTCATCTCTGCATATAACATAATTCATGCAAAAAGTTTGCTTATACATATGTTACCCCGATCGTATACAAATGCGCACATGCATGATTTTCAGAGTCAAGGTGATTCTACTGATAGTCCAGCAATAACGTCCAGCGACCGAAACAAAACTACTATTTCAACGGGCGGTACCATTGGTACTGCGTCTGATCACACGGCTCATACTGTATCGACATCTCCTTTAATAAAGGACTTAAACATTCGGCGCGAGCTAGAAATGCACTGCATCCACGCAATGATGCTACTTCTTGACGGCCTTCCGCTCCAGCCCACTATCTTTGGCGCTTTTCCTGGTGCTGAAGAGATCAATCAGAATGTCAAATGCCACATGTTCTCTAGGTACTTCACATACTTTTTCCATGTCCTTCAGGAGTGCGTTGGTGTCCTTGATGAACCTTCGAAACTATCTTTACGATCAACAAAGGGAAACACCAGTGACACCACTAGTGTGCAAAAGGTACCCTTCTATCCAACATCACCTCAGTCCGGAAAGTCGTTGCATACAGTGTATCCTTAACAAATTTTAAGGATAATATTTTGCTGTATATGCTGGCGAGCACAACTTCAACATACAATACATCGAGGCAATAACTCACGGATGCATTTAACCAAAACTATGCTATTCTACATAATTTAGGGTACCAGTGAAGCAGGAAGGATCCAACAAGCACTCGGTATTAAATCTTGTACCGTCCAAGCAATAGCAAATCTAATAAGTGCAAATTTGGATGTCGGTTTAAACCATGCCATCGCAAAAGTGTATGATGAGAGTATTGGTGTTCGCTCTGCGTTTGTACAAGTGCTTACTGAGGTGCTCAACAAAGGCACCCACTTCGAAAGCCTTTCTGATACCATTCAATTAGAACGATATGAGCGGTTACTTGATGTAAGCTAATAACAAACGAAAGAACTCGCTCATTACATGAAGAATAAGTATAAGAATAAGAAAGCACATCATAACAATCGTATACACTCCATTAACACATGTCTTTAAGATACTTACCGACGAATCGAATGACTTTGGCTTTGCTCAATTCTTATGCGAGTCATGCCCAGCATCTAAAGCTGATGTAATGGCGCGCTGCTTATTGAAATGCTTTGCGTCGAAACGAAAAACGGTGAAATTTTTAAAGGTTATGATCGAAAGGGAAATTCGTCACACTAGTAAGTATTCTGAAGTTCAATTTATCCAACAAGCTTCTCAGAAAATGCTGTTGGTAAAGAAAGCGCTACATAATGTATTAAAATATTAGACTATAGATGACGAAGCGGAACTTTTACGCAGAACTACTATCACGACTCGACTTTTATCCTATCTCGCTGAAAGTGTCGGCGCACGATATATTCAGCGTACATTACACCCCGTGTTTCAAAAGCTTTGTAAAACGACTTTACCAAAGGGGTCATCGTATGAAGTCAATCCATTGAAGATCGAATATGATGAAGAAGAAGATATAGACCAGAATATTGCTAATGTATCGCAAGCAGCTGATATGATCCTGACTGTTATTTGCGAGTCTGCTAAAATCGCGCCTCGGTACGTCGAAGACAAGCTTTGCAAAGAATATAGATGCGGGTGAGTTGAAAAACTTTAGTTTTTTCTTATCATTGATACTTTTGAATTAGGACCATACGGCAGTTGTGTCATTGCATTGCTGTATGTGCAGAATCTCGCTTTTCCGGAGCCACGAACAAAGCAGTTGGTGCTTTTATATTTTTACGATTCTTATGCCCGGCTATAGTATCACCGGAATCTACTCATTTCCGTGGCAAAATCAGTCCGGCTCTTTACCGCGGGCTTCTGATTGCTGGAAAGGTCGCACAAAACCTGGCCAACAATGTATTGTTTGGTGACAAGGAAGAATACATGCTTCCACTAAACGACCTACTGACACACAATATCTATCGCGTAACCCGCTTTCTACGCGATATCTCGAAGGAATTAAACCATAATGAGGGTGTAGAAGAAGCAGAGGACGAGTTTGAAGACGATCCAATGAATGACGGCGACTTTTGCTTGCTTCACCATGTGCTTATTGACAATATGCAAGCCATGTCCCACCATTTGTACACAAAGAATACCCCCAGCATCAGCCATAAAACGAAGGCTGTCGATCATGCAATTTTGGAAGGAATGATATTACATGGTCAGTTCGAATGTGTGTCTAATTTACTTGCCCACCTCGGTAGTCCACCTGACATGGGCCGCAAAAAATCATCGGATTTTTGTCTGCGCGGAAGACCGCTCAATTTTGCAAGTCAAGCTTACAATGATTTCATGCGACGAAACAACGACCGATATGTCGATGATGTAATGGCAAAGAAGATTGTTTATGAAGCAGGAAGGTCGAGAGCTGGAAGACCAGTGCTTTACTTTATCTTACGTCGCATCCACGTTCACGACACGGATTTTGATTCATTGATGTACCTAATTCTCAGGGAAAGTATATAATGATAATGTTAATGTAAATGTTAATTTATCCAAAAAAGACAACTATTGACTCAGCACTATTGTTTGTAGACCATGGAAGTGCTATCTGCTGAACCATTTGAGATAGTGGTTGATTTTACAATGTACACCACCGAACTGAATAGCTCGCCTGATCAAAAATGGTTCTATCGACTTGCCCAACTGACTCCTCGTGAAATCTATAATAACATTGCTGCCATATATGCATTTAATGCCAATGTTGACATTGCCCGATTTTTCAAGCGAGATATATCCAAGCCTGTTCGTGAATTCTTTAGCAAGTTTCAATTTTATGCATCCGAGACGGACCTTCATCGATATATACATCCAAAAGAATTACATTTGCCAGAAACTGAAGGTAACAAATAAGCAATAATTCAATATGATGCATTTTCATTTTTCAGAATATCTTACTATTATCAATGAAATAGCCGAGTTGAGTACGGATGCTCTAGTAACTGTCAATGCAGTTCGTCATATGGTCAGCAATAACAACGAAAAGGTGATCCCGGTGGTTATTAAATTGACGCATCGCTATATCCAAGTTACTACCGCAAAACGACAAAAATTATTCTCTGGTTGCACTGCCATTCTAAACGACGTTTATGCTATATCCGAAATTGAGGATCCGTTTCTTGGGCTTACAACCATGGATGCATCTCATGAAATTCGCTTCAAAAATAGTAAAACCCAGTCAGTAATCACTTTCTCTACGACATCAAGCCATGACGCTGCACAGTTTATATTTGTAAGTCTATTTCTTAAAAATATCGAGAAAAGGAGGCATTATCTTTAAGCATATAAGTTAACAGGCTTATGTAGGTACTCAAGAACTTAAAGAGCCGTGCGGACGCTCCTCCATCTCCTGAAAACAGCAAAATGATACCGCCTGTTAGCGCTATTCGACCATATGATATTCCGGGCATGCTTCTTAATATCGTTTTTCACAATATGGGGAGCCCAAATGAAGAGTTACGCCATTCCTCTTATAGTCTTCTATGTGCGTTGAGCGAAAGCTTCCATTTCGCACTGGCGAATCAGTTTGTGGAAACTAAAGGTGAGAAGAATAACTGCAATTATTAGTATAGGGCTATCGAGACAATAAGCAAGCAGGCATTAACTCACCTGTCTTCTACTCTTCTAAATACAGGCGTTTGTATCCCTAAGAATGACATATCTTGGATTGTGGGAATAAGTACTAAACTTGCACTCACTCAACAAGAAGCGACGCTCGAGCTAGTTCGAGAATGGTTTGTCGGTTTCGAAAAGTCAACCGAGTCGGAGCAGCGTCTGTGTATCGAGTATATAGCCCCATGGCTGGCCAATCTTGCTAGGATTTATACTCAATGGAAAGGGCGTGAAGAGATAGCAACCAAGACCAAAGAGATTTTACACATGATGATTGAGTTGACTGTCAAAGCGAAAGAAGCGGTATGTTATTAAAATGAAGCAGCAGTAGATGCTATAAATATGCAATCTCACCTGTTTTCTCCTTCCTCGAAAAAAAAACATACAGATTCGACATCTCGTTCTATCCAACATATGGAAACGAATCGGTGAAAATAACGTGGATGGTAGCACGTTTATTGATCTAGTGCTAAGTGCGGTTACTGAATATGCATATGAGCATGGTGGGGTTGGATCAATCCAGACCGAAATCATGACTGACATTGTCGTCGCCATGTTCAACATGGCTGTATGCGCCAAGATACTTTCGCGATTACACCACATCTTTCTGCACTCTGCCTTCAGCTGGACACATAAACTTGTCAATCATCCATTTTGGCGAGCGAAAATTACCATCATGGTCCGATTTATGCTCATGGGAACTTTTCACTACCGTGGTCCAATCAGACAGTGCACGCCAGAGATGATGCATGTTATTTCCATAATCGCTTGCATTGGAACGACATTGGAGCGAGAGACAGTACATAGCATGATGGTTAACTTTAACCAGGCTTTGTGCACTATTGAACCTGTGGATACCGAAAAAGCGAGGCAGATGCTCGAAAAACTAAGCAACAATTCTGCAATGCGAACACGGTTACTTTTCGGGCTCACCAAGACCTATGCAACACCGTACACCGCAACAATGGAAACGACGACCGATACAGTCGAATCAGTGGATCTGTATGCAGTGGAAGCACTTGTCGAGCACTTGATCGACGGTATCCAAATTGTCGCACCCAATACGGATATATTAAACGCGTGGAAAGCACGATGGCTCAGTCTAGCATGTAGTCTAGCTTTTCAATTCAATCCGGCAGTCCAGCCACGGGCGCTCATTGTTATTGGATGTCTCGCACGCGAGGGCATAGACGACGAACTAATATTCCAAATTTTAAACTTGCTTCAACATGCAGTGGCAGAGGCCCACTTTGAACTCGCTCAAGGTATCATCATGTGCTTGCGACGCATCGTTTGCAGCGTTCCACGGGATTCATGCTACCTACTGCCGCTCTTTTGGATTGCCCTAGCGCTCGTACAAGTTGATTATCGTCCTCTTTATGCAGCTACTCTAGAGCTGCTTGCTGGTGTACTCCATACCCTTCAAGAGTATCGCATGATTGACGGTGGTGATAGGAACCCTGCTAAGTTACTGCTATCTATCCGTCAAGGAGATATTACGCAAGAGTACGACCGAGAACTAGGCGTCAATTTCGAGCAGTATTTTTCGTTTGCAGTGGCCACAGTCCTGTTGAAGCCTAGCATACATAATGTCGAGATGGTCAGAACTCTGAGGCCAAAGCTGGAAGACTTTCTAAACATTGAAATCAACCGGTACAATGGATGTGACAACGGAAACAATTTAATTCCGGTCAGTGCGTTGGGCTATGTAGCTGCACTATTGCCGGATATTGCCGCGGACGAAAACATGTTACGGAAGCTGGGTCTGGATGGGCCGACCGGCATATTGAAGAAGCTCCGGATACCGGACAAGACAGCTGAGATATTGTTCATCACGTTGTTGTCGATCCAACTATCATCACATGACAAACAGCGTAAATTACGCATATATGACTTTTTGGCAGAGGCTGCAGTCGTCATGCCTGATACATTTTGTATTGTGTAAGTATGAAGCAATTTGGGTTTCGCTTATTGTCACGCACACTTTTCAAATTATCACTTTTACTGATTTCATCAAAGATACGAGATGATAGCGTCAAAAATGAACAAGGTGTTGGTCAACTCGACGGATTTGGAGTTTGTCAGTCGAGTTGAATCCATCCTTCTTACTGTTTGCTCAAGCATTCCCACTGACTCATCTGAGCGGGCAAAGCGAAGATACAAATTGTCACTTGAACAGGCTGGATTTACTGCGCTGATAGATTTGCATAGTCCACGTAAACGGGATATAATCAGCAATGCAATGCTCTCAAGCAGACTTGTAAAGCATGTCATTGAAACCAGCAGTTAGAGCACACATAAAGTTTGTTTTTTAAAATAGGATTTTATTATCACTACTACAGCAAGTTTCGAGATGAGAATGAGAAATACTATTTTTAAAGAGCTAGTGGTGGTGAATGGGGATTACAGCTAATTTTTTGTGGGTAGGGAGAGGGCTACAGCAATGTGGGCGAGAGAAAACGTGCAGTTTTGCATGAACTGTTGTTTGTGTTTGTGGGTCACAATAAGATTTTACTGGACGGCAATCTTGCGAGCAGGTTTAGCTTCCAACGTTTTGGGCATGTCAACGTGCAAGACACCATTTTCAAACTTGGCAGAGATCTTGTCACGGTCAACATTATCAGGCAACGACAAGGTACGCGAGAATTTGCCTTCACGGCGCTCTTGATAACGGATGTTATCCTTGGTGTAATCCTTGTCCATCTTGGTCTCGCCGGAGATGATGATCGCATCATTGTTGACATCAAGCTTGATATCCTCTTTCTTGACGCCGGGGATCTCGGCATGGATGGCCCAGCTCTTTTCCATTTCATAAATGTTAACAGGAAGGCCCAGGTTCGAGCCTCCTTCGGAAGAGGTGAACGGTCTTGACCAGAAGCTGCTGCCTCCGCCACCTTGAAAGTCTTGATACAAGTGATTGGCAAGTTGGTTCATACGACGCTCGATACGGTCCATGGATGAAGGAGTCCAGCTGTTCCAGTTGATGAGAGACATGGCGCTCAGAACAAAAGAGTTATAGGTAGTGAGAAAAAAAAGTAAGAGAAGAGAAGAGTGAGGATGAAGACGCATTCGTGTGTCAGAGCCTCCCTTTTTATAGATTGCCGAAAGAGTCGAAATTTCTGGAAGATGCCGGGCTATAGCAAGGAAGAAGAGACTTTTCCCATCACATGTCATCCCACTCACACCTCAACAACATTTTTTATAATCGCAAAGCGGATATGCCTGCTTTTGGGACTCCCTCTTTATTACTAGTGTTAAGCATGGGTTTTTCTTCTTCACAATGAGAAAATGGCGCTCGGCTCTTAGCGCCGCAGCAGTAATGACAACAATTACAATGACAGCAGCTCTAATGGATGTATATGATGAGGAAAAAGCGGGATGAAGAACTTGCTCGTCGACGCAGCTCATTCTAAACCATCCGATGTCTCCGGCCCTCCAGGATAGTTGACCCCATACTCTATCTGGCCGCTTTTCGCGGAGACCGCCGTCGCCTCATCAGATGGAGAATTGCACTGGCTACCATCCTATTTACTGAAGGATCATCGTTACGGAGCACCACGCGCGAAACGGGAGCATTATGCCAGCTGCCCATCCCTGACACCACTACTCCAGCAGTTGCTCACGGCCTTCGGCACTACACCCCCAGATCAAGACAACGAGCTACATATCATCGACCATATCATGAACAAACTACCACGTTCCTATATAAGATTGTCTCGCGGCAAATGGAGAACGACCTGGCCGGCATTACTTCGTATGCTGCGTGAAATCGACATATTAAGCCACTCGGATACCGCCTACGACACAAATGAACCGGCACCCGAGGAAGCGCTAGATCTGCGAAATGTAGCATCATCATCATCACCAGACTCATAGCGTCTATAGACAGCTCTTCTCCCTTCCCCCTCTTACATCTTCACCTCCCTCTTCCCTTTCTCATTTAATTTTCACTTCGTTACCTCTCCTCACCAAACACCTTAATCCGGCTTGACTTTTTCCCTCTCTAGAAGGTTTTTTAGTTAAAGCAACACCTCTTACTATGTATAATTTTTCTTCTTAATCACCGCACCGCAAGGAAGCGACCAGAATGCTTTAAGCGTATCGTAATTAGCCTTCCAATAATATAACTTTAAACTATATGATGAGTTAAAAGGTCTTTTCTTCATGGGGCGGTTAGCCATGAAGTTTCACGCTAGTTCAACCAATACTTGCTGACATTTAGGCTTCACTAGAAGACGCATTATTATTAGCTTTTCTGTGTATCATAACTTATACTTTTCAGATATTTATATAGCAGCAGTGTAAGTTGGATCTTCCCCGGTCTCTGCACCAACGGTGGAATATCTACTTGCTACGTTTTAATGACTACAAACTCTGATTGTATTCTCATCTCACAGCCGCATCATAAAGTGCTATTCCTGCTAATCCTTCAGCTCAATGCGTTCATCTCAATGTATATCAGAAAATGTGGCATATTAAACGTGTCATATAGTATGTTAGTCACTCCTTTTGATTCACATAGCTGCTGCTGCTATAGTAGTGGGCAACTCTAGGTACCCTTTTACACGTTTTTGGTAACCAGCTATGCATCGTTGCATAATAGCCGTAATGCAGTATATAGTAGGACAACATGTTCCATATTCAATAATGTACTTTTATTAACGTAGCCCGTTTTACCGCCATCAATTGTAGCTTATTTACCAGTGGTGAATTTATGTATGTACAGTCATAATTTCTCATATATTACTTCTCCTTATATTATATCAAGCTATAGGACTCCACTGTTGGTCACTGCTAAGTGAAGAATATTGTGGTGTCCTATACAATTATTGTCACCAATAATTTGGGCAAAATTCACCCCTTGACACAGCCCACAGGCACTGGTTCGGTCCTTAATGACCTGGTCATGTCAACACAACTATAATTATATAAACGTTGAAGCAACAAAGTAGTTTCTACATTATGAAAATTGTGAATGGGTTTTTTAGATGGTTCCGATCCCATACTATTGCAAACAGAAACAACTAGCTATACTCCCATGGACTTCCGATTGTTTCAGCAAGTATGCAGTTGCAAACCATGGCAACGCACTGGTTACTGTGGGAGCATATCCATGGCGGAGTTTCCCTCTCTCTTTTGATGCCAACTGTCGCTTTTCACGTTGGAGGTCGAGAACAATACCGTTTCCTAGATCTCTTTTTTTTTACATGAGCGACAAAGTCAAGAGATCGTTCGCAGTACCACAGACTAAACGACGCATAGTACTATTTACTGTCATTGGATGCTTAATTGCCATAACATGTCTATTACAAATTCTCTACCGACCTCCTCCGTGCAACAACAGCGATGAAGGAGTACTCTCATCCCCACAACAAGACGGTCTTCCCGACGCTTTGAGTGCTCAAGCCCAGCATCGAGTAGAGGGCGTCTCATTTCAAAATCTCAACACCATTCCACAAAAAAAAAACGTTCTCATTCTCAGCATGATTAAACCAGCAACCGTACCACATTTGAACGATTTTTTCAAACTGATTCGTCAGCTTACATACCCCCACTTGTCGCTCGCCATCCTAGTTATGAATCCAGGGCCAACGACGGTTCACGCTGTTCGACAACATATTGAACACGCTCGACTGACTTCCTTGGACGTAAAAGTATATGTGAAGACCTATGACGATGAAGTAATGTCGTTTGTGGTAACACCGGGAAAGGAGACAGTGTATGAACTGCAACCCTTGCGACGAGCCGCTATTGCCCGGGCCCGGACGTTCTTGCTACAATCAGCACTAACACCAGAACATGATTATACGCTTTGGTTGGATCCTTTGTTAACATCGATACCACCGACTTTGGTTCAGGATATGATGGAGGTGGACGCGGACATTGTGGTGCCGAACACTATGATCCGTAGAGATGGGAACGAGTGGGGCCATGACAAACGTAATTGGCAGGAAACCGAATTGTCGGTTTCCTTATCCAAGGATGTACCTGAGGATTTTGTGTTTATGGAAGGTAAGTTGAATCTTTTTACAAAAAAAGGAGAGATGAAAAAAGGGAAGGGAGAAGGACAGTGTCTAACTATGGTAAAACAAAAAAAAAAATTGGGCATAGGGTGGGTGGAGTTCACAACGCATCGGTTCCTGATGATCGACATGGCTACCACCGAAATGCAGCCCTTACATAAGGTGCCCTTGGACGGTATTGGATCGACGTGTATCTTGACCAAGGCAAGCGTGCATCGCGAGGGAATCAATTATCCTGCATTTCCCTATAAGCATCAAATCGACACGGAAGGATTTGCCATGGCTGCAAAGACTGCTGGTTACAGCGTCTATGGTCTGCCTGCATACAAGGTTTACCATAGTGGAATGCCCGACAATGCCTTAGCAGAAGAAGTCGATGATATTTAAAAAAAAAACATCTTTCATCTTCCCGCACCACCACCTCCCCATATATTCCTCCCCCTCCACAGCCCTCTTTCCATGATCCTTTCTTCCTATTTCTGATATCTCTGCATTGTAATTCATCCACCGCTGTTTCTATTCTATTTTTCAATATGTACCATAATCCTTTATTTCTCTTTCTCTTTTTCAAAAAAAAGAACCTACCCGCTTATTGACACTTATTGAAAAGGGAAAACTTTATCTCCATTTCGTCCGCGACTTGTACTCATACCCAATGGAAATGTTCCCCGACTCGTCGGCAAGCCCGGATCGGATAAATTGATCACATCATATGTAACCATAGAAACCGCAAACTATACCCTGTTGTTCTTTTTCTTTTCCATACAACTTTCCCATTGTCTCACCCTTCCTTTCATGGTTCAGGATTCTGTATTTTACGTGCGTGAGGTGGCTTTGGACGACTTGAAACACAACGTTTCTGCTCATGCCGTTATTAATGGCGCTTACCGTTCTGAAGGTAAATTCAAGCTGTCATGTCATTTCATCGAGGAGGAAAGAGTGGAAAAGTTTAAATCGCTCATGTCTGTTATTACTTTTCATAGGCGGCTGGACCACAGAAAAGGACCTAGTAAGTGGTGAACGAGTGACACTGCAAGACGTTGAAGACTTTGTTCGTACCAACGGCAAGCCAAACACCTTACTATATGCGTTTGATGCTACCCCCGGTGACTCAGAGACAGTGGTTGGCACTGTGCAGATCCAAGCTATGCAAGGAGGACAAGAGGCTGAATTAGGGCTGTTTTCAGTCTCTCCAGCTTATCAAAGTCGTGGTGTAGGTGGCCGGCTTGTACGGGCCGCTTTTGAACGGATGAAGGATTTGGGTTTTACAGTGGCAGTGATTCATGTGTTGGAAACCAGAGTAGAGCTGTTGACCTGGTACCGTAAACTCGGATTTGAAGAGACTGGTGAGAGAATACCCTTTGTCTGGCCGGAGATGCTCAAGGTCAAGGATGTTTGCTTTATTACCTTGAAGAAGAAGCTCGTATAATCGCTTTTTTCTCTTTCCCGAATTTTTTATTTTTGCTTTTGCTTTGTATATTATGATCATGTTTATATTATTTTGCTTATCGAGATATAGAATAGAACGTAGAATACATAAAGTTAAGATGTATGTTCTATAATATGGATTAGTTTGGGATGTGCTCATTGTAAGAGCGTAATGATCTTTCCTTGACGCTACTGATAGATCTGCAGTGCAAGATTATTATCAAGTACTCATTATTTTCACCAATTCTTTCGTACTATTTGCATGATTAGACTGCTCATCCAACCATGTGGTATTCACCTCGATATTACAGGCCGCGAATCAGTAGCTTTTCAAGGATACGCTCATGCAGGCATAAAACTATGAATATAGTGCTTCAGAAAAGCATCAAATACAAAAATCGAAATTCCTAATACCAATATATCTCTACATGCTTATATTCCAAACCCTCATCTAGCGAGCCTTCTATATTAATTACGCACCTTTTCATTCCCGGTGTCTCGAATAGGTACTAATCCGGCTGCGGTGTCACGTTTTACTTGTCGCTCGAGTATCGCGTTACGGAATGTTACGGATATTTGCTCTTTTTATTCATTTCATTTCAGGACATACATATAAATCAGGGTCAAACTTGAAACTAGCCATTCAAAGGTTTTTCTTTGTTTAGAAAACTATCAAATCAGTGCCGCAACTTCAGAAAGTGCCATCTACGTAGATGGTGTTATCTCTGTTGTTGTAAAGTGTACAACATGGATGCTCAAGAGCAATGGATATTTCACCTCCTTCCCTCTCTTCTTCCTTGCTGCATTCTTTTAAATAATCGGATACTAATGCAGCTGCCAATGTCCAACTCGAATATTGTCGAGCCCCTACAAGAGCCTGATCTATATTCAACTATTGTTTATTTTAGAGAAGTTGCACCCATCATCCTGCCCGCCATGCTTCAGACATGGGTGCCACGGTCGAGAGCTGTAAGCGGTTGTTGGACTTCTTCGGTGGCATCGTTGCACAAACTCAATGGTACGGTTATATTTGCGATTGTAATTACAGCCTCTACTTTGGGATACAAGGATAAAAGCTGGGCTTGCGTCAAATACAATAACTGGGAATTACTCCTATGCATTTTACGATTCATCCAATGATCTAGTCAGAACATCAGTCATAATTCATATTAAATGATACAGAGTCAAGGTCGATGCTCCACACACTGATTTTTCCGGACTTTGGTCCACTCCTCCAAAGGCTTTGCTAGTTGTGGTGCCACGGACTTTGTGCTTACCATTCGAATATCCTACTATCTTGATGGCTACCACATATTTTCCACCAAAATTATTTATGAGAATTAGGCCAAGTACAGATCTACATGTATTGCTCGACACTCATAGTATGTGTGTCAAGCATTATTGGTCGAGGTCTACAACATCCTTTCAACATGTGCCTTCCGCGGCATTGGTATGTCTTTCGACCTTGAGTATGGTAAGTCAGAAATCGTCACCTATTTGTGCTTTACTGTATTTAAACGCATATGCAATGCTATGGTCATCTTAATGATTTCTTGACGGTGTGAGGGAGGCCTTGATACCACGCCTTCTTATCATTCTATGGAGGCCATATTCAGCGAAATCTTGTGTGGGGAACGCATCGCAACAATGAAGGCAAGAGAATAGATCTATTAAACTTTTCATTAGCAAAGTTGTGCCCACGCAATGCGAGCGATATATAGCACATAGCTTGTCTTAATCAGAATTCCTTTGGAGAACTTTTTTTAATTCAAGTAAGGAAAGAAACATATTACAAAGTGACTGTGGTGATATATGCAAAAGCTAAGCTACGTTGAGATCATGTACATAAATTGTCCGTGTGGTGTGTGTCATGCAAACCTTTTTTAAACTCGCATTTTCTGATGATGGATGGTGGTACAAAGAAAGTGATGAGATAGGAAGATGGCTTCATGTACCAAGTAGATCAATGCATTGTTTTTATTCTTTTGAATGAGTGAAGTCCCACAATCGTGTTAAGATATCGGGCCCTAAAGAATACAGATCCACTACCACTTCGTCTTTGTTTATACACAACCAATAAGTCAGTGATACGATTTTGAAAGCAAAAATACAAGTCAACCAGCTCTTTCTCCCAACTCTTCCCACTTAGAAAAGCGCTACTTACCGTTTTCAATTTGAATCCCCATCCGTTCGGTCTTGAATCGATCAACAATATTCCGGACCTCAGCCAGTTTGTCACCTTCCAAACTACTGATTTTCCGTGCAAGCTCCAGCATATTTACATTCTTTCATGTACGAATCAATACAATAAGTATCTCTCTCTTCTCTCTCGTTACGCAATGCTTACTATCCCGCCGCACACACAAATCTCGTGTTTGGACAATGCACATACCTCTGGAATTCCCCACGCAGCCCGTAGTCTAGACGTCAGTGCCGAGCCATGAATCGCATGGACATGATTCAGGTCGCTCTCGGTATATACATCATCCACAATCCGTTGGTCGTCGTCGTCCTCCTTGACATTGTTTCCTCCTCCTCGATCAGGATCGTCACCATTGGTATCTGAAGAAGACGAAGAGCGATGTCCTCGGTGTCCATTTTGCTTTTGACCTGCTTTCCGTCGTTTAATGGTTCGATCGTCGCCATCGTAACTTGAACCCGATGAATCTGAACGTTGTTGTCTTGGCCCCTTCCGTGCACTTCCTGCACCTCCTGCTCCTGTTCCTGTTCCCGTCGCTAATTGATGTTGTTGATGATGCGAGGCCGGCCTGCGCGTGTCGTCACTTAGATCAGATAGATAGTTATTGTTGCTGTTATTATGCATGTCGTGCTCTGATGCTGCCTGTGGCGTCTTAATATTTTGGGTATAATCATAAGGACTGTTGATAACGCCGTTCGGTGATGCGAATGAGTGTGGCTGGGGTGATGCTGAATAGGCGGATGAATAGCCGGCGGGTTGTTGCGTAAAATGTGGTGTCGAAGGTGATAATGATGCACCCGACATGGAATCAAGTTCTCTGGCGGTATTGGTGGTAGAAGTGTTAATAGAAGCTTTAGGAGATGCAGGTGGTTTTGTTGTCTTTCGTGCCTTTTCAGTCGAGTTACTTCGTCGCTTTTTGGCAGGCGGTAAAGGTGCTGGGTCACGGTTCAAAATATTGACTAGCTCCGTTGAAGGACTTTGGAACACCTGGGTGCGAGTATTTGTAATAAATAATTAAGCAATTTAATCATTATCGGAAACACATATCCACGCCCGGTATAATAAGAAAGTGCAGACGCTATTACTTACCAGTGTTTTAACGACGGAATACTGAGCTTGTCTGAAATTAAGGTCGAACGATAACAGCTCCGTGTTGGCAATATTATTGGCGAAATACAACACGATCCGCATATCGAACTCGCCCCAGCCCTTTTCCTGTAAAAGATATGGCTCTTTGGTGACCACTAGAATGCACGGAGAAGACGTGTTCAATCACCCTGTGAGTTAAAGATGGCAACGAGAAGATTCTATCACAAGCATCACCAGGCTAAAAGAAAAAGAACCTACCTCTTCGAGGATCTTTGAAAGTTGGATGCAAAATGTATTCAACATGATCAAGCAATTCGGTAAGTCGTCCCTTTTTTTCCTTGCCACCATCCACTGCAACGAGTTTGATCTTCCAGTTACGCATCGGATGACCGTCCACCGTGTGAGCTCCGGCACCTTTCATGATGCTATTCTGACAAGTGATCTTGATATCTTGTGTAAGATCCATCTTTTTTATAGGAAAAAGAAGGGCACATGTTGTTGTTAGGAAGAAGAACAAAGAAAAGGAAACAAAGACATAGTAGCTGTATCCCTTTAACGACGGAAGGAAAGAATACGAACCATGCTGCTGTTGCTGATATTACTGGTGTTATATTTTTGGAAGGGGGTTATGCTGCTGTATATGTGAGTGCCCTGGGCTCTTTATTCTTTGCGACACAATCGACCTGACTGGAGTGAATTTGACAATCCTATAACAATGTGGGGGAAGGGAACAAAAAAAAGGAGGGAAAAAAATAATAATGAGAAAAGAGTGAGCTACTCGATTACGCGGTTCTCCATGGGTAGTTGCAACAATGCAAAGGGAGACGACAGAGACTGATTTTTGATTCTTTACCTGGAAAGTGTATGAGTGTAGAGTATATGTGCGGGCGGTGGGGAAGGCAAAAGAAGAAGTTCTGGTCTCGAAACTCTCGCTCTCGCTCTCTCTCTTTCTCTCTCTCTCTTTCTCTTTCTCTGTCTGTCTGCCAGAGCTTCGGCTAAATTTATCACCCATTGAAGCGCTCATCCAATGAGATCCCGTCTAACTCGGATGGTGTCCGAGCGTGTTTTTGGAGACCAAAACAACAACCATTAGAATCATAGTATGTCCATCCGGAATGATAGGTGACTATGCATCCTTCTTTACTGGATGAGCTTTAATAAGCAGCACTATTTATTTGGTATCTTTGTGAGCATGCTATGGTCATTTAATAATATACACCAAACCACCATTCAGGGTCGGTTTTCCTGTTTCTTCATGAACTCTCTGGATCGAATCACCACACAAAAAAAAATGCCAACCAGTGTGCACATCAAACCAGATTTAATGATATCATGGTGTGGTTGCAGAACGTGTAGCAACTACAATATTCTCATGAGAAGCGGAAAAGTCGAAAAAACGCGTTTCATCGTCGTGACAGGCGAACGTCAAAATTCGCGATTTCCCAAGACGCGTGATTTCTGTCTCCCTCTTTCTTTACTTGTGCAACCACTCAAGAAGTCTAATTCTCTACAGAATGGACGACGATTTTGACGATGACCAGTGGCTAACAAGCGATGCTTTGGACGCCATCGACGAGCAGTTAACCCAATTTGCCAACACACAACAAGTACCTCAACCTATAATTATTAGGAATCCATCACGATCGTCTGATTTCCCGACACCAGCACCATTAACCGCAGCATCCCCAGTCAGCAGCAGACCAGCTATTCTAGTGGATCACAGCAATAACATTCAAAGTCACGGATTGAGCAGCACATATGGTAACCGTCAGCAACAACAACAACAGCGCCAGCAGTATGACGAAGTAAGTACACAACGACCATGACCATGACCATGACATAAAAATCAAAGAGTTCTCTTCCCTTATCTTACTTGCCTGGTACAGACAGAAGCCCTCATTGATAACCTGAGGTTCGCCGAAGAACGGCTACAATTGAAGCTGGCACAAGAAGTGAATGCACGAGAAAACATGCATAACGAACTAGAGCTTTTGCGGTCCGAGATGCGGTCTAGGGATGATAGGCTAGTGGGTCTACAGTTTGAATTGGAATCCTTGAGAAAGGTGGCAAGATCTGAGCCCGAAGCTGTCAACATCAACAACCCTGAAGAAGCATCATCGATATCATCCTCCTCCACAACTAAAAGTAAATTAGTGCCCCCCCATTACTCAATGAATACACATTTGTGCTCTTGCTAAACACCCTGATAATTTGATCATGCTAGGAAATATCTTCCCAATTTTACCCGCTTTTTCAGATACAACGTACCGTAAAAAAAGTAGCGATCCAACTTTACGATCACGATCAGCTACGCCTTCTCCCGGCCCCACAATGCTACAATGCGCTAAGCGAAGGCGTACGGCCGAAACAATGATCACCGATAATGTGTCAGCAACAGCAGTGCAAACAACAACAAATAAACAAGAAAAATCAATAGCATCATCCCGATCATCACCACCGCCACCAGCGAACACTCAGCATAATAAGGTATATAAATTACTGATTTCTCTTTTCTCTATTATTATGGAATAACTATCACCAGCAATCGTGGATGTATTAATTTGCTTACTCAAATACACATACACATACTTACACTAGTTTCTGAGGTGTTTACTAGAGCATGAATACATCAAGTTGCAACAGGAGCAAGGAGGCCAAGTGGAACAATTTCCAAAGAAAATGTCACCAATTCTTATGGATAATCTCTGTGCACGTTTTTCACAGAGTTTTAATCCCAAGAAATACTGCAATCACAAGCTCTCGATGCTGGCAACCGACGTGTCCGATTGCATAATTCGATCTAAAGATCTATCTATCAGCATAACCATAGAGCAACTGATGAGCATTCTTGGTCACATCTTTGCAACATGTGTGAAGGAACGCTTGGTAAGGATGCAAATTATATGTGCATAATGTGTTTTTGTTGGTTGACGGTTCTGTTCTATATACACTCTTTATATAGTTTGATGTACTGGGCCAAACCTTGCAGACGTTTTGCCTGCTCACCTCATGCTACCAAGATGCAATTAATTATCTTATTCGAGATTTTAAACGCGGTAAGCACATGTTCTTTTTCAAAGAATATTGAGAAGATGTAAGATAAAACACTCGCGCACAGGGAAAAAGAATAAGAGAAATCGATATATAATGAGGTCTCCGTCAATACTTGAAGGAGAAACTGTATTCATTAACGTACATGGTTTTTATAATACTTTTCATCATCTCAGCCGAAGATGAATCCATTTTGTGGAATTTCATCAAGTGCTTCTCTCTCTACGATATACTGCTGGCGGAAGAAGACCCGCATCTACGACCCGATATAGGAGACAAAAACGTTTGGTCAATGGAGGCAAAAGATATACATGCCTATTGCGTGAAAAACAACATCACGCCAGTACAAATGGATATCCTGATCTCGTACCAAGCGTCCATAGAGACAAGCTATACTTCTATATCAAATATTCTTGATGTGTTTGTTCGGATTGTTTCCGACGATGTTACCATTGCTCAAAGGTAAAAAGAAAAGAACACTGTAATTTTCCATCCGCATGTTAAACGAAAGAGAGAGAGAGAGAAAGCAAGCTTATAATTATCTTCTATCGATCTTTAACATGGATAGTCTTCACGCTTTATTAAAGCAGTCTTCATTCGTGAGGTTGCTGTCAGCAAGGGCGCCGTTTAACATCATCACCAAGGTCTTGGACCTCTTGACGCTGCTGGCTGCTTGTGGTAAGTCACAACCCTTATATATTGCTTGCCCTCGTTGTTTCGCTGACTAGGCTGTGTATACATACATGTGTATATCTTCTAGACGATGTCACACTGTTCATGTATAGAGTTGAAATGGAACAATCGAGAACAGCGACAACAGTCTCCATGCTCAGTAGCTTGATAACAACGCCTGAAACATCACAAGATCCGCATAATATAGATGATGTAAGTACTCGCGCTTTACTTTTCGTCTTTTGGTTGAGATGAAGCAACCTATTGTTTTAAAAAGGTAGTATAATTGGCTATTAATCTACGAAATATTAGTGGTTTACTCTTCGAGCAAGTGCCGTTTGCATCCTGGATTCACTAATTAATGCACCCAAATCGATGCCAGAGACTTTTATACAACGGGCGTGTGTTGAGGTATTGAAATGCAAATCTATGCCTGCTTTCCTCATCATGATTTTAGTATTAACACTTTGCTGTTAAAACAAACATTTGCTGTTCGTGTGTAGCTGTTTACGCCGTTGCAACAACTGATCTACAATGAGTGTGCTCGCTTAGAAATAAGCAGTGACCCGCCATGTCCCGCGGTTCGGTTTGAAGAAAGGTAAAGCAAATAAAACATTTTCCCTAGTGTCGGGAGCTCTGGTGACAAAGCAAGGGAAAACGATTTATGTACTTTGCGTGCTAAGACGATACTCGATTAGCGAACGACTTATCATTTTGAGCGCGGACCTATTATACCCTGTACTGAAGCATTATGAAGCAACACAACGTCTCGATCCTGATCAATACTACCTTACCAGACAGCGGATGAAGTTTGCAGAAACCCGCATTGCAAGTGTGTGGGGCTCCAAGCATCCTGGTAACTGAGAGCTTTTAGTAGTATTACTCGTCATCAGTTGGCTAAATATACTTATATGGACGTTAGCCAAAAGCAAAATCACCGACATTACCGAAATCCTAAAAACCATGCACAGCGCTATTCAAGTCGGAAGTGACAATAACACCACTGGCACAAAATAGACCTCATCAGTTGCACGCTGTAAAACACGTTTGCCTTACTTAAAAATTAATACACATCACTATTTATACTGCCCGTATGCTTACTAACCGACACCTTTATTTTAATCGCCTTCACGCTTTTTACCAGACAACAAAATACATGCTCTAGCACCACACGTTTTACATATAGCTTTTTTCAATCCTCCCATCCTCTCTGTCTTATACATTGCACCAGCCCACACCATAACTATAGAACCAGCTTGTACATAAAAAATGATTTAATGCGATATACAACATTGTTTCTGCCTTTAAGCTATGATTTAAAAATTACATATGGAGTGGTAGTATATGGCACTAATAATGCTGCATACTGTCTCAGCGCTTGGTGCTATTAATCCACGTGTCTCTTTTTGAGAATATCGGATGGCTTTTCTTTTGGTGTTGATATCTTTGGCTTTGTCTCACTGCTCTCGTTGACTCGTTCTGGAACACGACTCTATAATACAAGAGGAAAAGGAAATTGCTCGTGTCAAGAGAAGGATAGAGAGCGACACTACCGATTGTTCCCGTGTCCTATAAAACTCCACTTACCACCGTGTCTTCAAGTTGCTGTCGCTCTTCCTGTAATGCTACTAGTTCCACTGTCATGTTATATGTGTGGCGAATGATCCTATCATAATTGAAGAAAGGTAATTAGCTTTAACAATACTCACCAGCCATTTTACTCCTTTCGTTATACCATTCACTACAGATTACTTACAGAGTCAAGAACAAGGTTGATCCTGTCAAGTACATGTTTCGTTGTGCGTAAAACTTTCTGGCGGAGTAGCTGGAATCGGTCCGTGCGTCATGCATTGCTTGAGCTCCCGCTAAGCTATTCACATTTTCCTCATTGCCCATCTGCAGCAACGTAGCATCGATCGTTTTCAATCTGTTGACAGAATCTATAAAGCATACAGAAATTTTCTGTGTCAAATGCATATCATCCCACAGCCACTATGGATTACTCACCGATAAACAGGACCAAGATGAACCTAATTTATTTGCGACAGCAAGAATAAACCCGGTCATAAATGAGTTTGGGGATGATATTGCTCAATTTCGACCATCTGATGGAAAAATCAAAGCATTGCTACTACTTACGCGAACACAATTTTAAGTGTATATTTAACGTGGCCCATCTAGAATATATTGATTCACTGTTAGAAAAACCTCTCTATATTGTGCTCTTCTAAAAATGATTGTTTCCTGCTACTTACGATAGGTGATCGTGAAATGAATCGAAATAGTTGTTTTCTCCATTCTGTTGGCAGTGGAAGCATCAACAGGAAGAAGTAGAGAATCTTATCATTGTATTTCAGTATATCGGTTAACAATTGAAGTACTGTAGCATACTCTGCACATAACCAATTTGCCCAGATCACTTCGCGTCAAATAGGCATACGTAAATATTTTATACCTCAAGTAAAAGTATCAGGAATACTATAGTATAGTAGAGTGTCATGTTGTGTTTCTTGGTAAAGTAAAAATAGCGAAAGAAAAAGAAGCAAGACCCATGTTGACTATTAGCGTCCTGCTTAGAAAAAAGAAGAAAATTGCATTAACTCATTTCAAGGGGGTCGTTGGTGCTTATTTCCTTTTTCGGTAGTGACATATCATTATGACGACATGGATCATGACGACAACGATGACAATAAGCGCTCAACAGGCGCACGAAGGGTATTATAGATGCAAACCTATCGGTCAGACAAACTTACTGCTACTCTAAAGATTGTTGCTGGTGGCGTTGGTCTAAAGTCTATCGTTGTTGTAGTAATGACACACTAAACTATCTCTTTTAGAAATAAAACTTTAAAAAGAGACGATGACATGGCATTGCTGCCCACGTTTTAAAGCTGTTCCGTAGTACCAGGCAGAAGTTACTCTTGCTTGTCATAGATGAGTGTTTGTTTTTCTTGATGCTAACATTTTGCCCCGTTTCCTCTTAGTAGTACTCTTTGAGCGTTTCCAAAAGTTTGTCTCCTTCCAATTATTCTCTGCCATGCCGACCTGAAGGGTTGCTACAACCTTAAAATAGAACTGAAAACGGCATAAGTAATTTCTTTCCTATGATAATTTAATAAACACGTATGATAGTAAAAGTCGCACAATCAACCACAGCAGTGGCAAGTGCTTGCAAACACCTCTTCTAGTCTTATATTGTAACTAGCAAGCCATATTTCATGTCGACTTCCGCGTGTTGCTCTTTTCCAGAACGGGCCCGCTCCAGAATCTGATTCATTAATGAAGCAATAGCTCTTAACATCTCACCGCTTGGTTTTTGATAAAGGATCACACTTGTCCGTTAAAACATAAATTTCAGGTTGATAGAAAGCTTCAGTTGGATCTATTTACTTGCTTTTTTTCACCAAGAAATTATTTGTTAGGGACTTGCACAGCAGATCAACAGAATGTGTAATGTCTTCATGGAAGTTGGCATTCTGCTGGGCGTTAGACGCCCGCAATACAAAGGACAGATTGTAACGACTCGCCGCAAGGGACAAACTCTGTAGGACTTACAATGTGCATATTCTGCATGGACTGAATTTATTTAGTTGAAATTACTGAGAGATATACTACAGTATTAGAAGAAATAAGCCAGACATATCCATTTAAAATACCTCAGGCACAAATTGTCCGAGCATGCTACAGTCCACGAAGATTAGAGAATTGCAACATTGTATTATACTGGCCATAAACTATTGCTACTTTCAGAAAGAAAAGGGATAATGCATCTTTAACTTGGTACGGGTTTTGTCTTTGGCCAAAGGGCAATTAAAATGGAATATATCGATACCATAAAGGAACAAGAACGCATGCCAAATCCACGATTTGAAATCTGCTATCAGACCCGAGTAGCCGATGCATGCAGTCCAAGGAACCCCAGCTTGCGTTTTTCTGCTGTTTCAGTAAGGCAGTTTGATATCATCTTCGTTTGGCGAGCTCACAGCAGAAGCGAACGCATGTGTTGGAGCTTGTACTCTGATTTAACACTTCTTGAAAGTAGTCAGTGCATGTAGACGCCAGTGATCCGGGACGCGAACGCGGTTGATTTCGCAAAGCTCAGGGACAGAATCTCTTTTGCGTTTGTGCCTTTCGTCTACCTCTTTGGAACCTTGCAACACTGTGCTGATGTTGCCGCTCAACCGCAACAATGCTTCTCTAGAGCTACTTTACGAGCTGGTAGAGATTAAAGTGGCTTGTCAATTAGACCACGTTAATGCGCCAATGCTTTGGTGCACAGTTTGTACAGAGAAGTAATGTGATCTCGTAAGCTGCAATAATGCACCTTTTCTGCATAGTGTACATCAAAGAGTCACTATTACATTTTGAGCCACCAAAATGCTATTCATGGATCTGCCATTCATTGACTGGAAGAAGTGAGAACAAAGGTTGCATTTTACATATCTTTTCGTATTAAATGATACCTGGTTTGCTAAATTTATATGTCATCACTCTGCATAAAAGCACAATGAAAGTTGGGTATTTCTTCTTTTTTAGTTCGATGTATTCCATCCAATCCCTTTGTGCTCAGAAAGTATCCAACCCTATCATTGTACTTTTTCCCTGCCACAACAAAGTGTTAAACCTTTGCCTTTTATTTTACGCTATCTGTCGCTCAAAAGACTATTCATCTACTCATGCTGGTCCTAGAAAATCATGGGTTCCTTCAAATGAATAAGCCCGATTAAAAAGGCAGATGTCTTTATTGCATCTTGTTCTCGATGTTGCATATCAACACTACTACCTCCGATATGTATGATTTTCACAATATCATCAGCATTTGCACTTGTTTATCCTCATAGCAAAGCAACAGTCATTATCAAGGTGACGCTGGAGAGTTAACGGAATTTGTCAAGTAGCAGCAGTGGTGTTCTATTGTCAATATACATCTAAAAGTCCACAACATCAATGGTATTGCTCAATAACTTTCCCCTGTTTGCCAGACACAATGTGGTTAATCTGTTGAATTTAAAGAACGTGAGCCTTTACACTCATGTCGGCTATTTAGTTGATCCCCTCCTCTACCTTCTCTCGCCCCGGGGTCTCTAACTTGATTGTGCAGCCAGGGGGAAGGCGCAGGATGGATGCGATCGAGAAAACTGGTGGATGCTTAAAAGAGCTACAGAGTAAGCCCTCTTTGCTCCGGTGAAACATGGGTCTCAGATCTCACGTTTGGATTACTGCTGGCTGATCAATTAGCAGCGTATTTCCGTTTGCTTTTGCTTAAATATGCATAAATAAACTCAGACTAGAAAAGAACCCCCACCTTCTTCTTGCCCTCGCACTTTCTTGGTCATGGAACGGCGTGAGGAAGATAGATCCTCTACGGGCTCATCTGGAGGGCTTTTAGGGTCCTTTACGGTGCAGCCAATGAACACGGCTACCTTTGTTACCAAACTATATACGTAATGATCTTTCGTCTTTCACGTCCTCCTCGCCATGAATCGGATCATTAACGAAGAGAAAAATATAATAAGTTTAGCATGGTTGAAGATCCTGCTGAAGAACAAATAGTATGGTCAAGCAACGGCGACTACTTTAAGGTCATTTCGCCTAGCAAGTTTTCGAGTACAACACTGCCACAATATTTCAGGCATAACAACTGGACCAGTTTTGTCAGACAGCTAAACAGTACGTTCACGATGGAAACATATATGTGGCTGATCGACTACCGGAGCAAACAACACTAATCATGACAATGCAAACAGTGTATGGATTTCATAAAGTGAGTGAATATCGCGACGATTTGAATCAAGATACATGGTGTTTCAAGCACACCTTGTTTTATCGCGGGGGCAAACAATCGTCACATCTAATCCGCCGCAAACGTGTTCATGCCAGCGATATGCCAGAAGACGCAGAGTCTGAAGAAAGCACAGCCGCTGTTACTGATGCTTTGGAACCGCTCCCTTTGGAAATACAGTTGGGACGAATCGAAGAAGCGGTATCAAAAGTGCAAACTAAATCGCAAGTGGTCGGCAGTGAGCTACGCCAGCTGAAAACCTCGGTTCAAAGACAGCAACAGGTACTTCCTTTCTCCCGTACATGGTCTGTATATCTGTTATGGCAGAGTATACTAACTGTTGCAATAGATGACAGATGTCATAATCGGAATGCTATCCGAAGTAGTGACAAGCTACCGGAACACACATATCGAAAAAACAGGTACTTTGGATCGCTCCCGCAACAGCCTGTGTCACAACCAATTCCTTTATTTTTTATTCTCTTGGTAGAAGACCGAGCAAAGTCACCAATAACGCCGACACTAACGGCAGCAGCACAAGCAACGACGACGACAGCACCAGCAGCGATGTCCAACAACATAACTACTACCCCAACTACTAATAGCGTCGCTGCTACTACTACTTCTAGTGCTATTTGTACTACTGATAATTATTATTTCAACAGCTATACTACAACAGCACCGCACGACTGTTATCGTTACGGATACGATCCGGTTTGGGATCGCATGCGCTGTGGCTGTCCCGGCCCAAAGCAGCAGGATTAAAGCAGAAAGGAGCATCATTTAACCACACTGCAACACAACCAACGGGGGGAAAAGGGATATATTTTGGAAGAGAGGAAAGTGATGAACTGCTTTGTAATGTGTCAAGAGCTGTCTGCTACTGGACCATAAGAAAAAACGATCCTCTCTCAATATATGATCCTACATGTACAATGTATATATTAACGTTCCAATAAGAGCAAAGGTGCTCTTTATAATTCGATGTTTATCTTCTTGTTATGGCAACTACAAGTGCCCACGTAAACGTGGGCCCACTAGTGAGAAGCTTTTTTTGAATCCAGGCGCCAACAGAACAAAAATATATGTCTAAAAACAGCAACAATGGACAATTGATTCTCCTGATGGAAGAGAGAACGCTGTTTGTTATATATGTTTTATACACAAGGTCATGGAAAAAGAAATATACGAGTAAAAGGAACAATAACACACAAAAAGAAAACACAAAAGGGGAAGAGAGGCTTCGAAAAAAGATGCGTTTTTGTTGAGAGGGGAAGGAGATGGAGGGAGGGTTTTGGGTATTACAAGCCGTAGAGATAGGTGGCATAGATGACAAAAGTGGCGCCGAGCAGAAAGGTGCCGGTGATGGAGAAGTTGAACAGCCAAACACTTAATAAGCTCGACAAAATGATGCTGATACTCGTTGCAAAGCCCTTAAGGATGTTGTCGGCGTACTTGACGACCAGTGCGACGATCAACCCGCCGAACGCCTGGATACCGATCACACACCATGTCAACGTGTTGTAGTTGACAAAGAATCCCTTTTCGGCAATCGTCGTGCCATCCTGCAGCAAGACCACAAAGACCAAGCCCAACAGGACCGAGAAGAATGACATCTGGATGTTGCGAACCCACAATTGGCTCTGTGCATAGTCCTCTTGAAACACGTCATCCACCACAATCACTTTGCCCTCGACGTCTGTATTTGCTGCCTCTTGCTGTGCTGGTTTGGACGGCGCCTTTAAGATCTTTTCAAAGTAAACGCCTGCTAGTCCAGACAAGACACAGGCCATCAACACTGCAAAGAAACCTTGTGCGTTGGATTGATTGCCGAGACTCTCTTCGGTGACCGAGGATGATACGACCTGCGACGACGAGGAAAAGTAGTTGGCAATGCCCGTCAGCGATACCGCATCCTTGGGCACGACGACCAATGCAATTCCGACAGTCAAGAGCGCAAGTGCGGCCCATTTGAGCCGTGTCAAAGGCTTGTGCAAGATCATTACGCTGAAGAACGCCGTCGTGAGGATTTTGAGCTGATATGTCACCTGGAATGTGGCTGCATCAAGATTCGTAGCTGCAACATATTGCAAATTATTCTGGATAGTAGGATTAAGAGCTTATTCAGATCATCCTGTACGCTTCCTTATAGCCCATCTCACCCTTCTTCTCTCCTTTCCCCTCCTCTTTCTCTCTATACATAATATGTACATATATGAACACATACCTGTATCAGATACAGTACTGCAGGGAACGCCAGCTTACTTGATTCTCGCCATTTGACAATCAGTTCGTGATGTAATAACGTAGAAAGTCGAGAGGCTGAGCGTCGATGAGGCGGTGGTACGCCATACAGTACACCGAGACAAACCAGTGTCTTTATAACCTCGCTCATGATGACTGCAGTTGAAGCAAGGTATCGTTCGTCTTCAGGGACACTGGCCCGAGTATACCGCATGACCAGAATCAACGCGCTGTTCTGCACCACTAGGATGAGCAGTGAAAGGTATTTTAGAGGTATTCCTCCAACTAGAGCAACGGCAGCAGCTACTATAAAAGTGGGTATTGTTTCATGATCAGTTTGTGATTTATCTAAAACAGAGGACACCGAGTGACAATTTCGTGGTATACGTAAAGCGAAAAGCAGCTAATGCTGACAATTTACCCATCTTGTATAGGAATGTGTGTATGTGGATAGTATTATATATGAAAGAGAAAGTAAAAGGCTGTTTGAATAGGAAGAGAGTGTGTGTTGTTATAAAAGGACAAGAAAGAAGACGCTGTCTCAGGCTCAGAGTCGGGGAAACAGTGCTGCTGAGCCTTCTTCGAGTCTGTTGTTTTCCCTTTCGCTATTTTTACTTTTTTCGAGGTTACCCAGACATCCTTCAGCCCGCGATGGTTTTTCCTTCTTGCGCCCATATCTAAAACCACAACGTACCTTAGTGGCGTATCCTAAGCAATCTTCCTGGGCTTCTCTAGTGATAATGGTAATCTTCCACGGTTATATGATTTCGCGCTCTCTCTTTCTCTCTCTCTCTCTCTCTCTCTCTCTTTCTCTTTGTCACACAAACCAAGCGGGCATTTCGGATATCACCCCGCAAAATAACCATATACTGATTAGTCTATATGGGGGTGATCTTGATACTTTTACCTAGACCTGATGAAGCAGTTGTTATAGTCTAGGCCACATAGCCGAGACCTCCTTCACAGTCAGGCTTATCATTAGCCCGAGGTGTAAGGTTGACCCGTCTTTGCTTTGATGACCTTCAAATTAAGCAACTATTGTATTGGGGAGATAAGACTAGGAATAGAGTCAAAAACGCGCAAATATGCCATTGGCTTATATGGAGTGTGGAACCTTTAAAGAATGCTTATATCACACCGTTCATCCCAAAACCACCATGCTTATCATACTGAGCACCGCGCGCATATATTATATCTACTTAATTAACGCTTATTTCGTATGCATTTTAAACCACTTGTAACTACGTAGATGTTTGATGATTGTAAAATGTATCGTTAAGAGAACAAAATAAAATTGATGTGATTGGACGAATATCAGTGAATGGCAGTATCATATAACCAGTAACACTTTTCAAGCAGACGGTTTCTTTGAACAGCTTTTAATCACGTTGCTCTATGACTCAACATAGATATGTCTTGCTTACATTATCATTTCCTTTCTCCAGAATTTCTAACGAGTTAACCTGTATATATACAGGCCTTAAGATACAATCTTGCTATCTAAAGAAGATAAGATGAGCAGAACCCGTCGAGAAGTGTTGCTGTTTACTTTCCAAGATTTCAATTGAGGTGCGTTCGTCGTAATAAACCGATGGGCATGATCTAGACGGTTAACATTATCAACACTAAAATGTAGTGATTACAGAAGGTGCAGCAGAAAGAATAGCAACACACCATAGCTACACCGATCATTAAATAATAGAAGTTGCAATGTTGGTGAGTGCTTCCTGATGGCATACGCGCGGCAAGACTTGTGATTTTATTCCTTGAGGTTTTGCGCTAGGTCCTTCCTTCGTGGTTCATAGAAAGGTAACAAAACCAAACGTCAGTTGGTGCTGACAAGAAGATAACATGTGAAGTGCTGCCATGATAGCATTGACACAATATCTTCCCATTCCACATCGCGACACGTACACACACACACACACACACTTGTGTCTTCCGAGCTCGGGCCATTTTGGACCCACAGTAGCTGCTAAACATGATATCGATCAGTTATGCTGATCAAGTGTAACTTGACCTCATTAGTAGATCGACAGAAAACATACAAACAGTGGAGTCAAAGCAACAAAAAATTGGTGGATGGGCTTAGCGCTTGAAGGAGAGAGTTCTTTTGCCACCCCAGCTACCATCAAAACAGGCTGTCATTCGTAAATCAAGGTAGAAAAACGGTATGCCGACCAAGAAAAAGGGCAGACTTGAAAAATTTAGATGTGAGAAGACAAGCGGAATAGCACCAATTCTCAAACTTAGTGACAGTACAGCGAATTGCACGGTAACTAGGTTCTTGTCACTACAAGGCAACCATTTGAAACTTGGTGAGCGAAAATGAAGCGGAGTTAGAACCTCTCATTCACCGAGGATTATAATCGACTTCTGTGCCGAACTCAAGGACACCCTCTCTTTTTTGAACAAGAAAAGTAATCTCATCAGTGTACGTAGTCGAAGCCAAAATGAACCACCATTGTATCTATTTGTTGATGGGTGGATACGTAGATGGATGGATGAATACGATTTGAGATGCAAAGAGAAACAGATCAATTGACAACGATCATCTATGGAACTCATATAGCATGTCAACCGAGGAAGATATCGTAATGGAGACTCAAGAGGTTGAGGTCGCTGCTGAGACCACCCAGGGTCAAATGTCCGTTGAGGAAGCCCTCCAGGAGGTCTTGCGCCGTGCTTTGGTCCACGATGGTCTTGCCCGTGGTTTGAAGCAAGCTGTCAAGGCTTTGGACAGGTAAATTTGGGTTTTCATTTTTTCGGTCCTCAACGAGAGCAACGCAAAAACAAAAAGATAAATCAGGGAGGCTTACCTTGTAATTTCTCTCTTGTTTAGACGCCAGGCCCATTTGGCTGTCTTGAACGAGTCCTGCACTGAAGGCGAATACGTCAAGCTCGTTGAGGCTCTCTGCGCTGAGCACAACATCAACTTGATCAAGGTCTCTGACCCCAAGAAGCTCGGTGAATGGGCTGGTCAGTGCAAGATCGACCGTGACGGTAACGCCCGTAAGGTTGTTGCCTGCTCCTGCGTCGCTGTCACCGACTTTGGAGAAGAGTCCGAGGCCATGAACGTTTTGTTGGACTGTAAGTTTCTCATTTTTCTGGGGGTAATTGTTGGAGAATGGATGGTCACTTTAAACAAGTTCGTTGATATACTTATGACTTTTCTCTTCTTATAGACTTCAAGTCCCGTTAAATTTTGACAAACAAAATTTTCATAATAAACTCTTCGGTCCACTTTGTGCCCTGAAAAAAACTTGTTTCTTGAATGTGTATTTTAATGCTTGGTCACCGTGCTCTTATGGAGAACGCTGATATTGTTGCTGTTGGCGTTGACTGACTGGTAAAACGAAATGACATATATAACGGCAACGAATTGGTAAGAGCTTTACCGATCCATTGAGCGCATGTGAGCATACAGGAGAGGTGAAAACGCATAGTCATGCTCTCCGTTCTCTGTGTCGTAACCATCCAACACTTTGACGGTACAGCATGCTTTTAGTAGGAAGGTAAATTTCGCTTTATTAGCCATCACGTGTGTATACCTTTTGTAAGATATAAAGTCTATCGACACCAAAAGTTGAGAACGCAATACTCCATGGTCATTTGCGTCTTTTTCTTTCAACGGAAAGCAGGACCTTACGTTGATTGTCAACTTCTTTCCCACAGCAATAATCTAAACCACTTATTATCTACGTAAGAGAATCGACCTCTCTCGATACTCGGCTATCACTAATTTAAATATTAAAAGAAAACTACTCGTGCACCGCCCTTTATCTCGAATTCGGTCTCTCACGCATAATTAACATGCCATCCTTGTATTATATTTTCAGAAAACCACACTTGCAACCCATAGTTAGCAAGGGAGGGCCTGCAGGAGAGAACGGTCGTATGAGTTGGAAAAACGAACTTCTCGAAGATAACAGACGAACACTGTAATAGGTGTAGTGGGGCTTCGTGTTATGGCTTTTGTGAGCACGCCGGCTAAGCATCCTTTACCATTGCTAACAAGCACACTTGTTGCAATGAGTATCACCCTGTTGCGGCGCCAGGTCCATTCAAAGCAAAAGCAGAAGGGCACACGCCCCCGTCGAGGCGGATGGAAAGATCTTGAGCACAGCGGAATGGCTTCTTTGTCGCGACAGTAACGGTCTCGCCTTAGTCACTTGGATGACATGATGGATCCCAGTAGAGCACCGATATTGACCAGCATGGAGGTGTCTATACACTACTGGCATACCGAGGATGAACATCATGAGAAGCGGCTACTTACACCAGGATTGCACTCACCCATACTTATTCAACGAGAGCTGGGGAGGCCGAGTACCGAGCAGGGCAAAGATACATATACACAGTGTCTTTTGCCCACCCCTTTCTCTCACTTTCAAGATCCTTTCCACGGCACTTACATACATGTCCTCAATATGCTTTGACAGTACTGAGATCACGGAATAAACAGCTGTGTCGAAACAATATATATTAGTCAACATGTGCAGCATATACAGGTGGAGTTCCTTCAACGCGTTCGCGAATTTTATAAACTTTTCGACAGTCTTACTGTACATGAATTGTTTGGGTGCGAAGGAAAGAAAGAAAGGATGCGTAACCACTTTACAGTCTATTTAACTAGGGTTGACCTTTTCATTCGTTCCGTACCTTCTCCTGCTGCTGATAATGCTATGCTTACAGTGATCCATTACAAGCAAAGTTGAGAATCTTTTTAAATTTATCAGTTATGTTCTCATCATAGAAAGTAAGAGAAACATAACCAATATATAGATGCATCAAACATAAAAAGAGCGCAGACACACTGACTGCAGTAGCTTCGTTTTTAACCAAGGCAAATGATGATAAATAGGAATTAGAGCTATAAAGAATTCAATATTTGCAGCGAAAGTTGGAAATTAGGCATATCGATATAATGCACAATTGCACAGTGCTATAGCGCTTCTACTCGTCTGGAGTGATAACGATAAGTTACATATAATTCGCAAGTCAAACGATATTGATTAATTGACACAAAAATGTGCTGTTTATCATGAAGCAAGTGCCACAATATATTCTGCATGATTCTTTCACGCTTATGTATCATCCTTATACTTTTTTCTACGCGCTTACTACAATGTACCCATTCTTATTTACATTCTTATCGTCACCGTCATTGTAATGTAGCTATGCTCATCTATATGCTACATTTTGCATACACCAACATATGTGCTTATAATGTCTGCGTAAACTGACGTACACTTAAATGTGGTTTAATTAATAAAAACCACGTTTTCCACTCAATTTTGCCGTAAAATAAGCATAAACATAGCTTGCACCTTACGATAATCATCCTACGTGATCAGGACCTGCAAGCTAATTTTACGTATTTCGATCGAATTCAGACTTGGAGAAGATATTATACTCGCTATATAGGTATCGATAGGTCATCTCGTTGGGCTGCATTCTATATGGAAATGTCCCTCTTGTGTGTCTAAGCGTTCAATACTCTAAAAACTGATAAAGCCTGCTCCAGAGGGAGATTTGAAGGATACTAGCAGAACGAGGCAGGGACCGCTAGTAAGTTTATATATTGCATATCATGACAAGCACTGTCGTTGTTTATGTTTAATTTACCATCTATTGTAAATAGCAATCTACTACTATGACAGCGAGGGAGAACACGATCATATTTAAAGGTCCTTGAACTAGCTCACTACCGTGATCTTATTGTAGAAACCACATCGATTTCCCGAAATAAAAATTACACAAGGTACATATCAATAAAAATATAAAAGCAAGAAGTTTAAACTTGACACTCATATATTCGGTCGCGTCTCAGATCATCTAGCAGGCACCACGACTTAGCACTGATCCACCACAGGTAAAGAACCCACCATCCAGTATCCCATTGCACGTCATATGAAAACTCTTTGGCGAACACCAGAAATTATAAGCGATATCCATGGTGCTGAGCATAAACTGCCGCACTTTAATGTGTACAATTCGCCAACATAAACCTTCTTTTTCCAGTGCTAGAAACGCGTGGAATTTAATGTAGAATTTCTCAAAGGATGGCTAGAAGCAAGCCCGTGACATCAAACTCATGCTTGGATATTGCCATTACACTGAAAGATCGTGTCAAACGAGAAAACACTGGATATCTTCGTTGTTACTCGTTGTTAGATGTTGTAAGGTATACGTTTGGCCAGCCGCACCTGCTGCCCAGCATCTTCGGATGTAGCATCAGACTACAGTAATAAAAATCTGTATACATCCTCTCCTCGTGAAATATACATGTATAATACTACTAGAAAATCACTTTGTGATGCGCTAAATTTGATTTTCTAACTACTAATTCGTTTGTTAGCTTCCTGGTTGTCATGATGATGACAAACTATGACACAATGACTTTTCACTGTCTGAGGTATATACAGTATCATTGCGTTCAATACATAGACGCGAAATGTCAAACTATGTGATATAATTGATCATGTTAGGCACATAAACAGCGTGGTTTGCAACTCTCCTATCATGCAAAATGAAAGAAACAAGCCGAATTCATGGAGCGATACGCATTATAAAAACAGATGATCAGTGAGAAAAAGGTGCTGGTAGCACGACCATGTAGACACGGCCAGCTTTTTGTTCTCATGAATGCTACACAAGTTACAGCGTTTCTGGCGCGTACGATCATTTGCCTCTTCTCCCTCGGTTTCGCTTAGATATACTCACTTGATAGTGTCCCCATCCTTTCTGTAAACCACTCTATTTTTTCCTTGTTACCACATAATTCAAAATTAAAACACGATCAACATTATTTAACGATCATTGTTTCAACAAACATTTTTTATTCAGAAATGCTGTCTACAGCCACTTTAGATGAGACCGATCTAATACCACGCCGAGAAAAAAAAGAAACAATGGTTAGTAACCTATTGATGCACTACGTATCTCTCCATAAAGTCGCTTGGATAGTTCCAATTTACCTTGTTGGCGACATCCAAAGCATCAACATCAGCGGTCAAACGGACGTAAGCCTTCTTCTTACCGTCGGGTCTATTAACAATTATAAAATGGATCGTTGAGTATTTCGTATGTTCAGAAAACGTTCTATATATCGAAGGCGAGAGTTATCGTTATTATTCTTATATTTACCTGATGAGGGTGTTGACCTTCAAAGCCTCAACATCATAGAGACGCTTGACAGCGTCCTTGATCTGGTGCTTGTTGGCCTTGACATCGACGATGAAGGTCAAGGTGTTGTGCTCCTCAATCTTCTTCATGGCGGTCTCGGTGTTCAAGGGGTTGCGAACGACACGGTATTGGTCCATGCGGGGCAAGTGGGGGACGGACTTGCGAGCATACTTGGGCTTGCGAGCAAGACGGAGGGTCTTGGGCAAGTGGAAGTGGGTGGAGGTGCGAACCTTGCGAACCGACTTGCCGTGGACGCCCTTCAAAGCGGCCTTCTTGGCAGCAGCAGCCTTATCCTTGGGGGCTATACAAATTGAACGCATATAAACACGTTAATTAGTTTCGATTCGTTCGAGCATTAGGCAGGACACCCTCTCCCTCCATTCCCGAATGGAGTAGTGAATGTCTGATAATTTTTTTCACATTCATCCATCCATCCATCCTATCCCCATCCGCTTTTCATCCATCCATTTTAATTTTCGTTCTCATCCATATCGACGTGTATCGATCCGTTCGTTTCCCTTTGTCTATATTGCTCTTTAAGTATTCTACTCACAAGCTTTAGGGGCCATTGTTAATGAAAAGAGGGAGTTTCCAAGTCTGCAAACCACACACTTCGATTTCGACGCCCTTCGGAGTTTCCCTATTTGGAACAAATTCGACACTCACTGTTGTTGCCGCAGCTTGTTGCTTTTATGTGTGTTGGTCAGCTTGCCTGTCGTCGCGACTATCATTCTTGGTTACTTTTCACATAGAAAAACAAAGAAGATACTGTAGATGAAACTGCAGCGAAAGTAGTTTATAGTAGGGTGCTGCCACAAATCAAGCCTGCGGCCAGCACACTTCTCAGGTAGTACACGCATTTTCAAACAAGCGCTGTCGACGTTGTGGCGTTGTTCTTGATTATCCTAGCTCTTTAACTTCTGGTTTTCGTTGTAATTCTTGCTATTGCAGCTATCGATAATCATTATAAGATTAGTAATAATAGTGTTTAGGCGATTTTTTGTAGTGATTAACAATAAAAGTGGTGCATTCATGCACCCAATGTTAAATGTGTCACACAAATGGATCAGTGGCAGCACGCAAACCAATTAGCGCCATGTAGGTGTCAGTTACCATGGCATCCCGTAAAGCACCACTGGTTTCGGTACATCACAGGAGGGCGGTAGTTTTTTATGTCCATGGAGGAGAGTAGAATTGACCACATTTTTGTCCGGCATAAAGATTTCCCCCTCTTGACCAACGCGGTCACGCAGCATTTTGTTGCATTGGGCAACGTGTATGGCAAGTCTCTTTCTCTCTCTCTCTCTCTCTTGTCCCAAGTGCAATGGATTTTAGGGTATCCAACGGCTCCAATACCCGCAAACATTCGCCGCAGGGTCACCCGCCAACGCACACCCTCGCTTCTCGTTCACCTCCATTAATAGCTCGGTAAATTTGCCTTCCTCTTCTCAAACCATTTTTCGTTACCATTTTTTAGAAATGAGAAAAAAATATTAAAAACTGGGTGATTTCTAGGACGCCGAACGAGTCGCTTGAAAATCTGCCTGGCTCCATGGATCAACAACCACTTCGTCGAGCACGAGCCGACACCATGCCGAATCCCTCATTTCCATACGCGTATCTCAATTTGAACGTTCCAACTGCAGAATCGACGCGGCATCGCTCGGGATCAGTGACGTCCATGTTTGGCTATGACGCTTCGCCGACGGATGATAGTGCTAGCAGCACTGTCGCAAGCACTCTCGCTTCCTTGGGGCTCGACGATGAAAATACCCACCAGGCGCCGCCGCCGTCGGCGGCGTCCCATCATAGCAGTACGCAAGCAGAACAACAGGAAGAAATTGTGAAACAACAACGTAATCGTGCCTATACCGTCGCTGCAGCAGCTCTTCCTCAACAACAACAGCATCAGCATCAGCAGCAGCATCAGCAAATGAGTCGACTAGGAGGATTAGCACCTTTTACACCTTTCTCGCCACAGACCCGCAGTAGTGTAATGCAACGCCCGCGTGCTATAAGTCTAGGAATGGTGGATGGGGGAATTGATCAGCCCCAATCATCGGCATCACTTCTTGGCAACAACACGTACGGCCAAATGTATTCTTCCGGCCCTACTCGGTACAATCCACATCAACAAGCTGCTGCCATGATGCTTCCAACAACAGCAGCAGCAGCATTGGCTGGTGGTGAGCGAACGTTACGTAATTCACGTAGTAGTGGAAACCTGATGGATTTGAATAACGACGTGTTGTTCCATCATCATCATCGGGGCTTTAGCCGGATGACTTCTCAGAGCCAGCTAGGAGAACTGCCGGAACTGGCAGCAGCCAAAGTAAGAAAAAAAAATGCTTCCGAGAAGTTGTTGATACGACGAGCAATGAAATGCTAAAATCTTTCCAATCTTGAAGGAATTCTATTCACGAGGCAACAATTTGATGGAAGCGACAACGTCGTCATCAACACAAAACTTTGATGCATCTCCTCCATCTGCACCGGCACAGATACCCTCACGAGCACTTTGGCTGGGCAATATCAATCCATCCGTGAGTGTGCCGGACCTGGTCAAGTTCTTTTCCGACTACGGCCGCGTAGAAAGCGCTCGCATCTTGTCAGACAAGGAGTGCGCGTTTGTGAACTTTACCGAGGTGGACTCGGCCATTGATGCCAAGACCGATCTTGAGGGCCGTCTGGGCAGCACATTGGCGGGCACACCTGTTCGTGTGGGCTATGGTAAGGCTGATGTGAACGTCGCGATGGCATTGACCAGTGAGGCTGGTCCAAACGCACAAGGTCCCACGCGTGCACTATGTAAGTTTGTCACCATTTGGCTCCTGTTGCCATTATTGCCTAGTAAACCTGGGAGAGATGACTCAGCTATTGTCGTTGTTGTTATTTTAGGGGTCGGTAATATCCCGGCAAATATGAATCCGGCCATTCTCCGCACCATCTTCCAACCATTTGGCTCCATCGACTCGGTCCGTGTCCTGTCTCACAAGAACTGTGGATTTGTTAACTTTGAGCATCAAGAAGATGCTGTGCGTGCGCGCAAGTCGCTGCAAAACAAGGAGATTTTGGGGCCTGGTACTGGTATGGTGCGCATCGGGTTTGCCAAGGCACCGTCGGCGAATGAGGAAAATGACGACATGGACATGTCATCGTCGACCCAACAACAGCAAAACAACCAGCAACAGCAGCAACAGCAACAGCAAAGCCAACAGCAGCAACAACAAAACAAGCGGGCGCTGTCGCTGGAAAGCTACCAAGCAACACAGTGGGCCACAGCCATGATGATGACGCGTATGATTATGAATGCCTCGGGCGAGCAGCAAACCACACAGCCTGATTTGCACACTGCCATCATCGCTGAACGCAAGTTTATCATGCAGCAGCTAGGCTGTGAGTCCCCCGAGGAGACGCAAGGGGACCATCTACCATTGAGCTATAGCTCAGTTATACCGGGAGTCCCAGAGATGGCTGGCTCCGAGCGCAAGTTGGACCCCCTACGCCTGCGTGAGATGCGCAAGCGTCTAGATGTGGGCCCAGTGTCAGTAGAAGAAGCCGAAGCCTTTGCGACAGAATGCAAGGATGAGATTGTCGAGCTGTGCAGCGGTAAGTTGTGATGGTTTTCGTGTGCGTGGGTATGTTGTGTTCTTTGTCCAACGTGAGTGAAAAGTCCCGTGACGTACTAAATTCTTTTTTGGGGGCGATGGCCAAATCTTATCTAGATTACATTGGTAATACTGTGGTCCAGAGAATATTCGAGAATTGCAGCGACCAAACAAAGCAAACCTTACTGGAACGCATTGCCCCTCATCTGGCTTCGATCGGTGTCCACAAGAATGGTACCTGGGCCGCACAAAAGATCATTGACCATGCCACCACGCCCTCGCAGATCCAATTGATTCGCGAAAACCTGACTTCCTATGTACCGCTGCTGCTGCTGGACCAGTTTGGCAACTACGTCGTCCAGTGCTGTCTAAACATGGGGTCCGCCCACAATCGCTTCATTTTCGATGCCATCGTCGAGAAGTGCTGGGAGATTGGCCAGGGCCGGTTTGGAGCACGTGCCGTTCGCGCCATTCTTGAAAACCCGTCCGTGACCAAGGAGCAGCAGATGTACGTGGCTGCAGCAATTGTCCAGAATGCCGTGCTGCTGGCGACCGATGCCAATGGGACTCTTCTTTTGATCTGGTATCTAGACGCCGCTGACTTGCAGGGCCGGTTCCGTGTCCTGTGTCCCCGCCTGCTCCCATACCTCGGCAAACTGTGCACACACAAGCTGGGATCCATGATTGCGCTCAAGATCATTCACCAGCAGCAAGAGTCCGATGCACGCAATCTCTTGCTGAAGGCCATTTTCAATGACGGTAATGTTCTGGACGATGTGCTTCGAGACCAGGTCCACGGTGTCACGCTCGTGCAAAAGATCTTGGGTATGGCCGATCTTGAGAAACGCGACCACTACGCACAGCAAGTGAAGGATGCACTGACGCGCCGCTTGAAGGTTCAGCATGTCCAGAGCTACAAAAAGCTGTTTGACCAACTGGACGAGATGGACCCGTGCACAGAAACAGCGATTTCGTCACCGGCAGTAACGACAGGCTTGGATCCAGTGGTGGCAAATGACAGTGGCAACAGCAATGACAGTGCAAGCTGGATGCAAAACCCACAGACGGTTGCAATGATGGCAAACATGTACGCTGCTGCCATGACTGCGGCCACGACGTTGCAACAACAAGAACAGCCTCCCAAAGTCAACACGGTCGACCTTGCTCAATTCGACAGCTTGCTCAAGACGTTGCTTAAGCAGCAAGAAAAGCAACAAGGAGAGGGGAGTCCACAAGGAGAGCAAGTGCAGGAATCGCTTGAGTCGCAGAACGAAAAAGAGGTTTAAATGTTACAGTATATAGAAAAATTTGGTTTTTTTAATGGTTTTTTTTTCACGCTTTATTTCCAAACACACATTTCACACTCACCCACTCACTCACGCTCACTCAATCACAGTATATACACCCACATACACACAACCGTCCATAGCGCATCTTTTGTAAATAATTAATCTCTTTTTTAAGAAAGAAAAAGGCACATTAAAAACATTGTTCATGTTGAAGAAAGGTTTATAAGAATAACTACAGTGCTAAAAGGAAACTTTTTGAAAAGAATATATAAAAAGATATGCGGATGCTACTAACGGGAAATGCGCGAATGTTGAATATGACATAGAATAGAGACGAAGAGGGGAGGCCGGCTATTGCTAACTTTTTGTGGATGCGTGGGTGAGTGGTAGTATTACGACGATGAGGATAAAATTGTGGCTTTTTCAGTAGGAATGGATGTTGTATGGAAGAAAACAAAGGGGTTACTTAGTACAGCATGCGGGTCTTGATGTTTGCACGGGTTGAGGTGATGGCATGATACAACTGCTCGAGGTTCTCCTGTGAGACACCAGCGATATCAGCCATGACATAGGCAATATCGCCCTTGGAATCCGAATACTGCTTCTCGACGTTGTGGTTGCCAAAGATCTCGTTGATCTCTCTGAGGACACCAGGGATGTTCTGGTGAATATACAAGACACGGACGGCGTTTTCGCCTTCGCTGATGGCACGCAAGTCGATCTCCGGGAAGTTGACGGCGCCAATGGAGCCACCTTCGTTAATAAACTTGATCAAGGCGGATGAGACCTCGACACCGATCATGCGTTGAGCTTCCTCGGTCGAGCCACCGATGTGCGGAGTCAAGATCAAGTTTGGTGATTTCAAGAGTTCGGGGTAGTCGGTGAAGTGGGGACCGTTGCCAGCAGGTTCCTTGGGGTACACGTCGACGGCGGCGCCGGCCAAGTGGCCTGCCTGCAAAGCCTTGGCCAATGCGGGCAGGTGGACGACGGTGCCGCGTGCATTGTTGAGCAAGTACGAGCCCTTCTTCATGTAGCCCATGATTTCCCGCTCGCCGATCATGTTCTTGGTTTCCTCCAGCTCGGGCACGTGCAGCGACACAAAGTCAGAGATCGAAAGGAGCTTCTCCAGAGTATCCACCTGCTTGGCAGTGCCCAAAGGCATGATCTGCAGCACATCGTAAAAGTACACAGTCATACCCATCGACTCAGCCAGCACAGACAGTTGTGCACCAATGTGACCATAGCCAACAATGCCGAGGACCTTGCCACGGATCTCAAAGCAGTTCTTCGAGACCTTGTTCCACACACCCTGGTGCATCTCCAAGTTGCGGTCGCCCAGTTGACGTGCCAGTGTGATGATCTCGCCTATGACCAGTTCGGCCACAGAGCGCGAGTTGCTGAAGGGCGAGTTGAATACAGAGATCTAAACGCACAACGTTTGGGCGGATATATGCACGTCAGTTCTCTTTACTTTTGTTGCCACCCTGTATATCTTTGACGCCCGACGCACATTCACGTTTAAACAAATAAAAGGCTTGAGCTGATACTTACGCCCTTCTTGGCAGCAGTCTGCAGGTCTACCTGGTTGGTACCGATACAGAAACAGCCAATGGCCAACAAGTTGTGTGCCTCGTCTAGAACGGCCTTGGTCAGCTTGGTCTTGGAACGAATGCCAATGACGTGGACATCGCGGATCTTTTGAATAAGCTCATCGCCCACCAAAGCCTTGGAATAAGTTTCCACCTGCATATGTGACTATCGGTCAGCATGCAGCTCCTTATCTCTTGTTTATCCGGGTCTCCAACCAGAAACTTTGCGGGTGTTTGATTTTTTTTTCTCTTACCTGGTAACCTTGTTTCCGGAAAGCCTTTACAGCAGTTTCGTTGACATTTTCCAATAGAAGGATTTTGACTTCAGCCGTGTCAAAGGGGCGGAGGACCTTGGCCTTGGGCTGGCTGAAGGAAGAGCGACGTACGGTTTGTTCGCCGTTCACAGTAGGAGTGGCAGTAGTGGCAGTAGTGTCGTTGGCCATCGGGGTAGATAAGGAAGAAGAAGAAGAAGAGAGTAAAGAAACGAAAATGGATGGGGTTTCTGGTTCGTGTTTCTCTTTTCTCTTTTTTCGAAATAAATAAGATCAGCAAGCTGATCGGAGTAGGGAACAGACAAAGTGAGCAATGTAAGAGATGAATCATTGCCCAGTGTGTGACTATCGATTGATGATAAGATTTGCTGAATATAATCTCCTCTGCACCGAAAATGGTCCTTGTGTCACGCGTCCAAAAACAACTGCTCATTGGATAAGCAAATGACGTTTGCTCACGTACGCAGTCCCCATAACAACAATTAATAAGCATCCAGTAGATGCCTCTCTTGCTGATTGAAAATGCTCGGCTCTGTTATATATATATAGCAGATTACTACACTGTGCATTCAATCGATCAAGAGGAAATCATGGGTGGTGGACTACAGAATTCTATCCAGTATACATAGCGTTCCGAGGATTCAAACCGCTTCTGTTGCCTTGGTCTGCAGAGAATGCCGATGATACCTTTTGAAACCCAAGTATCTTGAGTTTGGCGGTTGGTCATTTTGATCGTCCAGATTTTTAGATGTCTTTGTCTACTATATATTGAAATAAGTTGGAAAAGAAACTTGCCACTGTGTCACTTTTATTGGTAACCCGCCGGATAATTTTTATCAAAGGCAATCAATTGGGCAACTACGAGCTGCAGCGCTGTCGTCATTGCAGCCGGAAGATGACACAGCAGCTCACTTGCTAAGTTATCAACTTTCGCTCCACCTGTCAAAGCCTCAACATCTGAGAATCTTAGTGGATCTTAAGCATGTGTTTCTATTTATGATCAATAAATAGAGTTTATCGATTATTGATGCGCAGTAGAACTGTAGTAGCCGTGAGTAGATGCAGCTCTGCAAAAATAAGTGACCACTGCTCAGGTGTTTCCAGAATATATGACATGCTAGAATATTCATTGATGCGCGCCGGTGATTTAAAAACAGAGGACGACGCACGGAGCATTCGCGAGGGACAGCATGAAAGTCCTTGCCTGTAAAGGTCATGTCTTTTCTAAAAGAGGTTTCACCCTGTAAAGGATAAATTTTTTATGGTAATCCATTTTTCTACTAGTGTGAATATGGATGTCTTTACACAAGTAGCACATACATCGTAGCTGTATCAATGATAACACTTTTGTTTCTTCATTGGCCTGCTTTTTTTCCGCTTCCTAGTGGCAATATCGCATTGCTAAGAAGGAGTGTGTTTGCAAGGAGTACTCCGTTCACCAGGCAATCAGCGCCAAACTTAGCAAGTTTTATTTTACAACAGTTGAGCTGATTCCTCATGGGCTGAGTACCGAGCCCAAAGTTGTTCCCGCACTGCGTGTTTTCTTAAAAAACAATGAATAAGTTAGGGCTTCAGCCCAACCTTTCTGGAACCACCGTTAGAATTGGCCTCGAGCTACCTATTCTGGGTCCTATGGCCCGACCTCCCGCCTCAGTCGCCTACTAGCCAGCCACACAAGTGGTAGGGCATTCATGTCAAGGACTGTTTCTGTTTCAATCGTACCTTGGCTCGCTTTCGGCGTTTGACACCTGCACCGCGCCAGGCTAGAGGTCGCTTGATTGCCGCTCTTGCTTTGATTATACTGACCGAGGCACAAGTTCCATCGATCCACATTTTCTTTCGACCAGCTAATAGTTCAACCACGATTCCCCAAAGTCGTTCCTCTTTATCCTTCTGTAGCACCCATCTTTTACTATAGACCCTTTAGCGATGGACTCGCTCTCGCCGACGTCAGCACCAAGACTTTTCGAGGCCACAATCGAGCAATACTCACCGCCCTTCCTCCTACATATCCTCGAGCACCGGCTTCGGCTTGAAGCAGTTTTGGCAAACATCGCTCTCACATCATGCTCCCACAATCCTCTGACGCACTTTCCACAGAAAGCTTTTTAGCTATGAGCGCCTGAACCAATGGATGCCACAACTTTTCGACAGTGTCTGTCAATCTATGTAACGAACCTCAATCTGATCAACTTTATATGGAAGTTGCCCTATCAAACAACAAGTCTGGCGCGGCGCTGCCGAACGTTTTCTCGATGAATCGCATACACTGACTTAAAATCATATATCCGTACTACACTTACGCGACTCAAGATCAAAGGCTTGCCCAAATCTTTAATTGCTTGCACATACCCAGCCATTTGGCGCGCACACCGACTTGTTGTCTTTCAGCAGTAGCGTTTCTGGCCCAATGCCGTTATTGCTACTACTAATTTATCACTGAATAAGATAGAAGCTGAACACGTAGCATCCATGTATACCTCACCCCACAGATTCTCTCTTATTCCGATTTGTTTATGTATGGAGCCAGTCATCCTCGATCCTAGATATATATTTTTTCGTTCACAAAACAAAAAAACAGTTGAGCTTATTATGTAAACCTTGTAACTATCCCTCTCAGACCTTTTTCGGTTTTCGCGATATTACGTATTCATTATAGCTCCAGATACTTTGGTCCTTGTATTGAATAGGTTCCTCGTATCTGCCTTTACTTTTATGTGCGGCGTGTGTAAGTGCGTGAGACTGTAGTCTGAGTACCCATAGCCATGGAATCCAAGGCGTTGCCATGCCTAATACTAATTTGGATTTGGCTGCTATATCAGAAAAGTCAGATTATTGCTACGATAAGCACTGCTTTAAATATGGTTACTAAGCAAAATCCGTTGCTGGCTCCTGAATTTTCGCTACTGGGATGAGAATGAGGTTGCTATAAAAGCCTGTTAGGGTTGCTAAAAAAAATAAGTTCATTGAATCCATTGCTATATTGTAGATCAACTTAAGATCATATTGCTAAGAAAATTGAGTATAAATAAGTAGGTTACTATTTCATAGCCTTTCGTGTAGCAATAACTTACTTCATAAAAAGGATACATATATTCAGGCGTACTATTAAAGCTGGATGTGTGACTTTATCTGGTAAACATTTATATGAGTTATGGTGTAGCAATTCTGTGGAACACTTAGTAGGTACTACTCTGCTATAGATGTTCATCAATATTCTTACTTGTTTATCTCACCACTTGTGTAAGTTACTGTTATCCATAAACAGTATATAACCCGTAGACCCTCGCGGCAATCACTTTCGTTGACAATCGTTCGTATTTTTTTCCCACTGCAATACAGATATGTGTAGATTAGTTACTCGTTGTGGTAAGATCCCTACAGCAGTTGTTAGTAAGGCGACATTACATACATACAAAGAAAGAAATGAAGTGGGGCACATCAGTTGAACACCCCGGTCGTGGAACCAGTATTCTCATGACTGTACAATAATTAAGATCAAAACTTTATGAAAACTTTTGCTTTCTAGTGATTTTCAAAGAAGAATGATGATGGGAAGATAAAAAGGGGAAACAACAAGTAAAAGAAAAACTGTCTATATGGTGTCAAATTGGGCATCAAAAAGCATAGAAACCGATTCGCCAAAATGGGTCCTTCGAATAGCTTCTGAAAAAATAGGGGCCACGTCGTATACTTTGATCTTGGGGCTGTCGCGCAAGTGTTCGTGCTGGGGGATCGTGTTGCTGACAATCAACTGATCAATACAGCTGTCTTCGATATTACGGGCGGCATTGCCAGACAAGATGGCGTGACAGACAAGCGCGTAGATTTTACGAGCACCGTTTTCACGTAACATCCGTGCTGCTCGAGTGATAGTATAGCTTGTGTCGGTGACATCATCGACAATGATGATGTCTTTACCTCGGACATCGCCTACCAGCATAAGGTCGCGTTTGTTGGTTGATACTTGTCGGCGCTCTTTGTGTACCAATGCAAAGTCCATACGCAATTTCTCGGCAATTGCTGTTGCTCTAGTGGAATACATATAATACGAATGTCAATTTCAGTCTCTTTACGCCCTCCGCCACTTCTCTTCCCCACCCCCTTAAACTGCATCAGAAAGTGGCGTTATTACCGTTTAGCACCACCGGCGTCGGGCGATACAATGACTGCATCCTGATAATTCGGGATTTGATGACGGATATAATTAATCATCAGCGGCGAGCTGACGAGATTATCAACTGGACAATCGAAAAAGCCTTGAAATTGAGGGTCATGCATCTCCATGGTGATGATATGATCGGCGCCTGCACAGGTCAGTAAGTCGGCTACCAGTGTTCCAGACCGTGCGACCCATTGACGATATTGCGACGAATTACCAGCGCCACCACTGCTGTTGTTATTCTCCAACGATACTTTAGCGAGCTTGTTCATAAGCTGACGGGACACGTCGTCCGTTGATGCTGTTGTTGCAGTGTTGAGTTTATCGTTACGAGGCGTAGCAGGAGGCAAGCTTGCAAGAGGAGCGCCTGACGAAGCCTTGTACGGCACGTCAGGCTGACGGCTATAAGGGAAATGAGGCAAAACGGCTGTAATGCGCTTGGCCGATGCAACTTTGCAGGCATTGATCATGATTAAGAGTTCAAACAAATTGTCATTGACGGTACCACAGCCGGACTGAATAATATAAACGTCTTGTTCTCGAACAGATTCGCGCATTTCAACACTGGTCTCATTGTTGCTGAACTTGGCCAGCTTGCTTTTGCCGGAAGAAATGCCGAGCCGATTGCACACGGCTGCTGTCAGCTCTGGGTATGACGAGCCACCAAATACGACGAGGTTTTTCATAGGGTCCGTATGCTTTACAGTTTATAGAAAGTGTGTGGCTGTAAAAGAGGCAGAAAAAGAAAGAGAGTAGGGTGTGTGTGTGTGTGTGTGTGTGATATGTCATGAATATTTTTTTTTTGCCTCTTTATGCGGTGTTTCGACCCCACCCGATTACATTTAAGATCTCCGAAAGTAAATTGAGATGTGCACACTGCAGTAATGCCCAAGGCAATGTCACTAAACTTAACAGTAAGCCTCGTAGTGCGGCCAGGGATCAGAACTCTTTCATTTGGAAACCAGTTTTGGGTCAGTCTATACGCTTTAAAAAGCGCAACGCTTGATCGTGCCATATTCCATATACGAGTGCATGAGTGCAAGCGACTCATACATCCAAGTGGGTAGGAATTATAGCAATGGTATTCTTTTTCTTTTTTCCAATATGAAAGCAAAACAACCCAAGCAATTGACGTTTGCTCATGATATAGTAGAGACTTGAAAATTGTTACTGAAAAAAAGAGAAATTGCAACTATTTGTAGTTTGACTGAATTAAAGTGACAGCCTCCAAGTTCAACAGCTTGAGTTTGCTTTATTATTTCTTGTACGCGCCGCTTTCTCTCTTCCGTAGCCTACTTTCGCTGAGCCAGGAGATATCGAATTTAGCGAAACATGCATCCTTGCTTGATTTGTTGTTTTGCTTGGAATAAGATACCAACCGTTATCTTTCTCGATCGGTTCGAAAACTATGTACCAACGTTGCAGTTTCTTCAAGATATTGTGCTATTACCAGGATTAACCAACATCTTAAGAATTCACAAAGTATACGGATATCTACTATTGGGATACTCACCTCCTACAACGATAGAGCAACAATAAAGGAGCGGTAGACGAGTCTTCTCCACGGTAAACGGCACATTGGTGGTATGCTTGACATATTGTTACATTAAAAACTACAGACAATCACTTTTGGATTGTAATTATTTTGAAATTATTACAAGGTATATCAAGCGGACTGAAGGAGCGTACTAGTCATTATGTATGCCAGTATCGCAGCGCTTGGGTGCCACAAAAGTCTGCACAGCCGAAAACCTTGTTTATCTTTCCCTTGTGGCTAATTTTTCCTTTGACCTCGGCAGAATATAAACATTACCAATGTCATTGGAACCACTGGGTGTCAAGATAAAGTTAAGTTTGACGTTCGGCTGCTTTTGAGGTAACTTGTCCATGGCTCGTAACGACTTGGCCATCGACAAATGGCATTCGAGACTATGTGTGCTAGTCATATATTCGTTCCTATTATGATGGTAGCGCTGCGTTATTATCTGGTTTGTTACTTTGGAACACGTTTACGTGGTACCAGTCTTCGTGTTGCACTATCGTCAACGCTCCTGGTTACCATGGTAAGGCAAGGGTAGCCTTCAATTAGAGCTATCTGCCGAGCACACAACCAAACGGCGATACACTGTAATTCGTGAAACTGTATTCTCAATAATGATTAGCGTCTCCAAATCTCTTCAACTATCTCGGATGAATATTGGTGAGATAGATATACCGCAAAGCAGGCAACTATAAAATCTGATTTAAGAGTTGCTGTTGTTGATGTTGTCATTATAAGATGGTCCACGACATACTTTGGAGGTATGTCGCCCAGAAACGTATTAGTCACTAGACGTTGGACGTAGTGAAGATTTCGTTGGTAATACTGGAGATGAAAGTTCCCGCAATCACTTTTGTTTGTTGTTGCTACTCGAAATATCTGAAACATGTACAGTAAAACCATCGGCCCGCTTTCGCGAATCAACTAATGCTGGTTTGAATAGCATTGAACAAATCATGCATCAGGGAACTGTTCTTCAAAGTTAAGATATGTAGTGCGTAACGAATTCCTGGTGTTAACGGAAGATCAATAGGTTGCTTAAATGACAACCATCGTTCCTTCTGTTATAGCAATCCGTAAGTACAAACCCTTCGTCGCTACGGATAACCAAATGATTCCGCGACGAAGCTGTGCTATGTCATAGTCAGACGTAGAGGACCATTCCTCCTCTAATTAGTTTTAGAAAGCCATAAGACGTAGCCAAATCTAGTCATTCTGCATAATTTTAGGTACAAGAGATGGTCATGTATATACCATGACATCTAAGACCGGGTATGCAGCGAGCCATACTGGCGTGAGGTTGTGTTGTTTGAGCACTAAAAGACGCTGAATTTCTCAGAGAACTATCAGGCTGATTCGGGTTCCTTTGCTCTAGTCTCTAGCCTGAGTAGTCAGCTGCCTGATAGTAAATGAGTATATTGCAATTTGCATATATTACGGATTGCTCCTGTCGACGTTGGACTTGCTTATTCGCTGTTGGTAACGACTGTCTTGATAGCGTTTCTGCTTCATTATTATAATGAAAAGCGACAGTAAGCTACAAAGTATGCTGTTGCGATCCTAGGTGTCTATATAGCATATGGCGGTCATCTCGCTTGGTAGGGGCTGCAGAGGTAGCAATGCTCATTGTGCAGCTTGTTATGTATGATGAGCTCGATCATTTTTTACGTGAATGAAAGGCGAGTGATGATTTGATGACCATAATTGATGGTGTAGTTTAGTTTGTTTTCGTGATTGTTGAAATGTGTGTACTCGCTCTACATACACTGAGGAAGATATTGTTTCTGTATATTGACTACTCGTTAGTTAAGAAGTGTAAAGTGGATAGGAATGAGGGAAGATTCAATATAGTATTAATGCAAGTCAATCCCGCCGCGGAGGTTACCTACGAAACGTATACTACACACTACGAGATATCTATGGCGTTCAAAAGCCACTTCTTTAGCCTAACTTTGATATTCCCCCAGTATAAGGCACTGTCATCTCGTATAATCCTGCCCTCGTTATCCGCCTTGGACAAGTATCACACAATGGTTGTTTATTAGCAAGCCGCTGGATGCATCACCAATCATTCTGTCAGCTTTGTTTATTCTCAATGCGCAATGACAGCATTTGTGTTGGCGATTATATTGAAGCACAAGTCTACAAGTATGAAAAGAGGAGGAGATATGCTTATTTCCCAATGTCTTGCAACTGTCGGCTGATAATGGAGAATTACTGCAAATACGTCTTTTTCTATGATCGCCATTCACAAACTCCAGCTGAACCTAAATGCCATTTGGCATTAGAATGTATCGAAATGGTGACAACGTGAAAATGGCCTAATATATAGTTTTGGGAACCGCCTAAAGGAAATTGTGTCAGTAGAAGAGCTAGCATAGTAGCAGGAGCTAGTAAATGCTGCAAGCCTCTACATGTATAGATAGCAAGAAGAGTAACCATCGCGAGCGACTGAAGAAAGTCGAATCTTTTTAGCTTAAGGGAAAACGGTGATACTTTGTTTAAACAGCAAAGGACAAATAGTAATATTTATCGTATCGTATTATCTATGATGAATCCACAGTTGATTGCGACGAGTTGGACAAGATGTACAAATGTGTAGCATTTGGTCTCCTATCCTTTTTCTTAGAACAGAACCTACTGCTTCTAGTAGGCTTAATCTGTTATTAAAAATTTAGTGTTGCTGTAGTGGTATAGCGACTGTAAACAGTGAGTTCGAAAACTGCATGTATATATATAGCTAAGCAACATCTAAGACGCGTCATCTTTCATCAGAAGCAGCTAAATCACTCTCATGTTTACACTATTTGATCGTCATCATCTCGTCACGGCAAAGCAGTGTTTGAGTATTTACCACATGTACTTCAGTCGGCCAATAAGAAACCAGTAGTATCAAAGAAGGCTCTAACGAATGGAAATGAACCGGGTAGCGGATCATGCAGAAGCTTCTGCACTAGCAATCACTATTACAGTTGCGGCTATACGCATTTGTAAGCAATTACTTAAAGTTAGAGGCAGCAGAATTTCACGCATCTTCTGTCCATGCTTAACAAGATAAACAATGTGCTCTAGCAGAAAAACGAAGATGCATTGTGGATTTTTTTAATGTGCAATGCGCTTGACGCTAAATCAAGGGCGCGCCACCCCTTCTAGTATTCGTGAAATTGCAAAAGGTTGCCAATGACGGGTGATGACCGGATCGCTTGATGATGACTGTTGGTCTAACGCCACACAAAGAAGTAAACTGTAAAATCATGCAGAGAACCGCATTGTTTGTTTGTGACACAGAGAGTACTAATGATAGCAATCAGGAGGTGGACTCTTCCTTTGCGTATAATTGATGAGGGGTACTCGTAGCATCACAATGCAAAGGGGGCAGAGCAGAGAAACAGGGCGCGCACATACACGCTTTTTGCAGGTTTCTCTCCCTTTCTTTTCCGCTCTTTTTCTTGACCCTTTATATATATTATAGTACACTACTCTAATGAGTCCCCGCCCAGAGTATGAGCCTGATGAAAACGAACCTGATGAGAACGAGCCTGATGAGGACGAAGGTGGACATCACAGTATAAATAAAGGGTCACCATCGCCTACCCCCACCGGCAATAAAAATCATCACCATGATACGGCAACGAGTTCACCAACTGATACAAGCGGCAATACACTTCCTTCATCATCCAACAACAATAACACTGTACCTACCTCAACCATTGGGCCGTTGACGGTCGCCCTGGTCGTGATTCTCGTCGTCATCACTTGCTGCATCTTACACTGTGCTCGTATACGAAAGCGTCTGAACGATCAACAACGTACACAAACCATTAACGGCTGGACCTCGTTTTTGTCACAATTTAAGAAACAGGCGAACAATGAAGACCAAACAATAATCGCGCGAGACGTGGAAGAAGGCACGGTAGCAGCACCTGGAGCAGCGGTATCCAGTGCAGGAACAATAGAAAAAGAAGGCAATAGCAGCAGCACTCGACGAAAACCGGTGAAAAAACGCGACTATTATGACCGTGCCTTCCAGTATCGAATGAGCAAACCGCCGCCCTTACCACCCTATGAAACGGACAACGAAGCAAACCAGCGAGGAAATAGCAATAGTAGCAACAATGACGAAAGACAGCCATCCATAGTGTTCTCGCCAGGTTGGCTGTTTGCATTCAGTGATAAACAAAACGAGAGGGAAAGTAAAATTAGCCAGAAGCATCTTATCAAAGAAGGCGAAAAGACCGAGGACGGTGCTGCGTCAACGCCCCTGTCACCCCCTGAGCCCGTTCACCATCATGCCACCACCGCCGCCAACTCTGATCGGCTTTGCCCCCACCAAGTTACTGTGGATAAGGATCCAACACCTGCATCACCTGAGCCATCATTACAAAAGCCTCACCAAAAATTCTCTTCAGAAGCATAGTAGTTGCGTTATTCTAAATAGTATATATTGTTTTATTAATATTAAATCATGTACCAATGCGACCTCAACTGATATCGGATGTGGCTGGGCTCGATATGCAAAAATGTTTCGTATAGGCAAGCTCGTCTTAAGCTTTGCTCCCCCCGATCGGTCTTTTTTCCTTCTTTCAATGTCGCTATACCATGAGGAATTTATGAAAGCAGCACTCGACGTTGCTCAAGAAGCCTATGATAATCTGGAAGTACCCGTTGGCTGCGTATTTGTAAAGAACAATGAGACGATAATTGCTCGAGGGCGGAATCGACCCAACGAAACCTTTAACGTAAATTCCCACCAACATTAAAGACATGAGAGACAATAACGAATCTGTCCATTCACCAATTTGCCGCTTTTTTCCAAAAATAATAAACAAACAAATCAACGGGCGATGATGGTACATATTATAGGCCACACGACACGCAGAAATTGAAGCAATTGACGATATTTTAAAAGAGAATGATGTATCAATTTTCCTAAATACGGATCTCTACGTTACTGTCGAACCGTGTGTCATGTGTGCCGCTGCTCTACGTCAAATTGGAATCCGCCATGTTTACTTTGGCTGTGGAAACGACAAGTTTGGTGGCAATGGATCCGTATTCGATATCAACTCAGAGTAATTAATCCATTTCATCAAATAACTGATATTGAAGGTGTACTAAGGTTTGCTTTTTGGTTTTGGTTTTTTGCTCGCTTTGCTTTTGCGGACAATAGTCCTCGTCTCGAAAGTCCAACATCCAAACCTTATCCATCCGAAGGTGGCTATTTTCGAAATGAAGCCATTTTACTTTTACGGAAATTCTATGTTCGAGAAAACGACCATGGTAACTTTAAATTCCTAGTGTATCATAGCAGCATTCTCGGGAACTGAGAAAACTGACCATATATGCATACTAGCACCAGCACCTAAAAAGAAGGCCGCACGCATGTTAAAAACCGACATACCCAAAGACAATTGATAAAGGAATAAAAAGAAATCAATCTATTACAAAGTAGACTATCATTTACAAATGTCGTTCTGATGAGTAATAGGGTAGAGAATGAGAATGGCAGAGAGAGAGAGAGAGAGAAAGGTAGAAAAAGAGAGCAGGGGGAGTCTGTACGGTATTGTTTAATGCACTTTTTTGCTGTTGTTGTTGTTGCTGTTGGTAGTAGCGGGAGAAAGAGGAGCGAGATGGGTTTCCTTTTGTATACACACATAGTAATTAGTACTTCTTTGAGACCTCATTTGTGATAGCAGAAGCGGAAACAAATTCTTTTGCTTCTGATGTGTTGATCTTAAGATGAAGGCGTCTCATCTTTGACAGGCGCTTTCTCGATGACATCCTTTTCCACGGTTGGAGCCTCTTCTGCTTTGTCGGATGCTTCTTCAACGGAAGTGACATCGTTGCCAAGAGCATCCTGCTTTGGCTTTTCTAAAGATACGCGGGAAGCAATGGATTCATACCACTCGTCCATGGATTTACCATTCAATATGCCGATAATGATAATTGACATATTGTCACAGCCTAAACCACCGACTTCACTGTCGGGTGCCAGACAATGGTCCATCATCATTTCGCAAATTTCATCCAATGGTGCCTTTGTAGCAATTGCCTCCCGTACAAAATCTACAGCCTGCTGATTCGTCATGCAATCCCAAATACCTATTCCATTGCACAGAAACACAAAAAAAAAAATTAGCAAACGCATCTCCCTAGTCCTTGCTCGTCGCTTCACACAAACCACAAATACTTCATACGCAACAACAACGACATACTTACCATCACATGCCAAAATAAAGAACTCGTCATCATCTGTCATTTCATGTTCAATAATATCGGGATCACCTATGCAAACAGGTCAGTTATTATTGTCAAATGTAAAAAAGGAAATGCCATTATGGTAGCAGCTGTAAAAGTATACTGAACTTACAGGTGACAATTTGTTCCTCAGCAGGCAATTGAGCGTTTTGCTTGAATTCAAAATCACCAATAGCGCGGGAAAGTGCCAAGTTGCCTAGTTTAACGGTTCAAAAATGTATCCCAATCAGCGAAAATCCCAACCTGTTGCCATCAGCTATTCTACTAATCCAATACCATTGACACGTCCAAATTCCACAAAACCCCCTGCTGCAATGATCCGCTGTGATTCAGCCCGATCAACGGGCTTGTGATCGTACGACAGGGCTTTGCTTTTGCCTTTGACGCTAATGACAGATCGTGAGTCTCCTGCGTTTGCCTAAATGACAGCGCATACTGTTAGTTGCTATTTGTTCTTTTTCTAAATTACCCTTTAAAAACACAATTATATACAAACAAACAAGCACGCAAGAAACATACCACAAGGATTTTACCGTCGGGTGTAACAAGGGCTGTCACAGCTGTACATCCAGAAGGATCGTAAGCAAAGTTTCCGTCTTTTCGAATTATAGAGAAGGATGATATTAGCAACTACATTTTTCGTTCACACCACATTAGCGCCATCCCCGTGCAACCAAACAGTGGCAATAACTCCTCCCACTATATATATACCTTCACTCAAATCCTTATCAATTGACAAAAAACCATCCTTCAATGCTTCATGATATTCTTTCCGATCGAAATGAGAGCTTTCACGGATCTTTTTATGCAAGACTTGGCCAGTGTACTGGGCAATTGTGGCACCTAGGAATTATAAAAAACCCGTTTGTCACTCAGTGTTTCCTTTTGGTACCCCAAACAATGGCAAAATGGATTGTGTTCGCATAAATTTTTACCGCCATGACCATCATATACTCCGAAAAAGCTCGCGTCTGTATCATCGAGTTTTAACAGCGTCGTGTGAGCGTCCTCCATAGCTACAAAGAAGAACAATGAAAAAAAATTGGTGGGGCGTAGTTAAGGGTTGATGATACCTCTCCTTTTTCCCAAATCGGGCAGGAGCGAGAAGAGATAGAGGTGTAGGGTGTATACATATCCCTTCCTCTTCCGTACTGTCGTACGTAATATGCAGATATGAAAAAGAAAAAGTGCGTGGTTGTCATAAACAGCGATGGCCATGATTAATTTTTTAAAAAAGGATACTCAGTCGCCAGCCTTGCATGGCGGATGCGCCATACGCAAACCTCTTGTCATTATCCTTGCTGGAGGTCTTGTCCGTAATCGGCTCTGAAAGTGTTTGACCCATTACTTGTTATATACAAATGAATACACTGTTAATATATTTTTGCGCTTTTTACAACAATGAGCTTTCACTATACACGGCGCAGTGTCATATATATTACTTTAGTTGTTTTTGATTGTGACAAAAAAGATTATGAGATCGATGAAAAGCTCGCGAAACGCAAAAAAGGAAGAAACTCTGTAAAAAAAAAGCACGGAGATCGGCATCAGCAAGCGTCTTTCTGTGCTCCAGTCGATGTGACTTCACAAAACGGAACCTCGAGTGCCGGTCTGTGTGCGCGAACCAGTTGAATCGGGAAGGAAATTCTTTTTTCAAAGTCTAATCAGGAAAAAAACATTGGGTCGGGTGATGTCACGCTTAGGCAATAGCTCACTCTTCTTTAACTTGCATATAAGCTATTGCGCGTGACAGCATATGGTCCTGCAACCTTATTAGTGGGTAAAACGAGCTTATTCTTTTTTGAGACCATTATACTCATAACAATAACCATGGTGGCGGAGCGTCGTTGTAATAACGTAATGATGTTTCAGATTATGCTGCATTTCTACGCTGTTTTTATTTATATATCCGCGCCAACAGAACTGAAGATATACAGCAGATCCCTGTTGTATACAAGCTTCCCTTTTGTGTCATTCCACCAGCAATGGTGATCCTTGAAGAATATCTTATCGAGTTAGTAACTAGTAGAGGGCACGAAATCATTAACAAGAGCTGAGACTTATACATCATAAATATGCAGTATTCACACGCACAAAAGTAACAATTATTAAAATGCACAGATCAGAAGAAAAGAAGCTACTATGATTGGTCCAAATTTTGGTTCAGAGTATGGCACATAACAAGTACTGCGTATGTGTGGATAGACGTCCCAGCCGTTCTGCTATATGAGCTAATAAACGTCTACAACATTCGAACAGCTACTACTACAACAGATTAATTCGCAAGTTTGACAGGCGTAACATTAAGAAAAGTACCGATCAGTACTTTTTATTGGTGGTACAGGTATCAAAGACAGGGTATACACATGTTCTGATTTGTTGGTCGTCCGGTTTCTTCGAGGTACATCATTGCCTAAGTAAACATCACAAAGTGTTTTAATCTTGGAAAACCATTACACTAACAACACATCTATTATTAGTATCTATCTACCTCCTCCATTTTATTTATATTTCATACAGGTCGAGTTCGGTAATGACAAAAGCTTATTGCTCACTCACTTTCTAATTAGTCCCTGCGAATCGTGAGCTGGCTTTGTTTAACTTCTCTTTGACAACAGACGGTGTAGACATCTGCTTCCACTTCATCCGTGCGCTTGCCTCACGACGAGGCGAATTCATGCCCAATTCCTCTCGTGAAGTCAAGCTCTACCCGAGCAATTTGGACCTCACCGCCTGGAACCGTGGGATGTACCACCTGAGCAAGAACCCAGTTGGGCTTGATCAACAGCGACGCGGTCAATCGCGGATTGTATCTATAGATCCTGGTATGTCTTAGTGATGTTTTTTTTTCTTTCCTTTCAAAGTGAGCGCACATTCAGGGCAGTTGTCTAATTCATGTTGTGGGAATACAGGCATCAGATCGCTCGTAACCGCTGTTGATACCATCGCTCCCCTGAACACCCAAGAGGAAAGAGCTGCACATACCATGGCTCTTCACAACAGACAATACCAGTACGTATATGCATAATAGCGCTTCGCACTTTAGTCTTTGATGCTGATATATCTCAACTTCTATAAAATATACTATGTATCATTGTTTTCAAGAAACCAGTCCATGTTTAAGTGGAGCCATCAAAGAACGATGAATAATCGCGCTAACTACGTTGCTGAAGAAGCAGCAAGAAACAATAATCCAAACGCTACAGATCCACATGAGTGGTATTTCTTGCTCGAACTAGCTCCCGCCACTGTAACAAGCTCTCTGCGGTTCTTAGCCTATATCAGGATGGTGAGCGACCTGCATACCGAGTAAGCGTATTCTTTGGTACTTCTCTTGATCAATGTTTTTTTTTGCGATTCTTGTTTTAAACATTTTGTTCTTTTCGCATCTTATTACAGAATGTTTACTCGGAACAACTACAAATTCAGACATCGAGAAGACCGTATGACGATGTTCGGCGCGAGGCGCGCTGCGTTGGAAACGCTTGCGAACAGATTGCTAAACCTGACGCAAAACGACGATGTAGGTGTACTTCTTTACTACATATACTAATATACGAATACAAATATATGCGTATGCTTCTTTGAGTTAGTAGATTACTGATTAGACACTGACTTGGTTGTATTTGTTTTGTTCAGCCGCCACTTCCCTTCTTCAACAAAACTTTGAAAGCCGAAAGAAAGTCGATTCGACGTGCGCCCCGGAGGGAAAGACGTCGAGTTTCGAGTGTCCAGGGACCCCAAGAACTACCTACGATCGTTGCGTATGGGGACGGCCGATCTAAGCCCAACATGAAAGGGTGGGAGAGTGTGTCTGTGGAAGTAAGTTAAACCTGAACTGTGAAATGGACGTATGTCTCGCAATATCTACTGACGTATCGACCAACTCATGCTTTCCAGAGCTATCGTGCGGTCCTGGCACGTCGCGCGCTAGTCATTTTGATTGATGAATATTTGACGTTCGTTATTTGCAATACCTGTCATGAACGGATACAATAGTTTCTAGCAAATGTACAAGGAGAGATGGCGAACATGACCTGCAACGTTCACCGGTAAGCAAAAATACATTGATTCTTTGCATATGTATATCTACGCGTTTTGTATAGACTTTAATCTTCTTGTGTTGGTATTTTCTGACGATATTGTAGGAAACTACGTATCCGGCGTACGACGGCCACTGTAGGAGATGGACGCGCAATTCAGCACTGCATTGATGCAGACGGCAATGTTTTACATCGCACATCACAATGCGATAATCTTGAGGTTCTGCGCGGCTGGCGCAGGGAGGTTTACGCGTTCAAATTCTGCGAAAATTGTTTGGCGCTAAGCTTTTATATACTCTGTATCTTATGGTGAATTTCTTTCTTTATTGATGATCGTAACACTTTAATCGCAAATATGTAGTTAATTGAACGCGACTTTAACGCAGCGACCAACATAGGCAGAATCATCGAAGGGAATTTATACGGGCACGACAAGCTCTAATAATAAATATAATATGTTACACAGAGCAGCATAATAGCTGACACTCTTATGTTAGTTATAACAGATGGGTGGTGTCGTGCCCGTAAGAAGCACAGCGCGTATGTATTATGTAAGAAGACAATTCGATGACTTATGTAGGTGGGACGCGTTGTGCTCGTAAAAAGCATTGATTTCTTGTGCTTATTTATAAGTCTTTTGTTCAAACTTGCTCATAGATCACAACCAGATTTTAATAAATCAAAGAATTCTGCAGTACAGTGTAAAATTACTTGATATAGGATATTCCATACTATTTCTACATAGAATATGAAAAGGTTTCATAGATATTTGCCCAGCAAACGTTTATACTATATAAATATGTATGTCAAGAAGAAGTATGTTATCAAGCTGACAGCTGCATTTGGTATAAATTAGAACCATTGAGAGACAAAAGAAATCTATGTAGAGGAAAATTAGAGAAGATATTTATGATGGTTCAAAATGTAAAAAAGAGAAATACAAAGAGAGAAACCTTTCTATGTAGCGCTGTGAATGTGTGAAATATTAAGTATAGTGGAAGCGCTCCTGTACAAAAACGTGCTAAAGAATAAAACAAGGCAAGTTTCTACCAATACGTCTTCAAAATTTCCTCCTTACGGGCACGACGCGTCCCACCTACATATGTCATTCTTACATAATACATACGCGCTGTGCTTCTTACGGGCACGACACCACCCATCTGCTATAATTAACATAAGAGTGTCAGCTATTATGCTGCTTTGTGTAACATATCATATATATTATTAGAGCTTGTCGTGCCCCGAACAAATAAGGAAATAACTTGTCGTGCCCGTATCAATTCCCATCATCGAAGCATGAATGTTGTCTGCCGACCCCTTGAAATCCCGGCCAGTTGAGTTGCGTCGCGGGCAAAATTTACAACAGCAGCTGGCGCCCATCGACAACGCTGACCAGGAAGAAGAACTGGACGACCAACTGGACGACGACTTCGAGAGTGAAGAAGAAGTCATAGGCCTCTGAGGATGAAGAGGCCAACCTCTGTACATGTTGGGGTGAAGTATGTGACTCTTTCCTTTCTTTTTGACAATTTATTTTATGGAGAGAGTTACTAACTTTTCTTTATCCCTTTAATTAAACTTCCACATATTCCTGTTATCTTGTTATGACGTATTTTTTTTGGTTGAATAAAGAAACCCCAGTGCAGCAGATTGCATTAAACAAGTCCATAATTTTAACATAACTGATATCATTGGTAGATCGGTAGATCTCAAAGCGGCTGGGTGTAATTTTACATAAGCAAACGCAATCTTGCAAAACGCCTATTGGCTTTCATCAATTACCGAAAATAGACTGTGGAGAGATTAGAGAAAGACGGAAAGCTGACCAGTTTCTTTCTTAGTGACTCATAGAGACCATTTGTGTTGACTGATCTTGACGACCAAGCTATATTTGACACACCCACTCTTACTGGACATGTACAAAACGTATGCTACTGCTGAGGGTCTTCCTCCGGCACTCGCACAGAATAAGCTTGTCAACCTTATTGCCGAGCAGAATATATCTATTGTTCCGGAATTCACTTTGGAATCAGGTGTCAAACTTCATAACGTCCCAGTAGCTTGGAAATCATTCGGCAAACTCAATGAGCGAGGCAACAACTGCATGGTTATTTGTCACGCTTTAACAGGCAGTACCGATGTTGAAGACTGGTAACAAAAATTTAAAGTTTCCTTTCTGTGGCCACAAGGAAAAAGTGAAGAAAACTTAACAAGGTGGTTAAAAAATGATATAGGTGGGGTGCCCTGATGGGACCACGACGAGCCTTTGATCCGACCAAATTCTTCATCGTCTGCTGCAATGTACTTGGTTCGCCGTACGGATCGGCCTCACCATTGACGATCAATCCAGAGACAGGCGAGCGCTATGGTCCTGAATTCCCGCTCGTGAGTGTGCGAGACGACGTCAAGTTGCACCGTTTAATATTGGATCAGCTCGGCGTGAAACAGATTGCGATATGTGTGGGAGGATCTATGGGTGGAATGCAAGTGTTGGAATGGTCGCTTATGGGCAAGGATTACGTAAAAACAATTGTGCCAATTGCTACTTCTGGACGGCATTCAGCGTGGGGTATCAGCTGGGGTGAAGCACAGCGCCAATCGATCTATAGTGATCCGAGCTATGGTAAGCATGGATATATAGTTCAGAACAAGAGAGGAGGCAAGAGCTAAACACAGAACTGTAGACGACGGCTACTATCCCGATGACAAGCCTCCGAACGTTGGTTTATCTGCTGCTCGCATGTCGGCCTTGCTTACTTACAGATCACGCAACTCGTTCGAGTCTCGATTTGGCCGCAAAGCTGCCGATACGAACCGCATGGCTCCTCCCAAGCGCCCCAACTCACCTCGCGAGGCTAATTTGTTTATCCACAACGACGGACATAAGAATGCCGGCACATCAACGTCATCTCCTCGCTCGTCTATCGACAGCAACGCTGAGCGCGCACAACACACCACCATCAACGATCCACCCATGCCCACCGCACGCGTCTTTTCAGCACAGTCTTATCTGCGCTACCAAGGTGAAAAGTTCATTGGCCGTTTCGATGCCAACTGTTATATTGCTCTGACAAGAAAGATGGACTCGCACGATGTGTCGCGAGACCGTGGCGACTACGAACAGATCCTGCAATCGATTGAACAGCCCGCGCTCGTCATTGGTATTGAGTCCGACGGCCTTTTCACCATCTCGGAACAGTACGAGCTTGCCGAGACGATACCGAATGCGGAAATGGTCACCATCCAGTCCCCGGATGGCCACGATGGGTTCTTGCTCGAGTTTGACCAGCTCAATCGACATCTGCTGGCATTCATCCAACGCGTTGCGCCGGATATCTATGAAACATCCATGGTCAGTGAAGAAGAGGCAGAACGACAGGAAATTCTAAAGGCAACCAAGGCAAGCTTGTTCGGCGAAGCGGAAGACATTACCCAATGGTAGACGACTGTAGAAATTGGGCCTTGAAACCCTAGTGCCTATTTTTTTTTTGGTATTGTACTATAGCCATCCTTGCTCCTATTACTTTGTTATGATAGAGAATTATATACACGTTATTATCGTTACTTCAAGTTGCTGTGTGTGTCATCTTTTTTTTCAATGCAAAAAGTGCAGGTGTGGGGTATAAACCAAAAAGAAGGGAAAAAACATGCGTCATGCAGGTGCAACCATGGACTACTGCAGCGCTCCGTGATCTCTTAGTGTGGAAGAATAGTGATTAGTGGTGAGGGTTGCTATGGGAATCTTCTCACTTTCTCACAGCATGGCCAAATCAATATGAATAACGCTATTCAGCATTTCACATGTGATTCAAATAGGCGTTTAAAACACGTGAAAGTACAAGAAATACTTAAATACGACCAAGTCGGTGCGCCCTTCTCCTTTCTTCTTTTGTTTCTCTCTTACTTTACCAACCAGCCCCACACATAACAAATTTCATCATGTCCGATATCGTCGTCCCCGGTTTTGCTTCCTCTGAGCTCATTGCTGGTAAGAAACGCATCATTCTTTGTCCCTTCTGAGCTAGTATACTCATCCATACGCCTGGTGATTCTCTTACGTGTAGAGCTCGCCAAAGTCTTCGAGTCCATGGGCGCCGATGAGAAGGCCAAGCTCATCAAGCAGGTAACAAGAAAGGAAAACCGAGTCCACATTGGTCTTATACATGTCTTTTGGCTAACTCCGTACAACTGTTACAGGTCAATGGCGTCTTCCAGTTCGTCATCAAAAATTCTGAGGGCAAGGAAGAGATTTTCACTATCGATGCTAAGAAGGAGGGCAAGGTTTCCCGTGGTAAGGGTGCCGTTAAGGCCGACGCTATCTTGTCCTTGAAGGATCAGGACTTTGTTGACCTTGCCACTGGCAAGTTGAACGGTAAGCATTTTTATCACAAAAAAGGCAATTTGCGGGGCACACGAAATGTGGGGCGGTGTAAGAAACGATCATTAATCACGGGACTTCTCTCCGTTCTTTTCTTTGTGCGCTTACAGGCCAAAAGGCTTACATGAGTGGCAAGCTCAAGGTCAAGGGCCAAATCATGCTCGCCATGAAACTCGACAACGTCTTCAAGTCCATCAAGCCTGCTGCTAAACTGTAAATTAAATAAAGAAGGCGAAATTTGAGATTACTTTTTCATTTGGCTAGGATAGACCGGGAAGGAAAGACGTTCATTGTAGCTACAAGGTAGTGGCCATTTGATGCTGGGACATGGTAGTTAGCTGCAACTCTGAGATGATATGGTCGTATTCGATGAAAATTAAAATAAATACCCATTTTTTGTTTCAAATCTGACGTTTCTTGTCATCTTTGTTAACGTACACATTCCATTAGATTTTATTGTGTTCGCTTGTCTTGAAGTAATCACCTTATCATGGTAGCCTACTGCTCACCATGATACCAGTATCGTTTGGGATTTGTCACAGGCGCAACCTTTTTTGTATCGTGTTTCTAAGGATTGCTGTCCTTAGCACCTTATACGTCTAGGACTTCTGTTTAATTAAGGGGCGGATGGTTTGAAAAGTGCACTGCATAGGAATATGTCTGCTGTCTGGTGCTTTGCCACTCTAACGTGATGTTTATCAAAAAGTACACATAAAATAAAAAGTTTTGAGAAGCTCCATCATGCACGGATAAAATTATTGCCATTTCATCATATGCCATAGACTGTATAATACATGCTGCCTTTGACGTTGTCGGAACTTATACCTATATCAAATCTACAAGCATACATATTCATTCTCCTTTGTTCTTTAAGCTTGACTATAATGGGTACATCTGATCCGAAAATTAGACTTGGTAGTAGTGAAGAGTGATGTGAGATGCATTGAATCGATGACCAAACATGCTGCAAAAAATCTGACAACTTTCAAAAATCAACAATTAAAAATTCTTCCTTTTTGAGTATCGCTGTCGACGGTGCTTTCCTCGCGACAACAATAACTGTTTCTTTTGTCACTCTTTGCACGAACGGCATAATCGATAAAAAAGTTGTATGCATTACAGAGCGCGGTAGTGTTTTTAAAAGGCACACAATGGGTCAATTGCATGTTAGTGCCTACTTTCCTTCCTCGGGAATTGGCTTCTCTGCAGGTATCATACCTGTTGTACTACCTTTAAAGAAAGGTTATGAGCAACAAGGAATAAAGGATACTCGCATCAGCTACGGTATCCGAAAACTTTTTTTCCGAGCTATAAACTAAGTGCATTATCCTAACGTTCCTCGTAGCATACGTGTTAGGGCTTAAGGGCGATCAACATGAGATATTGCATCAAGCTTTTCAAGCAATCTTTTTAAACGCTTAATATATACTTCCTTCTTTCGGATACTAATTAATGATAGGGCATTGTAAGATGCCCTCACTGTTCTAGCTCGCAGCTCTTTCGACATGTCAATACACTTACATATTCGTCTTGTTTTTAGTGCCTGCAGTTAAGCTACTAATATGCTCTCACGTTTGCATAAGAATCTCGTTTCTTTGATGATGTATTTCGCTTGGAGATATGATGTATAAGTTTCGATAGAGACACATTATATCTTGACAGTAAAGACATAAGAAGAATTGTAGGTCTCACGGGTACCGATACATCTTACCTACTATATGATATCCTCCTGAATAGCACAGTTGAGCCATAAATTATCAAAAGAATCTACAGATTATTGCTTCGAAGCAATGGCCATGCCATTTTAGCTCATCTGTATAGATACGATATTCTATACTACATAACTACTCTTCTTCAAAGGCCAAAGAGCCACAGCTATTGTTTAAATTGGAAAACGAAGAGTTTGGAGACCAGATGGCATATTCAACTGTAATGTCATAAGCGATAGAACAGAGACCACAATAGGTAAAAGTAAGATTGATACAATGAGTATAGCATGCAGCCCTGTATTGACTATTACACCACAGTGACTCAATCTAGTTTGTAGGGCTATCTGCTGCTTGCATGAGCCAAATTGAAAACACCATCATTGCTCATTGTTCCAACGGTGCTGTATCAAAATTTAAATGAAATATGGTGCAGAAAAAGTTACGTGGAACCACTGCAGAATTATATAAGCGTTTTTATAGATCTAATAACCTCAGCATGCGACTGATAGAAATACGTATTGACAATTACTGATTTGACTAGTTTTCATCACAACAATAAGCCTCTGCGACTCTCTGAGACGACGCTCGCAGGGATTGACACGAAGCGAAGCGGGGGGTCTCAATCCCAAGATGCGAAGGCGAGAAAGGCTCTTAGCACATGATACGTCTATGAACCGTTGGGAGTACAGAACGCATTGAATATATACGTATTGAACAGTACTTATGAATAATGCTACGAAAGATAGCAGCTGTCGTGTTGATTATATACAGAGTAATGAATAGAGAGAACTAATGGCAGTCGAGTGTATTGTAGCTCTCGAAGCTCCTTTTCTGATTGATTCGTGATTGACGAAATAGGCTACATAAAGTTGAATGTTGTTTGATAGTAATGTTAGAAAAAAGCATTGATACAAAAGTAAGAGAGAGTACATGATTTGTCGTTCTGGACAACTGCATTTTGTAGAGAATTGCTGTAAAATTGTCTATAACGAACGTACGCTCATCGATCATATAGTAGTATAGAGCCACAATAACGAGGAAATGGTATTTTCCGAGTGCTTCTTCTTTTTCATAAGGAATGTGAGCTGATTGTTCTGAGGGATTGAAATACAAAATGAAGTTGATATGTTGTGCAATGAAGTCGTTACAGAAATCCGCCATTCATGACGGCGGCAGGAACAGTAGCGGGACTGTCAAACAACAGCCACAGGAGCAACAGCACAATTTTGATTTTATATGTGTTATCACGATGGATATTTTCATGGGTTCATACTTCACACCATATTATAAAGTGGCTACTGGCTAGTGGCTATCAAAAAGCCAAAGCAAGGAGGTGATTATTATCTTGAATGTCTTGGCTCCCTAGCTTCCAGTCACAGGCCAACTTACTGTTCAGCGCTCGCAACCAATGCAGGCAATCCACTTCGCTAAACAAGTTTTGTACTCGAAGTAGCAGCCGTCCTATTCAGCAAGACTCCAATGTATCCTATGCTAGGGCATTACAAGTCCAAAGTAACAGTATAGTTTTCGGGATGGCATTTTATCTGTGGGCGAAAGAAATAGTGACAGCGATGAATAGTATTCTACGGCTATTTTCCTCTTTCTTTACATTTCATTCTGATATCTTGTTCGACGAGGGCAGTTTTTTATTTTTTTTTGATTTTTTACCCTCATTCGCTTATCGCTTTCTTTCCACATGGTATTCTTTCTTGCGACAATCGGTTACTTCATCTTTTAAATTTTTGTTCACCCAATCCTGAGTTTTAGATGTATTTCTCTCAGTACAAAAGTAATCGTCGTTTTAGTAAGTCCTGGCTGAAAGCTCCAAGAAGTATAGCTTAAATACAATACATAATAATGGAGGTGGATTTTATGTGTGTTCCTGGCAAAAGACTATACATACTGCACGACGGCGGTGGCGAAAATGGGGTCTCTACTAAAAAGACAAAATTTTTGAGTCGCGTGTAGTAATTCTATACTCATAAATATGTCCCCTACATCTCTACAGCTCTTTCACACATTCTCTTTTTTTTATATTCATACATCACTTGCGCAAAGTGCCTCTGTAATTTATGTCTTTAATCCTATTAAAAACCTCAACAACAGTGAGCAATTGGTATATCCTCTAATGTAGTAGTATCGTAAATCCACGTACTATACCACCAACATATGTTTGAAAGGACAGCAGTTTGCAGCACTGTATACATAAAAATTTGTCAACTTTAGAAAGAAGAGACGATGCAACAATATGTATCATTTTCGGTCTTCTCCAGCAGTATCTTGTTGCTTCTGCTACTGTCAGTGTAATCGACTACTGTAGTTAAAAAATAGTATTGAAACAAAAACTGGACAGCAGGATCTCTACGAAGAAATCATATAAAACCGATATTTTATAGAAAAGAAAATATCATTGACAAAAATTAAAAGGTTCATCTTCTCATTTTGAGAAGATGCTTTTTTAGGAGCTGACGTGATTCGAACACGTGACCAGAGGATCTGCAATCCTCCACTCTGCCACTGAGTTACAACTCCCTTGTTGTTTTGACACAAAGGGTGTAAGGCTTTTCAGCCTTATTTATTTCCGACGAACGAATTCTGGCTTCAACCAATCATGCGCGATTTCGGTGGCGGATCTTTCTGCTGGCGATGGTCATCCGATCCATAGGTTTCCCCCCCAACTCCCCACAATTCTTCTCGCACCCCCCATCTTAGGATTATCATACTTCTTTTTCCCATTCTGTCAGTTCCCTTTATTTTTCTTATTTCCCTTAGCTCTTTTTCTGTAAATAATTCTGTCATTTCCTCTCGCGTCATTTTACGTTCCTTCAACTCTAAATCGTGCCGGCAATAGGCACTGAATATTATTTCTTCTTTATGCTTCATTTAACGGGACCCATCCCTTATATTTCTATCCGTCCTTATTTTCTATATAATACTCTCTCACGTATTCATGCTACCTGCCCTGTGCAGTTTATATTATTCTCCATTGTCCTTTTCCCTCGTTACCCTCACCTTGTTACCATGACCCTGTAATTTCATGGCCCCTCTTATTCTCTGTCGTACTCCCTCTCTTATGTTTCCATCCATCGTATAGACATTGCTATATCCATTTCCCTATTTTTCCGTCTTCTACTCCATCCAAACTACCCAATAGAGATCGTTTTCCTCTGTGCCTGGCGTCGTTCTCAGCTGAGCACGCCCAGTTGACAAGGTGTATAAAAGGGGTTTAGCCCCATGATAAAATAAAGATTAAGCGTTTTCAGATATATATTCGTGGATTGACAAATTGACACCGGAAGTGGAACTTGCTGTTATTGTAATCGTGTTTCTGTGTATTTGTATTTCGCGTTCATCATACCCCTGATTCCTTTTTATTTTCTGAATTCTGTCTATTTGTATTTTACTGTATATCAACCCTATTCTTCTGAACCCTTTCTACCTTTTCCCTTTTTATATACTACCTTTTGTCCTTTTCCAAACACTACACGTGTCAGTTTATCAATTTACTATAAATAATTATAGCAGCTAAAAAAATGTTTGAGGAGGATCTAGATCAGAGGAGGAGGCAGGAGGAGGTAGGAGGCAGGCAGGATGGGCGAGGCAGGACTAGGAGTAGTAGTAGTAGTAGTAATAGAAGAGATATGATAGAATCTTTATATATTTTGATAAATAGTTGAAGTGGGCTCTTAGTTTTATT